GCATGTCCTTCACGCGCGAGACGAAGTGTCCAACATTGAAATTCCGCGTGCCAGCACTGCCGCACATCGAGCTATCCAATCCGAATATCACAGAACAAGCGACGCGCACGTTGCTTGTTGCTTTGGCAGGGATTGCGTCTGAGCGGTTCGAGAGTCTAGAGGCGTATCGGGCTGTTGCGCCTCTTGTTACTGTTATTTCGACGACGGGGCATTTACCTGGGCATAAGGATGTGCCCGTGTTGTTTCGGCCTATGTATTCTATGTTGCTTCCTATCCCGCATGCGGATAAATTGCAGATGGAGAAGTTGCTTGATGAGGAGGTGCGGTGTGGGGAGAGGGGGGTTTTGGGGGCTGGGGTTGTTGTTGTCCGGCCTAGTTTTTTGACTGGAGATCATCGGATCTCTGTTAAGGATGAGAGGGAGAAGAAGGGTGAAGGGCTTGAAATGGTTAGGGTTGGGACGGAGAGGGATCCTGCTGTTGGATATACGATTTCTAGGGCATTGGTTGGAGAGTGGATTTTTGAGGAGGTTGTCCAGGGTGGTGGGAAGAAGTGGGTTGAGGAGAAGGTTACTATTACCTCTTGAGGCTGGTTTATTTCAAGGTTGGTTGCACTTGGGAGTTCGGCTCTTTTTGCTTGTTTATAGACTTGATTGCAGGGTTGGTCGTTAACTAGTTGAATTTGACTCGTTTCACTCGAGTTATGTGTATAAACAAGAAGTTGGGGAGTAATCAATCACCATTTAATGCGCTGTAACGGCTGAAACGAAATGTCTCTCTAGGCTAAATATCAGAATGGCCAAATAGATATCATCCAGCAAGATATGACAAAAAGAAGAGTAATACATGTGCCAATTCCAAAGGTGCCAAACTCCAAGACATATGATATATGCTCGTGAACCAAAAAAAGCAGCAAAATTATCAGCGGTAAACTGTACAGTTAGAGCAAAGGAGGAACTCGATCAATGTTCCTAGAGCCCATCTCGTGACGGTCGTAAAAGAAATATGAAAGCAAGTACAATCAGGTGCCGCTGTACGGCTCGGTAAGCTCAGGGCGATCCAGTTGTGCGCTCTTGCGCTCACGCTCAATCTGCATACTCCTGCGCTCCTCCTTGACCTTCTTCTTCTCTATCTTCCTCATGGCTTCTTCGGTCAGCTCCTGGCGGAATAGCCGTTCAACAACATCCTTCTTTCGGGCTCGCCGATCACCAATCATGATCATCACACCACCTGAGATATTGCAAGCAATAGAGCAACACAGGATGACAGTGGTCAGGGCGAAAGGTCGCGAGTTGTAGTCCTCCATACTCCATGTGCAAGCACCAAGAGCCATCTGGAGTAGAGAGTGGCAGTCGAGTACAACGACGATGGCAATGAGGATCCGGAGAGGGAAAGCGTGATGAGTCATGGTTTCGTGGGGCTTGTAGAAAGTGTGAGACTTGGCAAATTTATGCTGGTGGTGCATCAGTCGCAGCTGTTGGCGAGGGCTGAGCACAGAGTATTCATGTTCATCGGTCATATCGCCAGATTCGACGTCGGCGTCCTTCTCGGGCTTCGATGGGAGGTCGTTCTTGTCCTTCAGGTTTGGCAGACTGCGCTTTCGACGGATCTTCCACGTCAAAAACGTGTAATGCGCGATGAAACACATATGATATGTATCGACTGCACGGAAAGGAGCTAATCCATCACCCATAATGGCAAATAGAGCGACCAAAACGTTATCGATAATATTGATGACATAGAGTTGTCTACCTCCAATGTTGATCCAACCTGAAGACTGTCAGCATAGCAACTAGCAAGCATTATACAAGGAAAACGTACCAATTAAGAAAAGAACCCAGGCCAGACCAAACAACGTAATCAGAGTTGCGTAGAGAGTGATACAAAATCCAAGAGCTAACAGCTGTTAGTGTCATATAAGATGTCCCTGGAGAGGGTCGACACTTACGCTTCCGCACGTACTGCCCGAATCCTCTCATTGACCGTTTGAACTTGGACCGTCGGGAGTGAAGCATATGCCGAACATGATCGTTGAGTTCCGCATAGTCTTCCTTCGTCCACCCTTCCAGGCCGCGGGTTTCAGGGAGAACGGCATAACGAGGACCAGCCAACACCGAGGACATGCTGGCGGAAGGACGCAGTTGTTCCAATGTGGCTCGCTCCTTATCCTTCTTAAGGTTGGCTTCCTCGGATAACTCCCCCTCATCTGCTGTAGTCCCTTGCTCTTCATCCGAAGAGTACTGTGGTCGGGAAATGGTATAAGTGGGCATACGATTGATGAAGCCACCCAAGTTCGGCACGAAGAGGGAGTTCTGGACGTTAGTCAGAGTAGACAACGCAGACACCTCGGGGTCTAAGATAATGTTAGTCAAATGTATACCTCTTGTGCCACATCAGACGGGTCTTACCGATCACATCTAGTACGTCGACCACATGAGAACCATATTCATTTTTGCGCTGTTCCTCTAGACGCTCTTGATCTTGGCGTTGTTGCTCTTGAGAATTGAGAGTTTGGGGTGCTCCTGAGACGGTTGATGCGCGGTTCCGGGAGAACCTGTTCAATGCAGCTTGGCTGGTTCGCCGAAGGCGACTTGCAGGGCGCGCTACTGCGGGTGGGGCCTCAAGCTGATCCGGGCGCTCAAAGTCTTGCCCAGTTGTCTGCCCGGGCTCTATCGCTGGCGGAGAGAGTGCTGCAGGGCTTTGCCGTGACGGTTCCTCGGTCAAAGGCATCATCCGCCCTGGAGTCGCTGTGACGACTCGTGAAAGCGTCTCCGTGGCAGGAGAAGACCACCGGCCCGGTCGGGGCTCGGAGCTGCTGCGCCGTCGGCCACCCTGCCATGCTTCGTCTTCTTCGTTTGGCGGAGGAGATCGGATGGCTTGACGTTCGAAGGACGGCAACGGCTGATTGTCCTGTTGCGATAGCGCCGATTGATCGACGTTATCTAAGGAGTTCAGAGACGGCAAACGTGACAGGCGGATACTCGGTCGTCGCGTCCGAAGTGAAGGGGCTCGCGGGCGCAACGGCGTCGGTCCTGCTGGCCTTGGGGGAGAAGACCCAGAGGACTGCTCTGGAGAAGACCCCTGGGGATCCCCAGGGGCGTGGTCCTCAACCGGCTCGATGCGATCCATGCTCGGTGCCGGGGGAGGTTAGAAGGAGGACACGCAGAACAGGAGTATGCCTGATAATATTAAAACGTGCAAGACCCGACTTCCCCCTGTGATGGATATCTGGAGAGCCAAGAAGATGACTCAGCTATCCCCGAATCTTGTTATTGTGACGACAGTGGAGTCCTCAAGCGTCAGTGCTCGCACTAAACTGTCGATCTTCGATAGGTGTTTGTTGTCTTTTCTGTGTCTTCTCTTCCAACAAGTGAACAACTTCAAATGGTTTAACACACGGCAATGGCCACAAAACAAATTTGTCACAGTGGCGGACAATGGACTCTGGTAGCCAATAGGACGAAACAACAACGTAGAAATGTTGATAAATACACGTGCAAACTGCGCAGCCCAAAGACATAATAAGACGTCACTATAGAAAGCTATCATGCAGATCGAGGTAGATCGGTATTATCCTATCTATATCTCTCCTATAACAGGTTTCGCTTTCTAAATAACGGTGAAGTTATATCATTGTCTTATCCCTTTAGCTTAATATAAGTTATCTGCAGCATGTTCATGAACATGTATGCCAAACAAGATAAGATCAAACCCATAGTCTTTTGAGACTAGCATCTTATGTCTGCCTAAACTATACTCCGCATCTGCCAAGTGTGAAGTTGTCGTCGCCTTATTGCTCTCCTCGCTATAAGAGGTCAGACGATACCTCCCTTGCATGGCCTGTTATTTGGCTGTACAGTATGGCGTCACTTTGGGTGTTGACATACCTATTCTAATGAACAGTTTGATGTCTTCTATATTAAATTTGAACTAGATCTAATGCATACGCTCCAAAGCAATATGCATCTAGGCCTGTAGACAAACACGAACCCTGGGTCACACAGAACCTGGAATCTCTGGGACTGTTTCCTAGCTAACTAAATAAGCATCAATCTTGGGTTGACAAGGATACATAGCCCCTACAAAAATTTCAACCACAGACACAGCATCGATAGGAATCCAAGTTGAAGTAAGGTCTCGTTTAGATTTAGAAATAAGGCGGAAAGGAACACTCTCAATGGCGATCACAAAGCCTTGTCATGTAGACCGTGTTACGGTGACGGCGAAAATAGATACCTCCAGAAAAGGAGTTATTTATGTCACCTGTGTAGCGTCAACCAGCACTCAATACCTCAGAGGGGGTGTTTATATCTTTGGACTGTACTAATAGATTCATACTCCGGTATTTTCGATTGAATCTGAAGGCGCGGAGTATGATGACACCAAGTGGAGCTATCTGAGGTGGAAGATCGGCCACAGAATTATTTATGGAACAAGTCGTACAGCGACTGTTCATATATGTGATCAGATTGTGCAGCTGAGGAACCCAAGAGTTTGCATGAGGTTAGGGTCAGAGCTACATTATTTGGGGCAGAGGTGAAGGGAGTATGTCAAGGTGGAAAAGGAAAGAAAGACGAGTGGCAGGATCGAGGACCCAGAATGACATCAGGCCAGTTGTTCTGAGTCAATCCCTGAGGGGGGTTGGGGGCCGAGGGTTAGGGCCTAACGTTTGGGGCTGTAGGGGCCACAAACCGCTTAAACTCCAGGCGTGATCCAGACGTAGACCCCCCGAATCGCCTCGCGATCACCATGGTAATTTCCCCTCGGGCGGAGCTCTCTGACTGGGCTGGTCCCACACCGCCTCTCCTGTCCCTTTCCATCTCCTTCTCTTCTCTCACCTCTCCTCTTTCCTTCTTCCAAAAGACAAAACTCTTTCAACCCATCTTCTTTTCACTTGGTATCTAGGGCACGAAGCTACCCTGCCACTCCTCGCGTCAAGAATTCCTCAGCTCAGGCCAATTTCATCAATCCCCGACACTTTCCATCCTCAACCTAACCTCAAGATGTCTGTCGATGCACTTGCTGACAGCGTGGCTGCGACCACGGTGACCGATAAGCCCGAGACCAACGGCGCTGCCCCTGCTCAGGCAACTGATGCTGCGGCTGCCAGTGCGGATGAGGGTCGCCGTCTCTACATTGGAAACCTCGCATACGCGACCACCGAGGAGGAGCTCAAGCAGTTCTTCAAGGACTACACCATGTGAGTGATAGACACATCCTGACACATGCACAATTACCCGCATTTGACAAACATTAAACGCGTGCATGTGTTTATTTTGGATTCCTGACTCATTCTCCCTTCAGCGAGACCACCTCGATCCCGGTGAACCCCCGCACCAACCGCCCGGTCGGCTATGCTTTTGTGGACATTGCCACTGCTTCTGAGGCTGCTGCTGCGATTGAGGCCCTCTCTGGCAAGGAGATCCTCTCGCGCAAGGTCTCTGTGCAGCTCGCCCGCAAGCCTGAGCCCGCCGAGGCCAAGGAGGGTGCTGCCAGCGGTGGTGAGGGTGCTAGTGGCGCCGAGGGCCGCAAGCGTACTGGTGGCCGTGGTCGTGGCCGTGGCCGTGCCCGCGGTCGTGGCGGCCGTACTGGCCGTAGCCGAACTGTAGGTGATCTCGATCGACTCTCAGAGTCTTTTTGGAACAAATTCTCATCATGGAACCAGGGACAGGATGGCCAGGCAGATACCGAGCCTGCTGCCGGTGAGGCTCCTCTCGCCGAGGCCACCAACGACAACGATGCTGGCTCCGAGGCTGGCAAGAACAAGGCTCGCGCAGCTCGCCCCCAGAAGCAGCGTGGCCCTCCCGATGATGGCATTCCCTCCAAGACTAAGGTCATGGTTGCTAACCTCCCCTACGACCTGACTGAGGACAAGGTGGGTTACACTATCTAATTACGCTCCAGGTTACATCGTCTGACACCTTACAGCTCAAGGAGATCTTCGCCGACTACCAGCCTGTCTCCGCCAAGGTCGCCCTGCGTCCCATTCCCCGCTTCATGATCAAGAAGCTCCAGGCCCGCAACGAGCGCCGCAAGACCCGTGGCTTCGGCTTCGTCAACCTTGCATCCGAGGAGCTCCAGGCCAAGGCCGTCAGCGAGATGAACGGTAAGGACATCGATGGTCGCGTTATCGCCGTCAAGGTCGCTATCGACAGCCCCGGCAAGGAGGATGACGTTGATGCTGCCGCCGAGAAGTTCGAGGAGTCTGCTCCTGCCGCCCAGGAGAACGCCGCTCCTGCCACCACCGAGGCTTAAATGCGTGATGTCTAACGACCAACCGAGGTCTTTGTTGATTCACTTTGGGCTTGGGTGGGGAACGGGGAGCACAACAGAGGAAAGTATGGATATGATGATGGTGGTCTTGGACTAAAATCCAGACTGCCGTGAATATCTTAGCTGGTTATTGGAGCGATGGGGGATTTTATGACTTTTTTTTTTAACGGGCCATGGACTATCCATGCTGGGGACCGTCTTTGCTGATGCGATCTCCATCCTTAACGACTTTTTTTGCCTTCTGTATTGTATCTTAGCACACATTTACTAAATGATGACGATCTGCCACCTGGCACGAGGAGAAAGTAGTATGTAAAATGGAATTTATAACGTTAGTATAAGTAGGACTTGGTTGGGGTGGATGATTCGGGGACTAAGTCGGGGCGACCCCGGGGGCCTTGCCGATCAGAGGCAAAAACATAGAACTAACACTTGTCTCACTCAATTGATTTCCTTTTCCCGAGCCAATTGCATTGTCTTTGCTTCTTTGATACATTCCTTGACTTCCTACGCGACTCGGTCAACCCGAGTAAAAGGGGTACCCTCCATCGTCGAGTGTCGAGTCAACGTCTTAGCGCACGTCATTCGAATCGCTTCAGTCCGGTTTTGTATATTCATCCAAGATGTCTCGCATGTGGGAGGTCGACCCAGAGACGAGGACAAAGGTGCGACCCAGCAAACTCGCACATCGCAACGGCCCAAAGGCCACTGACACACGAGCCACAGCTCCTCCAAATCTCCAAGACGAACGGAAACGACAAGTGCTGCGACTGCGGCGCCCCCTCGCCTCAATGGGTAAGAAACATCCCATCCAACCCATTCCTCTGATCTCCCCCAGAGAGACAAGACAAGACAAGACAAGACAAAAAAGAAACAGAACCCCCCGTCACCACCCCGCAACCACACTCACAAACATACCCGCTAACCCTGCGCCCAACCGGGCAAAAACAAACAGGCCTCCCCAAAATTCGGCACATTTATCTGCCTCAATTGCGCCGGCATCCACCGCGGCCTAGGCGTGCATATCTCCTTCGTCCGCTCAATCACCATGGACGCCTTTAAGAACGCCGAGATCCAGCGCATGGAACTGGGAGGCAACGAGCCCTGGAAGACTTTCTACGACGCCCACCCCATCCCAGTCTCTGAGGGCCGCACCTTCGAAGACTCTACAATCAAAGAGCGCTACGACAGTGAATCCGGCGAGGAGTGGAAGGAGCGCTTATCGTGTAAGGTCGAGGGCCGCGAATATGTCCAGGGCCAGGAGAAGAAGAATAACGATAACAATACGATTCGGTCGAACACGCCTATGAGTTTAAGTGGTGCGCGTGCTGGATCAGGATCACCGGCTGCGTCGTCTATTCGTTCTGATGGACAGCGGGGTGCTGGCGCTGGTGCTGGTGGTGCCGGTGGAGGCAAGAAAGAGCAGAATGAGGCGTACTTTGCGAAGCTGGGTTCTGATAATGCCTCGCGCTCGGATAATCTGCCTCCGTCGCAGGGTGGCAAGTTTACTGGGTTTGGAGGTGGCATGCCTGCGCCGTCTGCTAGTGAGAAGCGGTCTTCGACGTTTGGGGGGTTTGGCGGATGGGGTGGTGGCGGCGGTCAATTCGAGGATCTTCAGAAGGATCCCATGGGCACGCTCACTAAGGGTTTTGGGTGGTTTACTTCTACTGTTGGGAAGGGTGCTAAGCAGGTTAATGATTCTTATCTGCAGCCTACGGCTAAACAGGTATGTGTTGGTGCTTCTAGTGGTGGCGGTGGTGTCTGGTTTGGTTTCTTTTGATATACAGGATGACTTACGAGTTGGGTTTAGTTGGCTGAATCCGACTTCGCGGCTCAAGCGCGTGTTCACGCCTCGGCCTTGGGTCAGAATCTGCAGACTGGAGTGCGCGGTGCGGCTGATCAGTTCAACAAGTTCGTCGAAGGGGACGATGGACGAGGTGAATACCAACGCACTCGCATGGAACCTGAACGCCGAGATTTCTGGGATGATTTTTCGTCTCTAGGCTCGCAGGAGCCGGCCGGCCATCGCCGCAGTGGATCACAGCGGTCTCAACGATCTGATGTTGTTGGTACTGCTGCTCTCCGGAAGGGCCCCACGACGTCGTCGTTGGCTAACTCGACGCCTGCTTCTGCTGGTGCTGAACATGGAGATGGTACTACAGCTGTATCGACCGGTAAAGGGAAGGACGAATGGGATGATAACTGGTAGAATCTAGGCATCTAGGAGCATTTGTTTAGATTCGTTTGTGGGCCGGTTTGTGGGTGCCATGTCGTTATGCCTGGTGTTGTTATTCTTTTTTTGTATTGGTCTCTACTCTTTACTTGCCTCATACATATACCTTGTTAGGATCTCCCTCTTTGAGAGAGTGGGGGTCAGATGCAGACTTGTTTTACTTTGTCCCTTGGCCCGGTGTCAATCAGAGTGTGCCGATGGAAGGGAATGTGGCCAGTAGTTAGATCCAATGTTTGTACAGTGACGAGAACGCTGCGAAATGAGATAATGTACAAGACTTTCCAAGATTTGGTGGTTGAGCCGGTGGTTTCATAGCCCAGGCTAATAAGCCAGGTCCAGGGAAGAACCAAATGAATCAGAATCCGCCTCTCAACTCCGCAAGAACAGCCTTCTGTCGCTGAGAAGACATATTTTCAAACCGATCAACGCTCATGACAAAAGTGCCTCGGCCGGCAGTCAAACTACGCAGATGCTTCAAGTACCCAACCATCTCCTTAAGCGGTACCTTAGCAGTGATAGTACGCGGTCGAGCAGTAGAGACGGGGATCTCAACACCAATAGAGGGAGTCTCGAATGGGTCCGGCGGCGCATAAACACGGTTCGGATCAATGGGAGGCAGCTGCTCTTCCTCAAGCGCAGACTGAGAAGTCGGCGACGCATCCGTCCCTGGCAGCGGTACTTCCTCATCGAGAGAAATAATATGTCCACCACGCGAAGACGAAATATCATGCACAACAGAACCGAGACTGGCCTCGTCCACGCTGATGATCACGTTCATCACTGGCTCCATCATCGTCGTGCCGGCGCCAGCTTGCACATCCTTCAGCGCAGCGGCGGTGGCTTGCCGTGCCGCGGCGGAGAGGGCAGAGGCTGTTGTTTCATTGCCAAAGAGGTGGGAAGTTGGATCGACGGTGAGTGTGACTTGGGTATTATGCATTGGGAAGACGAATTGCGGGCCACGAGCAAGGGCTGCCATGGCACCGTTTTGAAGGGCTGCGCGGAAGGTGACTAGATCCATGCCTGGCGGGAGGAATGGGCTGGTTTCTTCATCGCGCGAGTGTTCGGCCTGCAGACCTGGGGCGCGGATGATGATCCGGTTGCCGTCGTACATCTCGAGGAGGAGAGTGTCTTGGTCTACTTGTTCGGGCGAGGCATCTTCATCTAGTGGCTCGACTACTGCCATGCAGCCTGCTTTGCCCTTGCGACCAGCGACCTCTTTGTCGAAGATCTTGGTTATGGGGTTGGATGCGCCGAGTGCTGATTCGCGGTATCCGATCTCGATGCGGCCCATTGAGGCCTTGGCCTTGAGGTCGTTAATCAGTCGATCGCGCGCGATCTCGAGATGCAGTTCTCCCATGCCGCTGAGGAGGGTCTGGCCTGATTCTTCGTCCATGGTAACGTGCAGGCTGGGGTCTTCACGTAGGAGGAGTGCTAATGATTCTTGCATTCGCTTTTCTTCACTTAGGCTGTGAGGTTCAACGCTGGTGAAGAATACTGGTGGTGGGACTGCAATTGGTCGCAGCTGAAGACTGGTGAGTGGCTCCGGGGGCGTGGCTTTGTTTCCTGCGTATGATACGAGGGTATCGCCAGTTCGGGTTTGTTTGAGTCCGACTACCACTCCAATGTGCCCAGCGGGAATCGAGTCCACTTCCACCGCATCGTTGGCATACATCTTGAGGAGGCGTGGAGCACGCTCAGAGAGATGCAGGTTGGTGTTGAAGAGTAGGCTGTTGCGGTCTAATGAGCCGGAATACACTCGCACATAGACCAGAACTCCACGCTTCGGATCATTGACCACCTTGAATGCCAATGCGCAGCTTTGAAGTTTAGATATTGCATCCTTAGAGTCGGATTGCAATGCTGATTTCTTCTTCTTGTGTTGCTTGCCTTTGGATGGCGCAGTGGCCTGCTCACTTTGCTCAACGATCAGGTCTCCAGACAATAGTCTCCGCAGACCACCCTTGACGCCGCCAATGCTGACCTCTGGGTCGGGAGCTTCCGGTGGACTGGGCAGAAGGTTCACGATAGAATCCAACAATGGCTGGACTCCCATGTTCCGGAAACTGGCACCTGCAAAGAGGGGAACGATCCGGCTGCTCTGATCCAACACACAGCGGCGCAGACTCTCGATGATATCAGCGGACGAAACTGCAAGATGATCTTCATCGCATTCGAAGAACTTCTCTACAATGGCCTCGTCCTGCTCGCTGAGCAATTCAACCAATGCAATGCGTGCACGCCGCAACTCTTGTGCCAAAGAGGGCTCCTCGGCCTCGAGCTGTTGAAGATCAGCCATCTTCACAGCACGGCCATCCTCACCTTCCTTCCATCTCAGTCCCTGGAGGTGAATTGCATCTGCTACTCCGACAAATGGGCCATTGCCACCCTGGAACCATGGGATTTGGCACACTGCCGGATAGACACCCAAGCGAGAGCTGACTTCTCGCACCGTGCGACCAAAAGCGGCTCCATCACGGTCGAGCTTGTTCACATAGATGACTCGAGGAATTTTATACGTGCTTGCCTGGTTCCAGACCTGCTCTGTCTGCGCCTCAACACCAGCGACACCGTCCAAGATGCAGACTGCACCATCGAGAATGCGCAACGAGCGCATGACTTCAAACGTGAAGTCTGCATGGCCAGGGGTATCAATCAAATTTATGGTGTGCGGAGATGCAGAGCGCGGAATTGGTGCACCATCGGCCCCAGTTTGCTGAAGTGTTGATCCATCTACCTCTCCAGGAGGCCAATGGAAGGTGATGGCAGCCGATTGGATGGTAATACCACGGGCACGCTCAGCCGGAAGAAAATCAGTCACTGTTGACCCTTCGTCCACATCACCGATACGCCTTGTGAAGCCGCTGTAGAATAACATGCGTTCGGTGGTGGTGGTCTTGCCAGCATCGATATGGGCGATAATGCCAATATTCCGGGTTCGATCCAAAGTTTCGGTCTGCCATGTTGCAGAAGTCGTCGAGAAGCCTCGGAGATGCGTGTAGCTGGACCGGAGACCCTTGAGTGAGGAACACGTACTTTTCCTCGCAATATCGGTTTGCCTTTTATACAAGTTGGAGCTCATACAGCGCATCCCCTGGGGGAAGCGCAACAATGGAGCCACGACCATTCCAAGGGAAAGTGTGCACTAAGGAAAAACAAGGTTAATTATGTAGAGACAGCATTGAGTGTATGTAATCCTTGGTATAACAGAAGGGCAAAGCAAAGAAAAGCGAAGCGCAAAGCGGACTGGAGATCGCGAGGCTTGGCGCACGCATTCCTCCATACGTAGCTGCGACCTTGACCTCTCTCCACATCGTGTCTCTTCCAAGATTCTCTTTTGTTTCTCTGCTCCCGGTATTATGCGAGTCTAAAAGCACAGTGTCCTTTAACTCTACGTCCTAAGCTGTACAGGGTATGTCCCTATTTACCATGGAGCTAGCTGGCCGTTGCTGTGGGGGTCTGATCTCCAGCCATTTAATACTGACGCCTACCATGATTAGTAGCTCCCCCTTGTCAGCGACACTCCTTACATCGACTATTTACCAAGATGGATTACTCCGCCATTACCAACGACCCTGAGCACCCCACCGATGGCTCACCCTGGGGTTCGCCGCGCGCTGAGCGAGGTGCCTTCCCCACCTCCAACAATGACATCCCGTCCTCTCCTTTACCAGGCCAGGAGCAATCCGCAGAGGACGCAGGCAGGGGCCAAATTGAGGAGCCACAATCTCCAGACCTCTCTGCTCGGCTCCAGAGCGCACAATTAGGAGACCCGGACTATGCCGAGGGACATTCCCCGTTCGCTGCGCAGTCTCCAAATGCCCAGCAGCAATCGCCTTCCCACGCACAGTACCAGGCTGGCGCAAGACAAGCCCCCCGGCCGCAGGCTCCCTTATACAGGATCCAGGGCAAAATAACCGGCCTGGAGAGGACCGGCAAGAAGGACCCTATTCTCCGGTTCGATGTCCACGTACGTCTTCCCGTAGGCTGTCCCATACTTTCTCAATGGCTAATTTCCATTTCCTATTATTACAGACCAATATCCCCAAGTTCCGCACGACCCAGTACCGTGATGTGCGCCGTACCCACTCCGAATTCGTTAAGCTTGCCGAACACTTGGTCTCCGCCAACCCCGAAGCTCTGGTCCCCGCTGTTCCGTCGCCTGTAACTCCTGCAGGTGCAGGCACGGAGGAGGATGAGATTCGAGTCAAATCAGCTATGCAGAGGTGGCTCAATTGCGTATTGAACAATGAAGTACTTATCCAAGATGACGAGGTTGTACTATTCGTGGAGAGCGACTTTGGCTATAGCCCCGTACTACGGATGAAGCAGCCGGCAACCGGTGTGCGACGCAAGATGCTGAAGCAGTTTGCGCCACCTCCAGATGATACACCTGAGCTGCAGGCTGCTCGTCCCACCGCGAAGATGTTCTACCTGGGATCAATGGATACGAGCCACAAGGTTGATCGCGTGGTCAAAGCCCGCCGTGGTATGTCGATTGATGTTTCTTCGCTGCTCTTGTCTTATATTTGGTTCTGGTTGAAACTGACTGTTTAAGGATTGGGATTGGCTGAGGCCGATTTCGGCGTGAAGCTCGGTCAGATGCACGTGCAAGAGACCCATCCTGGCTTGGGTGCAGCTTATCGCAAGCTCGGCAAGATTGTCCAGACTGTTGGCGATTATCATGCTGTTCAAGCTACTGCGGAGGCTACTACATTGGGAGAGCCATTGAACTACCATTCCTCCGACGCCTTCATTGTGAAGGAAACCCTGACCAATCGACACATTCTGCTCCGGGAACTTCTCCAGGCCCAACAGAATGCTCGAAGCAAACGTGCTGCGGCTGACCGCTTGAAGGTCAGCTCATCGGTTCGTCCCGACAAGGTAGATGAAGCCATCAACTCTCTTGAAGAGGCCCAGAACCACGAGGACTACTTGACCAAGCGCACCCAGCGTGTGACCTCAAACCTCCTTCAGGAGAAGCGCCGTTGGTTTGACCGAACCACACAGGACCTTCTATTCAGTCTGCGCGAGTACACTCTCCGCCAGATCGAAGCCGAGCGCCGTACTCTGGCAACCCTGGAGAGCGTTCGACCTGATATCCGTGCAATTGACGCTTCCGGGGGTCTGAGCCGGTTGGGTCGCGAGGCTCATCCTGCAGTGCGTCGGCCCAACATGTCCTCGAGTCAAGGTCCCAAGGGTGACTCTTGGAGCGGTGTTCCTCGTCGCAATGACAACATTGGCCGCAGCATGAGCGGCAGCTTTACAGCACCTTCTCTTGCTGATGATGACGATGAAACAAACGGTCAGGGCTCTGGTAAGGGACGCAACCGCGCCCCTAGCCAGGTTGGCTCGATCCCGGAGGAAGACGATGACCGTCTTGATGCGCGCAACGCAGCTAGTCGGCTAGCCACCAGCACATTCTGATCAGGTTCCCAGTATTCAACGAGTCTGTACATGTACCCCCGGGCACGAACTTGTGATTCCCCTCTCTGTTTCCTCAAACCTTTTCGTGTCCTTGTCCCGTTATGTTATCTAAGCCTATGAACAATCTGTCTTTTTTTCAGCCTCGAATGCTTCAATTTCTTATAGTGGATACCTGTTCAACTGCTATATACTCTTTATACACTAACACACTCCGAATGCCATCCTGCTACACTTATGATAATCCGGGCGCCCACTCATCCCACCTCTTCGCCCCATCCTCCGGCAGATGATACCAGGACGCCTTCTCTTGGAGAAAAATGTGACGACTCGGTGGCGGGATCTGTGTCTCCCCTTCAGCAAGCGTCCCCGCAGCCACGTCAATACTCATCGGATCACGATCGAGGACCATGGTGATAATGGAGCCACAACGTGGACAAAAGCTGCGTGTGGCAGTGTCTGTGGCCCGCCACTCAGTCGGCTTGGTGGTCCATCTGATATCGTCGGCTGAGAAAGACGCCCAGGTCTGGTATGGTGCTCCGGCTTGTTTGCGGCAGGTTGTGCAGTGGCAGTTGACTAGATAGGTTGGGGGTTTGGAGGTTGTGTAAGTAATGTATCGACAGGCGCAGCTACCGGATGTCATGGTGATTTGATATTATGTAGATTGTAGACTGTAGGATGAAGGAAGTGGAAGTGGAATGTTCGGGTAGTACTCGGGCCTGACATCATGCGGGGCAAGCCCTATAGAGAATCCGTCAGATTGTGAGTTTTATATGATGTTTTGCTTTTTACTTGACGCGCGGAGAATATGTGTGAAAGCGCTGCAGCTTTCGGGGTTTCTAGCAGGATTCTGTCCAGGAATAACGTCAATCCCCCACTTGGTTCCATCTCGGGGCTACTTGCTAAGATGGGTTGATTTCAAAGCATGTGTAATAGCAGTGAAGTACTTCGGATCCTGCCTCTCTTTTTCCTTCTTCACTCACTATCTCTCTATCATTCTTCCAATTCAAACATGGCTCCCAAAGTATTCCTGTAAGTCACCTTCGCACAGAAAGCCGAACTCTCAATCTGATAGTCAACACAGCACTGGCGCTACTGGCTACATCGGCGGTGACGGCTTGTTCGCCATTGCCAGCGCCCACCCCGATTGGCAATTCTCTGCTTTAGTTCGTAGTCAGGAAAAAGCTGCCCAGGTCACCAGCAAATATCCGCAGATTCGCACCGTGATCGGTGACCTGGACTCATCTGATTTGATTGAAGAGGAAGTGAAGAACGCCGACATCGTCTTCCGTATGTTTACCGAGGTCCCATATCTATGCTGTAGTTCAACAGGGCTAATATTTAACCTCTAGACTTCGCCGATTGTGATCATGTTGCCGCGGCGAAGGCCATTGCTAAGGGCGCTCAGCATCACACCCCCGAGCGCCCATTGTGGCTAATCCACACCTCCGGCACAGGTATCTTGACAGTCGAGGACCAACGCGCGGGTACATGCGGTATTGAGCGCCCTAAGCAGTACAATGATTGGGAAGGTGTGAGCGAGCTTATCAACCTCCCTTCGGATGCTTTCCACCGTAACGTGGACGAGATCATCCTCGGCATTGGCCTGCAAAACTCCGCCAGTGTGAAGGTCGCAGTCGTCTGCCCACCTACTATCTACGGCCCCGGTCGTGGACCTGGAAATACCAAGAGTATCCAAGCATACCTTCTCAGCGCCGCTGTACTCAAGCGTAAGCAGGGCTTCCTTGTTGGTAAGGGCGAGAATGTCTGGCACCAGGTCCACGTTCAGGACCTGAGCAATGTTTACTTGGCTTTGGGTGAGGCTGCCTCTGAGGGTGGTGGCAAGGCTACTTGGAATGATGAGGGTTACTACCTCGCTGAGAATGGGTCTTTTGTTTGGGGTGATATCCAAAGGGCGGTTGCGCAGTCTGCCTTTGAGAAGAAGCTTATTCCGAGTCCTGATGTTGAATCTTTAGATGCAGCTCAGACCACAGAGGTGTTCTTTGCTGGACAATATGCTTGGGGATCTAACTCCCGTGGTATATCGCTGCGTGCCCGCAAGTTGTTCGGTTGGAACCCTCAGAAGCCTAAGTTGATTGAGCTCATTCCTGAGATTGTCGAGGGTGAGGCTAAGGCTCTTGGACTGCTGTGAGGCCTGGGACCTGATTTTATGGCTACTATTATGTGTAATGAACTGGATTTAAACTGTTGATTAAGGTAAAGTTATGTTTAGAATGTTGCGTGCAGGCCACTGAACTCGATGTATGGGGGCATCTCGTTCCTGATCTACTCTATACTCGCGGATATACATTGGATAATATTTGTAGAAAACCGTGGTTTTGCGATTGATTGTAATTAAATGCTGAATCAATGGTTATGTAAGGGCCAATAGGAAATAATTACTCCCAATTATAATTTATACGTAGATTGAAGTGAAGTGATTGAGGCGATGAATGGGTAAATGGGTCGACACCTCAGGCCGTCCAGAGAGCCTCTTGGTCGGACCAAAGCTTCATCGATCACCAACTTTCATCTTCATCTTCCGCGCCTTTGGCTTTCCCTCCGCCTTCGTTTTCATAAGATCTCTCTTGCTGGTACGCTTTCTTCTATGCATGCTTTGCCTTGTCTTTTTCATCTCTGCCACTCATTTCAATCGCTAACACTTGTCTGTCTTGCAAGACCAACCCCATGAGTTGCAACCTCCCGACATCCCGTCCCACCGTCTCAACCCCTCGCGTCTAAACTGGATACCAACATGGCGCCTGGGCATGGTGGAAAGCGGAAGCGCGGCGAACGCTCGTATTCTGGCGACTCAGCAAGCAATGACAACCTGAGACCTTCTCCCCATCGCCCTGGTACTCTGAACATGGCGCATCACCATCCCAACTCTGGACACCAGTCTCCTTCTCCTCGCGAGCAGAACGACTCACGCGATAGATCCCGCCGACAATCGCATCGCAGCCGGGCTGGTTCCCGCCGCGGATCCCATGATAGTCAGAATTTTTCCAACTTACAGCACAAAGAACTGAACGCCATGTCTCCTCCGGCCATCACCCAGTCCAAGGAGACCGCCGAACTCACACAGCAAAACGGCGAGCCCAGTTCGCTCCACCCTACTCCCTCTCCTGCGCCCAATACCCCGGCCTCGCAAGCGCATCACAACCCGCCATCTCGTGCTGGATCAGAACCTGTCCCCCGCGCACCTTCCGCCCCACCGCCTCCCTACGACTACGAGTTTGTTACCGACAATGCCGTCCAGGAATGGACAGCGACAGGCAAGCAGAACGTGGTGGAGCAAGGAACCGAAGCTCGTCTCCAGCAGGACCTGCCCCGACTCGCAGCTGTCTACCAAGAGCTTCTTCGGTCTGCAATTTACGGCCGACTGTCGCCCTCGGATGCCGGTACCGCTGTTAAAGAGATTATTGGCCAAGAAGCTGACTCCCAGGATGTGGACATGGAAGCCGACTGTGAAAAGGCTTCGACTGACGAACTCGACCCGCGCTCTTTGTTCCTTGATACCCTTTCGATCATGACCGATGCCGATACCTCAAACCCTGCCCTCAAGCCGTTTGTTTTCGCGACTGGAATTAATCCTTCTCTGATGCGCCTTCAGCTCGATACCCCGTTGTTGCAGTCTTTGGGATTGGTCCGCGAAACTTTTGCGCGCATGGGTATTCGCAAGCAGACAAACCTACTCTACAGACAGTCAAACTATAATCTTCTCCGCGAAGAGTCCGAAGGATACTCAAAACTTCTCACCGAGCTGTTCACCACAAGCAACAATGAGCCTCCATCGAGCGAAGTGGTCGAGGAGACATTCGAACGAGTGAAGGCGATGATCGGCGCATTTGATATGGATGTTGGCCGTGTTCTGGATGTAACACTGGATGTGTTTGCCGCGGTTCTCGTCAAGCAATACCGCTTCTTTGTGAAGCTCTTGAGAGCTAGCTCATGGTGGCCCAAGGAGGACATTTTCCAAAGCCTCGACGAGGGCCGTCGACAATCTGGTATCCCGAACTGGGCACTCCCTGGATCATCTGGCTGGGTCACCACCGAGGAGGAGCGAACAGCTATCATGCAGTCAAATGAACAGCGCGATCATCAGTTCTGGGATAGAGTGAGGGAGGTTGGTATTCGTGCCTTCTTTGAGATTGGCCGCAAACCGATCTCAGAGAGAGAAAAACAAGAGTCTCTCGCAGAAACCAATGGCTCAACTTTCGAAGAGGATGTTACACGATCATGGCTCGAGGAGACAGGCACGATGCCACCAAAGGGCAACCGGGTTGCGGCTCAGCTCCTTGGCTTCAAGCTGCGATTCTACTCTTCTTCGGCTCGAACAAAATCTGATGTGCTCCCTGACAATTTGATCTACCTCGCTGCTCTGCTTATCAAAGTAGGGTTCATCTCCCTTCGTGATCTCTATGCACACCTCTGGCGACCCGACGACTCCATGGACACTTTGAAGACCGAGAAGTTGGCAGAGAAAGCCGAGAGAGTGAAGGCTGGCCGACCAGGTGGTGGAACGAACGCTTTGATGATGGCCGGTGCTTTGTCGGACGACACAGTCCCTCTTCCCCGTTTGCGTGACTCGGAACCACGGCTGTCAACCCCTGCCAAAGATCAAGAAGCCGACAAGCAAGGCGCATCCAAAACAGATGACGACTTGCCGGATCCCTCAGACCAGAAAGTGCTACTTCTCAAGAGTCTCCTCGCCATCGGAGCCATTCCCGAATCTCTCTTTGTGATCAGTAAATTCCCTTGGTTGATGGAAGCATATCCCGAGCTACCTGAATTCATCCATCGGATCCTCCACCACTCATTGAACAAGGTTTACGTCCAATTCCGACCATCATTTATCTCCGGCGACTTTCCAGGGCAGCAATATCAAGTGACTTCTGATCAGAGCGGTTTTGCCAAGGGCCAGATCGGCCTTGCGGCTCCCCCTCCGAGACGAACCTTGCGTTGGGCTCAACTGGATAAGGAAGATACAAACGATGGTACCGATTATCGATTTTACTGGGACGACTGGGCCGACAACATTCCCATCTGCCAGTCCGTCGACGATGTCTTTGCCCTTTGCTCATCCTTCCTCAACCTTTCTGGCCACAAGATTGGACAAGACGCGTGCCTTTTGGCGAAACTTGTCCGAATTGGCAAAGGAAGCTTGATCCAGGATGGATCTGAACAGAACAAATCCCGTTGGCGCGACCTTTGCAAGCGGTTGCTCCTGCCCGCTGTTAGTCTGACCAAGGCTAACCCTGGTGTGGTTAATGAGGTTTTCGAGCTCATCAGTTTCTTCCCCCGTGATGTCCGATACAACATGTACGCAGAGTGGTATTCGGGACAGACATCTCGTTTGCCTGACATCAAGGAGGCTTTCGATCAGGCCAGAGCAGAGACCAAAGACACTCTCAAGCGTCTCAGCAAGACGAACATCCGACCCATGGCCCGCGCATTAGCTAAGATTGCATATGCCAACCCCGGAATCGTCATCAATGTCGCCATCAGTCAAATTGAGTCTTACGAGAACCTCATCGAAGTTGTGGTCGAGTGTGCCCGCTATTTCACTTATCTCGGCTACGATACCCTGTCCTGGGCACTTGTCAACTCGCTTGGCCAGAAGGGACGCAGTCGTGTCCAAGAGAGCGGTCTCTTGACTAGTCGCTGGCTGAACGCCTTATCCGCATTCGCCGGCCGCACCTACAAGAGGTACTCCATCATGGACCCCACGCCAGTTCTTCAGTATGTCGTCGAACAACTGCGACAGAACAATTCAACCGATCTTATCGTGTTGGAGCAGTTGATCAGCTCCATGGCTGGAATCATCACGGACAACAATTTCAACGACGCTCAAATCCAGGCCATGGCCGGTGGAGATGTTTTGCAATCCCAGACCATTCTGCAGCTGCTGGATAAGCGCCACGAGTCGAAGACCACATCCAAGCGTTTGCTGAAGTCATTGACCCACAATAGACTCGCTGGTCAGTTGTTGGTTGCCATTGCTCAAGAACGGTTGACTTGTGTCTTCAAGGAAACGTCGTCGGAGCTTAAACTGCTTGGCAACATCTTTGATGAGATCCATCGCATTCTCACGCAGTACCTGGACTTGCTTCGCAGCAACTTGTCTGTTGATGAGTTTGACTCTTTTGTGCCGGACTTGTCATCACTCATTAAGGAATTTGGAATCCAGCCAGAGATCGCCTTCTGGATTCGTCGTACTAGCATTTCTCGGAAGATCACCGACATCGAAGAAGCGAAGCAACTGGAAGCCTCAACCGTCGATGATGCTACGCCCAAGCCGAATGGCGACAGCAAGATGGATACCACCGAGGACGGAGAAACGCCCGCAAAGCCTGATGAGGCCTCTGCAGACACCGCCATGGATGTCGACAAGGACGAGTCAGGAAACCTGGTCACGACTGAGGGGGCTGATTCTATTCCTGTTCCTGTTGTGAATGCTGAGCCCTTAGCTGCAAACCCGGTCATGCAAGAGCTGATTGATAATGTCAAATCTTCTCTGCCTGTTGAGACGTGGGAGACCATTGGCGCTCACTTCTATGCAACGTTCTGGCAGCTTGCTCTCTACGATCTTCACATTCCTCAGAAATCCTACGAGGATGAGATCGACCGTCTCAAACGACGAGTGGTTTCAATCAACAACGACCGGTCTGACCCCAGCACTGCAGGCACAACACGAAGGGAGGCCTCGAAAAAGAATCTCACTCAGCTGCAGGAGCGCATTCTGGAGGAGAACAAGAATCATCTGAAGGCATATGGACAGACTCGCTCCAGGCTGCAAAAAGAGAAGGACCGCTGGTTCGCCGGCATGCGCCTTAAGCATGATTCTTTGAATGTTGCCTTGTTAGAGCAGTGTTTCATTCCTCGGCTTCTCTTGTCACCTCTTGATGCCTTCTTCTGTTTCAAGATGTTGAAGTTCCTGCACAGCTCGGGAACTCCTAACTTCCGGACCGTTGGTCTTCTCGACCAGCTCTTCCGCGAGCATAGACTCACGGCGCTCATTTTCCTATGTACATCCAAGGAGGCGGACAACCTTGGTCGCTTCTTGAATGAGGTCTTGCGTGATCTCTCTAGATGGCATGCTGACAAAGCCGTTTACGAGAAGGAGGCCTTTGGCACCAAGAGAGACCTTCCCGGCTTCGCTAAGAACGTTGACCCTGAAGGTGTACCAGTCAAGTTCTTGGAGTTTGAGGACTTCCGCCGTCTCCTGTACAAATGGCACCGATTGTTCTCCAACGCCCTCAAGAGTTGCCTCAGCGGAGGCGAATACATGCACATTCGAAACGCAATCAGTGTTCTGAAGGCTGTTGTCCAGCACTTCCCTGCCGTGAACTGGATTGGTCGTGATATGCTGAACTGTGTCAACAATTTGAGCAAGAACGATGAGCGTGATGACGTGAAGATTCCCGCAGCCTCGTTGATTGGTGACCTCAACCGACGAGAGAAGAAGTGGATGTTGCCACAAGCTTTCAACATGGTCAAGGCCGCCGAGGCTCAGGCCCACTCCGGTTCTCAGCATCCTGCTACACCAACACTGAATGCCGCAGCCCCGGAGTTCAACCCTACCCGAAGCTCAGAGTAAGTACCGATTTTGAGAATCTACAGATGTTCGCGATGTCTAACTGTCGATTATTAGCCCTGGTACGAACCAGGAACATACTGGCAGGACTGAAGTTGAGGATGGTGAGATCGAGGATGCAAAGATGACCGATGTTGGTGCAGGAAAGGCGAGCGATGAGAACAAGATGGCTAGTACATCCTCTCGAGCTGGATCCACCACACCTTCCGTAGCTGGCATCGATGCTCACCTGGATGCTCCGTCTGACCAACCACCTGTGCGCTCTCGACCAAACTCTCGGGCGCCCGATTCGGGGCGTCAGCCTGATATTCGCTCGCAAGTTCACCCTCCCACTCGTCCTCCGCCCCGTCACGACGGCAGATTGCCTCCACGCCCCGAGGGAGTGGATGACCGACGAGATAGACATTCCGACTTCAACCCCCGCAATCGACATGGACCCGGCCCTGACCGCTCGTTTGATGGCCCTGGTAGCGACAATCGAGTCCATGGGCGTCTTAACGAGCGTGATCGCGATTACCCTGTCCGGCCTCCTCCAGATGATCTTATGCGTGGACCATCCCGCGATGGTCGACCTCTCCGTGAGAATGGCTGGCCTATGGATCGCCCAGCCCGCATGCGTGGACCTAATGATTCATTCCATGGACGCGATGCCCCTGCACGCGGAGAACTCTTGCCTGACCACAATGACCGTCCTATTGATGGTCCTCGGCGTGGGGACCCATCTAGACCGGACAAGGATGCTCGCAGACCGTATCCCTCCCGCCCTCAATCACCTCCTAGACCAGCTAACTTGCCCAACCGCCCCGAGAGACCCATTCCCGTCGATGACCGCAGAGCTCCCAATTTCTCCCAGTCTCCCCGTCACGACGAACTTCCCCGGGGCCCCCGAATTGATCGACATGGAGATGCGAAAGACTCTGGCTCAGGTCCTGACATGAATCATGGTCGTCTTCGACAGCCAGAACCCATACCTGATATCCCGGCTGGTCCACGAGGAAGACGTGGCGGCGGCCGCAATGCTTCCGGACAAGTGCCCCCCATGTCAAGCTCAAACAACGGTCCACCACCCACTGCGGAACGCCAAACACCTACAGGTCCTGGTCGGCAGGGTGGCCGTGACGCCCCAGAACAACCATCCAGTTCACAGCCCGCAGGCCCCGCCAATGCCGCAGGCGTTCACCCAGATCGCCTCAGGAACCTCGTCAATGAGCCTGCAACCTCTAATGCTCCTCCCTCTGGTCCTCGCAGTGGAGCAGGCCCGCAGCAACCGCCCCGAGGGCCCGCTGGCCAAGGATTTGGTGGAGACCGCGGCCGCAGCGATAAACGGTTCGCGGGCCTGAACAACATGCTTCAGCAGTCTGGTGGCACTGGTGGTGATCGCGGCGGTAACCCCCCGCCTGTTCGTGGACGAGGCGGACATCGCCAGTCAAGCGGCATGAACGCACCTCCCCCCGACAGCCCAGCAGGTCCCCCAGGGGACCAATCTGGCAGCCGACCTAACGGTGGCCGGGTCGCTGACCTACTCGATGATCCCACTCCCGAGGCAGTCCGCTCTGGCCGAACTGGCGATCGTAACCGTGAGCCAGATGCTGATCGCGCAAAGGACTCGGAGCGCCGCGAGGACAGCACCAACAACAGCAGCCGCCGTCGTGATGGCCGTGGTCGTGACCGCGAACGCAGCCGCCGCAGCGATGTAGGTGCTGCTCCGACCCGTGACGAAAAAGACCGCAATGCCGAACCTCGCGAGAATCTGCGCCGGGTTCAGAGCTCCCGCGAGGAGCTGCGCCGCCGAGACCGACGTGACCGACCCGACGGATCCTCAGAGATGACTGGCCCAACTCCCAGCGACAACAACGCCTCTGAAGCTGAGGGTCGTCTGCGTCCTCCCTCTTCCATGGGCGCGCCACCACCCCCACCGCCCCCTCCTCCTCCCCTGCCTGAAGGAAACGACCGCCGGTTTAACTCTGGCGGCGACCGGGGTAACCGGTCCGAGCACCGAGATCGCGAGCGTGAGCGCCGCAGTGACCGACGTGAGCGCGAACACCGCGAAGGCGGCGGTGGTAGCGGCGGCTCTGGACACCGTAAGCGCGGACGCCAAGGTCCTGACGACAACATTGGTGACAATGGACCCCGTGGCATGCGCATGGGAACCGATAACAAGCGCCCTCGTCGAGGAGCGTGACGTGTTTACCTTGATACCCGAAAGGAATAAGGGAACTTTTGCTTTTCTGTTTGCTCTATTGATTTCGATTTCGTTTGACACTCTTGACTACCAATTTCCTTTCTGTATTTTTGCATTCTGCCTGGTGTTCGGGGATAATTCACTTCACTTCTCTACATGTACTTTCTTAACCATATGAACACCGTAACGGGAATGCAATATTCATGAATTTATTGCCTAATATCTTCCATCATACTCTAGAATCTACGTCAAGTACCTCAAATATCGCATCTACAAGCATATCCGATACTCCGCGTATACAAAGCAACCGCAGGCACGGCGGGCCGACATCCGGACTTACTGTAGCTTTGTCCCTCCAGAGATCCTGTCGGTTAAACCTCGGGCTCGCCAGGACCTCCGTGGCTCTTTGAGAGATTTGCAAGGCTATCATTTGCCTGATCTAGTTTTATCTGACATGGCGATCATTATTGGGTTTGTGAGGTGCGCACAACTCCACCAGCTTCCCCGCCTGCACGGTTTCGCATGCAATTGCACGTTTTGGCCTCTTTGTCGACTATAAGACTGCTTGCGAAGGACCGTTGGATTCCACACTTGTATCTTATTCTTGTCCAGCTTTGCACTGGGGGTGACTCGAGAGATTGGCCTTCTACCGCTGTTTGCTGTCTGCTTACTATTGTTTAGCTTGGAACAACTTGGAAGCAGGACATTGAGACTTGAACTTCTTCTCTGAGCTCTGTACTGTGCTGAACAAGCCTACTGAGCAGTGAATATCGAATTCCAAGCATATAGCGACATCGAGACATCAAGACAAAGAGACCTCATTACATTATGGCTCGCATTGACGTCGAAAAGGCCATTGAAGAGCTGACGCTCGGAGAAAAGGTCGACCTCACAGCTGGTAAAGACAATATCCAATGCCAATCACATCCAAAACCCTCGTCGTTACCAATGCTAACCATTCACAGGCCAAGATTTCTGGCACACAGCCTCCATCCCACGTCTAAACATCCCCGCCCTACGGATGTCCGATGGGCCCAACGGCGTACGCGGCACACGCTTCTTCAACGGCATCCCAGCAGCTTGCTTCCCATGCGCAACAGCCCTAGGTGCAACCTGGGACGCGGAGCTCCTCTCCGAAGTAGGCTCACTAATGGGTGACGAAGCGATCGCCAAGGGCACGCACATTGTGCTCGGCCCGACAATCAACATCCAGCGATCGCCCCTAGGCGGACGTGGCTTCGAGTCTTTCTCGGAAGATGGAGTCCTTTCTGGAACCCTGGCTGGCCATTTCTGCAAGGCTATGCAGGGCAAGGGCGTGGCTGCTACGCTTAAGCACTTCGTCTGCAATGACCAGGAGCACGAGCGCATGGCTGTTAGTAGTATTCTGACTGATCGGGCGCTGCGTGAGATCTATTTGATGCCGTTTCAGTTGGCTATGCGGATTTGTCGCTCTGCTTGTGTTATGACGGCTTATAATAAGATTAATGGGACTCATGTTAGTGAGAATAAGCTTATTATTGATGATATCTTGCGCAAGGAGTGGGGGTGGGATGGTGTTGTTATGAGCGATTGGTGAGCTGATTCGCCGTGTTCTATGGTTTGGTTTTGATGCTGATGTTCCAATAGGTTCGGTACTTATAGTACCTCCGATGCTATCAATGCCGGTCTCGACATTGAGATGCCTGGCAAAACCCGTTGGAGAGGCCAGGCTCTTGCGCACGCTGTTTCTTCCAACAAGATTGCCCAGTTCAAGCTTGATGAGCGTGTGCGCAATGTTCTCAACCTCGTTAACTGGGTTGAGCCTCTGGGTATCCCTGAGGGAGCGTCTGAGAAGGCTCTTAACCGACCAGAAGACCAGGCTCTCATGCGCCGTGCTGCTGCCGAGTCTGTTGTGCTCATGAAGAACGAGGGTAACATTCTTCCTCTCAAGAAAGATGGGTCTCTACTGGTCATTGGCCCCAATGCTAGAATTGCCTCGTACTGCGGTGGCGGTTCGGCATCTTTGGCGCCATACTATACCGTCACTCCATTGGAGGGTGTCTCCGCCAAGAGCAAGGGCGAGGTCAAATTCAGCCAGGGAGTGTACTCTCACAAGGAACTGCCGCTCCTAGGGCCGCTTTTGAAGACAGCAGATGGCAAGCCCGGCTTCACTTTCAAGGTCTACAATGAGCACCCCCGCTCTGGCGCTGACCGCCAGGTCGTCGATGAGCTACATCTGCTCGACTCCACCGGTTTCTTGATGGACTATGTCAACCCTAAGATCAAGTCGATGACCTACTATGTCGACATGGAGGGATCCTTCACCCCAGAGGAGAGCGGCGTGTACGACTTCGGAGTAACAGTCGTTGGCACAGGCCAACTCCTCATCGACGACGAAATCGTCGTCGACAACACCAAGAACCAAAAGCAAGGCTCCGCCTTCTTCGGCACAGCCACCATTGAAGAGCGCGGCACCAAAGAGCTCAAGGCTGGTCAGACCTACAAGGTAGTCTTCCAATTCGGCACCGCCCCAACCTCAGACCTCGACACCCGTGGCATCGTCGCCTTCGGCCCAGGCGGCTTCCGCTTCGGCGCTAGCCGTCAAGTCAGCCAAGAAGAACTAATCTCCAACGCCGTCGAACAAGCCAAGACCGCAGAACAAGTCGTCATCTTCGCAGGCCTGACCCTGGAATGGGAAACCGAAGGCCACGACCGTGAACACATGGACCTACCCCCCGGCAGCGACGAACTCATCACCCGCGTGCTGGACGCCAACCCCAACGCCGTGGTCGTCCTTCAATCGGGTACGCCGGTAACCATGCCCTGGGAACACAAAGCCAAATCCCTCGTGCAAGCCTGGTTCGGCGGTAACGAATGCGGCAACGGCATTGCAGATGTCCTCTACGGCGACGTCAACCCCTCTGCTAAACTCCCAATCACATTCCCCCGCCGTCTACAAGATAATCCCTCCTACCTGAACTTCCGATCCGAGCGTGGCCGCGTCCTCTACGGCGAGGACATCTACGTCGGCTACCGGTTCTTCGAGAAGAGTGACGTCGCGCCGGGCTTTGCATTCGGCCATGGGCTGTCATACACTACATTCTCCCGCTCCGATCTTTCCGTCGAGACTGTGCCCGAGCAAGCCAAGTACGCCGAATCTGGTGAACCAATTACTGCCTCCGTGACTGTAACAAACACGGGCTCAGTGGCTGGTGCCGAGATCGTACAGTTGTGGATCGTACCCCCCAAGACGGATGTCGGTCGTCCGGTGCGTGAGCTGAAGGCTTTCAAGAAGGTTTTCCTTCAGCCTGGGGAGTCGAAGACTGTGCAGCTTGTTGTTGAGAAGAAGCTTGCTACGAGTTGGTGGGATGAGGAGCGGGATCAGTGGATTTCTGAGAAGGGGACGTATGGGGTTTTGGTTACTGGTACTGGGCCTGAGGAGCTACGTGGTGAGTTTGATGTTGGGAAGACGAGGTTCTGGCTTGGTCTGTAATTTGTATTAGGATGTATTGGGATTGGATGGTTTGGATCTCTTTTTATAGTGTGATTGTCTTGTGAGTGTTGCTATTTTGGGCTGTGGATAGATTGGCTTAGGCTTGGTATGTGTGGATTTTATGGGGCTCTTTATGAGTTATGAGTAATTTGCCAATGATGATTGCAGATATAATCATCTTTAACCGCTGCACACTGCGCACTAATTGCTAAGCGTAGTATTACCTACAATATTAGGCGTAAGTGATAGGGTAGTCTCTCCGTGTACCTGTTCACGCCACCTAAATTCGTCCCAAAAATCAGATAGTTACTCGATTTACCAACCCACTCTAACTTCAGTCACCTGAATCACATAAGCTGACAGGAATATGTATGATTACGAGTCTTAGACTTACCAATGGCTTTGAGCTGCATGTAACCGCCCGTATGAAAGCGCTAAGATGATGGGCCCTACCTACAGTACATGTAGAAGACCTCCAGCGCTAAGAGAGATTGATTGATGAGATTTCACACGTGTCGAACATATCAAATTCCGTATTTCCGAAACAAATCCCAAATAATCCAACTAAGCAGTAATAAGTAAAAGAAAGAATAAAAGGGTATCTACATGAAGCATACGGACATCTATCAAAACCAAAAAAACAACACGCCCACACATAAACCCCAGCTAAAAGACGGCGACAAGAAAAAGAAAAACCCCAAAGCCCCAGTCCAAGCCAAATACAAGCCTCATAAAAGAAAAGATTCAATTCAAACCCTAACATTCACCCTCCTTCCTCCTTCCCCTAAACCCAGCCAACTTCCTCAACAAAAACTGCGCTTTCTCCCTCCTCCGCCGCGGTTGCAGACTAGGAACAACAACCGAATAAGCAGCCTCCTGATGCTTGAACTCATCAACGGGATACAAAGACGAAGAATAAGACAGATCCCGACTTGACACAGCCCCAGCACCAATGAACCACTGGACGGGATATCCGTCGCGACTTTCATCCCCGCTCGTCGATACACTCCCCCAGCGCCCTTCTCTATTCCTGGCCAATGAAGCTTCGCCGTAGACGCTCGGGTCTCGACTTTCCCAGATATTCTTCGTGAGCCATTCGGGCGAATCGATGATTTGGAAGGCCGCGGCATTGCAACTGTAAAAGCGGCCGGAAGTGTTTTCCTTTTTAGATGCCTTTGCTTTCTCTTTCTGTTTTTCTTCTTCGGCGAGATGTTGGATGCCTTTGCTGGCGCGGAGCCAGGTCATGCCTTCTTCGCCGAGACAGGGTTGAGACGGTGTCTCACTTTCTTCGGTGATGGTGGAGGTAGTGGTTTTGATCTCGGTTTCGGAAACGGTAATCGTTGCCGTTGACTGTTCCTTTATGTTCTGGGCGTTTTCGATTATCGGGCTGGGTGGTGTTGTTTGTCCGGATCGCCATTCGTCATTGGCTTGGTCGGGACTGTAGGGGAATGGGACTGGACTGGAGGAGCGCGAGCGCCCGAGGCTTAGTGGGTAGTCTGGTTGGATGCTGCCGCGGTCTGCCAGGCTTTGGATTAGACTCTCGCCGCGGGAGCGAGAGGCTCTTTCTGATGTTGGGCTGTGGGGTGGTGAGATGGAGGATCGTTTGTTGTAAAATCTGGCTGAGGCTTCGGTGCCTGAGACGCTGTTTCCGTATGGTCTCCCTGTTTGCTGGGGGGAGTGGAAGCTCATGTCCATGCCTGAATCGTGCAGCTCGGTGTCTACGTCTGTCGCAGACTTGAAGGGTTTGGGAGGTGAGAGAAGGGCGTTTTGGTTTAGAGACGAGGATACTTCGGCGCTGGACGGCCTAGCGGCCTTTTTCCCTGTCCAGTTGGGCACGGCACTTTGATACGACAGGCCGATGGGGATACCACGGTCGATGCTGTGGGATAGGAGGGCGCATGCGTGCTTGATATCAAGCACGAGGTCTTCATCAATATGCTGGCGCTCAATAAATGGCGATGCAGGGCGAAAGAACCCTGGCTCATCTGTGAAGTTGTAGCACCTGCTGGCATCAATGCTGTCCCACATGGTGTTTTCTCCGTATGTTGGAGATTCGGGATTCGTTGCTGAGCGAGGCCGACTGCTGCAGGGACTGACTTCAGCGGACGGGACCACCGTGCATGAGCGGTATCGTGTCGAGCTGCTTCGGGTGAAGGTGAGACGACGCCGCATTTTGGTTGCTTTTGCTGATAGTTTGCGCTCCATCTTGGCGATATAGAGGGTTTGGGTTTGTTTTGTTTATTCTCCGAGAGTGTCTCACAGGGAAGATTAGATGTGATAGATATGGGATAGAGACAGATAGACGAGATCGAGTGTAGAGAATAAAGTATAGTGAGTGAGGTCAAGGGGAGAACGAGCGAGCAAACAATGAGAACGACCTGGCCACGGCGGTTATGCTCGACCTAGAATGCTCCAAGGGATCCCAATCGACAAGATCCCAACGCTCCAAGTAATTTCCCAAGATATGTGTGATGTCAATAGCAATTATTGCAGTTGTAGTGTAGTAGGCAGGGTCCCGTTGTCAGTGCAACTGGCTGGTATGCGGGGCGAAGAATGTGGAAGAAAGAATTGCATTATAAGAAAGACGGAGTAATTAAAGAGAAATGTCTTAGCTTTATGGGTTATTCTCATTAGTACGTTTAGCCCCCGGTTAGAAGAGATAGGCTGAAATAGAGGAAGCTACACCTGTGACGCCTAACCCCATTAGCTTGCAGCAGGATAAGCGATCAAAACAACTCAGTGGTCCCCTCAAGAACTTAGGGCTGGATCGGCACATCCAGCGCCCTCCAATCCGCCCCTAAGGACTCCATTTATCACGGAGGTCAAGCCACTTTAGAGATAGCAAAACCCAAAACGGTTCAGATCACCAGCTGGTATCAAGTCTAGACTTAACTGTTAGTTCTTAGCTCGGACCCTCAGGTTTCGAACGGTCGCAAAGAAACCGGGTTTTTGGTCTGCGAACACATACTCCGTACACTGAGACATGCTTGGTTATTTTTACGAAATGGAACGCTATCGACTTGTGGTAAAGGGTCTAAGCACTAGCACATACGCTAGCGCCTCTTTTCTTGGTGACTCGAGTACTAACGCCACTGATTCTGATTCAATGACTCGGCCTAGTGTAAGACGTAAATAAAATCGAAATCAAAGGATTGTTGCGATATGCGCAGGAGATTATGAGTGCAGATCTTGCTCCACTTCATAAAACAAGCACTTCCACTGCATTTTGCTGAACATGTAGGTGCCCAACCCGAATATAATCTTGGAAGTATTTAAGCCTAAACCAGCAGAAATCGTGGATACACTTTAGACCGCAATCGAGATCCAACCTTAGCTCACCACATTCCCTCGGATATCGTAGCCGTCGTATAGTTAGTTGCCCGGGAATGCCGGTCATATCGCGGGGAAGTTGGACGTATTAGAGTTTTAAGGCCTACTATTTGCTACTGAGCACCGTCAGATATGTGTGACGCTGATGGCTAACACCATCGCCGTGCGCTATGATAAGGATAGATATACAATGGGGGGAAAAAGGCCCCAATTTGTGAATTTTAATATATATTGTGCGACATGTGTCGCGAGGATAGCCTATGGCCATCGAATCGAAAATTGACCCATCACCCCCTGGAGGTCTCCTCCCGGAGAAAATTGACCCAGAGGGCGGGTCTGATGGAGAGCAGTTGGATGCTTCTTTGACAGTCTTCTCGGACAAGGACAAAACCAAGTGAGAGACGGGAGAGGCAGTTGGATGCTCATCTCCCTGACTGGCGGAACGGAAAAAAGAACGGCAACCTACTTCCCCAGTGCCATGGCATCCACCAGGGCGCGGACCCCACCGAATCTTCTCTCATAGTTGATGAAGAGAGAGACAGGCGGGGATAGGGGCCCAGAGTGGAGTCATGGGATGGCTGCAGAAAACACTGCGCCTAACATTACTATATGAGTAAACCAACGCTTTACCAAGCGGTGATATCCTCCACCTCAGCCTCGCCGAAAGTGCTGCTCTTCGTCAGCTTCTTGACACTTGCGACGGCCGCGGCACCGTCAATGTTCGACTTCGACATGATGTCGGGTAGAACTTCATGGAAGAAATCAACAATGTGGCGGTTGACCTGCTCAAACTGGAGCAGGAATGCATCGTGACCCTCAGGGCTGTCGATGCGCTTGAGGCGGGAATCGGGAATACCAGCAGCGATCTCTTGCTGCTCTGCGAAGGTGAAGAGACCATCAGACTCGATACCCAGGACTAGAGTGGGCTGTTCCACCCGTCCCAAAGCCTCGAGCACGGTATCCTCGGCGGTAGGGTCGGCACGGTGGCGGGAAACATCGTGGGTGTCAAGTTTGCGAGTCATGGCGATGTAGCAGTTGGCGTCAAATCGCTTAACAAACTTGTCGCCCTGATAACGGAGGTACGACTGCGCAGAGAAGTAGGTAGGCGGGCGAGGACGACCACTTGGGGTAAGCTTAGGTTTCGCATCGTCCTCCGGGACAAAAGTCTTCGTGCCTGAGAACTGGGGATCCATGAACTGGACCTCGGACTGGGGGGCTGGAGAGCCTTGTCTGCTTTCGGAGCGCGAAGTCGAACCTCCACGGTGCCCATCATTGTGAATGGCCCAGTGCTCGTTGGGAGGAGTGGGTTGCTTTTCAACGCCGTTGATGTTCAACCTCTTAGACGGGTCAGGCACATTGCGACCGAATCGTGACTCAAACGAGTTGCGACTGCGGTAAGTCAAAAGTGCCGACATGCGAGCAGCTCCGAGGCCGGTTGAAGGGGGATCATTGAATGGATAGTAGCCGTCATCATACTTGGGATCACTGTAGATGCTCTGTCTCTGAGCCTCACCCCAGCTGATGCACCAAGCGGAATGGCGTGCTGAAGTAGCAATTGGCACGATAGCACGCACATAATCTTTGCCAAAGAAGGAGTATTCCAAGGTTAGCATTCCACCCATGGATCCGCCGACGACGGCAGCGATCTGCTTGACACCAAGGTCATCCAAGACAAGCTTGTGGATGCTAATAACGGAGTCAGAAAGTATTGATATATAATAGACTGAACAATCGACTTACTTGACGTCATCGCGGACAGTGGTCAGGGGGAACTCGGGTCCGTAGTAGCCATTTTCAGGCTTGCCATCCTTGTAAGTCACAGCACTGGCACTTCCGTACGGACTACCTAAACTGTTCAGACAGACCACGAAGAACCGAGAGACATCGAATGCCTGACCAGGACCGCCGAGAAGAGGCCCCCACCAGTCCGCAACATCCGCACTGCCACTCAGAGCGTGACAAATGACCAAAACATTATCGCCCGTGGGGGAGAGTGTTCCCCGCGTGGTATAAGCGACCGGGACATTGTACAGTGTAACGCCGGATTCAAGCTTAAAGGAAGGGACAATTGCGATAGACTGATCCTCGATCAGCTGCGCGTAGGGGTTCTCAGGCTGCGAATCGACTCTCTCTACGGGATTTAGTAGCGGTTCCTTTGGGGGACGAGGGGCATAAACTGACGGAGTCGCGCAGTGGGGGCACTGCTAGTTTCAGTGGCCATGATGAAAAGACAGCCGATCAAAAAAAAACGAACAAGATACAACAGAAAAATGAAATGAAGAAGAAGATGGATCAGAAGTAGTCGAAACCAAAAGAAATAAATCTGCAATGAGTCAAACCCCGCGGGCCGACCACCGATGATCGGGGGTGGTGGCAGAATCAGGCGGTGTATGAGAAAATTATCACGTGCAGTAATACATCACGTGTTAGGGCTTCCCCATTTCCACACAAAACCTTTTCTTCCTTCCATTTTGATCATCCGTACACCACTCAACCACCAACCACCCAACCCAAAAAAAAACCGTCAAAATGGTCAAGGCTAAGAAGTCCGGTGACACTCTCGCCTCGCGCCTTGCGCTGGTGATGAAGTCTGGCAAGGGTAAGCTCGTCGCTCAATTGCTCAATTGCGCAAAATACGGTGCTAATTCTCTTTCCAGTTACCATGGGTACCAAGTCCACCATGAAGACTCTCCGCTCCGGCAAGGCCAAGCTGGTCCTCATCTCCGGCAACTGCCCTCCTCTGCGCAAGTCTGAGCTCGAGTACTACGCCATGCTCGCCAAGACCCCCGTCCACCACTTCAACGGCAACAACGTACGTCTTTCCCCTTCCCCCGGGTCGGCAACCTGAGAAAAAGCAGGTTGTCGCACCTAGGAGTCAGCTCCACTACTCAGCGAAGAAGTCGGTCAAACATACCACTTCGGAGAGTGAAGTTGCTCAACGATGGGACTGCCAAATGGTATCCCGGAGAGCTTGAATTTGACACTAACTCCCGTATAGATTGAGCTCGGTACCGCTTGCGGTAAGCTCTTCCGCTGCTCCGCCATGGCTATCCTCGATGCCGGTGACTCCGACATCCTGAGCCGTGAGGCTTAAGCGTCTCGCCTTGTTGGGACCTCTTAAAAAAAATACAACCTTGAACCAATTTTCTCACGGTCAATGATGAATTATGATATTCCCCTAGGCACATTCTAGACAAGGGCGCCGAGATGCAATGTCTCGTCCCGGGCAGTGATTTTCAATGGTGGAAACCATCTGATAGAATAGCCTAAATGTAATACCCCAAATGCAGTCTTTATCATGAGTTTCGTTTCGAATGTCGTACCCGTGTGCCCTAGAGACTCCCGCTCTTATCGGTCTTCCGCCACGTTTACAATCTAAGCTTAACATCATGCTTAATCGGGATGACTCTGTACTCTTTACCTGGTTAACCCCTGTCAGTATTGAATCTGGAGAACGCCATCCGTTTTGCCCGTGCTGCAGGACCCCCACGCATCTCCGCAATGTTTGCGGGGAAGCACCATTCCCTTTCGAATCTTCCGAGATTTTCCCTTAACCCTTGCGTTTGTCTAATGCTATAGCCTGTACTAATCGACTTTAGCATGACTTATTTAGCCTGAAGTTCTTCCATGTGTCGCCCGGGATTCTTCCGATGACCTGATGCTCGATGGCGGGGTTATATAAAAGGGTCAATCGACCTGCATTGAGGGACAAGTAGTAGCTTCATACGGCTGGAAAGCTCTAGTCACTATGCGTGCACTTTTTCTATTGGCCTCCTTCGGATTTGCAGCCGCCGAGGATGGCTTGAATGGCTGGCTACGTTATGCATCATTACCTTGTTCGAAACAATGCCATTCCAACCTTCCTTCTACCATTGTCACCCTCAATACAACCGAGAGTAGTCCGGTATATATTGCGGGCGCAGAATTAGAGAAAGGGCTGAAGGGTGTTTATGGAAAAGACGTGCAAGTCTCCCACACATGCAAGACATCTTCCTCCGTCATTGTTGGTACGGTCGATCAATATCGCAAGACCTGCGGCGCTGTACACAGCATACCCGAGTTGGAAGACGATGGCTTCTGGCTTAGCACCAAAGGGGACACCGTTCAAATCCTGGGACAGAATGAGAGGGGCGCGCTCTATGGTGCCTTCGAGTACTTGTCGATGATTTCGCAGGGAAACTTCTCAAAAGTCGCCTACGCTACCAATCCGTCGCAACCGATCCGCTGGGTCAACCAATGGGACAATATGGATGGAAGTATCGAGCGTGGCTATGGTGGCGCTTCTATCTTCTTCAAGAATGGACAAATTGTCGAAGATCTGACTCGCGTCGCTGAATACGCACGTCTCTTGGCCTCGATCAGGATCAATGCCGTGGTGATTAACAATGTCAACGCTAATGCTACACTTTTGGACCCTAAGAACATCGATGGCTTTGGTCGAGTAGCTGATGTCTTCCGGCCATATGGCATTCAAATTGGCATGTCTCTCAATTTCGCCTCGCCCAAAACATACGGTGGCCTGAGTACCTTCGATCCTCTCGATGCATCTGTCATCAAGTGGTGGTCGAACATTACTGCCCAGATCTATGAGCGTGTTCCTGACATGGCTGGTTATCTTGTCAAGGCGGATTCTGAAGGCCAGCCAGGTCCTCAAACGTACAACAGGACCCTCGCCGATGCAGCAAATCTCTTCGCCAAAGAAGTTCAGCCCCATGGTGGTATTGTCATGTACCGTGCCTTCGTCTACAACCAGCTCAATGAATCTGTCTGGACGGCGGATCGTGCAAAGGCAGCTGTCAATTTCTTCAAAGAGCTAGATGGCGAATTTGACGACAATGTGGTGATCCAGATCAAGTTTGGACCTATTGACTTCCAAGTCCGCGAGCCGGTATCTCCTTTGTTCGCAAATCTGTTCAATACCAACACGGCCATTGAGTTGCAAGTAACCCAAGAATATCTGGGCCAACAGTCTCACTTGGTATACCTGCCTCCACTCTGGAAGACTATCTTGGACTTCGATCTTCGCGTGGATCATCAGCCATCGCTCGTTCGTGATATTGTGGCTGGTAAACGCTTCAATCGTAAACTAGGTGGCTCAGCAGCCGTGGTCAACGTCGGTACCAATACTACCTGGCTTGGGAGTCATCTTTCCATGTCAAACCTGTACGCCTATGGTCGCTTGGCTTGGAGCCCGACAGATGATGCGCAAGACATTCTGCAAGACTGGATTCGCCTGACATTCGGGCTGGACGGTAAAGTCCTAGACACGATTACCCGCATGTCCATGGAGTCGTGGCCCGCCTATGAACAATATAGCGGCAATCTAGGAATCCAGACTTTGACCGACATCCTTTACACCCACTACGGCCCTAACCCTGCCTCTCAAGACAACAATGGCTGGGGCCAATGGACCCGCGCGGACCAAACAAGCATTGGAATGGACCGGACCGTGAAGAATGGTACAGGGTACTCCGGCCAATATCCGGATGAAATCGCAGCCATGTACGAAAACATCGATACAACACCAGATGACCTTCTCTTATGGTTCCATCATGTTGACTACACCCACCGTCTACACTCAGGCAAAACCGTCATCCAACACTTCTACGATGCCCACTACACCGGAGCAAAGACAGCACAGACATTCCTGACTCAGTGGGAATCGCTGCAGGGAAAGATAGACAAGGAGCGATACAACCATGTCCGCCGCTTCCTGGATTACCAAACAGGCCACTCAATCGTCTGGAGAGACGCAATCAATGACTTCTACTACAATCTCTCTGGTATTCCCGACGAAGCAAAACGCGTCAGTCACCACCCGTGGCGCATCGAAGCTGAAAGTATGACACTAGATGGTTACAAGCCTTATACTGTCAGTCCCTTTGAAACGGCTTCGGGGACTGTTGCGATCGTCACGGAGTCTAACAGCACGGCTGGCACGGCTTTTACCAAAGTGCCTTTTGCTTCTGGTACTTATGATATTGCAGTTAATTATTATGATCTCTACGGTGGTCAGTCTCAGTGGACGATCTATTTGAATGATCGGAAGGTGGGAGAGTGGGTTGGAAACAGTGAGGTTACTTTCAGTCATACGCCCTCTATCCACCTAGATGGTCATTCGGCTACGCGTATCAAGTTCCGGGGCATCAAGATTAAGAAGGGCGACACTCTGAAAATTGTCGGTCAACCTGATGGCGTTGAATCGGCTCCATTGGACTATGTGGCTTTCTTGCCAGCGGGGATTATAGATTAGATGAAGCCTTAATCAAATCTGAATTCTCTTAGCCATTACTGTCTAGAAACAGACATCATTTTTCTTATGGTTCATCGCTAAAACAGAGTGGAGAAAAGTGGTCGTCATGATCGACAAAAACAAGACTGACAAAGGGGATAGAAAGGAAATATCGCGAACCTGAGGAATGAGGTATGAAACTCAGAATGACAAGGAAAAACCAGAGAGTCGAGTTCGACTGTTCGTCTCGTCTCGGGGTAAAGGGGAGCGAGAGTATGCAGATATGCAGACCAGTGCTCTCCACCTTGTGGAGCAGAACGAACTCGGAAATTCCGCGGCTCTCTTTACCGAAGCATCACCTCGGAAAATGAGGGGGCATGGATTGCTACCTTCGCTCCAAGTGTTAGAAAGGCTCAGGCTATCTCCTTGAACACCCAGGACGGATTGGCTCTGGCAAGTTGCAACTGCTCTCCGGTATGCTCTTCTCTCGCAATATCCCTGTCTGGGTACTCGGCATTTCCTCCATATTCAACGTTGTATTAGCAGCAGAACAAAGGTAAATCGTCAGCAGGGAGCTAAGAAATGAGCCCTTGGTACCCTGACTAATGTACGCACCAGAGGAACGATTGTTTACCCAGACACACTCTCTACCCAATCTTCCAATGACAAAGGCTCGAAATCATGCTTCACCTTGTCCGAGTCTAACCCTACAGTGACCCTAGATTATGGCACTGAAGTAGGCGGCTTCCCACAATTCCAAGCAAAGTCCATATCAGCCCCAGTGCAGATAGAAGCCAAATACACCGAAGCCAAAAATGGCCTGGAAAATGCATCTGGTGACGGACCCTGGACATTTAGCAATGGCCTCGCCAACACATTCCGGGTAGAGACATTCAATGTCACTGAGCCTGGACATATTGAATCCTACTTTATCCAGGGAGGTCTACGCTGGCAGAAATTACGCCTGCTCAATGCAAAAGGCAGTGTCCGCATCTGCGGTGCAGGTGTTCGCTCTTTGAATGATCGGACTTCGGTGGATACCTTACCTGGCTATTTTAAAAGTTCTAACTCCTCGTATAACGAGATCTGGGCGCTTGGTCCGCGAACTGTGCAGCAGGCTTGTATTGAGAAGGGTGCTGCGCCGTCAACATGGGAGATCACCCGTGACGGGGTTCTCTTGCGTGGACAGCAGTCGGCGCAGTCTGTTCTTGGAACCACCTTTACGAACTACACGATGTCTTTCATGACGAAGATTATCCGTGGTGGTACGGGTTGGAGAATCGCCAATGGACTTCTCGGTTTCGGTCCTTCATTCGTTCTCACGAGTGATTATTCTTCTGAGTCGGCGTTCATCAATACCAACAAGACCCTTTTGCCGGCAAATAAACTTGCAGCGGCCTATGGATGGAACCTGGTGAACCAGACGAGTTTGGAGGGCGGGCCCGTATCATATTATTCACTGCCTTTCAATGTCAAAGAAGGACAATGGATCCAGATCTCAACTACTATCAAGTCGACTGGCTATGACGTGTCGATCAACAACACTTTGGCGATCCATGTTCCCCTATCAGCTCTTCAGCCGACATACAACTATATTGGATCAGCGGCTGATGAATTCAGTGGTACATGGGGATTTGGACCCTACCAAGACCAGGTGGCACTTGTGAAGGATGTTGAAGTGCATGCAAAGAATGGTTCTCTTCTTTACCACAACCCCATGACCGGCACATCTGTTCTCGAGGAATACGGCGTCATGCCAAACAAGCATTCAGTGTGTCTGGATGGTGCCAAGCGTGACCGACTAGTCTGGTCTGGAGACTTCGGCCATACTTCCCGTATCATCGCTGCAAGCACATACCGAGAGGATTTCAACAACGGCACGCTTGCCTACCTACTCGATAGACAGATGACTTCCGGCGAGTTTGCCGGATATTTCTCCATGTCCCCTTCGATGGGACAGTCGTCCAAATACACCTCAACCTACAACTCTGTCGGTTTGGAAGACTACCAAATGCTCTTCCTAAACGCATTTGCCAGATACTATCTCGACTTTGCAGACAAAGATTTCCTCGAGAAATATTGGTCTCAAGTGAAGACAGGAGTCAAGGCTATTCTTTCACTCGTTGACAGCTCCTCTGGCCTTGCATCAGGGTACTTCTTCCTCGGTGCTGCAAATGGCACTGCTGCATCTTCCCTCCTGGTCTATACCCTCAATCACATGGCAATAATAGCAGACAACGTTGGAGAAGTCGATACATCTGCACACTGGAAATCCGTTGCTGCAAGCGTCAGCAAAGCCATCAACAAGAAGCTCTGGAGTAGCAAACTCGGAACATATGGTATCAGCACAGCATCTCTCAACGAGACATCCATCGCCGGCACAGCATGGGCAATCCTCGCTGATGTCGGCAACTCAACCCAAGCCGAATCCGCCATCGCAGCCTTGTCTACCCTCCGAAATGGAATCGGCTACAAGACACTTTCAACTTCTGAGGCTAGCGCAGAGCTTTCACCATTTATTTCTGGGTTCTTGCTAGAGGCTCTTTTGAAACATTCGCGGAATAGCACCGAGTCCTCGCCTGCCACTACTGCTGCAATCTCTACTCTCCTTTCACGGTTCTGGCCTGCAATGATTACCAATGACGAGTACTACACCGGTACAAGCTGGGAGTATATATTCCCCGATGGTCGTCCAGGACTGGATTTGTACACCTCGCATGCACACCCCTGGGGCGCGGCTCCTACATATGTCTTGACTGAGTATGTTCTGGGCATTCAATCCACGGCCCCTGGTTTCTCTGAATGGGTGTTCCAGCCTGCGGTGCTTACGCCTGGCGTTTCTTGGACGAATGGTAGAGTGCCTACTCCTCATGGATCAATTGAGGCAAGTTGGAAGTTGAGTAAAGATGCGAAAGAGATAGATTTGAACGTTTGCTCGCCGCGGGGGACTAAGGGCACCGTCAGGTTACCTTTTGCTGTAAAATCAGCTAAGGTAAATGGGGAGAAGAGTGTCACTTCGACCGGTGGCTTTAAGTTGGATGTTAGTGCTGGAGAGTGCTGGGAAATTGTGCTCACACTTGTCAAGGCTCTGTAAATATGACTCGAAATTGTGGCTTGAAACCAGACTGTCGTGCGAGAAATCCCATATTCGGCGGCAATGCTACTGGGCGATTCGCCGTCTTTCAGGGCCTTAATGATAGCATTTCGTGTTTCAGGAGAAAGCTCTCCGGATCGCACGCGGGTCTGTTTGGGTTTAGTGTCAGCAGGTATGGCTGAGTTGAGAAGATACGAATGTGGGAATATTTTTGTAGGGAGACGCGTCTTACTGCCCGTATTAGCAGACTTCCTGGACGTGGGATAGCTTCAATGTAGTTAGTGTATAGATTTCTAGATCAAATGGGCTAGATTCCTGAGCACTAAAATTTGAGCTTAGAATAAGAATTTGAGTGCTTCTCATCGCTTGGTTGCTTAAAAGTTAGTGATAATCGGGCTGCAGCATAGCGATTGCCTCCCGAGCCAAAGATAAACCGGATTCTTGCAATATTTCGATCTTCGATTTTGATGGTAATTTTGGTTTAGCATGGATCCCGATCCTATTGGTTATGATGATCTCTACGCTAGGACTGCGTATACGTAGCATTAATGCGAGGAAGACAAAGGAGATTCAAAGTATATATACCTGCGTGTAGGTATAGTCTAGGTGAAAACAGGGTTGTTTGCTAACTTCCGATGCACTTTGAAAAGCATTTGAATGACGGATGTAGCGAGAATTGTATTTAATTATCATGCAAAATATTCAAAATGTATCTTGCAGCTTTATAAATGTTCGTAGAAGAGTGAGTTCGAGAGCTCATGCAGTAGGATCGCGCTAGTCCAAATACCGTTAGACCCGACATCATCGGCGCGCAGCTCCATCGCGTCCCCAGATTCAATCCCTGCACTCATGTAATGCGCCCAGTACCACTTTTCTTGATCTAAGCTCACTTATTTTTCTGTTTTCAAATATACATGTGGAAGATCTCTCACTATGGCTGACTATTCGTCATGGAAGGTGGCTGATTTGAAGGCAGAGCTCAAGAAACGTGCCGTCCCTCAGACTGGGCTCCGTCTCAAACAGCAGTTCATTGACAAATTACTCGAGCTTGACTCACAGACAGAGCAGGGTAATAATGCAGCTCCGGAAGAGACGACCGGCACACAGCCTTCTGCGCCGGAACCTGCACCGGAACCCGCGACACAAGCACCAGAGCCCGAGACAGAGCAACCACAGATCGAACAGTCCGAAAAACCGAAGGATTCGAATGCAGAGGGAGACGACACACAAGCTTCAATTGCTGTATCTGACAAGGCATATGATGGGGAGACAAGGAGGGACGAGCCGGCACAGGCAGGGATCCCAGCTGAATCGCAAAAAGTCGAAGATGTCGCAAAGCCTGTAGAGGAGGTACACACAGAAAAGCCCGCCTCTCCCAGCCATGATCAGAAGTCTCCAGTCGCCTCCCAGCAGATGCAAGTGGAAGAACAATCTCAGGTGCCCGAAGACGCAAGCAAAGAAGACTCTGTGAAACCCGAAGAAAAGTCATCTCTGTCCGCCCCCCAAACCTCGGAAGCCAACACCGGAGTATCGACCCCCCTTCAAGCTGAAGAGGCTTTGGAGGATACACGCAAACGGAAACGGCGCAGCCAGAGCCCTGTTCCCACACCAGAAGAAATTGCGAGTCGAAAGGCTCGCGCAATGGAAGCAGCCCCGCATGTCTTAACGAAAGAAGAAAAAGAGAGTGTTTCTCGTGATGAACTCAAGCCGCCCCCAGATCGTGACACCAAACGACCCAGTGAGGCTTCTGCAGATGCGCAAACAATTCTCAACAAGCAAAGCGCTCGCTTCCGCGATCTATTTGCACCCTCTGATGCTGCTCTCCCACCCGCCTCTGGCCCCACAGACACTAAGATGGAAGATGTTGATGTGGAACCTGCAAGGCACGCTGCTACCGCTGCCCTCTACATTGAAGGCTTGATGCGCCCACTGCAACCAGTCGCACTCCGCAAACACCTGGCCAGCCTTGCATCTGCCCCGGGAACTGCCGACTCCGATACCATCATTGATTTCTATCTCGACTCTATCAAAACCCATTGTTTTGTCAGTTTCACCAGCGTTGCCGCAGCCTCGCGGGTCCGATCCGCTGTTCATGGAACTGTATGGCCCAACGAGCGCAACCGCAAGAGCCTCTGGGCAGATTTCATCCCGGACGACCAAATCAAAGAATGGATCCAGACAGAGGAGGCATCGCGGGATCGCGCCGGCGCTGCTCCACGCTGGGAAGTCACATACGACACAACCGAGAATGGAACCACAGCCACCCTTGCCGAGGCTGGTTCGAAGCAGCGCCCCGCTCCTGGTCGACGGGAGTCAGGCTTCAACCGCACTCCTCCATTAGGTCCGCGCAGCAGCATTCCGCAAATCGATCGTCGTCCTTCCGATGCGCCTCCTGCACCTTCCGCACGCCCCGGACAAGGATTCAAGCCTTTGGACGAAAGATTCAAATCGACGACTGCCAAACCCAAGCTTTACTACCTACCTGTCCCCCGCCCAATTGCCGACAAGCGCCTGGACCAGTTTGATGACCTTATCGAGAAAGGAACGTTCCCCCGCCGTGGCGGTGATGAGATGCGGCGCATTACGTTCGAAGACGGAGATCATTTCGTGGACGTCGGCCCGGAAAGATATGGTGCACCTGGCCCTCGACCTGGCATGGGACGTGGCCGCGGACGCGGTGGACGACGTGGGGATTCCTGGCGTGCTTGAATTTAAGGTAAAAAAAAAGAAAGAAAAAAGAAAAAAAGTGAATTATCTAGGCTGTTGTCCCAGACATGTGTACAATAGGAATTTAGCATGTATGAATACTCTACGGTGAATGAAAGGTGTAACTCTGTACTGCAGATATCTCCACAAGGCTGTGAAAGGCTGAGTCAAGCAATAAAAATAGACCAAGCCTTCCCAAGGTCCGATGATCCTTGGTACTCAATCCGATTGGCGACTGCATGAAAAATAAGCCAAAAACTAACCAAAAATATTTGAAACAAAAAAGGAAACATTAGATTTGCTTCTTCCTTCAGGGCTGCCTCAGACGATTGTGGCGCTCTCCTGTCGATCCGGATAAGATAAACAGCCCGAAAAAAGGTTCCCTCCTTCACTAACCCTGTTGACCTTCACACTCCAGTCATGGGCTGGACAGTGTGCAATACTACTCTAGAGACCCAAAAAAGTATGCCCACTCGACCCCCTGGAAAGCATTTCATGCTGATCAAACAGTCGAGGAGGTCGAGCTCTGGGATGGCGGCCTTACATTTCACCACCTGTCGCTCCTGGTGGGCGGCGCTTGCGCCCTCTTCGCCTGCGGTGTATCAATATTCCTGATCATGCAGCATGCCATGCATTACAGTAAACCGATTGAACAGCGACAGTAAGATTGATTCCGTGGACCCCGATTCCCAGCGCAAGCATCGCTAACAGTGACCTTTGTTTCTGCCTACAGTATTATCCGCATTCTGTTTATGGTCCCCGTCTATTCCCTCGTCGCATGGCTCAGCATCTTCTTCTACCATGATTCCGTCTACTTCGAAGTCATCGGCGATTGCTACGAAGCTTTCTGTATCTCCGCTTTCTTCTCCCTCATGTGCCACTATATCGCCCCCGACCTACACAGTCAGAAGGATTACTTCCGTGGAATCCAGCCTAAGGCGTGGCTTTGGCCGTTGACTTGGTTTGCGAGGTGTTGTGGTGGTGACCGCGGCATCTGGCGGAACCCGCGCAGTGGATTGACTTGGTTCAATGTAAGAGGGAGAACACTATGGTTCGGGAGTGTCTCGGTGCTGATTGTTATGCAGATTGTCTGGGCTGGCGTCTTCCAATACTGTGTTATCCGCGTTCTCATGACTATTGTCGCGGTTGTTACGCAGGCTTTGGGCTTGTACTGCGAGGCATCCCTCAGTCCTGCCTTTTCGCATATCTGGGTATGTTTTGATGATGCTGGATATATGGTGTTTCTCTTGCTAATCCGCTCTTCTAATGGTAGACTATTGTCTTTGAATCGATCTCTGTCACCATTGCAATGTACTGCCTGATCCAGTTCTATCACCAGACCAGCCAAGACATCAAGCAACATCGGCCGTTTGTGAAGATCTTGTCGATCAAGCTCGTCATTTTCCTTTCCTTCTGGCAGTCGGTAAGTTGATCATCATACGCTATTAAACGTACGGAAAGAATGTGAACTAACACATATTTTAGACACTTATCAGTCTTCTGGTCTCCGGTGGCGCTATCCAAGCAAACAAGAAGATTGCACTAGCAGACCTCAAAACTGGCCTTCCGGAAGTGATGATCAACATTGAAATGGCCATTTTCGGCTGCCTACATCTCTGGGCATTCTCATGGAAGCCCTACACCCTAAACAACCAAAGTGAAATCACCGACTTCTATGGCAATGGCAAGACTGCCTATGAAGGCGGACGCTACGGCGCCAGAGCTCTAGTCGACGCCATGAACCCACTGGACCTCCTAAAAGCCATCGGACGCAGTGCCCGCTGGCTAGTCGTCGGCCGCAAAACTCGCATGCTAGACCCCAGCTACCAGCCCCAGGACCAGCCCTCGCAAGCAGGCAGCGAACTCACAACCGGAACAGCATACCAAGGCGCCGCAACCACAATGGCAGGAGGCCGAGGAGGCCGTTACACGCCAGACGAAGAAGGCGCAGTGCTTCTCGCCCACGCGCAGCCCAACCCGGAGATCGCGCTGATGGGTACTTCGCCCTATGCCTCCGACTTCGAAGACCACGTCCATGACCCCTCAACCCGCTTCTACGGGCAAAGCTCGTCGCCTTATGACGACTCTGCCCTCCGCAGCCATGATGCCCTCCAGTCTGATGCAATGGCTCACCCGTACCCATCGGACGGTCCGCTCCGCGAGCAGGTCCCCATGCCCATGCCAGACCCATATCAGCCTCCACCTCCGTACCCTGATAACCACCGTTTATGATCAATGATTCATTTATGATCGGTATTTATCTTGTGCTGGGGGGACTGGTGGTGTTGCATTTTCGCTTTTGCATCCCCCCGTAGCAATTCATTCTGTTCTAGCCTCACGCTACCCATGAGCATTCTCCGAGAATCTTACGCTTTTCTGTTTTTCTTTTCATTTATTTTGCGTCTTCTTCTATCTCTTTTCTTGCCTGTGCATTTTTTTGGATATGAATACCCGCCATATTCGCATATCGGCATGTTTTTCTCTATTTATCTTTTATTTTTTATGTTATTTGGGCTTTCCTAAATGGAACCCCCCTACATTTGTCTGATTCTAACTACTAAGGCGCCGTAATTGTACTTCACTAAGCATTATTAGGCCAAAATGCATCAAGTTCTTAGCACCGCCAATACACACAGGACTAGCGGTTTTGTGATCACCTTAATAGCCTCTTCTACGGCCTAGGCGTCGCCGACGATAACTTCTATGTCTTAGGACGAGAATTCCTAGTCTAATCCACCTGGAAGCGTAAGATAGCTTTATATTATCTGATCCTATACAACTATTTCTTCACTTTTGATATAACTTTTCTAGAAACATTCGATATAAAAGGGCTAGCTAGCCGCTGTACAGGCTGATTTCTCCGTTTCTATAGAGGTTTTTTAGAAGCAGAGGGTTAGGACTTATAGAAATTCATGCATTTTGTATTGTTACTTCGGATCCCAGTGTCCAGTGTCATTGATGAATAGGCGTTCTATACCCTAATCGTTTCTGAATTAGTACGACGCTACGTTAATCTTTAGTAGCCAGTAAAAACTTGAGAATATCATATCAATGTTCGTTATCTCGTCTCAGGGTGTCCTGCCCAGAGTAATGGAAAAGGGCCAGGAAGATTGAACACCATGCAAGCAAAGGAAGTAATAAAACCAAGGCCCAGAACCCCATATGCCTTGCCATACGCCTAGGTATCATTTGCATGAAATATTCATGGACAGATCAAGAAGAAAGAAAATGGTTCAGATCCTGCCATATCACGAGTACATCCCACTATCTGGACCTCCCTGATTACCAGTAGCAAAGAGCTCCTCGTCGAAACTTCGCTGGATCATGGAGGAAGGATTCTTGCGCGCGGAAGATACCTGTCGTGCAGCCTGGATGGTTGCAGTCTTGCGGCCTAGCTCGCGTAGGGCTTTGACGTTTTCGCCTAGTTGGCCGAGGAGCGAGACTAGCAGCACGTCGTTGCTTTGCGAGAGGAATTCGGTGGAGAAGGTGCTTTGTTCCGCTGGGGTGAGGAGGGAGAGGTTCGAGAGAACTGAATTGATGTGGCGCAGGGTCGAGTGGGATAGTTTGGTGGTGGACGTGTTGTCCTTTGACACGTCTGATGCAAAGTCCGATTCTGATAGAGTCGAGATGTATGATTTGATGAGGGAGATGCGGGTTTCGAGGGTGCGGACTGCGTTGAGACGGGTGGTGAGGCTTGAGATTACTGTATATTATGAATCAGTCAGTGGATCTCCAGAAAGGCAACTGTGCTTTGTGCTGAAAAGACTCACACTCTTCCTCCTCCTGTGTGAGTTCAACCTGCGGGCTTGGCTTCTTGCCCTCGGACTCTGTCTGCTGCGCCTGTTTGCTCGATTCCTGGGTTGGAATGACATTCATAGAAGCAGTGCTGGAACCTTGCACAATGGTATCAATGCCGATCATCTCGGATTCCCCGGTCTCCACTGAGTATGGCAGTTCCCGGAATTTAATATTTAGCACCGGCTCTTCGCCATCAACCTGCATATCTTTGCTGGCATCTTGCGCATTCTCGCCCTCGTGGACACTCTCGTAAACGGTCAGAGGAAGCTTGGCTCCGTTCGAATTCGCGCCTTGGACCCCGGAAGGGAGGAAGGCGAGGAAAACGGCGGATTCGTTGTAGTTCTGGAGGATCTGTCGGTGGAGAGGGAGCTGCGCAGCAGTCGGTCCGGTGGCTGGAGCAGTTGACCACCATCCAACCAGGTCGAGAGCTGGGTCCTTGTGTACGTCCTTGACTGTAGTGTAGCATTGTTAATTTATACTCGTAGAAAGCACCTGGGTAGTCCAGTGGGGAGTACTCACACTGCTGTAGGCGCTCTTCGAACCATGCTGCTGGTAGGATGGTTTCATTGTTGAGTCCGCAGGTGACGGGGCATTCGAATGCTTGCTCAAGCGTTATCTCGCGACCATTCTGCTGTCCGAGAAGACCACCAAGAATTGGACCTCGCTGCTGCCGGGCGGCATGCCGAGTGATCTGATCCGAGATAGTGAGGAGAACAAGCGGGTGCAACTGAATATGGAGGCCGGAGTCGGATGACTTCTGCGAAACTGGAGACGGCTCCATTGTTGTCGGTTTATCTATATCCAGGTAGATGAAGCGCTCGTGAATGACGGAGTAGTAGTAGATAGCTGGAGGGCGGGTTGATGCGGTCATGTTTGGTTCGTTTGGCCTCGCCTGGGGCGGTGAGCTTTCCCCGCGATCAACAAGTTGCCGCATTTCTCTCTATTTCGTGGCTGGCATGAGAGCAGTTGAATCACGATGTCTATTCCCTCGACGTTTGAGGCGGTCAAATCGCATTTGGCTCAAGTACAACAAGATCCATCAACGGCGTTGGACGTTGCCCTCATCGAGAAGCTGCAACTGCAGCTGATTGAATCTACTGACCCTTTGGTTCCTGCCACGCTTTTATCACAGATCTCAGCTCTGTTGCCCATTTTGCAAGAGGACCCTACGCCCCTCACCACCCTAGGTATCAAGGCCACTACAAACTTCAGCTTCACCGACCTCCAATCCGTCGATCCCCCTGTCAACCTTATCGCTGGCTTCAAGGCCCCGTCACCGCCCATCAATCTTCTCGCCCTATCGTTACTGGCCAAGGCTGGAAAATCGTCGAGCGAAGCTGCCATAGTTGCAGGGGACTCTGAATTGGTGGCTTCGCTCGTTGAAGTATGGCTCTCTACCTCTTCGACCGAAGTCGCGCAAGCTGCGCTTGAAACGTTATGGGCACTCTTGGAGATCGACGTTGCTAGTCATCTGGAAACTGGAGAACGTGAGCCTACCGGTGATCATGCTCAGACAGGACAGGGTCTCATGTGGAGGAGAGTGTTCAAGGATAAGGATGTCTACGGGCTCTTATTTGGGCTATGCAGCCTCCGGAATGAAGCTCCTGGGGATCTGTCTAAGCGCGAAAGGACTATCGCACAGGGAAGGCTTCTGGCACTTTTGGGAAAAGCTGGAAAGCTTCGCTGGGACATGATATCAACTACACAAATTCCAGAGATTGAGGCCAAATATCAGAGCGATAGCATCCTGCATTTTGCGACTTGTCAGATGGTCCAAGAGAGCGACGTTTTGATGCATATGACACTTCTCAGCTTCTTCCGTGAGCTTCTCGATATCGAAGCGCCAGGTCTCCACGCTCTCAGCTATGTGCACTCAGCTTCGACTTTCTCGTCTCCTGCCCTCGACTTCCTGGTGGCGCAAAAGTTGCATTCAAAGGTGCTCAGCTACTATCTCGATGATTCAAAACTAGATCCCGTTGATTTGATCTATCTATCTGGTCCAGTCATGGCATATGTCTCGCGGTATGCAGAGCTGTACCCGAACCACTTGTTGCAGAGTCCTGCTACCGTCCTCGACGGGATTGTATCAACCATCAACAGATCCCTCGCCATCCCTGCCATACAATGGGCGCATGGAGAATCTCCCACAGGGCACTTGGCTGTTCTAGCCTCGCTCCCTAGAGTGCTTCTCGTGGAGGCGGGCAAACATGGCGCCAACCCTGTTCTAGCCATTCCCACCGATCCTGCAAATGACGAAGCCCTGGATGTTCTGGCAAAGATCTTCCACGGACCGCAACGGAATCAGACACCCGGTTCAATGGATTTGAACACATCTGGTCAGACCCCAACCGACTGGGACCATGAAGCAGCCGCAGCGCGCATTCTCTACTTCCTCTACCTCAACGAACACCCTACTTTCTGGACCTCTGTGGTGGCAACCGCCGATGTTCTCGTCATGAAGGATACTGCCTTATCAGCCATCACATTTATGAGGGCCATTGTTACAGCAAACTGGAAACTCTCTCCCCCTCCTTCCTCTCATTCCAACGCTTCGCGTTTCCAGCTACCCTCCGAAGAAAATCTAGGTCAGCTATCTCCAGCTACTAGTGGATTATTCCCTTCGTCCGGGGCGTGGGCAGTTCTAACGCCACCTGCACTGACGACGTTGCTGCCCTATCTCTTCAAACCACCCCGCTCATACGCAGACTTTGTTGGAGGCGGCGCAGGCGATTCCCAAAATGTTGTTTGGAAAGTGGCCACAGCTAAACATGATGTCCTTGTGGTACTGTTGGACCGATTGCGGGAAAATGGAGGACAGATTGAAGGATTCGACGATATCATGCGAACCTTGCAACAGCGCGTGAATGAGGGGCCTTGGGGCCCAGTGCAATCTGGTGGTGCCCAAGTGCTGACAGCTGATCTATGATATGAGAATGAGAAACTATTAGGATTATGACAATAACGTTCAGTCTAGCGTCAAAATAAAATGTATTCAACACAATTGCATATCTATAGAGATCGGCGTTTGTTATCTTAGCGTGGCGGGGAAATGCTTCAGGCAATTGCCAGCACTAGCGCCGTTTTAGGTGGGCGGTGTAGAAACCTATTTTTCTGCTAGAGTCATGCTATCCGCTCAATTGAATAGCCAACCTATACTACGCAAATACAATCCTCCCCCAATTCCTCACTATATCACACAATATGTCCCGCCGCGGGGGTGGTGGCGCAAAGGGCAGGAAGCCACCTGGCACAGAATTCACTTGGGATGCCGACCCTGGCGGGGAGCCAGACACAGCTCCCCAGCCTTTATACCCTGTATGTTTGCTTCTTGGCCTAGCCGTCCAGATAATTCTCCAACTTGCATCTCCCGCTCTTCAATCATGCCTGAAATTGAGTATTGGCCTTTGTTTGACCCGTATTCGCAGAAATATACGGTGCCGTTTGCGCGCAAGTTGAGCACTGTTGAACAGACTCAGGTTGACTATTATCGGCACCTGCGCGAAAGCTACCATGATGGTCCTTTTTACTCCGTGCTTGATGCTGCCTCTTCTTCAGCTAAGAAAGGCAGTGCTGCGCGTGCCAACTTTGACCCATTCCATGGCATGCCCACCTACTCTGGTCGTTATCAACGGAAGCGGCGCACTCTTCCTAAGATTGCTGGACGTGATTATGGTAAGGCTTTTGTGGACTTGACAGGCTCTATTATTTGGTTCGAGTTGCAGATTGCTAATTGCGCATTCTCGGATCCTACAGTCTTGAAATTCTTCCCCCGCGACCTCTGGAAAATCCTCCAGCCCAGCTTCCGACCTGACGCGGTAATGGACGGTTACCAGGCCCAAGCAGGAACTGGAGTCAAGCGTGGCTTCGAAGACGAGGAGGATGAAGCTGAGGGCGGACCGTCGAAGCGCAAGGCCACCGGCGATGATGACGATGAAGAGGCCGAGGGCGACGTGGATGAGAACGTTCTGCTTGATGAAGATGAAGAGCAGGATGCAGAGGAGATGGACGACGATTTCTCCGAGGATGATGACGAGATGGGCGGCGATTACAACGCCGAGCAGTACTTCGACGACGGTGGAGATGATATGGGCGATGACGGCTTCGGCGATGGTGGTGGAGGAGGTGGTGATGAAGATACCTACTGAAAAGCAGACTCAAGATACCCTTTCTATTTCAACTTAATTTGATTATCAAATGTCATGGCTTTGCATTGGCATGTGCTATATAAATCAATGTCTACGAAACACTCCATTGCACTTGTGTAAATTACTGGCCTTCAGGATAACCTGCCATCGCATCTATTTTAACCGCGTAGTAACTTAACCCCATTATAAATTATACATCGAAGTATGCATCCGAGCGATCTCGGCCAATGCGGATGACGTCAGCCACCCCTCGGCGAGATCGGCCTCAACTCCAAATTTTGGAGGGGCAAACACGCGCCAGAACCAAAGTGGTATTTCAACACCAAAGCCGATATGGGCGACAGCCAGCCAGTCCAGTTGTCACGGTCGGTTCTCATTCTGTACGGCTCTGAAACGGGCAATGCGCAAGAGGTCGCCGAGGAATTGGGTGCCCTGACAGAGCGGCTTCGTTTTGCGACGCATGTGTCTGAATTGAATCAATTCAAGCCGGTGTGTACTTCTCCCGAGAAACAATGGTTTTCTTCAAAGTTATGATGGTTTCTCACGATGTTGATTATAGCAAGCCCTGTTCTCATACACTTTTACGATATTTGTGGCCTCGACTACCGGACAAGGCGATTTACCGGCCAACGCGAGATCGTTCTGGAAGTCGCTTTTGTTGAAGAAGCTTCCTCCAACCTTTTTGAAGGGCATAAACTTTGCTTGTTTTGGATTGGGAGATAGCTCTTATCCCAAGTATGTTTGCTTCCACGCGATCATGGGCTCTCATGGCTGACGGATACAGGTTCAATTGGGCAATCCGCAAGCTTTATAAACGACTACTGCAGCTCGGTGCAAATGAGATCTATCCCACGGGCGAAGCAGATCAGCAACATCCGGAAGGGTCAGTCATATATAATATCTAGTCACTCGCTATCCGTCCATGACTCACAGTGTTTTATTCTACAACTATAGACTCGAGGCTACATTCCTACCATGGATGACCGACTTCCGAAAGCAGTTGTTGGATAGACATCCTCTACCGGAAGGACAGCACCCAATTCCAGACGATGTACAGCTACCTCCGAAATGGACGTTGCAGGCGAAGGAAGGAAAGGATTCCGTCCCAGCATCCAAACCAGTTGTCGAAAACGAACATCAAACACACTCAGATGAATACCCCGGGCTACATCACCTCGACCATGACATACGTCCTATCCCACATACCCTATCCGCAACATTAACCCAAAATCGGCGTGTGACTCCGCAAAAGCATTGGCAAGATGTGCGCCATATTACCCTGACCGTCCCAGAGTCCGTATCCTACGTTCCGGGAGATATGATCACAATCACGCCGAAGACCTCTCCAGCTGATGTGCAAGCATTCATTGACCTGATGGGCTGGAACGACCAGGCAGATAAACCTATTTCCCTCGTTCCAACAGGAGATATCCCATCTCCACCACCTATTCCCGATCTCGACTCATATCCCGGCCTTACGCTCCGTACTCTCCTCATAGATTATCTCGATATCAAAGGGATACCTCGAAGATCCTTCTTTTCCACCATTGCACACTACACGAATGATGAAATGCACAAAGAAAGGTTATTAGAACTCACGAATCCAGAATATCTCGATGAGCTATGGGACTACACTACGCGGCCACGACGGAGTATCCTTGAGATCTTGGATGAGTTCCACACCGTGAAGATTCCCTGGCAGCATGCGATATCTGTACTTCCAGTCATGCGCGCACGACAGTTCAGTATCGCCAGTGGCGGAAGCCGCAAGAAAACCGCCGATGGCAAAACCCAATTCGAACTTCTCGTCGCCATCGTCAAATACCAGACAGTGATCAAGAGAATCCGGGAGGGAGTTTGCACCAAGTATCTCTCCGTACTCCGACCAGGCAGTACACTGAAGGTCCAACTACAACCCGGCGGTCTCAATTCCTCAATACAACAACTCACAGCGGCAACTGTACTCATTGGGCCAGGGACAGGAATCGCACCTCTGCGCTCTATGCTTTGGGAGAAAGCAGCGCTTGTCCAAGCCTACCGCGAGCAGAATCCCGGCGTCAACCCTCCCATCGGACCAACTGTCCTACTCTACGGTGGGCGGAACCAAGAATCAGATTTCTTCTTCGAGAATGATTGGACTGAACTCAGCAAGATCATTCCGCTTCAGGTTCTCACTGCATTCTCGCGTGACCAGCAGCGCAAGATCTACGTACAAGATACTGTTCGGGAGAACTTCCCGCTCTTCTTCAGTCTTCTGCATGATATGGAAGGATCGGTTTACATATGTGGTTCTTCGGGACGCATGCCTCAGGCTGTGCGGGAGGCCCTCATTGAAGCGTTCCAGCATGGAGGGGCTCCGGTGCCAGGTCATCCTTTCAGCAGAGCACAAGCTGAGGAGTATTTGATTGGGATGGAGCAGATTGGAAGATATAAGCAGGAGACGTGGTGAGAATTATTAGCGTTCATTTTGAGAACAATACATATGCACATGTCTAGAGTTGCATGCATGTGCTCGGTGTTTTTCAGTCCACGTCCGCCATCTATAGTATATATCGCATGGATAGAGCTCTAGTTTGACAACTACTGAGTAGATGACAATACCACAATAGTTACCCCATGTAACCTTGCCAACCCCAGACTCCCAGGCGGTATAATAGGCTGTATGGTTAACCTCGGCAGGGTCAGTGGTGCGACGAGGGTTAAACTCGGGCCGCGTCGGCGTTTTTGATTTCTTGGCACTCCGTCACCGCAGTCGACTATTTCGCTCGCCGAACCCCAACTCTTCTACAACACAGGAATTGCTACATTTCTACAATTCTACACAATGAGCGGTCTACGGATATTGGTGCCCGTCAAGCGGGTCATTGACTACGCGGTTAGTTTGCGGTTCCTCCCTTGATTATTTCCCCTCCAAACAGAGCTCCGAACACACAGATCCTCAAAGTTGTACCCCTACGACGGGGCATACCTCGAAATGTTCAGCCGGCTGACATGCATTCCCAACAAAAGATCAAGCCCCGTATCAACAAGGCCCAGACCGGCGTCGAAACAGCCGGTGTCAAGCACTCTCTGAACCCATTCGACGAGCTCTCAATCGAAGAGGCCGTTCGCCTGCGCGAGCGCAAGGGCCCCATCAAGGTCGAAGACATCCTCGCGCTGTCCGCCGGCGGACCCAAGACCCCCGATGTCCTGCGCACAGCTATGGCCATGGGCGCTGACCGCGCATTCCACATCGACGTACCGGAGAAGGGTGATGGCGGCCCGGAGCCGCTGACCATTGCTAAAATGCTGCGTGCCGTTGTCGAGAAGGAGAATGTCAACCTCGTGCTGCTGGGCAAGCAGGCTATTGACGGAGATCAGGGTCAGACTGGCCAGATGCTTGCTGGTTTGCTTGGATGGCCCCAGGCTACTCAGGCTAGCAAGGTCGAGGTTAAGGATGATGCTGGCACTGTTGAGATTACCCATGAGGTTGATGGTGGTGTTGAGACGCTCCGTGCGAAGCTGCCCATGGTTATTACCACGGATCTGCGGTTGAATGAGCCTCGTTATGCTAGTCTGCCTAACATCATGAAGGCTAAGAAGAAGCCGCTGGAGAAGAAGACGCTGGCTGATCTTGGTGTTGAGGATACGCGGCGGTTGAAGACTCTTAGAGTTACCGGTATGTACTTTCTGATGTCGCTGCCTGGTTGGATTCCGCTAATTCTGTTGTGCAGAGCCCCCACCACGAAAGGGTGGTGGCAAGGTCGAGGATGTCGACGGCCTTATCTCCAAGCTGAAGGAGCTCGGTGCTCTCTAAATGAGCTATTGCCCTTGAATTCATTGTCTTTCTATACCATTTTGAAATGTGAATGTCTCATTAGACCCGGTTTGTCTGCTTCGTAAACTAGTGAACATGGTTGCGTCCATGTACTGCATGCCATACCGTAGGTTCTATTCATGGGTGTCTGTCTAATGCTCAGTTGCTCAGTATTGTCTATGAATGTCTGTGCATGAGTCAAACAGCGCTGCCTGATTGCGAATAGAAGTGAGATGTTTTGGGGTTGTCTATAAGCCCCCTCGGTTCTCTCCTTCTCTTCCTCTTCCTCTTCCTTCTTCTCTCCCATCCTTCTCTATTCATCCTTCTCATCCACTTTTCGGATTTTCATCCTGCTTCTACACTTTCGAGCTCGCTTCATCACCTAGTATCTGGTGATCCGTGCCTTTCTTCCCTTTCATTTGTTCTGTCATCCCTATCGCTGCACTGCTGACACCCCCCAAACTGAGAGTAAGAAGCCTCGTGCTTTCTTACACTCTGTCAACACACCGCCAGCATGGCGAAAGACAAGCCTACCCTGATAGGTGTCCCCCCAGAGATTCGTCTCGTCATTTTAGACATCCTGCAATTTGAAGATCCATGGAGCATCTTCAGTTTCGCTGCGGTCAGCCGCAAGTTGTACAGCGAGACCAACAAATACCGGTTCCACGACATCCAACTGACCTTGGTCAATCGCAAGAAACTGACTGTCGACATCGACCGTTGGAACAAAATTCTGCGGCAAGCTGATTCCTTTTCGTCTGTCTTGCGGGTGACCGTCCAAGGAAGTTTACCTCCCATCCAAGACGAGGACGACGAGGACAAGGAGCTGACAGCGGTGCCATGGTCTAGCGCAGAAGATCGAGACAACATCAACGAGTTGACAAGCCGTGAGGAATTCTACGAGCAGGACTTTGGCGGCAAACCCCATATCACCCCACGTCCCGAATACTGCGGCTGGTCAACTCTGCCAGAGTTTCTGGGTCAGCTGGTCGGTCTCAAGGACCTTGTCTGGCGCTCGCTAACCCTGTTCCCCCCTCCCTTGCTTAAGGTCCTCCAAAAAAAGCTCATTCAGACGGATGTTCCAACATGCAAGCTGCATATCATGACCTACAGTCTGCCCCGCCACTTCCACAAACAATCTTCGCGTCACGGCACCGACTGGTACGAGTACCAGCTAGCGACCTCCCCCTGCCTATCCAGCATTGTTCTCTCATACAATCAAAAGCATCACTCTCGAGTGATGACTTCGCACGAGAAAATGATGCTCTATGATTTGGCAACCAGATTAGCCCCCAATCTAACCAATGTGAACATTATGGACGTCTCATCGGAGTTGCCTCGCCGGCCAAACGCCCCTCCAAGTCCCACTTCCAATCAGAGCACCCACGGAAAACCTCTGCAGGGCTTGAGTCTCACCGGCGGTGACCCTTGGGAATGGAACAAACAGACTGACTACAGTGACCTTCGAGTTTTACAACTGTGGGACGTCGACGAGGCAATGCTCTGGATCGCAGCCTCCCGCGAATATCCTGCTTTGAATTCGCTGGCCTTGCAACCAAATTCTGAAGTCGAAGATGAAACAGTAAGACGGTTCGTTTGCTCTCTGTCTCCCCTGGACAGCCTCCATCTGTGTGGAGAATACACTCAGGAAACTTTTCAGGCAATCTTGGACCACCATGGTGAATCGCTTCGAAAGCTGTGTCTTGTCCCAGTGGGCGAGTATGACCGCTTCGATTACCGCAGGATTACACCAGAGCTTTTGACGCTGATCCGAACCCACTGCCCAAACCTCAAGGATTTCCGAGTGCCTACTATTCGCAGCGCAGGAAGAAGAGAGGAATGTGACCTCTACAGGGCTCTCGGACAATTCCTCAAGGTAATCAACCTCACCCTAGAGCTCCAGCACTGCGATCAATGCGAGGACATGGACCCGGGAGAGTTTAAGGATTACGTTGAGAGAGATCGTCGCCGGGAGATGAGGATAAAGGAGTGGTTCACTAACATTGCAGTGGATGAGAGATTGGTCCGCGAAATCTTTTCGTTCATTGCCCGCACTTCTCCATTGCGACGCTTGAGGATTGGCTTCGACACTTCTTTACGCAGCGTCCATCCGGATTTCAATTACAAGGGTGACCGCGCAATCACCAAATTCATGAGTCGACAGTACGTTTGCTTCCGTTGCGATGATGACAGATTGATCGTACGTGAGATTGGAGCCAAGGCAAGAAAGCTCAAGGAGGACGAGGATCCCTGTGAGTTGTGGCCGCGCGATGGAGCATTCGGTTACGCCGGATTCAGTTGGGTCTTCCCTAGTCACGCAGAGCTCGCAAGACGGAAAGAGGTGAAAAAGGAAAAAGAACGAGAGGATCTACTTTTCGGACTTAAGTGTGAATTGGCAAAGGTTGAGTGCAATCCCAACGACCCATTTAGCAAGAAGAAAGCGGAGAAAGAGAAAGAACGAATCATTCTGAAATTCAAGTGGGACCACCCGGACGTGCTTGAGTGGACTGAGGCGATGGCAGAGTACAAAGCACAGAAGGAAGCAGAGGAGCTGGCAGAGGAGATAGCCAAGTTGAAAGCAAAGGAGAAGGCCGAGGAGATGGAAAGACGACAATTTGAGAGGTGGAAGTGGGTCCATTGGAGAGAGTACGCCAAGCTTGTATGGGCTGAGGTGGTTGCAGAGCAACAAGCAAAGGAGGAAGCAAAGAAGAAAGCAGAGGAGCACACAAAGAAGATGGCAGACCCGAATAGGGACTGGGGGGACGACTCGCTAGATAGGAAGGAGAGAGATGGCAGATGGACGGATCCACCACCAAGGTCTGGCCCAGGGAGATGGTGGGAGAGATGGTACAGCCACCCCTTGACGGATCTTGAGCCTGAAATCCTCTTCAATTGTACGCGGTGATGGCAGTCAATGGTGGTGGTGACAGTGAGGAGCAAGGTGAATCCATGGGCATACAAGCCCACGGCAGTCTCAACAACTGTGGCAAGACATGGTGGACAGTGATGGTGATCTGGAAATATGGTGGATGGTGATATGCGCGGCAGCCCCGGCAGCCTACGTGGTGGACATGGAGAGAGAATATGCACAACTTCAACGGGAGGTTGGGGCCCAAGCAGGGAAGCTGGACAGTATGGACTGGTTTGTTTTCCACAGTCGATGGCCGAAGAAGACCAACCAGTGGACAAAGAATCTCTGTACAGCTCCCGCTTGGCCCCAGGAAAAGAGAATCATTTGCAGGCCTGATTAATAAGTCCATCTACATAGGATCATCTAGCTGTGAATTATTCTCAGAATTTCTACTGCTCATACCTGTAAAAGCACAATGCGATTATTAGGATCCACTCCACTGCACTAGTCTAATCCACCTGCTAACATCCAGATCTAGGGTCTCTTCACCCAGCGATATTCAACCAATCGGAACTCACTAAATCCAAATTCAAATTTAAATCCGAACCTCAGCTTTTTTGTCAGCATTCAAGCCCAATTTCTCCTATTGGGCTGTTACGAGGCTTCCAAGAGCCCCATGGCCAGAACATGGCACTATTGATTGGAATTACAAAGACAGGCATGAAGTAGACTTGTCTGTTTTAGTGCAAGCGCATACAGTAGTGTACAGTGTTCATGTGTTATGAGATCAGCACAACAGCAACAAAAGAATGTCCCCTGTTAACCTAAATCCCCAGCACACACATTCAAGGATCCACTAAATATGCGCTGGCATCTGAGCTGAGGAGAAGAAATTAATATTAATTTGGATTAAGTGGCAGGGAAGCCGAGCCGACGGGTGTATACTGTACATTGATTAGTAGCGTGGTTGATCAGCCCAGCCCCAGCTGAGCGGTCACGTAGGGGGATCCACTGAGGCTTGGAGATGAAGCACCCCGGATCGAGGGGAAAGTACGGAGATTAATAATAATAATAATCATAATCATAATAACAGTAATAAACAATGTGTTTCAAATCCAAAAGTAAATTATCCAGAGATTCCTGCGGAGAATTCTTTTCCAGATTACATGTACCCGAAGGTTCACGACGCGTAGGCTTGGATCGTCTAATTGTCGGGGTTGGGTGGGGTGTGATCTATCGCAGACAATGGGATTATTGGATTATTGGATTATTGGATTATCTGCTGGACTGGTCATTTCTGTGAGCTTAGATGATCTTGATTTGGAATGTAAAAGTATAGAAACTTACGTGTAGAACTACAGTATTTGTATACATAGACTGAAACTAAGTTGTAGATGGAGCCGATGATGACATGGCCCCTCCCAACCATGGAACAGTTGAACGTCTGTTCTGGACCTTGAAATCTGCGCCACTCGGTTCTTCGGCCTGATCCCGCCTGATCCGAGTTTAAAACTTCCTCGACTTCCCTTCTGCCTGAAAATTTCCCTATTTCTTTAACCCTTACAGTACTCCCCGGGGATAGCTTCGGATCCCTGCTTTAGAGTTGTCTAGGTAAGCCGAGTTCACAGCCTGCACTTCGCACTTCGACTTCGCCTTGAGTGGCGCTCTATCGAAAGCCTCTCGATTTATTGACAGTTGCATATTCGCACTCCTGAATCTCTATTAACTTGACTCTAGTCGTTCTCATATACCGAACCCGTCGATCCGCGGCCAGGCACAGTCACATACCTCTCTCCGCATTCCTCAGTCGCAAGGCGGGTCCTACCGGATTCATTCAACATCCCTATCCGATATTTCCGTCTGTACATTCCAGATCGCATTGGGAATCTACCCGAGATCAATGCGTGCTGTTCACAGCACAACTGCCGCATTACAGATAGTTCTCCGTGTATAGATCTCTCGCGCGCCGGGCACAACGATTTTCTGCGCCGAGCGCATTATCACTTATCTCTTGTTCCCTTTTCCCCCTCACTACAGCGTCATCGCATTTTCCTACTCGCATCAACCATCATGCCTCCAGGTCGGTGGGAGAAGACGAAAAGCGTTTCCAAAAAGGGCTTCGATAAAGCATGGGACACTGTCGACAAGCTCGGTGGCCCGGTCAATCGCCTCTCGAACAGATTGGGCGCGGAAGCATTCTGGCCCATGACTATCGACAAGGAAAGCGACAAAGCCGCGCGTATTCTACGCAGCTTCTGCACAGACGGCTTCTACGCCCCCGAATCCGAAGTCAGAACGGACGAAAATGGCAAGATCAATCGCCCCAAGGGCAAGCAACAGCGCGTTATTAAGAAGATCCCAGCCAAGGTTCTGCGGAACGCCAAGGGAATCGCCATCTTCACGACCATGCGTACCGGTCTTTGGCTGAGTGGTTCCGGTGGCAGTGGCGTGCTACTCGGTCGCATCCCCGAGACTGGCGAATGGAGTCCGCCATCCGGTATCATGTTACACACGGCCGGGATTGGTTTCCTTGCTGGTGTGGATATCTATGATTGTGTGGTAATCATCAACACATATAAGGCCCTGGAGGCTTTCAAAACATTCCGATGCACTCTTGGTGGCGAAGTGAGTGTCGCCGCAGGCCCTGTTGGAGCCGGTGGCGTCCTTGAGTCTGAGGTGCACAAGCGCCAGGCTCCCATTTGGACATATATGAAGAGCAAGGGTCTATATGCGGGTGTGGCGATTGACGGTACTATCATTATTGAGCGCACGGATGAGAATGAGCGCTTTTACGGCCAACGCCTTTCTGTCAACGAGATCCTTTCTGGCAAGGTCCGACACCCACCATACGAGCTCAAAACGCTCATGGAGACCCTCAAAGCTGCTCAAGGCGACTCGGATGTGGATGAGAGCGTTCTTCCCCCGCCGGGCGAAACACCTGGTGACCTGGAGATATCAGAAGATGGTACCTCCTTCGGCGTGCCGGCTCCAGACGACCCGGATCCATACGGCGTGAAGGCATTGGAGGCAGAGGGCCTTTTTATCCGGGAGGCCGGCACGAAGGTAAGACCAACTCGTGATACTTTTGAGTTCCGGCCGAACCCTGGCAGCCCTATCTTTGCTACGTTCTCGCGCCGCAGCATGGATAGCTCGCCGCGGAATAGCTGGCGCGCTAGTATGCAGAGCCACAAGAGTAACAGAAGCTATGCCAGCGTTGATCGTGGCACACAGACTGATGACGCTCCGCCAACTGCGCCTACGTCTGTGAGCCGTGCGTCGTCCCGCAGTGCCAAGGGGTCGACTGCTCCGTCGATGAATGCTTGGGATGAGGATCCTGCCAGCTGGGATGCGGTGCCCCTCCATGGATACAATGATGAGTTCAAGAGCGAGGATGACAAGGCCGAGTCCAACGGGGAGGAAAGGCAAGCTGAGAACGACGTCGACGAAGATGATGACATCGAGGTTCATGAAGTCAACAATGCGATCGTCACGCCGCGGGAGAGTGTCCAGTCATCCCCAAAGAAAACGGAAGAACAGAGTGACACCGAAGCCAAGCGTCTCTCGCCAAGCTTTATCCGTGCTCGTCTTGTGAACATCCCGGCCCGCGTTCCTCCTGCTTTGCCGCCTCGTCACCCGCAGCACGTCTGGGGCTCTGGATCCAGCCGTGAATCCACCTCGCCTACCGCTCTCTCCCACTCCAGCCACAACACCTCTCCCACCGATGTCGCCGAGGGTGAGTCTGGCGACGTGCCCTCATCCCCAAAGAAGCTCCAGACCGCCACCGCCATCCCTACTGTCGTTGATGACGAGGAGTTCGTCGACACCGCCGAGTTCCCAGCTGCCAGCGGTGACGAGATCGAGGACCACACCGCCACCGAGAATGGTACCACCTCAGACGCCGAACGGAAAGGGTCAACTGAGACCGTCTCTGCTTCGAAGCAAGAAACAGACGAAGAGCCCGGAAACCTCCTCGACGTCAATGTGTCTCCCGACCTCCAGAAGTCTCCGATCGACTCCGAGCTCGGCGCAACAGACGATACCCCCGAGGTCGAAGAGGCCCTCGACAAAATCGAAGCCAAGTATGATACTATGGAAGGCGAGCCGTCCTCCAAGATGTCTCATGCTGAGCAAGCCGAACCCGAGGAGTCTCCTGGTGGCACTAAGATCGACAGTACCTTACCTCATGCCCGGGCTGAGTAAATGCAGTTTGCTCATCAGCAACTGATACTCAGACTTCGGATTCACAACATACATCTCTCCTTATCCATATTTCCTCATCTATACCCTCTACCGCGATATCTCGTCCATACGCATTCGACTTATGTCGAGTCCAGTCCTTCCCTTTCATTCCTCTTTCCAAAAACGACTTTCTTTTTTGTTTTATCATCTATCTCATCTCATGGATTTTAGCGTGTTGCATTTCAGCGAGTGGAGGATCTTTGTTCCTGGTTTGGGTTTCTGGTTTCGGTTGGGTGGGGAGTCTGTGGTCCCTTTGGCGCTCTGTCGAAAGGTAATTTGGCTCGGTTGCATTATATCCTGTTATTTTATCACTTTCAATACACTCTTTTAGATAATCATAGTACATGTACATTTGGTCCTTTACATTGTGTGTGGGTGGATATTTGGTGGTTGTAACTAACTACCTGAACTTTTTGGGACCTGATATTGCTGCCTTGTAGCCTTGTCTTGTCGCCTGATCGATCTATCAGGCAGTAGCAAACTTTGATAATCAAAAGTACTTGTCCTTCTTTCAAGTTTAATTTGATTTCGTATAATTTCTACTCTCTGAGCTCTTTATGGTTTGAAACTGGGATAAATTTGCGTTGTTATCATGGGGGGTTGTCGCGGGATAGATAGCCCTAAGTAGATGTATGTCTTGTCCGAAAAGCACATGGGCTTTCAATTTGTTCCAAGACTCTTGCTCAATCTCATTAAAGTCGGTTTAATTAAATTTGAGTATCCTGGGATTATATACAGTGGAGTATAGTTCCGTTTGTCAAGGATTTCACTTCCCCATGACGAATTGTCTCGTCATGCCTAGAGACCACGCCGTATAGCCCGCAGGGCAGCATGGGAACATAAGCATGTGTTACCTTCTCCCCAGCCTCGTCAACACGGCAATAGAAAAGGCGAGTCTGTCCGCTAAACAGATCCTTCAACTTGCTGAATCTACCGGACTGAGCATGCTGGCTTCAAGTTTCCTATGACCGACAGCTTATCAGCGCACGATGATTCGATTCCGCCCCGGCTTTTGGCCATGCATTGTTGTCAGCTGTTTGCTGATATTCCTTTACTTCCGACTTCCTCCTCCACACAAAGACGTTCTCGCTCCTTTGGATCTCTCGCCTCTGCCGTTGCCGGAGGAGTTCAACGTCCTGCATCCAGGAGAATTCACCGACCCAAGTGCTTATCCAGATATTCATATTGCTTCATCTCCAACAGATTCGCCCGATGAACCTGAGGGCGAAGGGACTCTGAATGACTTGCCGTATGTCACCATATCTGTTGCTGATCACCCCTCTAACAAACTCGCAGGCAGCACAGATTCTACCAAGGAGGAATCCTCACCTTGACTACTCAGAATGGGTCTATAGAATACCCCAAGCCGGCCATCTATGACCCATATCCTGCTTATAACACGCCCCGATGGCGCAAAACATGGGCGGGAAGATTCGAAGCTTGTCGTGGGCCTCGTGGGAGAGACTTAAATCGCGGCTGCAGTGAGGATATGATGTCTGTCTATCGTGGAACACAGAAGGGTATGTACTGGATATATTCCCCTGCTAAAAGCATCTAATAAGCACCTCACTTTTCGTTCAGGATTCCCTGCCTCCACTTTCGGATCTCACAAAGCTCTCAGTCTAGATCAGGATGTCTGTGTGGATCGATATGCTCGCTATGGTCCCTACGGGATAGACGAGAACAACGACGCGGACATCCCAGGATTTCAAAGACCCAACAGGGTCCTCTGGACAGACGTCAATTGGGGATATCTTCAATCCCAATGCTACGAACGCAATGCCGAGCGATACCGCCCTGATCGACCAGACCAGCATTACAGACAGCACATTCTTTCCTTATATCCTCCAATCCTTGGAGAACATATGAGCATTCCGAGTAAGCCTGCAGATCTCTCGTACAAGGCCCGTTCAGCTGTTGTTCTCCGTGCCTCGGAAACTATGCGATGGACCCCAAGTCACTTTCAATACCTCCGCTCATTGATCATGGAGCTTTCGCTTCATACTGGGTCTGAGTACCAGGTTTTCTTCATGCTCGATGTTCATGACGAGTCAATAGATCTGGAAAATGACGAGGAAGCTGTCCGAGAACTCAAGCAAAGGGTTGTACCATCTGAGTTCCGCAATATGACCGTCCTCTTTAGTGAACATCTACTGGAACAGTGGTATCCGAAGATGGGTGAACACCGTGCTATTTACCAACACCTCCAAGCAATGCAGGTATTTGCCCGAATGTACCCTGAATTCGATTACTACTGGCAATTCGAATTCGACAACCGAGTCATCGGCCATACCTACCATTTCCTCGAGCAAGCCATCGAATTTGCCAGGAAACAGCCTCGAAAGTATCTATGGGAGCGAAACGCATATTTCTACACACCAGGCGCACACGGAACTTGGGAGAATTTCTCCAATACGGTCGCCAACTCGATGACAGGAAAGCACAGCGTCTGGGGCCCAGTCAAGCACGAGGGTATCAAACCAGCCGGACCAAAGCCATTACCCGGCTCTCATCCCGAGAACGATAACTTCAAATGGGGAGTCGGGGAAGAAGCCGACCTCATCACATTTCTACCAATCTTCGACCCGCGCAATACAACATGGACGTTCCCGAATATGACGTGGAATGTCTCTGACAATATCCCACGACGCACTTCTGTCATCACACAATGGCGCATGTCCAAAAGGCTTCTGATGGAGATGCACAACGCCCAGCGTCGACGCGGCGAGGCCTTTGCGTCGGAGATGTCAGCGCCTTCTTGGGCACTTCTGCATGGATTCAAAGCTGTTCATGTTCCTCACCCCATTTACGTGGATGGCCAATGGTCTCCGAGTGAAATGGCTCGGATCTTCAATCGAGGTTCTCCGGAGAATATTAATGGTGGTCCGGACAGTATTTGGAATTGGGATCATCGCTTTGATTACCTCTGGTACCGCATTTCATACATGTTCGCGACGCAGGCTGCGGAGGATCTCTTTAGGAGATGGATGGGGTTCCAGCCTGATCCTAGACTATACTTGGGTGGTATACGAGTAAGTGTACTACCAATCTATTTATTCTTCCCAGGTTACTGATTGATACTCAAAGCTTGAATACCGTCCAGGGCGATTTTGGGATGATGGTGGCAGCCTGGTACGTTTTCTGATCATGTTCTAATCCCTGGAATGTTTATTTAACTATGTTTTAGGATGAAGCTACCAATGGCCGATTGTGCTTCCCGTTCATGCTTCTTCATAACATCAAAAATACCGAGCCTGAGAAAACACTTAATTTGCCTGTCACGGATTCTGCTTTGAAGGATGATGCGACTTGAGCCTGTTTGCCTCTCGCATGTTTACTGAATCTTGATGCCGGACATGTTCTTTTCTTATTTTGTCTTACCAAATGCCGTTGCAAAATTAGTCTATGTATTCAACTAGAATTGGCTGTATCATAACTAGCTTTCTTTTACCCAAATAAGACATTTTGACATCTTCACATCTCCCATCAAAAGAAATCCCTTGACCCGAATCCCCGAGGGTGAAACCCTTCCACGTGATTATCCAAGGATCACATCTAACATTTAGATAAATTAAAATTTTCTATTAAAAGAATAATGCCACAGGTTGAAAGATATTAAGATTTTCTGGACCTAAATTGGGGCTGTATGGCAAGATCTTTTCCATCCTTCCAACCCTGTCAAAGATGTCCACTATGAGTACCCCTCCCTTTGCAGGGCCCGAAAATATGCAGGAAAAAAGGAATTTAAATCTGACATAGATCCGCCGAAATAGTGTCGGTGAAGCCAAGTTCGTAATAGAGTATGCATGAAGCTGCTTACTCGCCAACCTCTCGGTCAACATCCCACTGCACCCACCGCATAACCCGCCAGCTAAGAGTCCTCTCTCGGATCTTCTTGCCCCAAATGAAGAGCGGAATCCAGAACAGGAGGACAGCGCCACATATTGCAGCCATTTCGCCGTAGGCAACATTATATCCATGCTGATCAACCCATGGGTTCGTGTAGAAACCCAGTAAAAAGCCGAAGGCAGACTTAAAGGCTAGCTGGGTGACGACAACCTCTCCGGCGATGGGACGGTAGCTGTCGATGGTGTATACCAGGGAGACGTTTGTGGCCTGGGTGATGGTGAAATTGACTACATCGTATTAGAAAGGCTCTAGCGTAGAAATCAAAGGGTGAAGAAGGACTTGCTCAATCCAATGCCCATAGTAGGAACAATCCAGTGCATCTTCCACTTAATACCGCAGCCATACAGAGCCAGGGCAAGTGGACCGGTAAGAGCACCGATCATGATAGCGGGAAGACGCATCTCCGGCTCTCGAATCCCACCGTTACGCCGAGTGAAGAAGTCAGCGACCCAGTCAGAAAAATAGCCCCCAAGGAAAATGCCAATTAAGCATCCAAGGATAGCTGCGATGAAGGACAGCCCAGATTGCCATGCCTCAAATCCATAAGTATCACTAAATGCCGGTGAAACATTGGACGTGACAGCTACGATGAAACCAATAGTCACCGACATAACCAGCGTTGCCCATAAAACGGGTGGAAGGATCAGGAGCCCGACAGGACGGATCGCCATCTGCCATATCGACTCATGGGTGTACTTGCCGTGGTACAATTTGAGGCCTTGCATCAACCATCCGCGGTTATGAACAGACTCGTTAGGGACAACTTCCTGGATTTCGGAATCACCAGCCTCTTCGCCTTTCGTACCGTGACGGACACGCTCACCAGAGGCAGTCAATGTGGTGATAGTGTCACTCGATGCTAGGTTTCTGGTAAATGCGGTCTCCGGGAATGTCGCGTATACAATAAGGGTGACACTGCCAATGATAGCAATAGCGACGTAGTAGATATAGCGCCATGGGTGGAATTTCACAATGAAGCCGTCGATAATAGCTCCAGTGGCGACACCTAAATTCAGGGAGGCGTTGTAGAACCTAGGATTTAGTTGGTAATGACCCCATGTCAGCGGGGAGGAAACTTACGCAGTAATAGCTCCACGCTCATGTAGGAAGTAGACATCCGCAATAGTGACAGGCGCCAGACACTCTCCTGCTCCAGCGGCAAATCCCATGATGATTCTTGCCACTAGGAAGTTTGCATAACCTTTGCCGACGGCACACCAGATGGCAGTGATTGTGTACAAGGTAAAAGAAGTCACATATATAGGGCGACGACCATATTTATTAATCAGGGGCATCCAGAGAAGATTACCCAACCCCTGAAATAGTGCGGTGCAGTTGAAAAAATAGGCAGTCTTTGAGATAGGGCCAGACATGCCAGTCTCCTTCCAATTGGGGAAGAATTCCTGTGCCGTCTGGAGAATGGCCAGCGTTGGCCCAGCCGCAAGAAAATTGCACAGAATCATAGCAAAGCATACCGCGACCGCCGTGTATAGCTTGAACCATCTCGGCCTAGGAAGAAGTCAGAGGCAAACGATTCGAGGGAAACAGCACCGAACCATGCAAGTTTACCAATTGAGAGGATCTCTTGGGTCTGAAGACGGCGTTGGGACTAGAATGATCTCGTTGGTCTCAGCATGTCGCAGGCGCAGATGACCCAGCGTCTTCACACTGGTGCCGCTGGTCTTCTCCAGCCCTATGGGGCCGTCAGGATGACCCCGTTCGGTTTGAGTGATATCCATCGCAGCGGATTGCCCTTAAGGCAATTGAAGACTAGAAAGGCATTATCCAGCATGGAGCATCCACTTACTATATATATAATTTGCAGGAGTGGCTAGCAGAGTTGTCTGCGTCGAGGCTCTCCTGCGGAGAACTCGCACGGCCCTTGTGGAACCTGCAGAGGTCCACATCCCGGTGATCGGATATGTCCACCTGCATGACTGGGGTGAATTGCGACCACACGTTCCGGGACCTTAAGACTCGGCCCATTTATGCATTACCGTAGCAACCATGGTCTTTTTCCTTTTCTCTTTTGTACCAGAGAACAGAAATTCAGATGTTTGGTTGTGAACGGTACAGTTCATTCTGTGAAGGAAATGCGGATTCCTGGCGGATCGGCAAAGTCCAAAATATCTACCTCATCAAACACAAGCAATGCTCTGTCCGCAATATGGTTCAGTCGCAAGGGTATCTGAACCGCTGATCATGGTGCGTTGCTATTCAATCCCCAGAAAGGAGCCGAACCTGGTGTTATCTCACTACTTAGAATGTCAGAAAAAAACATGTGATTAGAGGAAGTCTTGGTCAGGGAAGGAATCGGCATATTGAGATGCTCCATAATGAAGAAAACGGGTGATGGGCTTACAAAAAGATATAGGCTAGAAGTAATAGGGGTATAGGCAAACAAAGTCGAGAGTCGCGACCGCAACCTCAACGTGTCAAAAACAATACTAGATGTTGATTGGGCATCTTTGGGCACAAGTGGATATCTGCTAGATGATCTACCCGATATCTACCCGATATCCACATAATATCCACATAATATCCGCAGAATATCCACGAAGCTTCCAAATTAAACAAAATCTCCCAAGTCCATGAGATCACAACATGGAATCGAGATTCCTCTCTAATTTTCTATGTGTATAGACTAATAAAACGAATTTATAGTGAATCCTAGCTACTCTTAATCTTCTGGTACTACCAATCAGTACGATAAGTCTGGGAACTAATATAACCCCTGAGTGGAAGTGTGCTATACACACTTCCCGAAGGTCCACGCTACCGTATTAAGCCTAGTGCGTCTCAGGAAGGATTGGCATAGTATCCAACAAGGCCTCAGCGGCATTGAAGACTGCTGAAACCTCAACATCTTTCGGTATTTTGAGCAAATCATTCAAAAAGCCTTGTACTGATATATCTTACATATTATGTCCAGATATGATCATATAAAACTTCCAACTTCCAAAGTAAAAGTAATGAACGGCTGTGGAGATATGGAGATCCGATATCCCGCATTCAATATGGCAATTGGAGTGGCCCACTCAACCGTAAGCACGTTACTTTTCCCCAAAGAGGAGGAAGAGGGTGGGATGAAAGGCCGAGGGGAGGGGCAATTCTCCCTTCTGACTTAGGATTAAAGAGCGCCTCGCCACTCGAAAGGCACTGCCATACTGTATACTCTCCGACTAAGCGCCAACCCAAAGCAGCTAGCTGGCCCTCGGCGTGACTATAACGAGGTTCTTGAGACAACTCGGCCAAAGAACTATGTTGTTGATAGGAACAGAAATACATGGAGAATCTGAAAATCTAGAATATTTATCTGAAACTCCAAAGCATTGGGAAGAACGTTTCCATCTCATCATGGTCCTCAGAAGCCAAGACTACCCTAGTTAGAATCTCCTTGTAGCAGAGGACGCCACAACTGTCAGAATGCTGTCAGAAGAAGACGTAACCAGAAGGAGACAAAAGAGTAGGGATAGAAGGGAATCTGCAAGAGAAACCAGGATCTCCTATCTGCATCAGGACGGGACTGCAGCCTGGAACATAATCTCTCGGTCTACGCCACCACCTCTATCAATGCTGAATGTGCTTTTTGCTAAATTGACAACTCGCATAGTTTGTATATAAGAATAAGCCTTTGGATGGAATTAGTATGGGGGGATGTACTCCATTGATCCTGATGAGTGCGCTAGACCGCATGATAGAGAGGGCCCGAATTGCAGACGTTAGCACGTTCCCGCTTCTTCGTGGCTACATGAATGGAGTGTGGAACCGAGCGTCAACTCCAATGCTGTAAATCCGGGGGTGGAGCCGAGCAACGACCCCAATGCCTGGAGAATGGAGGTGGAGCCGAGTACGCGGAAATCCAAAAAGGGGCTAAAATTTAGTACACTACACTATACCTAGCTAGGCATGAAGCTTAGCAAGGTACTAGTGCTCAATAACGAATAGCTTGCGTCATCCAACATGCAGAATAGGTTATAAAGGTGTCGACCGCTCCCTCGTCAGCAAGAATAGTATCCAACAGTCCTATACAGCATTCGTCCTCAAGAGGCGCTTGACTCGGTTGTATCAGCAACTCAAAATGCGCGTTCCAAGCCCTTCCGGTTTACTTCACCTCTCGCTGGGCCTCGCAATGGCGGTGTTCACGATGGGCGGGGCGTCTTTACCGCATCTCCCTGAAACTGCCGGTCTTGCCACTAGGAGTTCCTCGATGTCCTGCTCCCGAGCATGCATGACGGCTATCATCACCAAAGTTTTGGACTCCATGGTGGCCCATGACCCGTCGACGCTGCCATTAGCAACGGTCTACAAGGCAACTGAAAATTCGCACCCAGCAGCGCTGAGTATGATGACATCGTGGCGCACTATCGTTAATGTTGCACCGCCTAGCCTGCTGGCAATCGATACCCAGCAGGGTACTGGGTACTTCGCCCTAGATGTCAGCGAGGGCAACAATGAAGCGCTATCAATCCTTCGCGGACGCATCAAGGTGGTGAACCGAAAGATCACTGAGCTCGAGTTATTTATCAACCGTAACCGCGGTGACCACGGCTTCTCCTACAATTCTACTCAGCTTTCGCCAAACTATGCCAGTTTAATGTCGCCACCGGCTGATCGGAAGAGAGATAGCCGGGCCTCTCTCGAGGCTCTAAGCGAGGCTCTATTTTCGACTACCAAAAACCTATCAGTTACTATCAGTGACACCTGCCAGTTCACTGAGTTAGGATGGAAGGTTGTCGATACTGGAGTGTACGGCAACGGCACGACCGAGCCTCTCGGCTGTAACTGGCCGGATAGCCATCCTACCGATGACAACGCACGTGTGAACCTGCTTATTGACGAGGAATTGGGCTTTGTTGTCACGAGCGGCATTGTCCCCGGCAAAGTCTACCCGTACAATGGGAATGTTTCTGCCTTCATCCCAAACAAGATGCCTGCAGCGCAGGAAGCCCAGGACGTGTGGTTCGCGGAGATGAAGGCTAAAGCAACGCTACCCCTGCTGTCTCCCACAAACGCCACAGGCGATACTCTCGAAGTGCTCCAGTTTTACAACGGCAAGCTCCAGGCCATGCAGATCAATGTTTACTTGAGCGGCCCGGGTATGTCATCTCCTTGGTTGTAGTGAAAATGATGATATGACGCATGAGGGAATAGATCCAGAGTCCTACTCACAAGGATCTGGCTGGCTGAAGTTTCGATCGATCAAACTATGACCGAAATAAATGCTTAAGCGGTGTTCATTCAGTCATCTCGCTATTCTTACTTACAGAATGAAATCCAAGTTTGATTCATCAGTGAATGGTGTAAGGGTACGATAAGGTGGACAATTTTCTTATGATAAGGCGGAAACGAATACGAAGAGGGTTGGGAGAGAGTGTAGAAGGGAGCGTACTGGCAGAGAGTTGTGGCAGAGTCGTCGTCTGACCGACAATAAAGATAGGCACTATACCATTCTTTGTGTTCTCGGCGACTGCCGAGGCCAGTTTCAAATCCAACCTTGACCTCCAAGTCATTATCCACAATGCCTTGAATAAAGTCTTCGTCAAGGATATAGTCCTGTAGGTAATGTTCTAATATTTTCAGGGATGCCGAGATGTCGGGAGCAGCCTGTGCAACCACCGCTGGGCGATCTGGAAATGCATATTGCCGGATCCCAATAGGAAACACAGGTTTGAAGGACAGATACCTGAGCCGCGAAAATCAGGATCTTTAACGCCATTGGCATATTTGATGAAGTGGCCAAGTTCGTGGCATATCGGGATGCGAAAGTTCTCGTCCACTTCATCCTGCGCCGCTGCCTCGTTGCATACTCTCTCCACAACCTCCAGGAACATTTGGCGCCATTCATCATTTACCAACGTTGGTGGAATGATTCCATCCATATTCTCACAGTATATGGAATTGACATCTTCCAGCCGTGTAGCATTTCTGGCCTCGCGAGATTGTCGAACAGGACCTAGAGGAGCGAAATCACCCCACCTTTCCTTGCCTTTGGCGCCTAAATCAGGCCAGTACAAGCTCATTTTGCTCAATTTCTCTTCTTCGGTAGAGATACCCAGGGCTTCGATCTCATCGATGCGGTCTTGCAGGAATCGCCGATTAGAAGACTCCATTTTGGTGCGAAATCGTTCCATGGCCAGACGCATAGTTTCAGCTGGATCTACGTCTGGGGATTGCATGTCGCAGGCCATAGTCAGTTGGGTGGAAATAGGCCTTAGTTCGTGTGGGAGACAAGGCAAGGAAAACAAACCGGAAGATGGATTTTCTGTGGCAGTGGACAAGTTACTCATAAAAGCGGCGGCAGCTAAGATAGGAAAGCCCCACCCGGCAGAGGAAATCAAGTACGTATGGCTACCTAAGTATATAACTCTAGGTGTCCGATATTTCAAGCAAATACAGCACTGTGTCGTATCTATATACTCAGAACACTGAAATGGAGAATGCTCGGACGTGCAATAGAGTACATTGTGAAGTGCCATCTTTGCATTCACAAAGAACAGGCCCGACCCTGATTTCGGATCTCTGAATTCCCTTCTCCCGGGAACGATACTTCGTAGTCAGAAAACAATGCCAGGAAAGGCGAACAGATAGAATTCTTCCAGCCTAAATTGGAATCTCTTCCACCTAAACGTGCTTTCGCTTAATTATAATATCCTACTGGCAAAACTTGGCTATACACCACGATCGGGATCTAAGAAGGACTTACGCAATGACCCTTTCACGAGCTACGCAGCAGTGTTCCTGAGTCACGCTAAAATCTATCGTTTTGGAGTCAGAATAGGTTGGCTTTCTCTTAGTGTCCTATCTTACTATCAGTTACTAGGATTGCTTGAGAATTTTACTCTATTTGAAGAACGAACGGGAGACATCGTTTAGCTATTGGTATTTGTTTTAGAGGATAGTGAGTACATAGAGAATTTAGAAATTATGCTGCGAGAATACATGGTCTGGAATGTGGGGATTTTGATGCGGAATGCCGACTTCAAAAGTTTCCTGGGGCGAAACTTGTCGTTAGAACAGACTGTCTTTCGTTCAATGTGGGAATAAGGTGAGTTTATAAATTGAATGTGCTGCGATCTCTATACGATCTTCCGTATATGTGGAGATCTGATTAAAATCACTGACTAATGTGCGCTAATGCAGTCATAACTAGCCAATGGTTTTAGTGTGTCAACCCGAAAGGCGCAGGCCCTCAAAGAACCCGCAGTCAGCCGTCCCTGTTTTACCCTTCATCATCTGTCTGTCTGTCTGCCCGTCCGTCCGTCGGTGACGATGAGTGATATGATGAGATGTAATAAACTTGTTCAAGTAGAGCTACCTCACAGGTTCAACCTAGTAAGCATAATAAAGACGTGACTCATCACTATTCTGGCGGATCTTGCGGTTCGCGCGCTGCAGCCAGATCCTCATAGCCCAGGCACAAGCCGCGCAGGTAATCGAGAATGCGGCGCTGGATGACATGGCGATTGTGTAGCGTGGTTCGTCGGAGGATGGCCAGAGGTACTGCTCACAGTTAGGACCAATTCTCTTTTCCGAAGGATGAAAATAGAAGGAAAAGGGAGACAAACCGGAGTCCAGATAAACGAGATATTAGCACAGGTGTTGACGATAGCCAGAGCTGAAGCTTTCTTCTCCTTCGTTTGACCGCAGGTACTCGAGACCCAACCGAGGATGATTGAGTTGACTATTCCGGCAAATCAGTAACCAGAGACAAAGAAAGAAAGTAGTCATCGGTGTAACATACCAGCATAAGTACCAATCGCAAAGACACACATGGCAAAATACCTCGCACCGGTATTCAGAGTCGCACATCCAAGGACGAACCCGAATATCGCAACCGCCTTCGCAAAGGTGATATGCCATGTTCGCTCGTTCATGCGGCCAGAATTCCAGGACCAGTATACAGAGATGATACCGGCGATGAGATAAGGCGGGCATGTGAGAACTAGAGTAATTGTAGTGTTGAAGCCGAGGGTTTCGACAGCTGTTGGGAAGAAGTTCTTGAAGCCGTTGGCTGCGAGATGCATGTGCTGCATGAAAGCAAATAGCCAGACTCGGGGATCCTTTGCGGCTTCTTTGACACCGCTGAATGTGCTGGTTTGGTGGCGGGCTCCGACGGTGTCAGCGAGGATGCGCTCGTGGGCGAGCTGCCGTTCGTCTTCGGTGAGCCAGCGGGTGTGGAGAGGATCGTCTGGTAGCACGAAGACGGAGCAGACGGCTACGACGAAGGTTACAGCACCCTGGAGAATGAAGAGCCACTGCCAGCCGGTGATACCAGCGAGGTCATCCATGCCGTGGAAGATACCGGCAGCAATAAGGCCAGCGAAAGCTGTAGCGAGAATGTTGCCGGTGTAGAGGATGGAAATGCGGGTCGCGATCTCCTTGCGTGTGTAGAAGATCGAGAGCATGTAGAGGGCACCAGGGTAGTATGGTGTTTCTGTGACACCGAGGAAGAAGCGAACTAGCAGAAGGCTGGTGAAGTCCTTAGCCAACGCAGTCAACGCACTAACAACAGCCCATGCGGCCATGGCACCAGCCATGTAGTATGAAGGCCGTAGTCGCGTGATCAACATGTCTATTATAAAGTTAGTGGTTAGACAGTGTCAGGCGTTTAGAGAAAGATAGACTCACTGCTAGGAACCTGCCCAGCGATATAACCGACAAAGAGAATGGAAACACAGGTCTGGTACTGGGATGAAGAGAGGTTCAGATCTTCCTCAAGGTCATTCAACCGTGCCAGAGCGATGGCATTACGATCGAGGTAGTTCAGCCAGTACATCAGCCATAAAGTAGGCATAATCCACAAATCGAGCTTGCGGACTAAACGAATCTCAGCAGGATCGGTCTTTTTGGTCGCGCCAGAGTAGTCGACATCCTTCAGCTGCTTCTGCTTCTCTTGGTCGATGGTGTCTTCACGGTGCAAGACACCGGGCTTTTCGTCATCAATCTCCGGGGAGATCTTGTTTCCAGTCATGGCGCCGAGATTGTTTGCAGAGGGAGACTGAGAGTAGGATGTAGTGCGACTGCAACTTGAATTGTTCCTTCATCTTGTCCGACCTGGCAGGTGGTTTTATATGATTTCGCCTCTGTGGTGGATCTGGTAGTTTCACAGCATATCGCGTGGAAAGCTAGCTTACCCCGGACATGTCACCCCGCATCCTGCCAACGTGGGCCCCGTTATATCAGTCTATCTGAGTTTTAACTCAAGAGCTAAACCAGACAACGGAGACCCAATGAACGGCATGTACGAGCCCAGTCTTGCCATGCCCAGCATCTAGCAAGTACAACGAGCCGGGACTCCGATGCGATGTCAGGTGAAATAGGTCTCCAAGAAGGAGGAGAAACCCCGAGTCGAAGGTTGAAATACAAGAAAACCAAGAGCTCTTGAAATCTGTATGGCCGAGGACTGGTTGATCTCCAGTTTCCAAGAGCGCACAGCCTCGCAATCCGTGCTTGGCTGGCAGCCAGTTCGTATGAAGCGGCATACGGACAGGACATGTCCGTGAATGAGGAAGTCAACTCCGCCAACAGGCTATATCTCTGGCTTGGTCCCCTACTTAATTAACTTTGCTTTCTTTTGTGGCTGCGTGCCAGATGTGCCCAGTGTCTTGGAAACATGATAACACGGTATTGCCAAGCTGAGACGGTATCATGCGGGATATAATTGTCTTTGAGTTTTGTTGATGTATCGGCTTATTCTCGGGTTGCCTTCAAGCGTGTTCTCTGGTTGATGCGCTTGGCATGGAGAACGGAAGGTTCGAGCCTTCGGAGGATAACCGCACATGTCAAGCCAAGACATCTAGCAGGGGAAGGATGATTATTCGCTTGCTCAGCGACAAGCAGGAGAAAAGGCGTTGATTTTAGCGATAAAAAGGAGCGATATCCAATCTGTTTCGTTGAATATAACTTAGCTGTCAACTGTGGAACTGTGAAACTGTGAAACTGTGAAACTGCTGCGAGGGATCCAGTTCATTTTTTAAAGTTGATGTCCCCGCACCTGGATTTGAGCTAACGAGCAACCTGAAAGCCACCCATTTGGGGACAGATAGTACACTGTAAATATCTCTATAATCAAGATAATTTCTTGAACTATAAGCCGCAGAGAGATGCTAAGCTCGTGCGGTATACCAACACGCCGACAAACAAAAAAGTTAATAATGGAGCAGAGCGCTGGGCTGGGTATAGAAAATGGGCGATTGTCTCCTCTGCAATTTGTCTGGCATCGAACGCGCTCCATCTACTTTCGGTCGATTGGCTCGCTAAAGCTTTCTCATCCTCGACAGATGCTATGTAGAGCTGATCTTGAAGATCATTTCTATCTTGGTGCCCCACATCCTGCTGAAGCGGCCCCTTTACCCAGGGTGATGCCGAATGGGTATAGATTTCAACTTCCCCAGCCAGAACGCCTGCGGATAACGGGCGAGTGGCAATCCAGCGTTCACTGTAGCGGAAAGTTATTTTAACATCAGGGTAACCAGTTCAATGAAGCACCAAGATGTAATAGCCCCAACGGTCTCGAAATCAACATCACACGATAAATAGATAAAACGACAATCTCGCTAATCCTACAATCATCTTCAATACTGAAAAAAACTGATTTCAGCGACAGTAATTTATGACTGGCGCGAGCCAAGTGGCTAAGAAGATCCATCCTGAGAGGCTCTCGCAAACGAAGAATTAACTCTTCTACGCAATCGGGCAAAGACGCTTCGCTAGATAGAAGATTTTGGTCCACATGCAGATATCTTAAAGAGGAGAAGCTTGTTAGTGGGCCAAGATACTGATCAGAGGATAAGCCTGTGAGTGCTGGCCTTCGCATGAAGGTCCAGCAATTAGTCTCTTATTACACCTACACATACATTTGCCGATAGACTCTACTTCCCGTACTCATACTGCTACACTAGGACCTCGCAGGGTCCTAACAGTTTTTATAGGGCCCCGATAGGTACCTAGCATTAGGTCTTAGGTTGGGTTGGGTTTTGGAGAAGTCTAAGTGTAGCTAGGTGCTTAATAGACGACTGAGTGGTCTGTGAGTAATTAGTGAGCGATCAGTAAGCATCCAATCAGACTCACTGTGTCGTATCTATATATGTTATACCGAGCAAAGAAGCGATTTATCACCTCCCCTTCGTCTTCGTCACTACCTAATAAGGCTTACTCTCATCGTACCTAGCAGTTTCTCTCTTCTGTGAGTGGCTTTATATCTAGTCAAGCTTGTCTCACTCTCGTTAGGTGATGACTCTCACTTTTTATATATAGTCTAGCAGCTTTCTCTCTCTCCTACCCTTGCTTCTCTTTTTCTTCCTCCTACACGTCTTCCTCCTTCTCTGGTTTATGATCTCCTCTAAAAAGAGTTATAGATCTAGCAAGAGGGTAGGCCAGTATGCCTTTCGGAGTCAAGGTCTATTCCAAAATTCCTAAAATCACTATCGAGCAGTGGGAGTGGAACTCTTAGGTCTCCCGACCTTTCAGAAAAACACACCTAACCATCACGAAATCGAGATCCGATGGTAAAATCCGCTTTGATCCCGACCAGCCTACACCACAGCTCCTAATCCCCTTTCACCTTCTATTCCGACGGCCAGCGGAGAATTACAGAAAACGTGACATAGTGTTTACGACACAAGACCTCGTCGAGTTCGCAAATTTGGTGTGGGACAACTTTTTCTCCGATATGTCTTCCTCGTCATTTTATCAATCCGCTCCCTCGCAACCTCCTCACGCTTTCATCTCAGCCAACGTTGCTACGGCCATTAGCCTAGACACCGTTATGCCTCTCCCTCGCACTCAAGCCCTCAAGTGGAAGCCCCTACGCAGACGCAGTACGCGTTTGTTGTTGTCATTTTCGGTCCTAGACTGTCGTGAACCTGTTGAGCGATCAAATTGTCTTAGAACCGAAGGTCATCCGTCACTATGATCCTGACTTCGAGAGTGGCAAGGAAATGTCCACCACTAGAGCTCGGAAGCGAGGAGAGAAGAGGAACCGCAATACAACTCAGTCCGAAGAAACCAATTTTCATCGTAATAAACTGTACAGGTCAGTATCAGACCAGGGCTGCCGCTGTAAACGGTAGCAGATTAGGTTTAGCAACGGGAGCTATCCGTAGTACTGAGTCATGTCGATCATACTTGATAGATGAGCATCCCTGTCTATTTTCGGCAGTTCAAATATGACTACGCAAGGTTACAAGGAATCGGTGGGGCGCAATAAATGGATCTAATGCAGGTTAAGGCCGTATCTTGCGGCTGTCATTGGCGTGATTTGGTAACCGAGGCCTTGTTGTGGCTAGCTCCACATGACGAGCCTACCACGCCTGCGCTAAGGTCTCCAGCAAAACGGCTGAGTCCGTATTTGCCGCGGGAACGGACTGGGTCGGGCCAGCCGAGCCCAATCTAACCAATGCCCATCTTGGTGTTTCACATCGACTGCATTAGCAACCACGCCGTCGTGACTTTTAGTGTGTGACTTGCAGAATGTCCCCCCTCCATCACACATCGCGCCTTTTATGCTTATAAAAGGAAATGGGATCCACAATTTCACTCTTCTTCTTTCAAAACCTGGGGTCTTGGTGGTCAGTAATAAATATGGCTAGTCTGTTGTTATTGGGGACAGGTGCTGTAGTCACCTATCTCATAGCCAAAAGCATATATCGATTGTATTTCCATCCTCTCAGCAAAATTCCGGGGCCTAAGCTTGCTGCGATTACAGGGGCCTATGAATTTTACTTCAATGTGGTCAAGCGAGGAATGTTCATTTGGGAGATGGAAAGGCTGCACAAGATATATGGTAAGTATATCGCGCGATCTGGAATACCATCATACTAATGTGCATTAGGACCCATTATTCGCGTCACTCCTCACGAGGTCCATATCAAGGACCCCAACTATTATGATGAGATTTATGCTTCCAGCAAGCGCAGACGCCAGAAGGATCCTCTGCTAGTCGCTCAGTTCGATCTCGAGGGGTCAGCATTTTCAAGTGTCTCCCCAGAAGAGCACCGACAGAAGCGCTCGCAACTGGAAAAATATTTCTCGAAACAGTCAGTCACCAACATAGAATACCTGATTCATGAGAATATCGACAAATTGGATCAACATTTCAAGCGCGCCTACGAATCCCACAAAGCCGTCAGTCTCGATGCCGGTTTCGCTGGGCTAACCTCCGATGTCATTTACCAATATGCCTATGGATTCAACAGTGGAAACCTCGATCATGAAGACTTCAACGAAAAAGTCCGAGATGGACTCAATGGACTGTTCAAATTCGCCCACGTTTCATTCTTCTTCCCAGTCATCCAAACCGTCATGAAGTCGCTTCCGTTGTGGTTGCTGGCAAAGATTGACCCATTCGCATATGCGCTGATGTGCCAGAAGGCAGATCTCCTTCATCGAACAAAGGAGTTCCTAGGCGGCAAATCGTCCGGCTCAAAGCCTCACCCCATAATGGAGATTATCACTGGTCCGAGCATGCCAGAGCACCTGCGCGAAGCGGAGCGCCTGAACAATGAAGGGTTCAGCCTGATTATCGGTGGCACTGAGACAACTGCCCGGTCATTAGCTATTGCTGCTTTTCGTCTGCTTTCCAATGGACACATCAAAACGAAGTTGCGAGAAGAGCTCCTGACGGTGATGCCTACACCTGATTCTCGCCCAACATGGAGCCAGCTTGAACAGTTGCCGTATTTGGTTGGTGTTGTGTGCGATTCTGTAGACTGATCCGGTTGCTAACTGGTTAATAGTCGGCGGTGGTTTGGGAAACACTGCGCGTGTCCACTGGGATTGCAAGTCGCTCCCCTCGTGTCGCACCCACTGAAGCGCTAGTGTACAAGAATTACACCATTCCGCCCGGAGTAAGACAACTTCCCATTAATTTATCCTTGGAATTTACACTTTGTACTGATATAATTGAAATCAGACTCGTGTCAGCGAGACCAACTACTTCGTTCTCACAGACCCCGAGATTTTCCCTGATCCGCACGTTTTCGACCCAGAGAGATGGCTGCGTGCTGCTGCAAAAGGAGAGCGGTTGGATAGATACATGGTCAACTTTGGAAAGGGCACCCGGATTTGTGTGGGAATGAAGTAAGCCAATCGAGCTTTTGCTTGTTTTCGCGATCTGTTGCTAACGTGAACATATAGTTTGGCATATGCAGAGTTGTTCCTCGTTCTGGCAACATTTGTTCGTCGCTTCGATATGGAGCTTTTCGAGACAACCGAGAAAGATATCGCCTTTGCGCGTGACTTTGGAACTCCTTATCCTGATGAGGGTAACACCAGTGTGCGTGCTATCGTAACTGCTGTGGTAAAGGAGTGAAGTATTGCTGGTTTTCCGATCTCAACACCATGTCCATACCATAGCCATAACTTAGAATGCCAACACATGTTCCCGAGAGGATAAATATGTCGTGAAACAAAACAACACCTTGAGACCTGGGGTTTGAAGAAATTTGAGAACGAGGAGGTGTTGTCTTATTACATCTGCATGCAGGCCAAATGGGCCATATCGCGTTTGCAGACGCAGATAGCTAAGATAGTTAAGACATCTTGGCATCCAATCTAGAGGGTGCATGGGCATCCCCTCCTTTGTCAGTTACCTTGAGTGGTAAAGGAGCCTCGTCGATGCAGTTAGACTCAACCTAAGGCTCTCATAACTACCAAATCCGATGCCAGAGGTTATAAACTACCCGGTGGGGAGCCTTGCAGTCAAATTAAACCGAGGATTTACATAGGATAAAGGCGCTAGTCCTAAAACCCCTCACAATCCCATCGTGTACGGAGTATTTTTTGGGGACACCAAAGGACCACAGATAACATAGTGCTGGTCAATAAATACTTGAAAAATGAAACAAATATATCCCCAAACACCGTGACATCAATTGCTTCTGTCCAACTAGGGAGGCCTTAATCCAGATCAGACGCAGTTGAAGACTGGGATTCATCTATATCATTGAGGTCTTGATTTCGGGAAGGCCCCAGAAACAATAATCCAGCTAGACAGAGCCCAGAAAATGCGGCCAAGCCATAGTATGGGAGCCCAAACCAAATCCCTCTGAGCTTCATACCTGCGAAAAAAGCCATGCCAATGTCGACCCGGCAAACATCGAGCCGAAAGTCTCAAAGATCCCAATCATCGCATTCATCTTTGACTTATCCTGTGCTCCCATGTAGCTCATAGCTATTGATCGGCATATCGCATTCAAGCCCGCGCCTGATGTTTGAAGTATTAATCCGAAAATTACAAGGCCAATGCGCGGGTTTCCCGTAAGAAGGCTCCCAAAAATCACCAAGCAAGCCGAGGCCCGTCCAAGAATCAGGTCCTTGACAGCTGGCCGCAAGTATTTTGAAAGTAGCTTTGATATCCCAGGTAATAAGACAAGTAAAATGAGCATCTGGCCAATCCCACGAGCTGCGAGGAGATAACCAGCGTCTGCGAAAGTCCAGTCAAATCGCTTGCTCACATATTGAACGAGCAATGGTCCATAAGCCACACTCTCGGGATATACTCTGAGATAGGTGATCAAAATCAAAACAATTGAGAAGGAGCGAATACTCTGACATGATGTTTTGAGATCGGCCCAGGACTGGTTAAAGAATATCTTGAGCGTGCGAGGTGAAAGCTTCCCCAATTCTGAGGCTGCTCTCTCGGAAGACTGGTCTCTCGGTGTGATCGTCTCGGGGAGCACAATCAACAAGCCCATACTGGCGGGAACAATCAAGGAGCCTGTCAGCGTAGGGAACCAGGGTGAATATTGCTCTATCAGTTTAGAAGATATCGCCGGGCCAACCGAAGCCCCGGCCAAATTTCCAAAGGCCATCACGAAATAAGATATTGTTCTAGATTGATGAATGTCAGTGTACTTCAGACTACTTTCTATCAAACGCAACGTACATATCTGTGCCAGGTACCAGATCCGAAGCCAGGGAATATATGCAGGCGTTAATAACAGTGCTTCCACCGCCAACAACCGTGAGAAGCGGGCCCAAGAGGATGTATTCTATCGGCAAGTGATTGGAGAATTTCAGAATAGCCAGAACCCAAGCAACGTAAAGCACGGATCCCGCGGTTGATAGATAGATAATCGGTTTGCGACCGAGCCTATAATTATTTAACGATTCACATCGCTGTCTCCTCCAGATCTTTTGTGGAACTTACTTATCAGCCAGCGCACTGTATGGGAATGCAACAATGAGACCTGTTATGACACGTGAGCTCACTGGGACTCCCTGTCAAGGGACCAGTCATTATGATTGACATACTGGTCACGGACTCTATCACTCCGAGTAAAGCGTTCAGATATGCAAGCTTGGATTGAATCCCATCGTCCTTGCAAATTGCTCTGTCAGTGAAGATGCCCTGCCGCCCGGTTTCACTCAAATATTGGTCGCACAAGTTGTCCTCCATCAGCTGGGTCAATGGAACTTGAATCATGGCACTTCCTCCCGACAAGAAGAAGATACATAAGGATAAGAGAAAGGTCGCAAGGCGCGGTTTCTGGACAGGTGACGGAGTGAAGCTGGGCTCCAACAGCGGGGCGTTTTCGTTCTCTGTGTCATGATTCTCTATGCGCATGGTGTATCGAAGGAAGGGAATAAAAGAAAGCCACTAAGTGGCTATCAAAATTCAAATGAAGGTTTGGAAAAGGTAGGTACAACATTTCGGAAACTGTTGCGATTGAAGGGGCGACATGCAGTATGATTTTGTGGGCCTTGACGATGACAACTTTCCCCTTCAAATTGCGACATTGCGACAAAGAAGCATCCAGACCAGAACACTCGATTGTGGTCCTAATTAGGCATATCATCTATTCTGCTGTCTCAAAGACTCAAGTCTCCTGGTCCCGGATCAGGAATCGATTTAATCACGTCAGTTCTAAGGAAAGATTTCACACTCTTTCGCACCATGTCATAGAAGTCCAATAGCTGCACTGGAAAAGTTATTGAGGTTGATAACGCCATTCAAAGGATCAAAACCCTGCAAGTACCACATATGCATTGTTGGCAGATCGCCGTCTATTTTACCAAGCACAGCTCATCACCACTTGGATGCAAACACTGCGACATTATGACCCACGACCTACGGGATCATAATGGGTCCCCTTCAGCAAAGTCTGATGCTGTTTTCTAAGGAAGGATATTTGGGGAGGGATGGTCCGAGGGCCTCTCAGTTTTAGAAGTCTCAGCATTGATTATGCAGCCATTCAATCTCTCAATTGGTCAATAATTCAGAAATTGAAGCCTCCAAGACTGAGCATACATCACTAGAATTACTTGAGCTGGCCTCTAACATTTGAACCACAGCTTCCTAATTATCCCCTTGCGATAAATCCAAGGCATTTAAATTCTCCCCATCTTTCGGAATATCAGAGTATCATCGAATCTGCTTAGTAGAAGCCATTGGAGCACGGATACTCAGGCCCTCGCCCGTTCCCAACTTGACCACCCAACAGGATAAGGACCCTGCCACATAGATTGCAATTACACTTTCTTCTGTGTATTCCCAGTCCCCGACAAGGTAGGTCCTAGGAACCCCGTCTTCTTCGCAGCCGACGACACCAGGGCCTTACCAGTACTTTGCACGACCTTCGAGGCTTTTTCTACGACGGTGGTTCTAGGCGCCGTTACCAATTGGCGATGGGCACGTGTGAGATAGTGCTGCATGAACCTGCAGCCACTCTCACCCTGAAATCCTTCCGCTTGCCCATCACGTGGAATGGAGGTTTTATTTGAATATTTGGAGATTCTGGCAAGTTTTCCGTGTGTTTCAACCTTGGTTACATCCCCGGCAGCTTTTGACTTACATTCCATGGGGAAAATGCAGTGGTTCCCTGTTGGTCGCAACGACACTCCAGGCTGGCGACTGGATGTGGTCAGTTTGATCACGATCCTGGGAGATTCATTAATGCCCCGCCATATCCAACCTTTGACAGCCTCCAAACTATGTCTGCTCCCCCGGATAACCCCTGCGCCCCAAGCTTTCCTTGGATCTACTCAGGCTGTAAGGCTACCGAGTCTGTCCGCCATCGTGTACGGAGTATATTCTGACACGCTTGTCCACGAAATGAATTAATTTGCCAACGTCCTTCTTCCCATTGCTACTATGAAAAGTACGAAGTTGCGGTCTAGAGAATCGATTTGTCAGGTAAGATACGCAGGATGTTGCCTTGAGAAGGCAAACTAACAACTAGTAGGTCGAAGCAAGACTCACTATTCGAATCGTGAAGCTCTGGTTCCGCCTCGTATATTGTCGCCCCTTAATATTGGTCGACATTGCGCTTTCTCACAAATAAGTCGTAGTGCTATATTAGGGATGTATACTGACTTGATGCCGGCAGAATTTGTTTTTGTCATAGTGACGGCAATAGACAGTATAAAACGAGGTGGAGAAAGGCCTATTTCCGTTAAGTCCGGCCCAAAGCTTGTGTAACTTTATTTTGTTTGAGCAACCCATACTTGCGTTCCTTCCTTATTTCAACCTCACCCCAATTCCTCATCTGAATTCCAGATCGTTTACTCTTCCACCTCTCACCCAAAATGCCATCGGACAACCACTTCAAGAGGGCCATGTCTCTCATCGAGGCCGACAAGACCAAGGTCCTCGGCCTGACCGTTGGAAGCCGTGAGAACGTGCAGCCGGGACAGTTCGTCCCACGCTCGGGTGAGATCTATTGCACAAGGAATTCGAATCAAGACTAACATAAAGACAGAGGCCCAAGCTCCCCCCAAGCTCACCTTCTCCGGCGCATCCCCCACCAGCACCTACCTGGTCGTCAGCCTGGATATCGATGCGCCTTTCCCCTCTTTCAGCGTCCTGGGCCCAATCCTGCACTGGATCCAATCTGAGGTGAAGGTTCGTGACTCCTCTGTGCTGGAGTCCGAAGCACCCTTCGTCGCCAACTACATTGGCCCGGCTCCTCCTCCTGGCAGCGCGCCTCACCGTTACACCTTCTTTTTGTATGAGCAGCCTGAGGGGTTTGACCACAAGGATCATTCTCCAGCTGATGGAAAGGAACTGGGTCTCATGGGCCGCATCCGTTATGATTTCGATGCCTGGGCGGAGAAGATCAACCTCGGTCCCCCTGTCGCTTTCAACTGGTTCCTCAGCAACTAGGCAATTCTCACCAACTCTGATACGTGGCACATGAAGTTCCGGAAGATGTGGCGTTTTCTGCTTTAATATGTAGTCTTGCTTCCAAGGCGTTCACTTGCTCTCTTCTGCTGCTTTGCTGTACTCAAAACAAACTCAATATGATTTGTTAAAGCTACCTCCTATCTCGTAAGGTGGGCTTCGTTAATGGCAAAAGGTTATCCCTCTTCGCTGACAACGCCTGCAATTATTCCTGGTAGATTCCACTATTCCTGGCTTTGGTATGAGATGGTAGCGAACAGCTCTTTTTGAATGATACAACAGGGTCATAATTCTTTTCACACCCCCACCTTTATATGATCTAGATGGTTAACCTGAGGCACTCGTAAATAGACAAAAGAGAAATGAAAAAAGAGAGGCAAAAGTAGGGGAAAGCAGTGCATGATGAGGTACGCTGGCTTCGACGGTTTCGTATAGAAACTGTCGAATACTTCATGGCACTGTGTACACATTTATGATCCCCGTTGTAGCTCAAGTCAAAATAAGCTAGTCGAGCAGGGATATCTTTCAAGGATAACCCCTACGAAGTTTGGCATCGAAGGATAAATCTGACTTACCGCTGACAATTTCTTTGTTAATTGTTTGTTCAAACACCGCCATGGTCTACTTATTAAGGACTAGTTTTCTACTTCCGCCCTCTTTCTCTTGTTTCTGTACTTGGGCATCTCTGGTCATTTCTTCTCTTGCTCATCAAGCTACAAGCATTGAGTGTTGTTAAGAACTGTGTCACGTTTCTCTTCGGGATGTCTGACAAGAAAGACGACAAGAAAGCCGACACGGAAGCCGACAAGGAAACCGACAAGCTGATGGACAGCCTGAAAGGTCTGGTGATCGGTGCCAGTGGCAACATTCCTGGGTATCAGCATCGTTAGTAACTCCCTCTCTTCCTCGACGTAGATATATCTACGCAGAATCGGTCACTGATACAGGCAATAATTTTTCAATATATAGGCCAGATCAGGAAAATGGTCGAAGAATGCGGCGCCACATTTGCCCAGATGGACGTCAGTAAATGCACCCATCTCGTCACAACGCACACCGGTATCAGGCAGGGACACATCAAAGGTAATCCGAAAATCAACAACAACCTAGAAGGCAGCTAACGATGGATTTCGTTCTCAGTTGATCGGGCTATTGCATCAGGAGAGTGTCATATTGTCAATGTGCATTGGCTGCTGAAGAGCATCGAGAATCAAAGCCCTGAAGAAGTCTGGCAGTACAAGTTGCTACAGAGCAAGAATCCTGCGAATGCGATTGACTTGACAGGCAATAAGCGTGCGCGAGAATCCGACTCTGACGACGAAGATGCCGGTTCCTTGAAGAAGCCCAAGGATGAGCGAAAGATCAGGTTCGCAAAGCTAGCTGCCTTGGTGGATTCCGAAATAGATACCGATGGAGGTCAGCTCCCTCTTTTCCTTTCGTTCCGATTTGGTACTTGGCTTAACCATAGATTGATATTAGGCAGGACGTTGTCGGTTTGGATGGACGATGCTGGGGAAATCTTGGATGCGACACTCATGAATACCGTCACTATAAAGGGGTCTCAAGCGACTTCTATTATCCGACTCCAACTTATCTTCGATTCCAACTCAGACAAGTATTATGTTTTTCAAGCGCAACGTGAAATTCCCGCTACTGGAGATGAGCCCTCAATTACAACGCACGAAGAGTTTTGTGACACCCTGGACGGCGCCAGATGCGATTTCGAGGGAAAGTTTCGGAGCCAGAGTGGTCTGTTATGGAAGAACAGGCACGAAATTCCAAAAGATGACAGGTTCGTATCTCTGGAACTTCAATACGAAGAGCCCGTTATTCTCGTTAGCGAGAAATGCGCATTCGCTCAAAGTGTTGAGAATGTTTTGAGCCTCATCTTTCAGAAGGGTGACTGTGAACGCTTTGTCAACTCGATGAGCACCTACGGTCGTAGGATGGATCTCGCAGGGCAGTTCAATGGCCACACTCTTCAGGCTGGGATTGCAATTTTGAGAAAGATTGTGGAACTTTATGGAAAGATTGCCATGAAGTCTTGTGGTCCGCAAGTTGATAATTTGTGCAACCTGTATTCTGTCCTGATGGTGAATGGTGCACAGGATTTCACTTACAATCGGCCCGGGCTTGCTCCTATCATGGGCGAACTGATGACTCTTGATTTAGCAATCAAGCTCCACACTGCCAGCAACATCTTGAGGGGAAAAAACAGCAGATTGAACACATCTATGACAATGAGACAGATATCCCATGCGCTCGGTCTGGCAAAGTTGACCCCAGGTGAGAAGACTTCATGTTCTTCCCGCCTCCTTCTGCTTCCAATCTTAAACACGAGTATCAACCTAACTTTTTCTAGTGGATCAAACTTCAAAGGAATATGCGGAGCTTTGTAAGTATCTCCATGGGTCGGCCAGAAAAGCACATGCGAGACAACTCAAGGTAAGCCATCTTGTCATCCCCTAGAAACTTCACTCTGACCCTTAACTTTAGCAAGTTGTTGGTGTTTTCCGCTTGAAGCGGCCAGGTGAGATGCAGCGCTTCGCTCGGTGGGAGAAGGAAAACACATCCAAGATTGGAGACCGGCGACTCCTTTGGCACGGCTCATCGACTGTCAATTTTGCAGGAATCTTGAGTCAAGGACTACGCTATGGCGGACTTTGCAGTGCCAATGGAAAGAGATTCTGTCAGGGAATCTATTTTGCCGACATGTCGACCAAATCGCTAGGCTACTGCCAAGGACAAAAGCAGGCGTTGATGGCGCTGTGCGAAGTCGAGCTGGGCAGGCCAGGTACCGAACTTTCAACCACCAGTCCAGCGGCTACTGTTCATTCGAAATGGCGCGATGCTGGATGTATTCATGAAGACTTTGTGGGGACTCAGATTCCGGATGTGCGGGTTCCGCCTGCGCAAATGCATGCCAGCGGGCTTTACTATCCGGAATATATTGTCCAGGATCCAGCTCAGGTTCGCCTGCAGTACTTGTTTCATGTTCAGTTGCAGTGATTTTTGAGGTGGGAGGCTGGGGAGGTTGGGAAGAGGCGGGTTTAGATTGAGAAAATCAGAATGTGATCGACAATTCCCGTAGCTCCGTCGGTCGTCCGAACCAATCATTATATATTGTAGTTTTTTGTGCATGATTTATTGAACTGTGCCAATAAAAAAGATGCCTGATTTGACTCAGAGGTGTTTTAGGCAAAGATGCATGTCTTGGCTCTGTTATCGTTACATCTGATCGACGTATATAACTTAGTGCATTTCCCCCTTTTATGTTTCTTTACCTCTCCAACAATGAGATCTTCATGCTTGATCACCGCTTCTCTGGCAGCAACTGCTGCTGCTCAGTATTTCCCGCCCACACCCGAAGGGTTGAAGGTGGTAGAGTCGAAGCATCACAAGGGTGTCAAGATTTCATACAAAGAGGTTCGACACATTTTCCTTTAATAGTACAACTACCAGGAGATATTGACGAATTGCACAGCCTGGAATCTGTGAAACTACGCCAGGGGTGAGATCGTACTCAGGATATGTTCATTTGCCCCCAGGGTCCTTGGACGACGTGCATGTCGATCAGAAGTACCCTATAAACACTTTCTTTTGGTTCTTCGAATCTCGCCATGATCCAAAGAATGCGCCTCTGTCCATTTGGATGAATGGCGGTCCGGGAAGTTCCTCCATGATTGGTCTCATGCAGGAAAATGGACCCTGCATAGTGAACGAGGATTCTAATTCGACAGAGTTGAACCCCTGGTCATGGAACAACTACGTGAACATGCTGTACATTGATCAACCAAATCAAGTTGGCTTCAGCTACGATGTGCCGACAAACGGTACCTTCGACCAAGTTAACGGCGGATGGAACCTGTCCGACTGGACCCACGGAGTGCCTGAGCAGAACAACACTTTCTATGTTGGTACGACGACTAGTCAGAAGAAGACTGCGACAGCAAACAGCACTGAGAACTCTGCACGATCTCTCTGGCACTTTGCGCAGACTTGGTTCAGCGAGTTCCCCGAATACAAGCCTCATGATGATCGGGTCAGCATCTGGACTGAGTCCTATGGCGGTCGCTACGGTCCGTCTTTCGCAGCTTTCTTCCAAGAGCAGAATGAGAAGATTGCCAACGGCAGCATCCATACCCCAGAAGACTCACACTATATCCATTTGGATACCCTGGGTATCATCAATGGCTGCGTCGATCTTCTAGTACAGGAGCCCTCGTACATCCAGATGGCTTACAACAACACCTACGACATTCAAACCATCAACAAGACTATCTATGACCAAGCCATGCATGCATGGAGTAGGCCCGGTGGATGCAAGGACTTGATCACAAAGTGCCGTGCCCTGGCCGCAGAGGGCGACCCTCAAATGTACGGCAACAACCAAACCGTCAACAAGGCATGCCAAAAGGCCGACAGCTTCTGCAGTAATAGCGTCGAGGGCGTGTACCTGGAATACGCAGACCGTGGCTACTACGACATTGCACACAAGAACCCAGACCCATTCCCAGCGCCATACTTCCTCGGCTGGCTGAATCAGCACTGGGTGCAAGGCGCACTGGGCGTCCCAATCAACTTCACCGAATCCAACGACGGTGTCTACTACGCCTTCTCCTCGACGGGAGATTACCCACGCTCAGACGTGCGAGGCTACCTCGAGGATATCGGCTACGTCCTCGACTCCGGCATCAAGGTTGCACTCGTTTACGGCGACCGCGACTACGCCTGCAACTGGATCGGCGGCGAGGAGGTCAGTCTACTGGTCGACTACGCCGAAGCTGCTAGATTCCGGGATGCGGGCTACACCCCTCTTCACACCAACTCCTCCTACATTGGTGGTCAAGTCCGCCAGCATGGAAACTTCTCGTTTACCCGGGTCTACGAAGCTGGCCATGAAGTCCCGGCTTACCAGCCCCAGACTGCGTACGAGATTTTCTACCGTTCGCTTTTCAATCGTGATCTTGCTACTGGTAAGCTCAATACTGCTCGCAATACCTCGTATACCACGCATGGTCCGGCATCTACTTGGGATATCAAGAATGAGGTTCCTGAGAGTCCGGAGCCGCTTTGTTATATCCTTTCTCTTGGAGCAACTTGCACTGATGAGCAGATTGAGGCTGTTATGAATGGGTCTGCTCTCATTCAGGATTGGGTTGTTGTTGATGGAAAGTCGCAGTAGAATTGATACAATGTACATGGAGACTTGTTGCCCAGTGTCTTCTTGCCGAGGGCACAGTCATGATAATGCAAATAAGTTATTATATTTTCTATTGATTCATATACATCTGCAGTCGGGTAGGGCTAGCAAAGACAATGAATGACATAATGGTGGGGCCCATGATGTTATGGATCGCGGGATCTTCCTAGTTGATGCCGCAGCTGGACCCTCTAAAGGTGCGCTTAAATAACTGTAAAGCGACTCAAAATAGTATCTGCAGAGAGACATGACTCTACGGGTACACTGTAGGTCGTTGATCGACTTGTTGTCGTGTGTCGAAGCTTCGAGAACTTTCGATCCGTCGACGTCACACGCCACTGACTTGGAGAGAGACTCCAGTCTTGATCCCTGGCTACAAGTTCCGGCTCAAGCACCATTCATACTTCAGCTCTCCTCTACCTCCTCTTTCACCCTGTCACCTTGTCACCCCATACCTACATTACAATCACCCCGCCTGCAACCTGCATACCCGCCTTGAACCTTCTACGTCATTCGAGAAATACACCGCAACCTCTTTCCCTCTAGAATCTTTTTCCTGTCAGACAACGCATTTTCCTTTTAAGTCTGCAGCTCCAACCTGAGGCGCTCCCTGGATCGCCTCTCTTTCGACACAAAACTCAATTCAACCCCGCACCATGGTTTCTGAGACGAAGCTATACGATGCGTTGAGCGTCAAGCCTGACGCCTCGCAAGATGAAATTAAGAAAGCCTACCGCAAGGCTGCACTGAAGCACCACCCCGACAAGAACAAAGACAACCCTGCGGCTGCTGAGAAATTCAAAGGTACGTTCCAAGGTTACCCCGCACTGGCCATACCCAACTAACATTTCACCAGATGTCTCACAAGCATACGAAGTCCTCTCCGATCCTGAAAAGCGCAAGGTCTACGACCAGTATGGCCTCGACTACTTGATGCGTGGCGGACCCGCTCCACCACCGCCTGGAGGTGGAGGTGGTGGCACCGGCTTTGAAGGAGGCATGCCCGGTGGATTCAACTTCGGCGGCATGCCCAGCGGAGGCGGAGGTCGCACATTCCACTTCTCAACCGGCCCCGGCGGCGGCGGATTCCGATTCAGTGATGCCGACGACATCTTCCGCAACTTCGCCAAGAGCAGCGGCGGCGGCGGCGGCGGCGGAGGTATGGGCGGCTTTGACGATGAGGACATTTTCTCAATGCTTAATGGAGGGCTTGGTGGCGGCGGAGGCGGCGGCGGATTTGGCAGAGGCCGTCCGGGCGCTGGATACTCGAAGCCTAAGCGCGCTCCTACACCTGAACCTACCATCATTGAGAAGGATCTGCCGCTTACCCTGGAGGAGATCTTCAAGGGTGTCTCTAAGAAGGTTAAGACGAAGAGCAAGGCCTTTGATAGAACGGGCAAGCTCACCACCCAGGAGATCACTCTGGAGGCCAATATCAAGCCTGGACTGCGTGCTGGCTCTAAGATCAAGTACCGCAACATAGGAGACCAAGAAGAAGGCGGCCGACAGGATGTGCATTTGATTGTGAAGGAGGTGAGTGATTTTCCTATTCTATGAATTCGAACGACCCATACTAATTGATGACAGCTTGACCACCCAACCTTTAAGCGTTCTGGAGATAACCTCGTCACAACCGTTGAACTCAGCCTAAAGGAAGCACTGACTGGCTGGGAGCGTATCGTCAAGACCATCGACGGCAAGTCCATCCGCGTCAGCAAGCCCGGTCCCACCCAGCCTGGCCACGAAGAACACTACCCTGGCCTCGGCATGGTGATTTCCAAGAACCCCAGCGAGCGTGGAGACCTCGTGGTCCGCGTCAACGTCAAGTTCCCGACCAGCCTGACGTCATCCCAAAAAGACATTATCAAGGACGTGTTGCCATGAAATCGTGTTTAATTAGCATATACCTGGCGTTGGATGGAGCGTTTGATTTTCGGAGTAACGACAAGGAAATGAATGTTTATGACAAGAGCTGAACTGTAGATAATTTCTGTACTTTTAATGGAATTGTGATGAGACCATAACGCACCGAGCCTAACCCGATTGAGATGCGGAGAAACACCTTGGAGAAGTCACGTCTGTTTACTCTCCCCTCTAACACTGCAATCAACTACGAAATACAACCATGAAACGAAGGATCACCTACATCCAGCGCATCAATGCGCCCTTCGAGCCCCAGCAAGCTGTCCTAACCAGCAAATCCCTATCTGTCCGCGACTTGGACGCCGCGCGGGAGGACCGCATCACGGTCGGACTAGACGAGCTCCCAAAAGAGGTGAGCAAAGCCCATCGCCTCAATGAACTGCACTTAGAAAAACACAGAGTTGCTGACTTCCTTGTTCTTCTGTGGCGTCTAGCTACGCGCTATCCTCGAGCAATCCCATGAGCTCCACCTCCGCTGGGCCTCCGAACGGTCCTACGATGCCGTCGCACCTTTCGCCAGCAGGGTTTCGCCCGGTCTACATGTGCATTATACCCCATTGAATGCAGATGAGTCCCCGTGAGCTTAATTCTTATAGCGGCCGGATGGGTGGTTGCTGACTTCGTCATAGGGAGTCATTGTGCTCGCTGCTCCGCACGGTCGTTGGACCTGGAGAAGGTGCTCAATATAAGGATTGTTCGAAACCAGAGGTATGTTGGCGCTATCCAGGAGCTTTGTCTTGTTCTTGTTTTGGCTATGTGATTGAACTAACTCCCATACGCTGTACAGGAATCCTTCATTACACCCCCGCTTCTCTCGACGAGATTCGCTTCATCGGCTTCCTTTCAATACCATACTCGCCTTGAGTCACTACAATCTCTCAACAAATGGATACGGGATTCAATCTGTACTCAGAGCGGAGATGCTACCGAGTGTCGCGCTCGTGCCGATTCGCTTCTCTCCTCGGACTCCGTGGATATCGATTATGATAGCATTTCACATGCCCTGACTGTCTCCGGTCTCTGGACCAGCTCCCCTAAAGGTGGCTGGACAGAGAAGCTCGATAAGCCTGCTTCTGCTGCGGATCAGCTTGAGATCGGTATTTTGGGTGCCGAGCCGGGGCTTGAGCCTGAGGAGATTAAGATGGGTGGCCTTTTGGCTGTTGTTGGAGAGGACAAGAAACTAAGTATGTCCTCGGCAGTTGAACGCCTCCATATTTACCCATGAATGCTACGGAACAGCTCGACTAACGCTCATGCAGAACCAACCATGTTCTCATTCCCCTCCCGACACCAACCTCTCCTCGAGCCCGCTAGCTACACAGTCTCATTCACTCCCCCAACAGGTCTACATCCAACAATGTCCATCTCAATGCCCCGTTCATCTCTGAAACGACCACCTGCCTCAAGCGAGGCAACCTGTGCACTCCACACATATCTAACCCTCCCTTCCACCATCTTCGGAGACCAATACCAGCTCAGAACAACAGACAATCTCTTCCTCGAGTCCCATAACCTGATAGCCCTCCGCGCTCTAGCAGGCGAGATGGACCTCGAAGCCCCAGACTGGGTCGTCAACCGCTGGGGCTCAAACTGGCTCTTTGAGCTGGCAACTCCACTCGAGGACTCAGCCGACCCATCTGATTCCTCAAACTGGACAGTCACAATCCCGCTGCACCTCCGGTACCTCCCACCATCAGAGACAGGATACCGCTCCGCATATGTCCCCTGGCCAGTCGTATTCTGGGCATGTACCTCGGAAGAAGGAACGAAGATGGGCGTGAATCCCTTCGATCGCACTAATCTAGGCTGGGACGGTCTTTTTGGTCCACGCACTGTGTTCTACCAGCTTCAGCCTACATCAGAGCGTCTTGTAGAGGATATCGAGGTCCCTGTTCTGCGACTCGAAGATGAAGGCTTGTTCCGATCTAAGAATATCGAACTGGGAACCTGTGTGGTTATCACGCTCGGCTTCTTCTGGGTATTGTGGCGCCTCGCTCGTGTGGCTTGGTCGTCTGGTACTGGATCGAAGCCATTGAAGACTGTGCATGATAAGAAGGAATGAAACCTCGTATTAGATTACATGTTGGACTAGCGTTGTCTTGTTCACTTATGATTTCTTGTTCGAAGGGTAACTCATGGTTTTCATAAGCATTTTATGAACATGGATTTGGGCGTTATTGTTGTAGCCATAGCACATATAGAAGATTCTAATGCCATCATTCATAAAACGTTACCATCATATCAATCCAATTCAAATCCCCATCTCAGGTAACGGCCACGGCACATCCGTCATAAGAAATTGATCCAGATCGAAGTTCTGCAAACTAGGCATATCAATCATCAAACCACCTAGCCACGAGAACTCAGCATCAGAAACCGGCGCCACAGACTCATCAAGCGCCTGATTCTGATTCTGATTCTGAGTCGGATTCTGAGTCGAACTCCCAATCTGTTGAATCTGCTGTCCATGGCCATTGCCCTGATCAACAACCACATCCCCCCCAATATCCCCACTCCCACCACCACCGCCCTCAAACCCATCCCCATCAACCCACCCAACATCCGAAGCATTAACCCTCAAAACCTCCGCCAGAGCCCTAGTATCATCCTCCTTCCGTCGCTGATGCAACGCAACAAGCAAATAAGCCGTCGAATACGCCTCCCGCATAGAAGCTGTATCATAAGCAGCCATAACCTCCCTAAGCGTGCGCATAGCATCACCCAGCAAAGCCAACGCGGGCCGGTTATCAATTGCCAGTAGTGAGCATACAACTTGGAAGGGGACGTTGGCGACTTGGTGCCAGGGACAGGCTTGCGCTACCATTTCTCTTGCGGCGCGGAGGCTGCGGGAGGCTAGCGTTAGGATTTTCGAGAGGAGGTTCGGGGGGATTGTGGAGGTGGAGGTGGATTGGGATGGGGATGGGGATTGGGAGGTGGATTGGGCGCGGAGTCGGCGGTAGATGCAGAGCATTAAGTTGCTTTGCACTAGGATTAGGCTTGGCTCTGTGTATGTTAGGGAGAGGACTTGTTTTAGGGCAGTATGGAGGTCCGGTGTGTTTGTTGGGTCTAGGCTTTCTGATAGGGGGAGGAGGTGGAAGAGGTCGGCGCGGGGGTGGTTGCGTCGTGTTTGGTTTGGTGCTGGTGCTTGGATTTGGGTTTGTGTTTGGGAATGGGGATGTACTGGGGTTGGGGTTGATGTCGAGGGTTGGGAGAGGGCTGTTGCGCCGTGGAGGATGACCCGCGAGCGGCCTAGATCGAAGGAGGTCCACGTGTTGAGATGACGAGCCATGCCGAAGAGTCGACGGCGGGTCTCTGGGTCATTGGATGACTGTGTGTCTGTGCTGTCTGAGCTGGTGTGTGTTTCAGCTGGCGAGGTCGGGAGGAGACCTGCTGTTTCTGGGTCTGGGGTTTGCAGGTGCAGACCTGCGGCTTCGATGAGATGCATCAGGGTGCAGCTGGCCATCCATGCTGCGTGTGGTGAAGCTGTCATGCGGAGATAGGCGGCGCGTAGAACCCAGCCGGTCACTGTGTCGACTGATGGTGTTTCTGCAGCAAGTACGCTCTTGTCTAAGATGTTGCGTGCCGTTTCAATGAGTCGTAGTTCTTGGGATATGATCTCGCGCCGCGAGAATAAATACCCGAATGCTGCGACGCCGCATAGAACGGCATCGTATGGGTGTTCTGTGTCGATGGGAGATGGTGAGGATTCCCAACGCTTTGTGATTCCAGTGAACACTTTCTTGCGATCCAGGAAAGCATAGCATAGGTCGACTTTCTCGAAGTAGATTGTTGCTAGCCGCCGCATCTCTTCCGGTGAAACGATATTGGTGATGGTTGTCGGTGCAGACGCCGTAGTACGCAATGAGGGGAGCGATGATGACACTGTTGGCGCCATACGCCTCTCACCCACGTTCCACGCGAACAAGTGCAATCGCGGTGCACGCGCAGGGTCAACTCGTAACCCGAGTTTGCGAACGAACGCGGCTCCGGAGTTCGCCATGGAATGGGTCACGTCGGAATCGCCGTGAATGGCAGACGACTGAGTTGCGCTGCTAGCGGCGCTGGGGTCTGGAAGGGAATTGGGCCAGCCATCTGGACGTTCGTCGAGCGACAGCCTCGCTCGGTACAGACTATGGGATCTGGCGCGTTTCTTGCGCGCGCTGTATTGACATTCCCCGCCAGTTTGGGCGCAAGTGCTGCAGGGATGTCCACCTGAGCATTTGCGCTTCCGTGACTGGCACGAAGTGCAGGCGAGACGAGAGCGCTTACGAGGCGTAGACTCGGACATAGTTGGAGAACTACGGGGAACATTGCGGAGGTGAAGAAGATTGGTTGCCGCCAAGCAATTTAGACTATAAATCCCCCTCGTTTCATCTTTGTCTTCATCTTCAGTCCTTATATTTGCTGCCATTGGGATATCCCAACAGCTGTTCGACTTCCTTGAGATCGGGCATCCCCGCTGGCCCCGGCATGTAGAGCAGGTTGTCCCGCAGAGTCGTGCCATTCCACCAAATCTCGTTCTTATGCAGCGCATCCATGATCATCGGTGCGTCGATGTACGTACGGATCTCAACCATCTGGCCTTCATACCACCGAGTGAACCATACGTTGATGATATCGAATTTCTCGCCTGTGACCAGTCAGCAATGCGGTTGAGCTCGGAAGATATCCGTCCCCACCGGAGTTCATCACGCCCTTGAATTGGATTTCCTCCACCGACCATTCACTGTTACATCCGCCATAGATGTGCTGCGGGTGGATCTCAAACAGATCTGCATGGTCAATAAACAACATGCTGACCCGACGCAGGGCGTTGACGTAAAAGTGCATTAGGTCGTGATAGCGGCCGGCGATCGGGTGGTGCCCGACGACGGTGAAGGCCACATTTTTATGGATCAGCGTGAACAGCTTGCTCATGTCCTTCTCCAGGTGTTTGAAGGAGTCCCAGATGTGCATCTGGGACACATATTTGCACTTGGTGGAAGGGTTCTCAAACTTGAAGCCTTCTCGTCCATGCGGGGCTGGATCATCCACGATTCCGGTGCCATTGCAATGGCTGTCTGGGTCGACAATTCCAGTCCCATCACAGTCGGGTTGAGCGTGGAGAGGAGTCTGAGTGCCAAACAATGTGAAGATGGACCGGCCAAAAGTTGCCGCAGGCATGCATGCCAGGGCCCAAAGTATATATCGCGAGGTGATCATAGCTGACGTTAATTCACATCCAAGGCGTCTGCCGGATCATTATTTGCATGCTAATTGCCTTCTTATATATCTCCCATCTAATTAATCTACCGTAGGGTTGCCTTTGATCAACGTTGCTTCGAGTCTTATGGCTACCCTAACACAAAGATCCCTAGCAAGTGACACAACCCTATTTGCTGATATGGCTGGAACGTGTCTAAAACTGCCATTTTCGAGTCCGAAGTATCCAGTGGAGTGCATTAGCTACTGCATGTTTCCACAGTGCGGTGTAGATAGCGCACAATGGCTTCTTTTCGCATATAAAAGCGAGTATCCTCTCTCGGTATCTCTTTCTTTTCTCTTTCTGTTTCAATCGTGTATTGGTCCCTGTCTATCTCTGATATCATTGTGGATTGTGGTCGATCGTTACATAACAGTGCCGATAGCGGAATTTGCCCACCTCTGATTGGCTGAATCCGGCAAAGTCGGTGAAAGCACGTGTCCGCTGAGTCAAAGGTGAAAATCCTCGTTTCTTTCCACTTTTCTCCCTCTCCGAACTTCGTCAAGTCTCAACTCCAAACTTCCCCATGTTTCGCTAAATAGCAACCCTCCATTTTTCTACCATATCCTGACTGCTACTTTTTCAGTCGCGCTTATGTGTTTGGCACCTTCGATCTTCACCTCCCAGGACTACATCTCGGACCACCTCTGGAAAGCCAACATCAACTGAATAGCCTCTCGCTTTCTACACAACTCAATTTCTATACATAAAAATGATCTTCAATCTCTTCAAGGCAATGCCCCCTCGGGCCGCTGCTTTCGCCTCCATGAAGCGTCCTGCTCAGGTCCGCTTCATGGCTACTGTGCGTCAGCGTGCGGCCATGGAGCCTGCCACTTTCACCATTCGTGATGGCCCTATCTTTAGCGGAAAGTCTTTTGGTGCTCGCTCCAACATCTCCGGCGAGGCTGTCTTCACCACCTCGCTGGTCGGATACCCCGAGTCCCTGACTGACCCTTCCTACCGTGGTCAGATCCTGGTTTTCACCCAGCCTCTGATTGGCAACTACGGTGTCCCCTCCGCTGAGAAGGACCCCAATGGTCTGTTGAAGTATTTTGAGTCGCCCAATCTCCAGGCTGCTGGTGTTGTTGTTGCCGATGTGGCCGAGCAGTACAGTCACTGGACTGCCGTTGAGAGTCTGGGAGAGTGGTGTGCCCGTGAGGGTGTTCCTGCCATCTCTGGTGTCGATACCCGTGCCATTGTCACCTACCTCCGTGAGCAAGGTTCTTCTCTGGCCCGTATCACCGTTGGCGAGGAGTACGATGCCAACGAGGACGAGGCCTTCACTGACCCTGAGCAAATCCACTTGGTCCGCCAGGTCAGCACCAAGCAGCCCTTCCACATCAGCGCTGCGGACCCCCAGTCCCACGTTGCCGTCCTGGACTGCGGTGTCAAGGAGAACATTCTGCGCAGCCTCGTCAACCGTGGCTCCAGTGTCACTGTCTTCCCCTTCGACTACCCCATCCACAAGGTCGCCCACCACTTCGATGGTGTGTTCATCTCCAACGGCCCCGGAGACCCAACCCACTGCCAGGACTCCGTCTATCACCTCCAACGTCTGATGGAGACCTCGCAGATCCCCATCTTCGGTATCTGCCTGGGTCACCAGCTCCTGGCTCTGGCCGCCGGCGCCAGCACCATCAAGCTGAAGTACGGAAACCGGGCTCACAACATTCCCGCTCTGGACCTCAGCACTGGCCGCTGCCACATCACTTCCCAGAACCACGGTTACGCCGTTGATGCTTCCACCTTGCCTTCCGACTGGAAGCCCTACTTCGTCAACCTCAACGACCAGAGCAACGAGGGCATGATCCACAAGTCCCGTCCCATCTTCAGCACCCAGTTCCACCCCGAGGCCAAGGGCGGTCCCCTCGATTCCTCTTACCTCTTCGACATCTACCTCGACAGCGTTCTGAAGTACAAGAACAGCCAGGCTGGTCTCTACCCCCAGCGTGACAGCCGTCCCAGCCCCCTGCTGGTTGACCTGCTCCCCAACGAGCGTGTCGGCGTCCAGCCTACCATCGGCCAGCAGAACATTGCTGCCGCTGCTGCTGCCGCCGCCGCTGGTGCTGTTTAAATTTCATAACGTGTGAGGGAGTTGGCTCGGGTATTCAATTTGGTTTTGGGTGAATATTTTCAGGTTCTTATATTTTGTTCATAGCTTCATGGTTCTATCAAATCAACAACGTTAACGTTAAACCATACTTCATACTTGAGATGTCATTGTTCACATCTTAAGCTTTTTATTGTAATCGTACCAACATTTTTATCGTCGCCTTTCAAGCTCAACATAAATTTACTTCGCCACGATCGATATCACATCCTCGTCTGCTACCATGTGTCCCAATCCCACTCGCTGCGGCACATGTCTCGCACTGGCTCCCCATACCATCGCATACTTGAACGTTTCCTTGATCGTGCGATGGATCTGGTCACACACATCTTCGATAGTGGAGTCTCTGCGGACGATGAGTGCCTCGTCGAAGTTTGGTTCTTCGCCCTTCCTGTAGGTGGACCATAGTTAGTTCCGTTAAACAGATGATAAAATCTTAAGACTCGTAAGGGGGCTGGTGATGCATACTTTTTTGTGTAGAGACGCATCAATCTCAGTTCTTTCCAGATCCGCTCGACAACATCTTGCACGCCTAGATCCAGTTCACAACTCATCACGGCTGTGTAAGGTTCGCGGGCGAGGGCGTCGAGGAATTCGAGACCGATACTATCGACCTTGTTGTAGACGTAGAGACTGATAGAAATGGTTAGTGGGTGCACGTGTGGTGTTTGTGATTGGTGTAATTCTTACCAGCGGATGTACTTGCGGTGATCCTTCATGATCACGTCGATAAAGTCGTCGATAGTAGCTGCAATTCTGAAGTTAGTACAGAATGATAAAATATAATTCACGTGGCAGGGGATTCGTACCATTCTCATCTCGCACCAACACTTCACAGTTGAGGATCTTGTAATCGCGGAGCACATTGTAAATCATCTTTTCGTCTAGGTTCTTTGGGGGTGTTGAGAAAGTGATCTTCATGCCGCCGGCCTTCTTGGCTTTCAGGTAGATATTACTAGAACTGTGTTAGTACCAGGGTCTTTGTCAAAGATTCAGATGAGAAATGGATGTCATACGGTGGCTCCTTGTTCAGCCGAATGCCCACGGCATCCAACTCAGCCTCGAGCAGGGCTCGCTGTTCGGCACGCTTTGTAGCATCCAGAATCATCAGAATCAAGTCACTAGTCTGTGACACACACCAATATTGTCAGCATTTCGCCATGATGAGAGGAGATATCAAACGCACCTTCGCAGCAGAGATAACCTGTCGACCACGTCCCTTGCCCTCCGAGGCACCTTCGATGATACCGGGCAAATCCAGAATCTGGATCTCGGCACCGCCGTACTCCAGCACACCGGGGATAGCTGTCAGCGTGGTGAAAGAGTAGGCGGCAGCCTCACTCTTTGTCTTGGTGATCTTGGACAAGAACGTGGACTTTCCGACGGAGGGAAAGCCGACAAGAGCTACACGTGCATCACCGCTCTTGCTGACATCGAATCCCATGCCACCGCCAGAGCCGGCACCGGCTGCTGGCTCCAGGAGCTGGGCTCTTAGACGGGCAAGTTTTCTGGTGATATTGTTAGCTCGAATACGAATCAGAGTTTCGGGGCGGAATGTACCCTTTCAATAGACCCAGATGGTATTCTTCGAAACGTTAGATCAAATGCTCTCTGAATAGCCAGAGCTCATCTTACCTGTGGCCTTGTTCTCTGCGGGGCATTGGTTAGCGGGGTGATATATGTTGATATCTGGGGATAGGCCACTTACTCTGCGTCCGACGCATCTCATCCTCAATCCTGTAGTACAACAAACAGATCAGCAAAATGGATCACTGGAATAAGCCGTAGTCCGAGAAACATACTCCTTGATCTTCTCTGTGATGTTCACCATGTTGGCGGTTTCTGAGGCTTGACGCCCGCAAAATCACTAGAAATTTCTCTGGCACTCTCTCAGTCAAAGAGCAAAGAATGATCTGCCGGATTGCAGCACGAAGAAAGCAAGAATCGAGACAGAGAACAGAATATCAAAAAGTGGCACTTTGCATCTTTTCGACCAAAAACGAAATCCCGCACCCGCCAAGCCTTATGTAATCGCATCAACTGCCCGTCGATTTTCTAAAGCTCTCGAAGCTCAACACCGCCAACTCCCCCCAATTCACACACCAACAGCGATGGCAGACACATCCATTGCCGAGGCGCCCTCAGCGCCCGTATCAAACACCAACCCGGAACCCGTGGAACCCACCACCGAAGAAATGGTCGTGGCAACAACCGGCGCCGGAGGCGCGACAGCAGCCGACGGACAACTCGAGCCCGTGAAAAAGACAAAGAAGATCATTCGTCGCAAGAAGCGCCCTGCTCGAGTCCAGGCTGATCCGTCTACCGCCCCGAAATCTGAGCCTGCGGCTGCTTCAGGCGGTGACTACAATATCTGGTACAACAAGAGCGGCAGCGATAATGATGACAAGTACGGGCTTTCTAAGCCTGCGCCTGGTCGTTGTAATATTGCGAGGGATAGTGGGTACACGCGCGCTGACCGAGTACCCGGCTCTTTCTTCTGGTGGGTTTTTATCTTCCACTGTCGTGCCTTGCGTGCGCCGCAATGGACTCTTGCTGATTCTCATCTTTAGCACGCATTTTGCTTGGGGGACTTGTGTCAAGGGCCCAGAGTGCGAGTATTTGCATCGTCTGCCCACAATTCATGACTTAGTAAGGCTTCCTTGGATCTCTTTTTGAATGGCTTGTTTCTTACTGATCGTGCTTCTAGTTCAACCCCAATACAGACTGTTTCGGTCAGTATCGATTTCGATTTCGTGTGGTTTTTGAGGATAGGTTACTGACTCGACAACAGGCCGAGACCGTCACAGCGATTACAAAGAAGATATGTCTGGTGTTGGATCATTTTCTCGGTCAGTTGCAGGATCCTTGTTACAAATTCCGGCTAGCGTTGCTAACTTCTCGAAGCCAAAATCGGACGCTTTACGTTGGTCGTATTCACGTCACAGATGATATCGAAGAAGTTGTTTCCCGCCATTTCGCGGAATGGGGTCAGATCGATGTACGTTTGCTCGTCTAAATGACATCCGAATATCATGCTAACTATGTCTACAGCGCATCCGTGTGTTGACTGGAAGAGGTGTGGCATTCGTTACCTGTAAGTGTCCTGTCTTATTTTATTCTCCCCATTATCCTATGGTGTGGCAGTAATTGGACTGTCCGTACTAACAACATACTAGATACAAACGAAGCCAATGCACAGTTTGCAAAGGAAGCAATGTCTCGGCAAAGCTTAGACCAGTATGTTTCACCCGATATCTTCCATATTATCACTGTTTACCAATGTACTAACCCCCTTCCAGTGAGGAAATTATCAACGTCCGCTGGGCAACGGTTGACCCGAATCCCATGGCTCAGAAACGCGAAGCTCGCCGGTTAGAGGAACAGGCCGCCGAGGCCGTCCGCCGAGCTCTCCCCGCAGCATTTGTGGCCGAGATCGAAGGCCGCGATCCCGAGGCAAAGAAGCGCAAGAAGATCGAAGGAAGCTTTGGACTACAGGGCTACGACGTTCCCGATGATGTGTGGCATGCCAGGACCCGTCAATTGGAGGAGTCAACCCAGGAAATCGCACAGCTGGAAGCACCAGAACAGCCACTGATGATCGAACCCGCTGCAATTCCCGCGCAGCCGCAGTACGAGCAGCAAAACGGCGGCATCTTCTCTAGCTCAGCTGTGGCAGCACTCCGTGGTCTGAATGGTGGAACTGTGACGACTGCTGCAGCACCCAAAGCGGCCGGTGGACCGTTGGTAGCCTACGGCAGCGACGAAGACAGCGACTAATCGGGCTATATCCAGCATGCTCGACAAATAATTCATGATGTTTGTGATTTCTTCAATGTACAATAACAGCGATACCTCCTGGCAAAAAATCATTCCCTTTTCTCCGCGCACAACCTTCATGCTGGATATTCATAAATCTTTCTCGCATCATTCATCTCATCACTTCGCAACATATCACACACATCACACATCAACTGGTGGGGTATCATCCCTAGCACTCGCTAAACAGGGCATTGAGAGGAGATATAGTGTGTGGTCAAATAAAATGAACAAGAATTCCACCCATAAAGCAAAATGCAAACTTAGAACACCCAATACAGCCCCATTCCATACGAGGCCAATGCAAATTCCCCTCCCTCCTTTCTTTCCCTTTCCTATCCTATCCTTCCATATCCTACCTTGTCTTCTCATCCGCGAAAACAATCAGTCGTAAATTCATTTCTCGCTCGGGCCGAGATCGTAGTACACGCAGGAGCCGGTGCGGTAATTGAAAATGAAAGCGTTCGTGAACCTTTCCGTGCTGTCGTTTGTGCGGTTCTCAAGTGCCAGGTCAGTTAGTAGTTCGTACACTTGACTGAGATATTTGCGTTCGGTCAGTGGCGCGTTTTGGATTACGCTGCGCCAGCTCTCGGCGTCGGAGAGACGCGTGTTTCGGATGGCGTCTAGGACGTCGTCGCGGGTGTCGATTGCAGCTATTGGGCCGTTGCGGGCGTTTTCGGCGATGTCGCGTGAGCGTTGTAGGGCTGTATTAGAAAAGGTTAGTATAATATACTTTGTCGGACATGTGATTGGTTCATAGACGTACCTAGCTCGACGATGTTCCTTCTGTTTGTCTTCTTGCTTCGATGTTGTGGCGTAAGGATGCGTACATCATTTGCCCGTTCTTGAGAGGCGAGGGCTTCTTGCGTGCTTGATTGACGGGGCTGGCGTAAGTCAGCAGTGCCCTCGCGTTGGTGGCGCGCTTGCACTTCTGATCGAAGCCATGGTACAAGCTCGGTGGTGCGGATATCGAATTCCTCTTTGCGCATGAGGTTTCGAACTTTGAATCCACGGTCCTTGCTGTCCTGCTTGGCAATTACAATCCATCGGTGATTGGAGTCTTTGTGTTTGGCCATCAGTTCCTCGAGGGACGAGGCATCAACTGCGAGCTCCGCGCTAATGTCGTTTGACCAGAGTTCTTCAATGAGCTTTACTCCGGTCGAGCGGAGGACATCTGCATCGAAGCTGGCGACGAGTACATCACACTAATGACATTAGTAAGGACTGACACGGCGGATGCAGAATGGTATTTACCCGACGGTCTCCCCAGTACAGCTCAGCGCCAGATTCAGTCTCTTTTGGTGGAGCCTTGGCTTTCAGGTAATCAATCATCGAAGAGCTAAGGCGATCCGAACTGAGGTTGAATCCAACCGCATGCGCTTGGGGACGACTAGACAGGACCTTGGGCGAGAATTCCTGGATCAAGCCATCATATCTTCCTCCTGCGGCGAACACATCTCGTCGTTTGCTGTCGAAGACGCATTGGAACAGGATGCTACCACCATAAAACTTATCATGAAGACTGCTGAGAGGATTGATGTAGACCTTGCGCTTAATACCGAAGCTTTGCAGGTAGGTCATCAGCACGTTCAAGCGAGCGAATATCGGTGCGATCCGTTCGACGTATTCAGTTCCTTCCATAATGCTTTGCAGCCTACGTTGTGTCTCGTTCAAAGATCCTGCACAATTTATGTTAGCCTATTGACTCTACTCTCAATCAAACAATGACATACCTCTGAAGTCAAATCGAGCAAGGTCATCCAGCGACGTCGAAGCAACACCAATGGCCGGAGACCGAAGCTCACTTCGAAGCTTTTGCATTGTCCATTTGCCAACATTCAGTTTGCTGATAGTCTCCTTGGCCAGTGGAATTTGGGAAGGTGTGACACGACAGAATTCCATGATAAGTTGGAGCAAATCAGAGTGGTTGATAAGGAAGCACATCGGAGAAGAACGCAAAGGCGGAAATTCTTCAATGATCTCGTCCAGAACCTTGATAACTTCCGCCTCTTTCAGGGCCAAATCCAAGGTATTGTGGGAAACAATGTCAAAGTCCACCTCACCGTGCTTCCGTGGTTCGCTGCCATGAGTAGACTCCCGGTAGACCGTGCCAAATGCAAACGTCTTCTCCAGTGAGAGATCTTGTCTAGGGATCGCTCGTGCATTCGGAACTGTGAGGTCGAATGGCAGCTGTAAGAGATTGCCAGATGCATCCAGCAGGCGTGCAACAGGGGCAGTACTGTAATGCTGGGATCGAGGGAAAATCATTTGCCGTTGGGACTCCACGGCGCCATGTCTCCGGAAGATCGAGGTCAATTTCTTCTTGACCAGACCCTGGACAAGCAATTCATTGGCTGCAGGTGCCCCATGCGAGTCTATGTCCCAGGCGATATCCTCGAATTTCTTGGGTGACTGGGAGAAAATTGCCGATAAAATCTTCTTGTAATCGGGAGAATTGGGATCTGAAAGTAGATGCACAATGGCCCGTCTGAATGTCTCTTCCTCAACCTGAAGTGGAATTCTTCCACTTGAGAGAAGCTCCGCGGCTGTGGGACGTTCACTCGGGGTATGGCTTAACAGAGATTCAACAATTTGGCCTTGAACCACCTTATCAGACTGCTGGAAAGTGGGCGGAAGGGTGTGGTTTTTTTCTCTGATCTCTCTGAGAGTCTGGTCACGTTCCATACCGGTAGGCAATGGGTGACACATCTCAAAGAAGATAACACCAAGCGAGAACATCTATACAGCGTCAGCATTTGTATACAAATACCAAGAATATTGAATACTCACATCGACTTTCTCGTTGTAATGTCCCGATACAACCGATTTCATCTCTGGTGCAACATAGTAGGTCGTTCCAAGACTGCGAGTGAAATCCCCTTCGAAGTCCGCCGCTGCAGATGAACGAACACCAGTAGTGAATTGACCGCTTGTAGCGAGTCCAAAATCACCAATGCGAGGATTATTAGCAACATCAATGAAAATGTTATCCGGCTTCAGATCACGATGTATGATGCCGTGGCTATGGATGTGGCTGAGGCCATCGAGAATTTGCCGGAAAAGACGCCACGAACGATCAACGTCATCGTATAATCCATTCCTGATCAAATCTCGCAAGGTCTTGAGAACGTTAGTCTAAGATATTAAGCGAGTAATAGAATAGAGCACTCACATGTTTCTCGCAGTACTCCATTTGGATGTAGAGCGTAGTCAAAACAGGTCGGCCATAAGATCCAGATCTCGCATGGCTGAGCTCGGCGGCTTCATCTTCACTGTCAGTTTCAGTGTGATTGGCCCGGTAAATCTGAGATGTCTCAGCATGAGCATGATCGGATAACGTTCCTTCGTTGTCATCATCACTGTCCGAATGGGCAAACTCGATCTTCGGATATCCACTGGAGCTGATGAAATCGAGGCCTCCTGTGCTAAATCCGCGGTGGTCCTGACTAGCAAATGGGTCACCTTCAGTGGAGGACATAGCCTCTTCCTCAATGTGATTGAAATCTTCTTCTAGCCAGGCAGTGTAGTACCGGACAACATATGGATGGTTCAGTCGCGATAGTAACATGGTTTCAGAAAGAGTATCTTTCAAAGCCGCAGCAGAAGTTTGAGATATCTTCTTCACAGCATATAACCGACCATCGAGCTTGTTCCGTGCTTTCACTACCTGCCCATAACCGCCACGGCCTAGCTGACCTGCCTCATCAAAGTCTTGGTGGTACCGTGAGAAGACCGGTGTAGCCCCAAAAGAGTCGAGCCGGGGCCTTCTCTGGAGGGACACAGAGTTTGACCCTCTATCCCGCATTTTCAAAGGGGCATCCACTCGGAAGAACTCAGACGGTTGCAGTTGGAAGGCAGTTGGACGCTTTCTAGGGTCTGGGCGGAAGAATTCACGGAGCAAATCTTGCAGTGGCGGGGAGAGTCCCATTGACACCATCAACTGGTTAGCGGAGGTGTACCTCAGGAGGACATCTTTCCCGAACCCCATCTGGAGCAGCACAATTCCAAGATCCCAAACGTCAGTCTTCATGGTGGGTGTTGAATTGTCCTGCGTCAGCTCTGGAGGAAGCCAAAGCGGCGACTTGGATGCGGTCAAAGATGGCTTCCCACCAGGCGGTTCAGGCAAAGCATCCTCGACACTAGATTGCAGTTTCACAATGGTTCCACCCGAAGGGGTTCGGAAGAGCAATACTCGACTACATTGGATGCTTCCATGGACAAATCCATTGCGGTGGTAAAACTCCAAAGCCTCGAGTAGCTGAATCATCCAGCCACGGAGCATGTCGACAGCCACGGTCCCCACAATGTCAAGGAGCTCGGCGAGAGATCCTTTGTTTGCATACTCCAAAAGCATGAAGACGGTCCAGGAATTATCGGGTGAGTCAAAATGGCCAAGTGGGCGATTAATTTTGAACCCTACAAATTCAACCAGGTTCGGGTGTCTTAATCGCTTGAGGCCCTCCAACTTATCCTCACTGGTCCGCATCTGCTCTCGGAATGTTAAACCCTCAGATCCCTTCTCGTCGAGGAGAATCTCCTTCAAAATAAGTTGTGGAACGTGGCATCGGCTTTCGGAGACCACAGGCCTGACTGTGAACGTCTTCTTACCCTGCTGGCATTGCAGCATGGTTTTTCCATGGACGGCGCGGAAGATCAGCGGTTGCTCGTCGGTATCGTTGACGAGCAGTGGAGGGTCAAAGGAAATTGCCCCAGGTGTGTTCTCCACAAGGTCATCGACATCACTGTCGGCGCCAGTGCGACTTTTCCTTCGCATGATCCGGGCCTTGGTTCGTTGTCGCATTTTGTCTTGGAGCATTTCTTGTAAGGCGCGCTCTTCCTCTGCAGCTGCAGCTTGTTGTTTGCGAAGCTCCTCTTGCTTTTCTAGGTCTGCGCGTTGAAGGGCGGCCGCCTCTTGCTCCATTCGCTCCTCTTCGAGACTGGGAAGATCCTTGTCCTGCAGGCGTGCCTGGGCAACATCCTCCAAAACATCTTGAATCGATACCGCGAGTTCATAGATCATTTCACTCCCGAGCAGAGTTTTTGGTTTTTTGCGGAGTATATCTTGGATTCTGGAACGCGCTCCATCGCGGAAGCCATCGAGGTTTCCCGGCGAGAGATTGGGGACTGTTTTGGGATATGTGGCGGGCAGTTCGACTAATAACACAAGGAGAACATCAGGGTTCGAGGAAGATCGTAAGTGAAGCTTAAATGTCACATCGGAAGTTTGCTGGAGCGCATGAGTTAGTGGCACGAGGGACCCCAAACAGCCCACCATAAAGTGACAACCCACCTGCCAGGCCGACCGCCTGTTCTCAACTTCTTCAAAGTCATCGCCATAGATCGAGCGCAGGGCCTCGACCTCTGTCTGGTGGATTTCGCGGTAATTGGTTGTAGCTAAAACGGGGGACGTCACGGAGGAGGAGGAATCGGAGGTTTGCTTTCTGCGGGAGGGCTTCTTCCTCTGTTTGGGAGACATCGCGGGGCGTGGCGAGAGCCCTACATGCGTCCCTGACTGTACGACATGGAGGCTAGTAGTAAAGTAATATGGTGGTGAGGAAGTCAAAGTCAAAGAGAATTGGGCAGTCTTTTTTTCTTAGAACAGGCGGTCAGATGCGCGCCCTTCGGGTTATCGATAGTGGTGGACCTATAAATGACGTCCGGACAACAGAGGTGCATCGGCTCTTATTTGCTGTTATAACTACGGATTCTGTGTATAATCTATGCTCTAGTTTCATATTTTTACATTTCAAATGTCCATTGAAGTTGATTGAAGATGACTGAGGTTGAATTGACCCTACTTAGCATACCATGGCTTAGGCCATGCAAAAGAACCATTCTCCCTGCCCAACGGTGGACCCGGTTTTTCATGAGCTGGCGAGATTCAGCAGTGGCAATAGACACCGCAGGAGTCGATCACAATTTGTTTCACTGGGTTGGCGTGTGGGCTGCATTCCACGTGTACCTGGCCATCAGTCAAAGAGCCCGAGTAGCATGCTGCCAACTATAGTAATCATTGGCGCATATCCCCAGTGATTCCATGCACCCTGGCCATGCATCCAGCAAACAAAACCATCTGCAAATGCAACACTACTAGCGGCAATCAAGATCCAGCCCAGAGCTGAACGAGTACCAAAGTATGCGGCTGCATAGATTGCAGCACCCATGAAGATATCCCGGACTCCGTAGATTGCCATGAGACTGTCAAACATCTGCTTGTCCACTGCAGAGGTAGGGGGCTGGAACTCGAAGAAGGTGAGTGCTTGGGCTGGACGTAGAATGGCATTGATACCGAATGCGACGAAGATAGTTGCAAAAGTATTAGCGAGAATGCGCGGGCCAGGTGATTGAGAGAAAGTCATATTGCTTGGTTGTATGCAGTCTCAGGTGTGTGATGTGATAGCAGAGTGTCGCTGTCGTATGTCGGGGTGATTTGATGTCTGGGGATGATGTGCTGGGAGTGCAAGTTGTGGACCAATCAAGTCGGAATACAAGTATTGTTCCAGTCTTAAGCAGATCAATTCAAACCTGACCGAGTCACATCAAACATCATGGATGAGTTCTCTGTGCTTACATGTAGTGTAAGTGCTGAGTGCCAAGAGCCGTATCGATAAGATGATCGGCGCTTCTGCTTTTTCCGACCGCGCGACATAAACAAACCCTCCACTTCCTTACTTTGGCACTTTGGCCATTTAGATATGTTGGACTGGATGAAGGGGAATGAGCAAGGGGGTTGGTTCTATCATATTCGTGTCCCCTGAATATCTCCACTAACCATTATACTTAGAGGACTCCAAGCTGCTTGAACCCCCCGAGACTCCAGCTCCTGTCTTTGCAATTCGCGCCTTTAAGAGTGCCCTTTTTGGGACACCTGGAGCGGATGAAGAAGATGGAATACACGCGTCGAAACCAAAGCTATCCCCCCATCAACGAAGCAAGAGTGATACAATGAAGCTCCCGCCGCCTGATATCACGACAGACGCGAACCCAACGGGTGATGACGCGATGCTCAACCCCACTGGATCTCCTACGAAGAGCATTCTGGTCACCCCCGGGACGATACTAAACCGACGCAAGACTGTGTCGTTTGGAGAGAGTGTTGTTGACAATGAGGGGAAACGCCCTGGCTCGGCCAGCAAGCCAGCCAGAACTCCACCGAATCCGACTGGTAACCTCAGCGTCCAGTGGATGTCCGGCTCTTCGGATGGGAGCGGCAAACCACGGAGCAAACTCACCCAGACGCTCATGGATGCACGCGATAACGCGTCCAAGAACGTGGACTCCGTCCAGTCTGAAGAGACTGCAGGGGAAGTAAAACCTGCCAGCTCTCGAACGAAAGAAATTCCAGATGAAGATGTCACCGTCAACCTGGAGGACCCGCACTCCGAGTCGGGCAAATATTGGAAATCAGAATTCGACAACTACCGTGTGAGAACGAACAAAGAGATCAAAAAGTTGATTCATTACCGGTGCATTGCCAAGTCATATGCTCGCAAGAAGGACTCCGAAGCCATGCGGCTGGCCGATAAGCTTAAGGAGGAAGAGGAGAAGGTTGCAGAGATGGAGAGGCAGGTATCACGACTTGCTTCTACCATGGTTGGGGAAGGATCCAAGGTGGATAAGGAGCAACTGATCCAGGATCTGACCAAGCAGACCGCTCTTGCACTGCAATACAAGCAACAAGTCACGTCGCTGCGCAACGCCTTAGAAAAACACGACGTTGTGAGCGATGCGGCACAAATCACAGAAAAGAAGAAGGAAGAGACGTCTTCCGGGGCTCCCTCAGACGAGCTCCGTAAAGCGCAGCAAGAGCTAAAACAAGCCAATGCCAAGATTGAAGAAATGCAACGCCAACAGTCCGAGCTGGGCACACTCCAAACCCTCGCGCAAAGCTCAGAGAAGAAAGCTCAAACACTCGAGCAAGAGAACAACACGCTCAAGCAAACGCTAGCTCGAGTGAAGCAGGAAATGTCGCGGTACGAGGGTCGGCGCAAGGAAAAAGAAACGAAACTGAAGCAGAGAGAGTCGAGACTGGAGTTACGGGTCCAGGAATACAGGGAGAGACTGAAGACTGTCACCAAAGAGCACCGTGAATCAGAGGAAAATTTGAGAAATGCCTTGGACGCAGAGCGTCGCAGAATGCAGAAGCAAATCGACCTTTTGAAGTTGAGACTTGGCACGACCGAACCTTTCCCAGTTCTGCCTTCTACTGAGCGGCAATCTTTCAGCCCTCGCAAAGACCCCACGGGTGTGCAAGTGTTTGACTTTGCCGGCCAGGATCTTGAGCAAGAAGATCCAGCAGATCCAGAAGAAGAGCCCACAGACGACATCGAGCCGCCCCCAAGCCCGAGTCCACGGTCCAAGGTCCGTGAGTCGCGGCCTGCTCTGCGCAGTGCTACTTTGGGCACAATTGGCTCAAGGCGCCATCTCCGGAACACGGCCGCAGATGACGACGAGGTGACCCATTACCTGAACGAGATCCTGCCAAAGCCACGCCATGAATCCCACCACGTTGAATTAGACGGAGTTCCACCTTCGTCGCCTCCTGATATTTCAGCTCTCAAATCTCTAAACCGCACATATTCCAAACGACGGCTCGGTGAAAACCGTCCTACTCGAGCTCTCAATCTTCTCGGTGCAGATGACACCGGGCTCAGCAGCAGAAACACGCAACGAGAGCGAACACATATTAAATCAACTCTCGACTCCCTGTCTGATCTCCCGTCTCGCAGTCGGTATACAAACTACACAATCTCAGCTGGTGACCGAGTGGGCAAGCGGTACGGGTTGAACGACATACAACGAGGAGGTCTTTCTCCTGAACGAATTGCGGATGCCCAGTCCCGACTCAGACAGAAGCAAATCAACAATAAGTCCAGAGCACTCGGCAAGGAGAACGTGTGAGGACTTGGGCGGTGTCATTAATCTCTATTTGTTTTTGCTTCTTTCTATTTGGAAATACTGAATGGCTCTTGGAGCGTGCGATGGCGTTAGAGTTATGAGCGTTACTTTCTTATCCAATTCTCCAATTCTTGCTATCTACTTACGAGCGAAATTCGATTGTTTGGAATCATCCAGCCTCCTCGCTGCTTTACCAATACACATGTACTTGTACCTCTCAGTCGAACTACAGTACAATGTACACGCTATTGGGACCCCCCGTGGAGAACACCCTGTTGATCTCCACAGAAATCGCCCCGATTCCCCGCAAATTGACCCCGGCGACCCTCCAGAATTTACCTAATTGATGTGTCCAGTATTCCAAGCTTCAGAGTCTACCGGAACATGACGTGGTCCGAGAAAAAAAAGATATAACAATAGTCATCCCGCTCAAAATATAGATCACCCAACTTCACCAATCACCAGTTCTAACCCACCAAATCTTCTTAATGGTATACAAAATGCAGTACCTCTACCCAACCCTATCCCTCTCCCTCCTAGCATCCCTCGCCGCGGCAGGAGATATCGATGCAACAACCTCCCATCCCAGTGCAAACAAGTCTGCGCTCCAATCGTGAGCCTGACAGCATCCTGCGACGCAAAGACCCATGATGATGATACAGCGGAGTTGAACTGCATCTGCAAGGATTCCAAGGCTGCTTCGAGTTTGTCGATGTGTGATGCTTGTATTTCGAAGTATAGTAAGGATGGAAGGGATAATGGTTTGTTTTGTTCTTGTTTTTGTTTTATGTATTGGGAGTGTGGACTAACCTTTGTTTAGATGCTAATGATCTTGTTCAGTCTTGTTTTTTTACTACTACTTCTTTCGATCCTACTGTGACTGCCACTGAGACTTCGGCTGGGACTGGGACTGGGAATGGAGAAACAGTTTCTAGTGCCGGTGGCTCGATGTCAACTTCTACGGGTATAGGAAGAGCGAGTGAAACTGCGTCTAGTTCGAGAGGTTCTATGAGCTCATCGTCATCGTCTACATCTTCTTCTACACCCTCGCCTTCTAATTCGGCTGGTGGTATCTCTACCCTCTCGGTCAGTGTTGTTGTCTCTCTAGCTGCGGGCTTCTTTGCTTCTTTCTTGGTTTGAGAAGGTGTATGTAACCAATCCCTCGACTTTGGCGTTATTAGCACCACACTCTAACCAACTGAGTTATGGAACCCGGATTGTTAGAATCGGAGCACTAGTTGACATAATAACCGAAAGTCCATATCCATCAACCAGGGAAAAATCCATTATCGCCACCACACCGCTATTCAACCTAAAAAAATAAAGGTTAGGCGCAAAGGAACAGGAACAAAAAGCAATGGACTCGCGGGGAATCGAACCCCGGACCACTCCCATGCTAAGGGAGTATTATACCACTAAACCACAAGCCCAATTGATTGATTGGTCGATAATATTATTGCTTCATGAGCGGAAAGGGATTGTTTTGATAGTGGGGTGGGTCTCTTCAGGCCAATCGCCAAGCTCATGCAGCCCTACAGGGTCAATTGAGTCAACTAAGTAATGTGGAAAGAATATAGTTGCTTGGTAATACCTCTATGTGTTCATTCGCTACTCCGTCGGACTCGATCTGTTAACCGGTTTGCAGTATTTGAAGGTTGGTGGTACAGTTCATGGTTGAGATATATATACATTCGCAGCCCATGTTGAACCGGTATCTGTACAACAATATCCACAGCCCAGACCCAATGTGCCTAGTATAGATCTACGAGAGACGTATGACACCTAAAGTTGCGGTGAGAACCAAAAGATCACCGCATAATTATACTAACATATAACCTATGCATAGATACGGGAACGTGCCAAGAGTGAGATCTAGCTTATCAGTGATCGACAGGGAGAAGTAATGTACAAAAGAACAACGACACCCGCGTGACTCGACTCCAATTGAGCAATGTACAGTAATAGCTGTCGAGATGGAAACTCTTACCATATCGAATTGACTATAAAATCCACCAGCGTAGACTTTCTCAATCCGTCGACATTCCCCATCGGATCTTCGGCGTTTCGCTGTCAATGAGAGTATATGATTGGCTGAAACCGCCGACCTATACGCGGGGGGTAGATCTGAAGCTCCAGGATAAGACCGATAACAGTTGCCATATAAAACCCCCCGCGCATTTTTGTGTTCTCTCTCTGTCACACACCTTTGCTTTTCCGATTTTATACTCCCTCGGACAGCCTCCTATACTCCCTTCTCCCTATAATTCGCAATGGCCTCGGTTTTCCGTGCCAGCACACGGCTGCGCTCTGCCGCTCGCCTCCCTGCTGCCCGCTCTCTCTCTACCACTGCCTCTCTCCGGGCTTCTGAGAAGCCTTACTTTCCCAATGAGCCTACCGCTCCCTCTGTCTCCGGCACTATCCCCGGCCCTAAGAACCAGGCTGCTGCCGCCGAGCTCGATAAGGTCTTCGACGTTCGCAGCTTGAACATGCTGACTGACTACAACCAGTCCATTGGTAACTAGTAAGACAGCCAATTCCTCTACTATGACCCTTGTTAACATTTCAATAGCATTGCCGATCTCGATGGCAACAAGCTGCTCGATGTGTATGCTCAAATCGCCTCTATTCCCGTTGGCTACAACAACCCCCACCTCAAGGAGGTTGCTGCCACCCCCGAGATGACCTCTGCCCTCATCAACCGCCCAGCCCTGGGTAACTTCCCCTCTTCCGACTGGGCTCACGTCCTCAAGACTGGTGTCCTCCGCGCCGCCCCCAAGGGTCTTGACCAGGTCTTCACTGCCATGGCTGGCTCCGACGCCAACGAGACTGCCTACAAGGCGGCCTTCATGTACTACCGCCAGTTGCAGCGTGGTGGCCCCGAGGTCGAGTTCACTGAGGAGGAGCTGCTCTCCACCATGAACAACGCCGGCCCCGGCTCTCCCCAGCTCTCCATCCTGTCCTTCAAGTCTGCCTTCCACGGCCGTCTCTTCGGATCCCTCTCTACCACCCGCTCCAAGGCCATCCACAAGCTGGATATCCCCGCCTTCGATTGGCCCCAGGCCACCTTCCCCCAGCTGAAGTACCCTCTGGAGGAGCACGTCCAGGAGAACGCAGCCGAGGAGCAGCGCTGCCTGGCCGAGGTCGAGCGCCTCATCAAGGAGTTCCACAACCCCGTCGCCGCCGTCATGGTCGAGCCCATCCAGTCCGAGGGTGGTGACAACCACGCCTCACCCGCCTTCTTCCAGGGTCTCCGCGACATTACCAAGCGTACCAACGTCCTCTTCATCGTCGACGAGGTGCAGACCGGTGTCGGTGCCACCGGAAAGTTCTGGGCTCACGACCACTGGAACCTGTCCTCTCCCCCCGACATGGTCACCTTCTCCAAGAAGGCCCAGACTGCCGGTTACTACTACGGCAACCCTGCCCTGCGCCCCAACAAGCCTTACCGCCAGTTCAACACCTGGATGGGTGACCCAGCCCGCGCTCTGATCTTCCGCGGTATCATCGATGAAGTCGAGCGTCTCGGCCTAGTCGAGAACACCCGCATCACCGGTGACTACCTGTACGGCGGTCTCCAGCGTCTCGCCGAGAAGTACCCCCAGCACTTCCAGAACCTGCGCGGTAAGAACCAGGGCACATTCATCGCCTGGGACACCCCCAAGCGTGACCAGCTCGTTGCCAAGGCCAAGTCCTTCGGTATCAACATCGGTGGCAGTGGCGCCTCCGCTGTCCGCCTGCGCCCCATGCTCGTCTTCCAGAAGCACCACGCTGATATCCTGCTCGAGAAGCTCGAGCAGATCATTCAGGCCGTCTAAACTCAGTCCGGCAATGTCCTTTCTGAGTTATGACTTTTGGAAAATTGCCCGGGCGTTTGAACTTGATTTAATGAGCGTTTCTTTTACTATATTTATGACTGTTTTCTTTTCTTTTTTTTTCAATCTTGCTGCAACGAGTTTACGGCATACAAAATGGCCATGTACATTTCTAGACAGTTTGCTTGTCAATTGAATTATGACCCAAGAGAATTACCGAGACTTGTAGTGATAATCATCCCAGCCGCGGTTTTATGTTTTATGGTTCCAGAAAAAGGAATTTGGCACTGGTCTCATAAGCAGCAGTTTGGTCCTGCCATGCCCTTGTAATCCAATAAGTAATATGAAGAAATAAGAAAGTGTGCAATGCTCCATCCGAAACTCCTAACCAGCAAAATTGTCCAAACCATTTCCCACCCTGCTTATCGAATGGCGTGTGCTATAGGGGTATCCGGACCAGAATCGTATGAACAAGGGTGGGGAGGTCGTGTAGTGCCCGAGACCGGTAGGTACTTCAAGCATCCTCCTCGCCGGTACTTCCATCTCGCCTGTGACAAGCAGTCAGTATGAACCGAAGAAAAGAGCCACGAAGGTTGTGTTTATAGAGCTGGGGCGCACGCACGGAACATATTTGATTCCAGAGTCCTCAAGACTGCTGATGATGTATTCGGGGAGCTATTGACACGAACAGAATTAGCAACACTGCTCGACAGACTTGAGAGGTCCACAGAAATTGTATTCCATTGCACATCCCCTCAGAAATTGGAGACTTCACTCACCGAACCTGTCACCTTGGTCGCATATGTACCCGGCACATAGTTATCCAACCGCTGCCAGCGAGCAACCCAGCTAACAGCTGGATCTCGAACAGCGATTAAACCCTCAAAGACCTGCGACGTGCATTCTTGGATAGCGTCGTTGTTTCCGCGGAGCTGGAGGGTATTTTCGCAGTTCGGACAGCCTTCACGCATGAATTTCTGGAGTAACCGGGGTGGTCAGAGTAAGCTGCGGAAAGTAAGAGGAAGAGCTCATACATTGTGGATTTGGACGACGGAGCAGACCATGCAGGCACGCAGCGTGCGCTGCTGGTTTGGAGCGGCGTAGAAAGACATTGGTAAGCTGTAGAGGAAGGCAAGGAGGAGTGAAAGAGATCGGAGGTCGAGTCTGGATGCCAAGCCCCGTTGCGATCGGGGAAAAAGAACATGGGAGAACCAGGAACAAGAGACCCTTCGTTTTTTTTCTTAGCCGCCACGCTTAGTTCTCTTTCTTTTTCTTATTATTACCTTCTCTCTTATTCAGGAGCTTTCCATTCGGGGTTCTGCTCTCTTTCTCTTTGCTTTCTTTTTACCCTCTCTCCGATCCCGATCATCGCTTGTCTCGTGCCCCTCGCATTTTCCTCCGCCCCCCAATGGCTACCGATCAAGCAGCCGGCACGGCTCTCAAGGTGCAAGGCAACAAGGCCTTTGCTGCGCATGACTGGCCTACAGCTGTCGACTTTTATAACCAGGCTATCGATAAATATGACCAGGATCCGTCCTTCTTTTGCAACCGGGCCCAGGTGCGTTCCTGATACTCATGGTGGCACATTCTCGCGAGTCGCGTGTGCATTTAGACTGGAATGGTGTTTGCTGATGCGTCCCCTGCTACAGGCCCAATTCAAACTCGAGGCATTCGGTTTTGCCATCGCCGACGCTACAAAGGCATTGGAGCTCGATCCCAACTATGTGAAGGTCCGTCGCTACATATCCTGCAGATGGAGGTTGTGTGAGGATATATGCTGATTTTGGGTTTCTTCTAGGCTTACTGGCGCCGTGCCCTGGCTTATGCTGCCATTCTTAGCTACCAGGATGCTTTGAAGGATTTCAAGGCTGTTGTCAAGCGCGAGCCCGCCAACCAGAGCGCGAAGCTCAAGACTGCCGAGTGTGAGAAGCTTGTTCGTCGCATAAACTTCGAGAAGGCCATTGAAGTTTCGGATCCGCCCTCCGCGTTTGCGGACCTGGATATTGAGGCTATCAAGGTTGAGGATGGTTACGATGGTGTGCGCCTCGGCGAGGAAATGTCACAGGAATTCATTGATGACATGATTGAGCGGTTTAAGGATGGAAAGAAGATCCACCGCAAGTATGTCTTCCAGATAATCAAGGCTGTCAAGGATCTCGTCTACGCCGAGCCCACGATGGTGGAGATTGGCGTTGAATCTGGCAAGAAGTTGACGGTTTGCGGTGATACACACGGTATGTTCGGCCTACCACGGCATAGTTAAGCTGTTGCTAACTTGAACAGGCCAATTCTTCGATTTGCTTGAGATCTTCAGACGAAACGGCGCTCCCTCCGATACCCACGCTTATCTCTTCAACGGTGACTTTGTCGACCGTGGCTCCTGGTCTTGCGAAATTGCCTTGCTCCTATATGCATACAAGTGGCTGCGACCCAACGGTCTTTTCCTCAACCGCGGAAACCATGAAACGGACGATATGAATAAGGTTTACGGATTCGAAGGCGAATGTAAGGCCAAGTATAACGAGCGTGTATTCAAGGTGTTCTCCGAGTCCTTCTCAGCCCTTCCCCTGGCCACCCTGATCGGCGACAAGTACCTCGTCCTACACGGCGGTCTCTTCTCCGACGACAAGATTACCCTGAACGATATCCGCAAGCTCAACCGCCACAACCAACGGCAACCCGGCCAAGCCGGCCTGATGATGGAGATGCTCTGGACCGACCCGCAGACAATGCCTGGCCGTGGCCCCAGCAAACGTGGAGTCGGCCTCCAATTCGGACCAGATGTCACTAAGCGCTTCTGCGAGAACAACGGTCTGGAAGCAATCATCCGCTCGCACGAGGTGCGCATGGATGGTTACGAGGTTGAGCACGACGGCCGCTGTATCACCGTCTTCTCCGCTCCCAAGTATTGCGACTCGACCGAAAACAAGGGTGCCTACATTAACATCGGCCCTGAACTCAAGCTCAACTACGAAGTGTTCGAGGCCGTGCCCCACCCCGATATCAAGCCGATGGTAAGTTCCCTTTAATCTCAACTCAAGTTTCAAGCTAACAGTCCCAGGCATATGCACAAAACTCGCCTCTTATGGGAATGTGATAGGGAATCTGATTTGCAAGCGCGGCGTTGCCAAGAGATCTAGAAATGATGTTTCTAATGTATTTATGTGCATGATTGACGTGTTCCAACTTGTTCCCTGTACTGTAGTTGTGACGTCGCCGTTGTATACTTCACACCGCCCTTGCCCCGCGGTTTCCCCTCGATTCTGCCCCATGCATTTCTTTTGCTCTCCGATCTGGTAGACCACTTCACATAAAGCAGTCATGGAATTCGATCCTAAGACACGTAAGTGGTGTTTTGCCGCCCGATTGTATTCGTTGCTAACCTGATCAGCTCAATACCTCACTTCCGATAAGTCGAGCTTTGCCTCGGTCTCAGCGAATGACCGATGGCCCGTTATCATTGTAAGCTTACCTCGGACGACTAAGGCCTCGGTGTCAATTGCTGATTATATGTGATGGGCATAGACTGGTGCCATTGATGACCTGCACCGCACGGTCGTTGGTGTGGATGATGACGAGAAGGCCAATGAAGGCAAGGGTATCATTGCCAACATGGCTAAGTTGAAGTATGAGCTGCAGCATGACCGACAACTTACGTGAGTCTTCTCGTTCCACACCTTGAAGAGGAGACTTTTCTGACCGATCGACTGATAGCCCTTTGGACGACGACGGACACCCCGATATTGCCTCTTACAACCAGGAGCTGGAGCAGCGAGGAAACCCTCACTGGCACGACGTGCCCTGGCTGTACGCCGAATGCTACCTCTGTATGCAGCCAACTGAATGTAAAGTAAACCGATGCTGACCTGATATCAACACAGATCGCCGGATAGAAGCTCTCTTCGCATTGTCAAAGCACTGGAGGGGCTATGATGTGTTCGCCCGCCAGAAGATGGACACATTCAAGTCCTCTCGCCCTGCCGTACTAGAACTCGCCGCAAGATATCGCGAGCTAGCACAAGAAGCAGAGTCAGGCAAAGGAGCGGAAGGAAAGTCGCCTGAACAGGTTGAACAAGCCGAGAAGCTTCTCTTCTCAGAGATGTGCGAGATCTGCCTATGGGGCAATGCTACCGACCTTTCTCTCTTGACATCTCTCACATATGAGGATATCCAAAAGCTTCAAGGTTCTCAAGCGCGCAAGGACTCTCAAAAGAACATCATCGTCAACGACCTCGACGCCGCCTTCGACGCCATGCAAAAAGCCCGTAAAGAGAAGAAAGACGGCGAGCGCCGCGTCGACATTGTCCTCGACAACTCCGGCTTCGAGCTCTTCGTCGACCTAATTCTCGGCGGATACTTGCTCTCCGCAGGCCTGGCGACAACAGTCGTTCTCCACCCCAAGCGTTTCCCATGGTTTGTGTCCGATGTCACGCCGAAGGATTTCTCCGACCTCCTCAACAGCATGGTCGACCCACAAGCCTTCTACACAGCCGCCGATGACTCCGGCAAGACGTCCCCGCCACTTTCAGAGAAGGAGGTGTCCGACGTGCAGTTCCTCTTCGAGCAGTGGAGCCAGTTCCACCAGGATGGTAAGCTAATTTTGCGCCCGCATGCGTTCTGGACTACTCAAGGTGGTTATTGGCGTATGCCGCATGTTGCCCCGGAGCTGTTTGAAGATTTGAAGGAGAGCGAGCTTGTCCTGTTCAAGGGTGATTTGAACTACCGGAAGTTGGTTAATGATGTAAGTGGACTCTTTCATTCACGGGTGAACTTGAACGTATGCTAATAACATCCAGGCCGCATGGGATCCTACCACGCCATTCACAGAGGCTATCGGGCCCCTCGGTCCCAAGTCTGGTATTCGTGTCTTGGCCTTCCGCACCTGCAAGGCTGATACCGTCGTTGGCCTCCCCCCCGGCGAGGACGAGAAACTTCGTGAACTGCCTGGTGGCGGTGGCTCGGAGTCTCGCAAGTGGGCCTGGAGTGGTAAGTGGGCTGTTGTCTCGCTGTCTGATGGCAAGGCTTAGATTAGAGGCCTGTCAAGTTGCTTGGCTGGAAACTAGACGTGATTAGACTTATGTGCACGATTTGGAGCACCCAGTAGATGAATCTCTTGCGTTTGATATAGATGGATATAATGAGGCGAACAGAGTACAGTTGCAATAAATAATACAGCGAATAACAAATCGAGCCAAAAGCCATTCGACATTACTTTCCCGTAGAGTTGATTGGGGCAGTCAATATGACCTTTGTTTGCTCTTCTAGGGTCTCTCCCCCTCCTTTCTCTCTTGATTATTAGGAGCGAGAGTAGCTTTAGCTAGTAAATATATTCTATCCTCCTTTTACTTCTTAATTATCGGAAAGGGTACTACTATATATAGCTATTAGTTTCTAACTTTACCCTCTTCCATCTCTACTATCTTACTTCCTTACCCTCTTCCTTCTCTACTATCCTACTTCCTCATCCTCTTCCTTACTCATCCTCTCCTCCTTTCACCTATCCTTTGTCACACGACAAAAAAGACGACGCAGATCTAGGTGATCCTAACTGATGACTGACTGAATATCTCTATGAATCTGCTAACCTTTGAACAGAGTCGCCTCCTACCAAACAATTGCCACGGCTGGATACGATAGCCTACGACTGCCAACAATTGAGGGCGTTCCGATAGGACGGGTCTGAGAGGGACTACTCGAGAGGTCAAATGTTTGCAGAATTCGCTCGAGCAATTTCTAGTCTTCGCATTTGAACAAGGACACCGAGCGAAGGTCCTGGCAAAGCTCGCTCCCGATTCTCCAAGTCTCTATCTGCCACCCTCAGTTGGTGACATAGGGCAAATAACATCTGGGCATTCGTCAGACTTGAAGCCCCCGACCAGCAAACCAGACGCAACCAGGAAATTTGGACGAGCGCCGCAGGCTCCTTCTCTCGACAAGGTACTCAATCACTGACTTGTGATTTTCGATACCAACACAGATGTGTATCCAACGATGACATCGCATGAATTGAACGGCTGTTTGCCGTGTCATCAGCAGAAAGACTGGATTCCCTGATGATGGTGGTCGGATGCAAGAGAAGTATGTGGCAAGGTAGAACGAATTCTGGACAAGTCAAAAGCGCAGACACCATGGTCGATGCACAGGGGACTGGAAGACTGGTATACCGAGAAAGTCACGGTCAGCAAGACTGCTGCTAAGCGTAAGGCCGCTGGTGGTGAAGTCTTCAACTACCTATCGAAAGAGAAGATGAACGGAGATTGTCAAGACATGAGGAAGCTCCGGGGACAACCAAATGGAAGCTTCCTACCCGGCCAGCACCACTGTGCTGTCCATCTCCGTGAACCATTTGATCCGACCCCAATCTCGAGGTGTTAGCCACTCAAGACCTCTTTCACTCTTTGTCTGAGATTATTTTGACCCTTGGCATTTTGGTCCCTTTATTTGTTGAATGGGCTTTCATCGAGTACCTCTTTCATCTCATTATTTGCATAATCCCATTGTCTCTTTGATAGTACTGTCAAGTCCCTCACTGCCATGTCGCAAGTAAAGCTATTTAAGGTAGCCGGAACCACCCTATAGCTGAACACGAAAACAAGTTACATCAACAAATCTTTAAGACTTCAACGGAAATTGTCAACATCTCCATGGCTCCAAGTTACCCTAAGTGGGAGCCGAAGGCGGAAAACTTGCAAAAATGGTTGAACAACGCCAATGAACCCGGATGTCCTATTCCTAAGACCACGGTAACCATGGCAAATCTGCCGCCGTCAGAATATTTCATATATAGCAAAGCGGCATGTTTGAGCCTGACCCAATCTAATTGGGTCGCCAGTCTGGGTCTACCAGTCGAGACCTCAGTAGAGGACGCAGATTCTGTCTGTCAATTCCTTTCACTTCACAAGAACGAACTCCCATGGGCCCACTGGTCCGGGCGAATTGGTCCAGGAGTGATGATCATTGAATGTATCAGGAGAGAAAATGACTCAACCGCTCCATGGATTTCCGAACTAACCAAGGCGATCTATGAAAACTACTCCTCACTGAGTGACTTGCGGTACGTATTTCTGACCGATGTCCAGAACGAGGACACGGTAGAGTGTATCACGACAATTTGCCACACTCATCGACTTCCATATCCAAGCGATGATGACCATGGAACGTGGCCTACGGGAGTCTGGATGCCTCCATCGCCGGAGTTCAATGCCTTGCTGGGTACGCGACTTGGCAAGGTTGTCGCATATTTCATTCTAGGTGCGTATGGCCAGGGTGTCAAGCGAATTGCTAAAATCACATTCTTCAACGCGAAACGCAAACAGCTAAACCTGCGGTTCGACATTGAGAACGTTTGAAATTCTCCTCTCTTTAATGTTGCTAACTTTGCTGACAAGTTATAGATTATTTCTTTAGATTCATGGCGATATCTTGCCACAGTGTTAATTGGGTATTATTCGCGTTGTGCTAGATTGTTATTAGTTCTCAAACGCTTTTTTTGTATGAATATACACCATCGGTACTCTACAGTAAACGTAAAATGTAAACATGATAGGGCGAATCACCAAACTTATTTAGGATACGAGCTTAGAGACATGATACTCAAGGACATCCTATGGGCTTATTTTAGATTTATCAATGGCTTACTATGATTCTAATAGAGCGAAGTACACGTACAGTAGATATTGGTAATATAAATACTACGCTTTCCCTGAGATAGTAAGCCGGTCCGTTTATCATAAAGGGGCGGTCTATTTAACATAGCCCTTTAAAGATACCAAACAATGACGGCAGTGTACTAAATACTAGATAGGCCAAAGTAGACGGACCACTAGGTACCTAACTATCATAGAGGAAGAGGAGTGACACTAAGGTCTACTATAAAAGGTATCGTAAAACGTACATTCAAATTATGATAACTTATCCCTTCAAAATGCAGACGATAGGCCACCACCACCCGCAACATACGAAGATTCCCCCTTCTCCCGCCTGGTCTTTTCCCTAAGAACCAGTGCAGTAACAAGAACCATCAAATCAAAGCTCTCACCCCAGAATGCATAAACATTCACGTACCCATCTTTCTGCACACGACCACCACCAGGCGAGAGAACCGCTAGAACCTGGTTCTGTTCGTCAACCATCTTGTGGCTCCCAGTCGGACCGAAGCTCTCATGGGATTCTGTGTTCTTCCAAGTGAAAGTGCGATTTTCGCCGTGGATATCCATTTGGAAGGTGTGGCGGGTTGAGAGGAAACCCTTCTTGCTTAGAGTGGTAGTGCATGTTGCCTTGTCCGAATGGCTTGGATCACCTAGGTTGATCTTGACGTCTGATGAGAAGCGAATGAATTTGCCAGTTCCTGCGACTGGACCATTGGTGTTCGTTCCGGCGTAGAAAGTAAGTTCTGGTTTGTCTGGCGTGGAAGTTGAGTTTTGGACGTGGTATATGGTTGAGCCGTCGGTCACGATTTGGTATTCAGAGTTCCAATTACCACCAGCGATTTCGTACTGGGTGAATTCCAATTTGCTTGAATGTTCCAGCATGGTGATTGTGGGGCCAGTTTTTGTTGGTGGACGTGGCTCGGAGTATGTAGGAGGCACCCTTGGGTTCTTATAACCAGCAAACCCGACAGAACCAGATATCAGATACTAGAGACATCCATGATGAACTCTTCGCACTAGGTCGAGGGAAAGGGCAGTGCTGACCCAGCCCCGATGTGGATGTCACGGGGCACGGAATACGGAACGCCCCGTTCAGCCTATCTACTTAGTTACCTCTGCCACTTCTTGGCCTTCCCTTTCCGTTTTAGTGCTCAGACCTTCCGCTTTTTGGTCACTAAATCCTAGCAGAGAACCCTGATCATGTCGCCAGTAACGGGCGGGTCCGCCACAGTCAATATGTTTTGCATAGTTGCATCCTATATGATTGGTTCAAACCTGACCGCTAGTAATATTAATTGCTTGGCAATATCTCTTTCACATTCTTCCATTACGCCACCGTTCTAACATAATTCTCTACCAAGCTACGCATCCTCCGAGCTACGTACTTTAGAACACCATAGTAAATAATATAATAAATTTTTAGCCCTATAAGTAGGTTTAATATAATCTAAATAGCATTACTATCTCTTAAAATCTTCTATAAATATCGTATTTACTATAGTGATCTAGAAACGATTGCGAAGAACATTAAGAATAAATACAACTTCCGAAGGGTGACATTACCTCTAAAACACTTGGCACCTTCGGATTAATTCTTTACTGTGGCCCGAAGCTCCTACTGTGGCCCGAAGCTCCTACTGTGGCCCGAAGCTCCTACTGTGGCCCGAAGATCCGACTGTGGCGGACCCACCCGTTACTGGCGATGTCACGTATGCTCTCAAACCTAGCACGCCCCTGAGCGCCCTGATCCACTCACTGATCATCACCTAAGTGCCTTGGTTCGCTTACTGAGCATGAGCTGAGCGTAGGCATAAGCGGCCTGGGTAAGCAACATCAATAAATGTAACACGCTAGTTATATACGTGACTTTTCTCTAGCTGGGTCCGGGTGGGGATGGGTGACCTAGTACTGGGTCCGGGGCCCTAACGGTTATAAATTAAGTGAGTAGGGAGAAATGTTGGAGTTCCCCACAGCTCGGATGGGATTGGACCTCGGCTGGGCTGATGTCGACACTCCGTATTGTTCGGAAAGTAATCAGGACTGTATCGGGAGGTGATCGGCTCCCAGTGTAGTTCGCTAAGTCTATATCATACTATGTAGTGTTCCTGGGATCACTTCCTCTACTGTGTGCTAAGTCATAAACCCTTAGGTTACCATCGTTACGCACGACTAATTGGTCGTGGTATGTTGAATAACATTGTTACTTAAGTAGGACAGGGGGCAGGCTGGTTCTTATTTAGATAATTGAGACATTCAGATTTGACATCATTCTAGCAGAGGTGTCAAGTGTCACAATTTCCTACCGCTCTCAGTTACTTGCACCAAAGCCTCCTTCGGGTGGAACCGTAATCAATATCCTGAATTTGAGCTTCAGGCGGCCAGATAAACACAGAGGGATACATCTCCCTTTTTGGGAGGGAATGCACAGGGAACTGTTTTGCTAACGCAACTATGTGCGCGGTGGCATAGAAATCAGCAATTTCAGGCTTTCCGGGTAGATGTGAGCGCCATGGCGCAATAACAGTTCCATGATGCCGCTTTGCCCGCAAGAGATTGCTAGGTTGATAGCAGAATGGCGGAGGGTTGGTAAATCAGGATCCAATCCGTTTACCAGGAGAAGGGTGACGACTGAGTCTTGACCAAATTCAATTGCTTTGACGACGGCCTTTTCTTGGTCAAAGCTGCAAGCTCCAAAAGATTGGAACGGCAATTCTCAGCTCCGTACTTGGCGAGTAGCATTTCTAGCGGTTTCTTGTTGCTTTGCAAAATAGCTTCATGTAAATGTTCCTCATCGACATCGGCGCCGTGGGCTAAAAGCGTCTCGATGAGCTCATCATGGCCTTTCCCAACTGCTAAGTGTAAGGGAGTCTTCCACAGAACCCCGTTTTGAGATCAATGTTGGAGCCGTTGTTAAGCAGAAAGTCCACCAGAGTCAAATGGCCGTGGGTGGCTGCCACTGATAGTGCTGTTGCTTCGTGTCCTCTTCCTCCATGCCGGTTTATAGGCTTCCTAGGAACATGCCGTTCAATATACCTGTGGTTGATATCTGCTCCATAACCAAGGATCATCGATACTAACGCTGTATCACCGGATACAGCAGCAAATGGAAGAGACGAAGAAGCATAGTCGCTGGGGCTCGAAGAAGAATACAACAAGTATTCAACCACCTGCGTTTGTCCTCTTAATACAGCCTCTTTGACAGGAGCCAACGTGAATATAGTATCCTTATACATGGGAAGTGTCGACACGTTAGACAGGACCTTGATGACCAAGAGAACTTGTTTTTCGCCGCTAGGTGCGTGGGAGTTTCACCGAGGTTGCTCTCAAGGTCTGGTTCCGAGCCCGCGCTCAGTAGATACTTGACAAGCGCCGAATGCCCATGTTCCGCAGCATCCAGTATCGGGTGCTCCAAATGACACGAACACAGGACCTGGTTTCCAAATCTGTCTGGGAGGTGTTCTTGGTCATGGACAGGTTGGCCTTTCACATGGTATCCCTCTTTGATGACCTGAGCTACCGCAGGGATGGATCTTAACTTAGCTGCCTGAAGAATACCATCCCCGTTATGATGGCGAAGGTTGTATCGATACAACAGGTGTTTTAGCAGATGATAGAAGCGGTGGTTGACTTTTAATCAGCGCTTTGAGATCTTTTTGTGATTGTAATTGCTGCGCAATCAGCAGCAACAGCTCGTTTGAAACAGTTGAAATTGACATTTGGAATGAAGGTTCAAGAGGCGGTTTGTCTGGGGGTGAGCTCGGGGACAATTTATCCGCTACCCCGGACGGACATAGATGTCCTCTTCGTCGAGGTTCTTCACTTTCGGGCTTCTCATCCTTCGCGCTCCCTTCCAAATCTTCACACACGATATGACTTTCGCTCGTCCGCCCGCATCCACATGGGAGCTTTATCACAAACTCAAAGTCCATCCGAACTGGGGATATGTCATATATCGCACCACTTATTCCCCTCAATCTGACGCCCACTTCTCCACTGCGGTCAAGTATGTCGAGGCCTCTGTAAAAAATTCATTCTTCAGGGAATGCGCATCTAAAAAGGGGAGTTCAACTGGCGTAGATCCCGCCATTTACGAGGAAATCTGGGCCAAACATAGTTCAACTGTCATGGAAGATGTGGCTCTCTTCGATGGTGCCTCAATTGATTTAATACGCGCTCATTTTGAGGCATGGGTGGATACACAGGGTCAGCGCGATTCTTTCAACAAATATCGAATGTGCATAGTCATTGATGAGGAATGCCTGCAAACGCTGCTGGGTACATCGGCGGAAGCCCTGGAGCAGGAGACTGAATACAAGAGAGACAAAGCAAAGCGTTATGTGAAGGTCCTCGAAGCGTGGCCCTATGTCGACCAGTATGATACCTTTCCGGGATGAATGAAATGCTGGACGAGGGCGTTATGGGATCTATGGACGATGATGTGCGATGGTGACGAGATGAGCATGTCTTGGGAGAAAATTGATGATTTTTACCCGGAGGTGTATTGCGGATGATTGGTGATGATGTTAAAATTTGATGGGGCCCTCGTTTGCTCCTAGGAACCAAATATTACACACCTAGCATTGGGCTTCGGTGCGAAAAAAGAAAAAAAGACTTCTCACAAAGAATTCTCGAGAGAAGCTTTCCTTCAGAAGCTCCTCTGATTAAGGCTGCCCAAAATTACCTTTGAGACTTTGACGACTACCAACCTACCAGACTATCAGGCATGCATGTATGCATATAATAAGACCTATCTCGATTCAACGCGCCACCGTATCTTCTGGAGTAGGGCGCGGAATCCTGTCAGGAGGATCAGCGATGAGTTTGAATATCAGCTCGCTAATGCTTCACGCATATATAAGTCGCATTTCTCACTCGTGTTCTAGAGTACCCGCTGAGAACACTATCGGTGTCCTGTGATAGAGACACTCGAGTCTTACGTGAAGAATTTCTAAGTGTGGAATGTGACTCACTATTGAACATGTATACGAAAGTAGGTTTAGCTTAGTAGAGCCCTCCGTAGCCCCATCCTAACCTTAATTTTCTTTATTTTCCCGAAGCTGAACAAAGCCAATAGGATACTCGACCGTATGCGCAGATTAATTCATGGGGATAATGGTATTTTCAAGCAAACAGGGTAATTAAACAGTGTAAGAAAACATATCTTTCTCTTAGATCGCTAATGGAATTGTCTATTTGGCAAGATCGCCTGCTCCATTCATTCTTCCCGTCAAGTTCAATTCATCAACAGTATTCTGATGACCGCGGTTCTGCAACAAATTGGTGTCAAACATGACCTTGAGATCCTCGGTTGCGATGTCAGGTGCCTGGGCAACACCCTTGACCAAACCAGTCCCGGGTAGGCGGTCCGCTAAGGACTAGAGTGCAAACTTCGAAGGTTCTAATGTTGCCTTTGTTGCTGACTTGAGCACCGCCACCTATAAGTCTACTTGGGCACATCTTGGGTTATCGTAGTTCAGCATATTTGGACATCTTCACACGGCAATATTTTTGAGAAGATACGAAGTAAACCAGACCATGTACATAGTAACTGGCAAATATCAGGCAAATATGGCCAAGATCACAAAATCTAGATCCCCACAAAGAAACGTTATCCCGCGATGTAAAATTGGTCGAAAACCCGGAGTTTGATGACTTTTTAGGGGGTAATAGAGCTATTTTGGCAGCCACTAAGGGGCTCAAATGGCCTAATTAGGTATAGCTTTTGCCGACACTAGCACCACGCTAGCACCTAAACAGGCTAGAGGCCATCGCTTAGTCCTTCAGAATACAAAGAAAGAGCCAATAGGATACTTCCGTTTCAACGCGATGTAGCTTTAGACTGGACTCTGGCCCAGACCTGCAGAGACCCTGAAATAATTCTTGTCGTATATGAAGGCGCTGACCGCTCTATCTTTTCCTCTTATCATCTTTTCACAATTTCCATTCCTGTCGCTCGTTTGACTATATACCCCGACATTCGTTAAATCAATACAACATGCGTATCCAATCTTTCGCCCTTTTGGCCGGTGCCACTGCCGCTATCGCTGCCGAGACAGTCTCTCTTTTCCTAATTGGCTTTGATGAGCAACCACTTGAGGGCAAGGTCATTGGCACTGTAAGCGCAACTATCCCTCTATCAATCTACCACAAAAACCTAACCAATATTATGCTAGACCGGTTCTATGACCAAATATCTCGTTAAGTGTGCTGATGGCGTTGATTCCACCGAATGCGGCCTTCCCCCTAATGGCATGACCGTGGCCCAAGGCTCTTCAACCGTCAGCCTGGCATACAGCACGGGACGTATGTGAGTATATCCAGCCCTACGAAGAATCCACTTCTACCCCATAAGTCATAGCTGATCATTTCCTGAAACAGGTCCATCGATGAGAACTGTAAGTATGATTCCGTAAGCGTGACCTGCGCCGCAAGCCTCGACGAGGAAGGCATAACCACCACCTTCACCTCCGCCGTCGCCCTCACTGAAATCCCCGGTGGCGGCGCTTTGATGCCTGTCACTATCACCGGAACTGGAACGGAGAAGGCTGCCGCCACTACTGGTGCCTCCGTATCGGCTTCTACCGCTGCCTCGACTAGCGGCGTTACTTTGACTACCTCCGCTTCGACTACCGGTGGTACTAGCACTGGTTCTAGCACTAGCGAGTCCTCGGATAGCAGCAGTGCTGCTGCCACCAGCCAGACTAAATCTGGTAACGCTGCTATGCCTATGATTACTGGAAACGCGCGCTGGGCTGCCGGTGGTGTTGCAGCTGCATTGGCTCTTGCCGCTCTTTGATCATCTGGACATTTTTTGGAGTGAGGTTGGAGGTGTATAGTTGTGGCTCGGTTAACGCCTCTCTGCCTTGATAAAAAATATGTACTTCCTCATGTATCCTTGCAATATACGAAGCGTGATAATTTTTCTTTACTTTGGTCTTATCGACCTAATCTGAATCTATATTGTTAGCAATCGAATATGTACCTCGTATTTATGTCATATAACGTGGGACCTCGGAACATGTACACTGAGCGCTAAGTTATAACCCTCTAGTCTTCAATCGGACTCGTGGCGTGTAAGTTATGACTTGCGGTGCAAGATACCAGCCGCAGCCTATATAATAGTCAGTGCCTGTCCACACGAAAATCCAACCGCAAAAGAAACTTACTTGGGGTTGGGGAAGACCAGGGTATCAGCGATGACAACATTCTCACGGCGACTAGCGGAAAATACAACAATCTCGGCGATATCATCACCGATCAATGGCTCGACGCCCCTGCCAATGGTTAATTATACTGCTTGCTTCGACTTATTTGGCAAGACTTACTTGTAAATAGCATCAGCCTTGGACTTGTCTCCATTGAATCGCACAATAGAGAACTCCTAATCACGAGTATTAGCATCATATCACAACTGTAAGTACAATATAAGCGGTGACCATACCGTTTCACTAACACGAATTCTAGTGGCGATAAGCTCCTTTCTCATCGCATCAGTGAAGGAGCGGACAGCCGCCTCGGTGGCGCAGTAAATGCTACCACCAGATTGATTACAGTAATTTACGTCAAGTCATCAAGATACATTGATAGATGTAAGGATGGCGGAAAGATGTCCTAATATAGACTAGTGCGCTCCAGGTGGGGCTCTGGGCAACAATGCGAGAGCGTGAAAAGGTAAAGCTGATTTCGAACATTACTGTAGCAAATACTCTTTAGGATATGTCCCTACATCTTTGTGACTATATATCTAAGATACTAAGACAGATCTATGCTTTCTTATACTAGTAATTAGCGAATGTTTCCCTTTAACTTGCCATAAGCTTTAACTGTCCTACCTTCAATAACACTTCTAAGATATTTTCGATTTATATAAACAGCTACACTCTTACTACATCTAATAGTCGTGACGATTCCACGTAGTAACTCATAGAATCGCTCTTTATAGAGTGGAAAATCTTATAGGCCATCAGCTGTGACATTTCTAAGAATAGGCTTCTTCAGATATTTATCTTTCTAGCGTAATTCAATAGGCCGTCCGCTAAAGAGGTCATACTTAGCTAAGTCCTCCACAGTTTCGATACTAAATAGAGCACCGTGTTAAAGGGCAATAGCAATTTCAGTGTTTGTTTACTCTTTGTAGTACGCCAGGTCTATAAAGTAGACCAGCTTACCTGCGTCAGGGAATTGGCAAAGATACACTTTGCGACAGTTGGTCATGAAACCCGAGCAAATAAAAAAGAGAGTATTCATTCAGTCATAGACATGATGTCCAGAATATCTAACATGGTATCAAGGTATAAAAAAAGAAACAAAGAAAAAAAGCAGCATCAATCCTCCACAGCTGTACAGAATTTATAATCAAAGCCTTTTTCCACGCCAAAGAAACAAACCAAAAACAAAAAGCCAACATCCTAATCAATACAACGGCATAGGCGAAGCGTTGGCATAATCAATATTATGCTCAACCGACTCAATCCGGTCAGTACAAGTACCGAAAACCCGATCCCAAAGCCTCGTCTGCTTGCCATAGTTATGACTCTTCTTCCAGCCCTTCCGATGATGCAAATCATGATCCTCAATCACAAGCTCAGCATCAAACCAGCGCAGCACAAAGCTAAGCGTCGAAGGCGGGGTAGCATGCACACGTAGACCACTGTGGCCCGCCAACTCGGCGAACACGACATACTGGTGGCAGATCCACCACTCGTAGAAACCCATGGGCATACCCATGAACCGCATGGTGAAGTAGGTCATCACAGGGATACCGAGGATATCGAAGAACTCCTGCTCGGTATCGGCGTATAGAGTGAGGAGTGGGTTCGGGTGCTTGGTAAGGTGGTGGGTGCGGTGGTATTTCCATAGCGCGCCGACGTCGTGCATCAAACGGTGGTACCAGTAGAACCAGAAGTCGAGGATGATACCGTAGAGGCCGACTTCAAGGGGTAGCCAGGCGAAGCTCATGGTTGATGGTTCGTGCGTTGAGCGGTAGGCTAGGAAGACTGTGAACATAGGGCGGAAGGTCGAGGTTGACATTAATGAGCGGACGACCTTTGCGACGCCGACGTCTGGGACGCCATCGCGGGCGTGCTTGTCGCCGTCTAGGAAGCCGTGTTGATGGCCTAGGCGGCGGAGGACGTGGAGCTCGTGGATGGCGATGCCTTTGAAGGCTAGGCTGTATAGGATGAAAGCGCCCCAGGCGCTGAGGTTGTGGCCGGTGATTACCACATAGGCGTGGTGGATGAGCAGGGGAATCACGGCGTGCGTGAGGACCCAGCGGTGCATCGACCAGTCTGGGACGTATGGGACTGCGTCCTCTTTCAGGTGGACTGGGACGTTTTTGTCGAGATGTTCGGGGTGGATGCCAAGTAGTTCGTAGAACCAGTGGAAGAGAGTCCACTCTGAGCGGGCGAGTTGCCGCCAGGTGGACTTCATAGAGTCCTTTGGATTGCGTTCCATGACTATTCCGTATCACGTATCAAAATTTGCACTCGAACCCCGCGATTGAGGGAGTGGGTGGATTTTTATAAATGATTTGGCTCATTGTCGATCGCCCCCCCAGTCGTTCGGCGACTGGCGCTCGGCACATGTGAAGGATACCCACATCTTCACACTCCGCAAAAATGAGCCTCGGACTTTTGGCTTCGTTTGAACATGATGTCGATCGTTGCTCGTCTAGGTGTGACGCCCCAACAATCTGACTGTTTTCCTGCGCTAGTTCGCGCTTGGGCTCAACTCGGTTACCTGGCAGGGGAAGATCTGTCTCTGGGGTCGGAGTATCATTGCATCATAGGTTCATGGCATAAAGATGCCTATGACTCCTGGTTGTATCATAGTCTGGGTAGAGGACGTGTACATGTATACATGTAGTTTTATAGATGTCATGATGCAGTGCGACGTCGCCTGCATACCGTGCCCCTGAGTCATGTGATAAGCGCTCCTAATTGGTCGAAGATTGGATAAACACCGAAAAATGAGGATTCTAGACACTTCGTTCCATGATTATTTATCAGATGATGATCTAATCTTAGTTTCACACGGGGTCGGCTAAACTGCAATAAACTGATCATTGATCAAAATATTCCAGATCTACATACTCGGATCCGAATTTCATAGAGTTCATTCTGCGGTATGAAACGGGATGTATAAATACATCATGGCAATGTAAGAGAAAAGAAGATGCTCTATGTATCAACAACCGCCTCAACTGTTCGTGTACGGGGGATATCAACATGCGAATGTAAATAAAATGAAAGAAAAGAAACCCCGAAATAATCAAAGAACCAGGAAAGAAAAGTAACAAAACACAACCATGCAACCTTGTACAGTAAGACTGCAAGTCTGGAAGCCTGTAACGGACATTTCCACATGATAGATCCACATATGGAGAACGGGCAGGGAAACAGCCAAAGAAAAGAAGGCAAAGAACGTTGAGAAACACGAGAGAAGAGAACAGTGGTGTCCCCACCGACCACTCATTTTCCATGCAGTAGGCAATAGACAAGTTGCACATGTAACTCCCACTTGGAAGACGATCAAACACACAATCCAGGCAGACGTATATTCGAGAGATACATCATATACCAACAAAGCAACAAGCCTCGGTAGTGTGATCTGCATCGCCTTGTGCCATTTCCACATCCCTAGCCCTAACCACACTCCCAATCCTGCTGCCTTTCTATAAGCTCTATGCTGCAGCGGTCTGAGCTGCAGCAGTCTGAGTCTCGTCGACGGACAGTTGGTTAACCTTTATCGCCACGTTATCAACAGCCTTCTCGTCTTCGGGCTTAATCTCAGTGGGTTCGTCCGTCTTTGCCTCCGAGTCTGTGGACTTGGCGGGGGCCTCTGGCTCAGAGGACACCTGCGACTTCGGGACAGGGATGGTTTCTCTCCGCTCCTTTCCATCGACTGTGCCCAACACCTTCAGGTGATCACCCTCGAACAGAATGGGTCCCTTGAGGATGTCTTTTCTCTTTTCGCCGTCGACTTGATCCTGCTCAAGACCCTGGAGGAGTTCACGGGCGGGCTCGTCCAGGTTGGGCATCTCGCCCCAGGTCCAGTCGAGCTCACCGCCATACTGCTTGGGAATGCTAGATGGTTCCATGAATGAAGTAAGGGTAGGCTGCACCTCTGATGCGGACAGAATAAAGATCTTGGAGGTGGTGCCTGGGTCGAACCAGCGCTTGATCCAGCCCCAGACGGTAGGGAAGAATGCAGGAGCACCAATAATCTAAAGCAAGTCAGTCTTGAATGTCGAACTCGGTGATGATAAACATGTCTCTGGAAGGATCACGGTGGGGAATGACATACGAAGATCCGATCCAGCGTCTCGGGGTAATGCGCCGTGGCCAAAACACTGGCATCCTGCATATGACCCTTCAAGTTCCAGAACTGCTTCAATCCAACACCGCTAACATCCACAATATTGGTAGAAGTGACAATAGGCGTCTCCGGGTTTGGCCGCTGCAACGATGAACAAAGCGGCATCACGAACCGGAGAAGGTTCTCATACAAAGCGAAGAGGTTCAGCAAGCGCGCCGGGACAGTGGACGACTTGTGTGTCTCCGGTGTACCGGTAGTCATGGTAGAGTTGTAAGCGGCGACAGCCTTGTTATCGAGGTGACGGATCTCAAAGACATAGACGGGGATTCCGCGGCGATCGCGACGGCCAGTCCATTGTGGGTACTGTAGTGAGAAAGGTCAATATATAGCCTCCTGCGGACAATCAAGGTAGTCCAAGAAACCCACCATCCGCCGGGCAGCCTCATAAGAGTCCACGCCAATGTTCTCATACAGAGCCTCGATAGCATTGTCTTTGCGCCAATCCTCAGTATCCTTGAATTGACCCCACGCACCCTCAACGTCGAACTTGCGGGCACGCAAGAAGCGTCTGTAATACCACAAAATGATCAGTCTTCATTCAATTTCCCTTGCACGGGGTAGTGGTAGGTATAGCGCCACATACAGCATAGTAGCATCGTCATGGCTAGCAGTCTTCGCCTCGACGCCCTCGGCCTGTTCCACAGCAGGGGTGTAGTACTTGCGCTCGGCGCACAGCGTCTTGAACTCCTGCAGCTTCTCTTCCTGCTCTGGGGTCAGGTGGTGCAGGTGTCCGGCGAGCCATGCGGTGCCGGAGGCTTGGGAGGCGGAGGCGCAGGGGTCGTTCTTTGAAGCGGACTCGGTGCGCGTGAGGTCGGGCTCGGAAGCCTGCGCGGTTTTGCTTCCCCAGAGCATGGTGATCGGTCTCTGGGCTTTTAATGTGGATTTTTTTAATTAATTTTAGGTTGTTTGGGGGAGATCAACTTGGACGGGGATCGGTGGCGGAGGGAAAGAGGGCGGTGAAAATTAATCTGACATATCGAGTTGGATGTCTACACTTGCAAGTCTGGATAGTTCTATTTCTTGGGTTTAGAATAACATGAAGCTATACATTGATATTTACTACAGTACTTCATCTTTAGAAGCTGTTTATTGAAATAAATGAACAATGCTTGTATTTCTTGCAACTTGACTAACAACACTCGACGCTCGAAGTAACTCTATCTACGCTAAGACAGTTCTAGACAAGCCTAGTCCCCAGGGGTTCGCAGGGAAGAGCCCCTGAATCAGCCACCTTGCACGGCTCAATAGCATACGCTATACATTATATCTCCTCCAACAATATATCCAGCTCGCTGCCATATAACACAAAGCCTCACGCGACCAGGTCAACCAACGCAGATGAAGGATTCTATCCCAGCAAGCTCACATCAGAGGAGTTACTGTATGTCTCGGATGCAGGCCTAGATTAGGGCTATCTGTGCAGGCATGGACCACGTCGATCAACGGAGATCAGAAAAGCTAATCGGAGGGATCAACCAGGGAAAGCCTTTGAACAGTCTATAGAGTTGGTATATTGAAACCAAGGATCTCCTACGAGCCTAGAAAGTAATGTGGAACATTGAAACACAATACAATTCATTTCCTAGCAAAGAACCACATATGGAAATGGTTTACATGGTTAGCTGGATGGATGGTAAGGGAAGGGTCAACCCCAACAATTATTTTGTACAGTCGCCCCTCACAGCGGTGAAATCAAACAAGAGGAAAGAAATAGGTACAGGAATTTAATCCTCGGTCAGGTCGCCGTACTCCCAAATTCCGCGGCGCTCGGACTTCGCCTCGTCCTCGAGTGCGCGGAGGTTGGACAAGGTGTCGACGGAAGCACGCTCCCAAGCCTTCAGCTTACGAGGCACCATGGCCAGACCCTCGGAGATGATGTCTGCGTTGATGCTGTTGTCCAGGTTCTTGGAGACGGAGGGGTCGAGGAGTGTGACGTGCAGGGTGCCGTCCTGGTCGACGTGGTCGACATTGGCGACAAGTTGACGGTCGAAGGTCTGGTCGCCGACGAAGCCAACGGCGTCCTCGAGATAGTCCTCGGAAGTGGGGAACTGCGTAAGAGAGAGGACGGCGTCGACGGCCTGGGGGCGGAGGGTCTGGCCGGAGAATTGGGGCTGGGTGAGAGGGCGGAGCTTGGCCCAAGGGAGAGACTCAGAGTTTCCGAAGTCAATGTAGACCACCTCGGCGGTCTCATTTTCACGGTCGTTGCGGCGGACCTTGGCGCGGTACCAGTTGCCATCTTCGGTGAATTGGGCGGCGACCCAGTCGCCAGCCTTGGGGGGACCGGGAAGAGGGGTGTCATTAGCCTTGTTGATGTGGAAGGCACGGAAGGCGCTCATCAGCTCGGTGAGGGCGTTGGTGCCGGTGCCAATCTGCTGAATCTTGAGCTTGGCGGTGGCCGGGTCAACGTAGGTGACCATCACGTCGCGGTAGTCCTTGCGGCGCTGGATAGGGGCAGCATCGCTCTCAGTACCGGTGCCGGTGCCATTGGCAGCCTCGGCGGCTTCTTCGGCATCAGCAGCTTCCTTGGCAGGGTCGTAGTCGTGCCAGAGACCCTTGCGGGCATCTTTAGCACGCTGCTCCGCGGCGAAGTACTCGGTGGCGTGACCGGACTGCTCAGCCGAGTATGCGTGCACGGTTGCCAGACCTTCCTCCAGCAGGACCTTGGTGAAGTTCTCCTTGTTAACGTATAGGCTTCCAATGAAGCCACCGACCTTGTCAATGGTCTCGACATCGATCTCGACGTCACGCTGCATGCAGCGGCGGTTGGCCAGGTCGTGGGCCTCCTGACCGAAGGGCTCACCAGCATCGCTGGGGCCGCGGGCAGAACGAGGAGCACGGATACCGGAAAGAACGAGGGTCAACTTGGCGTTGTCACGGGGAACAAGAACAGTGAAGCGAGAGCCAGACTTGACGAAGTCGACAACAGCAGGAACACGCTTCTGGCGCTGCAGGATACCAAGCTCCAGCTTGGCCTTTTGCACGCTCTCTGAGTAGTCCTGGTATTGCTTGGCCTTGGGAGGCTTGGGAGACCACATTCCACGGCCTTCCTTCTGGGCATCAGCCTCAGCGGCAAGCAGGGCATCGTAATCGGGGGAACGATCAGCGTCATCCATGCGGTGGCGGATGACAGAGGAATAACCAGCTTCCACAAGGGCAAGTCCAACGTTGGTGTTGCCCTGAACAACAGTAGCGACCTCACGCTCCTCGTAGCCTTCATTGGCGGGCTTCTTGCCGTTCACAGTGACCTTGACGTGCTTAGCGATAACCCGCTTACGCAGGTACTCCTTGGCCTCAGCAGCAAAGGGAGCCTGCTTGGGGTCGGAGGGCTTGGGCTGACGGATACTGGCGAGACTGACCTTCTTCTCCTTGCCAGCCTTGTTGCGGATAAAGAGAGTATCGGCGTTCAGCACGCGGGTGACAATGTAGTCCTCGGCAGAGGCACCAGCAGTAGTGGGACCAGTGTGCCCAACGAACAATCCTTTGCGGCCAGCCTTGGCCTCCAGCTCTGCCTGGCGGAGAAGAGCCATATCGGGACCCAGAAGGGTAGAGTGGTGATCCTGGCAACGGGCGAGACCAGCCTCAAGAAGGAATCGAGAAATGTTTCCATTGGGGTGGAGGACAGTAGCGACTAACTGGCCCTGCGGTGTCACACCGAGCAGGGAAACCTTGACCTTGCGCTGCAACAAGCGGGATTCAACAAACTGCTGTGCTTCATCACCAAACGGCTCCGCGGCCGTCTCCTTGCCCTCTGTGATCCGCTTAGCAGACGGGGTGCGAACACCAGCGACCGCAACCACAGTCTGAACATGCTCAGTCGGCGAAAGAAGCAGGCGCAGCACAAGTCGGTCACCGTTCAGGACTTTCTCAATAATACCCTCTAGCTGTTGACCGGACTTCTGTCTCACCAACTCACGAGCACCAGTCAATTCATAGCTGGTCTCGATCACGCCATTGTCGGCACCCCAGGTTCCCTTGCCTTCACCCTGAGCGAGTGACTCCAGGGCACGCAGGCGCTCAAGCAGAGCAATTGTCTCCTCAGATTCATCACTGCGCTTGCCTGCTTCCTCACGGACACGCGTCCAGCCTTCTTGCACACTGATATCGGGCAATGAAGCGTCGAAACCGGGCAGTTTAATGGTACCGTATTCGCGCTTGGCACCAGTGGGAATGGTGTAGACGACGTGGAATTGGATCACCTTGCCTACAAGGAGTTCACGGAGGAATTCACGGGATTGGAATGCGTATGCCTATGTTTGACAAATATGTTAGTTCGGTTCATTCTGCCTTTCCCTGAAATGCAAATCTATGTCGTTAATGGCGACTAGAAAAAGGCACCAGGAAGGGAACCGCGCAAGCAAACCAAACATGGCAATCCGTTTGCAATTGAGCACAATTTATGTAGATCAGTCACCCACCTCATCTCCTTCTCTCCTTAACCGAGGAGCAGACACATAGGCCAAACTCAGGATGCGTTCTTGTGAGGGATTGGTAACATGCGACAGCACAACCGTGTCGCCGGACAGGACAGACTTGACCCGGGCTTCGAAAGGCATGCTGAAAATCAGACACCACTTCCCGACAAATGGACAAATCAGATGAAATGGACGAAATCAAGAGAAGAAAAATTAATACAAAGCAGCAGAAAGGAGTTGAGAATAGCTTAGAGAAGTCCTGAGGGGAAACGTGGCCGGTGTTTAGACTTGTGGGGGAAAGCGGTCAGTGGCCGCTCGGAAGCTTCTACGCCTTCGATATCTACGACTTCTCCGTATACACGCATGCCGAGATCTGTCTAGAACCAAGTACACATGGTAAAAAAATCATTCATTCATGTATCCAGCCAGGAACTACCTGAACTTTTCACCCACAAATTCAATTTCAGGGGGGATATCAAGTCCGAAAATCATAAAGGAGAACTGCGCATTTAAGCGGCAATACCGATGACACCTAAGCAATTCATTAGCATTAATTCCATTTACAACGCCCTCAATCTCAACTTACCACAGGCGGGACGAAGACCAGCGTTACCGGTCTTCTTGGACTCCTCGTTGCCACCCCTGCCGAGGTCATCAGTACCGGCGTGGACGACGAGAGTGCGCTAGAAAGAGATATCAGTGATTTGCACCCTCAATTGCGTGATATGCAGGGTTCACTTACGCCCAGGACGGACTCGGCGCCAATCAGCTTGACGAGCTTGTCCTGCATGGCACCCTTGGCGTTACCCTCAGCATCGGTCTTGAAGTTGCCAAGATCACCGACGTGACGGTCCGCATCAGTGGGAGCACCGTGGGGCTTGCCGAAGGGGTTGACTAGCAGCAATTAGCATATTCTATATTCAGTTCTGGGCTTGCCGGAAATAGCATACAGTGAGGGCCAGCGGAGGTGCAGCCGTTGGTGTTGTCACCGAACTGGTGAACGTGGAAAGCACGCTCGGCGTTGGCATCGTTGCCGGTGATGTTCCAGGAGATGGTGGTAGGGGCGCTCTCGTCAGCCTGCTCAAAGGTGACGGTGCCGGCGACCTTGGCGTCACCACGGAGGACAGCAACTGCAGATATAAACGGTCAATGTCATATTCTAGAAGATCGATCGAAGGCCAGGAAGCTGGTCCCGATCTCCCAAGCTCCAACCCCAGAAGCAAATCGCACGAAATCAACAAATAAGCTGTGAGATTCAACAGGGACGTTGCAGATTACAGCTGGATGTGGCAGAGGAACGAAGCCGATAGGCTCGGGATTGGAGCTCAGGATCACAAGGTGCTCAAATTTGCTCAAGGTCCCAGGGGACCTTGGAGAGCTGTGATATGTTTGGTTGATCAAAAGTGGACTTACCAGCCTTAACCATTTTGATAGATTTTGAGATGTTTTGGATAGAAGATAGAAGAATTGAGTATTTGGATATATTAGAGAAGAAAAGAGAGAAGGAGACAGGAGGCGACGGGCGGAATAATAAGCGGATGATGTTGACGTGACTCTACTCTGTATTGTACTTCCGGAAAGTACTGGGTACTTCGATTACCTAGCAACCGATACTGAAAGAGCTCGTACCTGGTACCAAATACAACAAAAGATCCCCCACCTTCCCAAGCGGGATCGAGCCGGAACGAGGTGGAATGACATAATGGCACTATACCGCCTCGATGTACGGCTACTTCGTTACTAGTGGAGGTTTTGTTGGTACCGCTTGTACCGGTACCCCTCCGAGCTTGGAGCTCTGGCCTCCACCGTAGAATGTTCTCTACAAAAGATGTACTTGTCAGGAATTTATGTTTCACATAGGTCTCACGATGAGTTGTCTGCAAACCCAGTGAAAAACCACCGGAGCCTATCATCAATTGATACATAGCCTCGGGTATAGAAATCAGGAATATCAATCCCGGCTCATAAATGACACGGCGTATCAACTTGCGAAATCTTACCTGTGCGGGGTCATCCCTGAATAAGCCGACCCGGCCAGATCAAATTGCTTATTGAGCCGGACTCCTACGCTCCTACTGAAAAAAACACCGAATGCGGAGCAGAAGTTCATCAATTCGTATCTACCGATTCCAATTTTGGGGGGATCGCCAATTTACAAAAATTTAAAACACATAAAATCATAGCCTTTTAAGCCTGGATCTTCTGGGCAAGGAGCTGCTTGAGGGTAACGGCGTCAGCGGCGAACTTGGAGATACCCTCACGGAGCTTCTCAACACCCATGGCCTGCTCGTTGAAGTCGAAGCGGAAGGAAGCCTCATCGTTAAGGTACTCGCGCTTCTCAATGTCCAAATTGTGGGCATCAGCAGCGTTGAGCTTCTGGGGCACAGCGTCGGTGGAGTTGTAGAGCTCCTCCAGGAGGGCGGGGGCAATGGTCAGGTAGTCACAGCCAGCCAGCTCGGTGATCTCACCGATGTTACGGAAAGAGGCACCCATGACAATGGTGCTGTAGCCGAACTTCTTGTAGTAGTTGAAGATGTCCTGGACGGACTTGACACCGGGGTCTTCCTGGGCGGTGTAGTCGCGCTTGTGAGCGGCCTTGTACCAGTCGAGGATACGGCCGACGAAGGGAGAGATGAGGAAGGCACCGGCCTCGGCGGCGGCGATGGCCTGGACCAGGGAGAACATGAGGGTCAGGTTGCAGTTGATGCCGTGCTGGGACTGCAGGACGTGGGCGGCCTTGATACCCTCGTAGGTGGAGGCAATCTTGATCAGGATACGGTCCTTGGAGATACCGTTCTCCTCGTAGAGCTATGTCCGGATTAGCCGGGTATTTCAATCCATTTGATGCTATTCAACATACCTTGATGATCTCAAGGGCCTTGTTGATGGAGCCCTGAGTGTCGAAGGACAGCTTGGCGTCGACCTCAGTGGAGACCTTGCCGGGGATGATCTTGAGGATCTCCTTGCCGAACTCGACGAGGAGACGGTCAAGGGTGGCCTCAACCTGCTCATCGAGGGTGCCGCCCTTCTGCTTACCGTAGGCAATGGCAGTGTCGATGAGGGCGGCGTACTCGGGCTTTTTGGAAGCAGCCAGGATCAGGGAGGGGTTGGTGGTGGCATCCTCGGGCTTGTACTTGCCAATGGCTGTGTCATGTTAGCTTACCATTCATTGTTGAAGGAATCAAATTGCGGGCAATTTCCGGGATACATACTGGCGAAGTCACCTAGAGAATTTGTTAGCTGTGTTCCATGCATGTAAGCGGAGAGGTGGGGAGCTTACCAGAGTCGCAAACGACAACGGTGCCAGTGGCCTTGAGCTGTTCGAGAGAAGAAGACATTGTGTTAAAGTAATCAAGAGAGGTATTGATGGATAGAGAGAAAAGGAGAGTGAAGAGTGGCGGCGGCGCGGTATTTAGATGGGAGGGGTGTGTCATGAACCAGAACCAGATCAATTGCCGGGTACTTGTATTTAATATGGCCCAACCATAGTAAAAGGAAGTACCTGACTAGTGCCACATCCGAGGTGGGATGGTGGGGCAAATGACGCTGCGCGATGAAATCACAACTGAGAGGTGCGCAAGGCACATCTCTGCTCTGCTATCTCTTTACTTGTTCGGCTTTCTGTTTAGCGAGTCCTCTTCTCTCTCCTACTGTTCTATACAGATCAAATATCACTGTGACTTCATCTGATCTGAGTAAGTATCCTACGTTCCCGATCCGGCCCAGTGTGCTCCGACATACTCCCCCAACCGGAGGATGGTAGACCGGACGACGGCCCACTAATGCAGCGGTTCTGCATGCTCACCGGGACCCCGGTTAAATACCGCGCATAGTTTGGAGAACAATCTTGGATATTCGCTATGGACGCTAATTTCCCCTGATGGCGGGGTTGCCCGAAACGGAAGCCATAAACGCCACTCTACTCAGACATTTAGATGCTTTTGGGTTATGAACAGAGACAAAACTATAGAGAGAAAAATGCAACATGTGGGAGATCAGCACTCCGACACTTAGCGGCGCTGGATACAATTCCACTCATACTAAGATCACGTTAGCTGGACGAATTGAAATAGCAGAGTGTGGAAACTCACCACTCGGCCTGCCTCGTCCCCGGTATAAACCACGTGGGGAAGGGTCAGGATGCAGCTAATGCCCGCGCTTATGTTCACACCGGTATCGCGGCTACTGTCGGTGTGATGCAGCTGTCGGATCAGCTCCAGCTCGAATCGACCGGCGCGGATAGTTTTTCTCCAGATGTTGACCACACCACGAGAATGGCCCGTCAATACCAATTCACGCTCTAGCCACTCATTTTGCACGCCTTCGTAGAAGACGCATGACAAGACGTGATCATCGCCTGAATCACAGACAGGCTGGTCGACTAGCACCACGCCGTTCAGTGTGTACAGGGTCAAGCGACTGCCACGACAGACCATGATGTCGCCAGAGACATCGTTAATTCGGGCAGACTGCAAGTTCGTCAGTATATAAGTGGGAGTGGAGTCGATACTGGGAACAAGAAACATACATCAACCGCACCATCGGCGGGCAGTGCTCGCACAAAGCATCGCCGATTGAGATCCCATAGCATGATCTGTCCGTCAGTCGACGCAGATAACAACGCACTGAAGGAACGGGAGATGGCAAGCACCGTGACCGGTGCTCGATGGCCAAAGAGTGAACCCATGGGCTGCAAATCAACCGACTTGGACGTTGCAGTAACTGTCCATAATGAAATAGTACAGTCGGTGCCACAGGTAACAAGTGTGCGTGAATCTGCGAAACTGGCGTAGGAGAGCTGGCCAACGTGGAGGTGCTCAAAGTGTCCCAAGAGCTAGTACTGTCAGTGCCTACATAATCTTTTACACATGGAAAGATACATACCTTGCGAGTGTCAGCGGCGTAAAACCGGACACTTCCATCGAAGAATCCCCATTCCATGTAATACTCGTAGGTTGGTGGGACATTGAGTCTAAGAGCGGCAGTGCAAAGAAGACGATCCTGTTTCATGGAAAGGTTGGCTACTCGCTCTTCGATATCTACATAGTGTTAGCATCAATAAATTTGTTCGACAGGATAGAAGCGCCGAGGGAAAGGCTTACCAAGAAGAGACAATGGCATCTGCGTTAGTGACTCCGCAAGCGTATCCAGTCGAGGTATGCGGTGCCGTTGATCTTCCCTCGGTGCATGGGGTCTCTGGAAGATCTGATGCGGGGTTTGCCCAAAGTTGTGAATGATACCAATAGTAGCCAGTCGTTCCATCGGATCATCAATAGCGTCCAAATCCTTGGCACCCTTGTAAGAGAGATGATGGAAGACATTGACAGATTCAATAGCCGCCTCGCCCTTTTGCTTGCTACCAAACACCAGATCAATCCAGTGATGCAGGTTCTCGGACACATAGGGGCTCTCAAGCGCCTCGCGGTGCTTCGCGATGAAGATCTTGGGATCACCCTTGGCCCAGGGTGGCAACTCGACGGAATCAATGGCCGTGGTCATATTTTGAAGAAGACCAAAGTCGTATTTGTTTGAGTTCACGAAGAATTCTGGGAGATAGAAGAACTCAGGGATCAGTTCCCGTACATCGGACATGTTTCCTCGAGACGCTGACTCCCATGCTTTGCGGATGGAGTAGAAGAGGCGGTCCGCGTGGTCAAAGCTGCCACCCTGAAGGAGGAGATAGGACTTCACGAATGGCTGGAGACGAATGAGGTAGGAGCTAACAATCATGGCAGATGAGTAGTGAGTTCCATAATGGAAAGGAGGCGAATTGTCGTCGCCCATTTCAGCGAATGCATTGTACCGTTCTCGGAAGCCCGCTTCTCGCTCCGGAGTTTGACATCCCATAGGCTTGGACAGATCTCGGAAGGTGGCTGGGTTGGTAAGATCAAGTTCCTCGCTCGTATAGTCTGCGAGGACCCATGGAAAGACAGGGTACTGAGTCAAATCGTTGAAGGTACGTCCGGCAAAAGTGTTGATCAACATAAGATAATGGAAGTTGGAGATTTCTCCCTTAACCCATTTCCGTGTTGCTGGGTTTGCCGGGAGATGACCGAAAACACTGGCAAACTTTGATCCAAGGGACTGGGGTGCATCATCTTGACTGCGAAGAGTCTCAAACCGCCAAATATCTTCTGGTCGCGAGTGCCCAGCACTCCCAGTGATCTGGGGCGCCTTGACTCCGAGTTGGTTGCACAAGTCATCGCGCGATTTTGCGGACATCAGCGTTAATAAATAACTTGTGCCATCTGTGAAGAATATTTCCAGGGCAACATCACGGAATAAAAAGCGGCGCTTTGAAACGCTGACCAGATCGGACCATTTCCAGCTTCTTGTCTCATGCTCTTGGGAGCGGCGGTCAGTGGACTCTCGGCCGGCAATCATGCGCACATAAGGATCCCGTTCCTCGTTGGGAGCTTGCCAAACATTGACAATTTCGCCATCCGCTCTCTGGAAGAAATTATCTAGAATGTAAATGCAATCTTTTCCAAGAATCAAGATTCCTTCCACTGCTTCTAGACCAATGATTCGAGACAAGTTGCACACGCTTTGCACTTGGTCGCCACGTTGCAAAGATCGCATGACCTTCCGGTTCCTATCTTCATAGTCTTCCAGCCCGATTTTGGGGTCATCGATCATCTCGAAGTTATCCTCCAACATGCTTCGATTGTCAGCATCGCCCCGTGGTGACTCGGGTTCCACATTTTCAGACTCGCCGTTAAGAGGGTGAGGCGTCGTCATGTTCTCCCCCTCCGAGAGTGCACGTATCCTGGTATCAATTTTGATCGCAGGAGGTTCGGAGGCCTTCCGCTTAGGTTGGTAGTCCTGTCGATCGCCAGACTCATCTGGAACAAGACGAAGTCGCATACGACTGCGACCTTCCGTCTGGTCTAGCCACCACCTTCTCTCCTTGTTCTCCGATAGAAGACCACCTGGTCGCCGTAGGTCGAGCAGTAGGCTAGAGAACGCAGACCACATAAAGGTTGAGCTATCCTGCAGGTCTTGCAAGTATCTTTGGGATTTCAAGAACTCGGATGCTGCGATGTTGGATATCCAGTGTGGTAATGTTGCGTCATGCTTCCGAACCATGTCTTCGTCGAATTTTTCGATCTGAGCCCACTGTCTCAGTTTGTCTTTGCGTTTTGAGACACGAGTGCGGATAGATTCCTCGCTGGTTGCATTCTCCTCTTGGACAAATGTCTCCCATGACCGAGACATTATCCCAAAGAACAAAGCGTCAAGATCATCACGCTGTTCGTCGATCCACTGCAAAAATGATTCATCCTCCATTCCTGAAAGAGCGTCGAAGCCGTCAGCCAACCGACGTTGAAGGTTTGCAGGTATATGGCTTAGAAGAAGTGTTATTTCATCTGGTGCTTGCACAAGGATAATCCTCCATAGACTTGCAGCAGCTGAGCGGACATCCATGTTTGTGCTGATCAGTTTGGTATAAAGAAGATAGCACAGTAGGTGTAAATGCTTTGATTGGGTTTCAGCTGCGGCAAGAAGAACCACCTGCCAGTAAGTCAAGCGATTCAGGAGAGGAACAGTCTGTGTATCGTCTGCTTCCGACAACTGGAATAAGACAACTTTGTAAAGGGTTGAGCGGATCGTTGTTACAGCCTGGTTGCACAAACGGATGCTCTTCACTTGAGATATGTCAGGGCGCTGCAGATACTCTAAGATTGTCCCAGTGAATTCTAGGGTAGAAGCGGCTCCATTGATAAACCAGCCTTCGTATACTGCCTCTGTCAAATGTGTTGACAGACGCCCAAGGTTCGTCAGGGTCCGGGGCTCATGGAGAAGACCCGGCTGGACCAACGGCAAATCTTGCAATGTGGAAAGTACACAGCTGAAAACCCAGGAGTCGAAGTATGCTTGGTGTTCCAGGAAGCCAGGCGGTGTCTTGAGATAGAGACCAAGACCTGAGAAGTCTTTGCGCCCCAGTAGTTGATCCTGGAATACAGCCAAGATTAGTCCAAAGATGGACTTGACGAGCGGATGTTGCATGGAAGCTTCATTGCCAATAAAGGTTGGGTTCACAAAACGCCGAATGCGAGCGGAAGATGGCTGGTGCTTGGCCTTGTCAGATGAAACCAGAATGAAAGATGAGCCACGGCGTAAAGAATCGGCGCTCTCCTCGGGATTGCCCAAAGAATCGACTGTAGTCGTCTGCAAAGTAGCTGGTGCATTTGCAGTACTTGAACGCGGCCGGAGAACCAAGTTGCTATCGTCAAAGCTAAGCCCGCTGTGACGAGAGTTTAGCTCCGTGTTTGGGCCAACGGTATCAGCGCCGACAATCACAGGATATAGCACAGAAAGAAGTTCTTGCACGTATGTGGAGTGTGTGGTGACATCCTGGAAGCTTGAGGATTTTGTGCGTGCTTCTGCCAAAAATTGGACAACCGAGCTGATAACGGAAAAGCTAAGAATGGTCTGATCGGTCGTAGCAGTATCTAAGAGTACAAGGTTAGAAAAATGCTACAGTCATCTGTCTCAAAAGCTTACCATTCCACTTGAGCGAGCCCATTTTTGACTTCTCGCAACTGGAAGCCCGCCCTTCGAGACCCTCGCCACCGACGCTAGTTTCCCCCTCTTGTACGATGATGTGCCGTATCCCACTCTTCATCATATTCACAATCACAGGAAGCATATCTGGAAAGACAACAGTTACATCCCCTTCAGCCAGGAACATATTCACTAGACCAGACCGGTCAAGTGGTTTTTCGAGATCCAACATAGCAATATCACGGCCAAAGAAGATAGATAAGCAGATCGGCCACAAAGCAGGCACATTCCACCATCTTTTCAGACGGTACTCTAGGATAATGTACCCACCGCTTTTCTCTGCAAACTTCTTACTGTAGCCACTGCCATGGACCACGAGAAGACGGGCTAATATCTTTGTAGCAAGCACCACGATCTCGGGATCATCTTCACACATAAGGTAAAGAAGCCACTTGTTGGTCACAGCTTTGGCAAATTTTCTCAAAGGCGCGGGGTCGAGGGGATCACACAGTACAGAGGCATAGAGACGCAGCATCTCAATACCCAAAGTGACACCGGGTACTTTACTTGACTCCGATTTTGCCGATGCTGGTCGGGATGAAGGAGAAACAAAGCGTAGGCTCTTCTTCCTTTGCAGATTAGCGGGCGTCTTTGGCTTGTGGAGTGCATAGGTGATAGATAATGCCAGTGAGCGGAGGAGATCAGGAGACGGGCTGCTCTCCATCAAAGAGCGGAATGCCGATAGACAAGGTTGGAGTGATTCCTCCGTCAAGTCTCCACTCTTCAAGGTCTCCAACAACTTCTTGTTGACGCCTTTTACAGTTAGCTTGGATGAGATGGTTGTAGTGTTATAAAGACTTACGCATACGACCGAGACGTCTAGCGTTGAAACGGCGATAGTTACTATCAGAAGCAAATGTGCAGAATTGTGAGTAATACAATTCCAGCACAGGTGATTCTCCCAGTCGCCAGACGTCCATGTCGACAAGCAGGACACGATAGGCAAGTGGATTTGTGATAATGGATCGATTGGGTTGCTTGAAGTCGTATCCAACAAATGCGAGAGTCAGACGCAGCAAGTCGAGTGTCAGGGTAGATAGCTCATCGGGGTCGGAGCTGACCACATGAATTCTCGCTGCGCCTGGGACATTGCCCATATGGAATCCAAGCTTCTCGCGCAACAAGGCTCCCAAGATACCATAGCCATTTTCTCTTTCCATAGCTTCGCTGTTTCTCCAGTTGTCTTGTACAGCTTCGTAGAGAGCCTCCACAGCCATGCGAGTGCTTTCAGCAGTACTTGCAGCCTGGATTAAGCTCAAGTGGACCGCAGCACAGCCACCCAGGCACCAACTGGCATCGTCAAGTGCTCTGGGGACAGCAACGACAGGATCGCCAGTCAGAATACCCACTCCTTGGGGCTGTGTTAGCCCATCATTGATAGCTGGAGTTGCGCCGTTGACAGCAACAGCATTACCACCCGCTTTCGTGAGCTGCTGTAAACTCTTTGCTGCCTGCCTTGACAAGCATTTAATCAGCTGCGACTCATCGACATTATTATTGTCGTCATCATCCAGAACAGCGGTAGAAGAGACATTGATCAAAATTGAGCTCTCGCGAATTAAAGTACTTGCCCGCCTCCGAATGGCAGTGACGATATCTGAGGTCTCTTCTTTGCCAGGATGGAGATGTTCGTTACGCAAATTGAGGGTTGCAGAAGCCTTGTATGTCTGGAAAGACCCCAGGCAATCTTGGAAGTTACCGTAGTATCGAGGTCCAAGGTTGTAGAAAACAGCAATCATATCATCACTGTACGCTTCGTCAAAGAGCATACCATTGGCAAGCGACCATCGCGAAGTAGACACGCCCTTCCCGAGGCGCATTGCCAGGTCTTGGGGAGTGCCAAAGAATGCCTGGATCCGGGGTGGTCTGCTTGGAGGGTGGCTTGTAGGTACTGAGGGATATTCGATCTTCAACTGCTCAACGAATTCACCGTCTATGAAAAGAAACGCCCGCGAAGAAGACATTGGCTTGGGCTTCTTGTGCACGACACAAATATGATACCAGCGCTTTGGCTCGAACTTTGCTGACTTAAACCGAACACTAGGCCGTGGTCCTCGAATTGAAGTTTGAAGAATAAAATTTCGAGTGTCTTTCTCCAGGTAGGCAAGAATAAAACATGTTTGGCTAGCATCGAACGCTCCAAAGATAGTGGTATGGGTATTGGAATCAAATTCATCAAAACGGGCCCACACAGACAGAGTGTATCCAGCAGAGGTGATAGGTGGGAAAGGACGGCCAAGGGTTCCGAACTCGACAGAGCAATATCCGTGTCGGGACATATCGAACTGTATTGAAGGGGGCTCCTTGGACGACTTGAGAGCAGAAAGTAGGACCTTCAACACTTGGGGGTTCTCGTGGGCCCCGCGATATAGAGCCACCGCATCATCCAGGTTACTCATTCCCTGAACGCTGAGATATTTTGCGAGGTCTTGATAGATTACTTTTTCGCTGTCAAATCGTGCACCGTCGAACAAGAGAGGTAAAATCGAGGTCAGCATATCGGTGGCATGCAGGGCTACGACGTTTCTGCGAGACTGAGAGGCGAGTTGGCAGAGACAAGCCGGCAAGGCCAGGCGGAGAACATCATATCCAGACGAAAAGGAAGAGTGCATCAGCCAAACACGAAGGAATGGCCCGAGCAGCTCCGGCACCTCCACTGTTTCAGCCGACCCAATGCAATGATCCACGGCATCCTGGACTTCCTGCGGAGACAGGACAGTGTCGCTCTCGGGAAACTTGGCGTCCAGTGTCACAAAAATACCTGCCACGGTCTCCTGGCAAAGAGCTGCGGCCAGGATGGCCCCATAGAGATGTTGTGCATCACCCTTCGTGGTGTCTATCTTCTTGACCAACGCGGTCAGAGTCCTCTCCAAAGCAGCAATGCCTCCTCCGACTATCTTCCGCGCAAAATATCGCTTGTTGCTAAAATTGTCTTTCAGGCCCTCGGCTAGCACACCCAAGACATCCTTGAAGATACCTAGTAGGCTCTTTAGTTCTTCTTTGGATAACTTGTCGGGGTCGTAGAGCTCGGCTAGCTTGTCAGCCAGCCTCAGAAGTGTTTGAAAGCCCTGGTGATATCGGAACGCGTCTTTGGCGGTCCGCGGATGGGCATCGTCTATGAAGGTATGACGGAGACGAAGCAGCGATTCGGTCGTTGAAAGGGCCTGCGGGAGGGTAAATTCGATGCCCGCACCGAGTTTCTGGAGCTGCTCAATTGTCGGAGCTAGCTCTTCGGCCAATCGTTCGGTCGATCCGGCGGGGGAGGCAGGATGGAGGGAAGCCGGAGTCATGGCCAAATCTTATTCACGTCCGCTCCGTATGACCATCGGAGACCGTGAATATTGAATTGCGGGTACAGTCTGCATCACAGTGCGCCAAGGGACGAGGTGAGGCTAATTAGCGCTTGTCGTCATCGGACTAAAATCAGCCACACTGAGGTGAGGGGGAAGTTACATATCAGGTGACCTTGGGGGCTGGATGTATCGGTAATTTACCGTTGATAGGACGTGATAAGCGATAAGACAGCTCTACAGTGTAATGTGGAGAAGATAGGCAACAGATCCTATGAGCGGCTACTCCGCAGATCGGTCACAGGTCCAAGTACCCAATAATGCGCTAATCTGCAACCTTGGAAGCCAAGGGTTGACTCACCCGAGCACGCGACTTCGGAGGAGAAGTTGCCTTGAGCTGAGAGCGGCAAGGTGCAGGGATCCGGGTACCTGGCGTCTCGCCTCCAACACATCATCATAACGGAGCATATCAATCTTGGAATCGCTCAACTTATATTATAGGTAACCTTAGCATTAGAACTTACCTAACTATACGTAGCTTATGGCTTAGGGTAGATAGGCGGACACTGAAAGAGGAGGCGAAATTGTACCATACAGTACATTCCCCGTACTCCACTCTAACTGGTCAATGATCGACAAATCCAGGTCACAGGTTGCTTGCATCATCACCTCAGATAAGAGAGACCGCCCCCGTCTTCTCCTCACTTCCCTTCTCTCCTTCCCCATCCTATCCTCATCATCCATTACATCCATCCTATCATTTATATCTGTTTGACTTCCCTTGTGTTCTCTTTTCAATCTGCCCAGCATGAAAGGCTTCCTGAGCCTGACTTTGCTCCCGTTGCTGGCAGCGGCCACACCCGTATCGGTGGGCTCCATCCACAATGACGCAGCTCCCATCCTCTCCTCATCAAACGCCGAGGACATCCCTGACTCTTATATTGTCGTGTTTAAGAAGCACGTCAATCAGAAGTCTGCTTCAGCTCACCACAGCTGGGTGCAGGACATCCACACTGCTCAGAACGGTCGCATGGAGCTGAAGAAGCGCTCCTTGTTTGACTTCGACTTCGAGGCTTTCATGGGTCTCAAGCACACTTTCCACATCGGTGGCGAGCTCACTGGATATGCTGGTCACTTCCATGAGGATGTCATCGAGCAGGTCCGCCGGCATCCAGATGTAAGCACCCCCCTTTCCTCTACTACAGTGTTACAGCGGCTAATCAGACTGCTCTTATCAACAGGTTGAGTACATTGAGAAGGACTCCGAGGTCCGCACCATGGATAGCCCTCAGACCGAGAAGAACGCCCCTTGGGGTTTGGCCCGTATCTCTCACCGTGAGAGCCTCTCCTTTGGTACCTTCAACAAGTACCTCTACGCCGAGGACGGCGGTGAGGGTGTTGATGCCTACGTGATTGACACTGGCACCAACGTTGACCACACTGACTTCGAGGGCCGTGCTAACTGGGGCAAGACTGTCCCCCAGGGCGATGCCGATGAGGATGGAAACGGCCACGGAACCCACTGCTCTGGTACCATTGCCGGCAAGAAGTACGGTGTTGCCAAGAAGGCCAACGTCTACGCTGTCAAGGTTCTCCGCTCCAACGGCTCTGGCTCCATGTCCGATGTCGTCAAGGGCGTTGAGTGGGCTGCCGAGGCTCACATCAAGAAGGCCAAGTCTGGTAACAAGAAATTCAAGGGTAGCGTTGCCAACATGTCACTTGGCGGTGGCAGCTCCCGTACTCTGGATCTCGCTGTCAATGCCGCCGTTGATGCTGGTATTCACTTCGCCGTAGCTGCCGGTAACGACAATGCCGATGCTTGCAACTACTCCCCCGCCGCTGCAGAGAAGGCCGTTACCGTCGGTGCCTCCACTCTTGCTGATGAGCGTGCCTACTTCTCCAACTACGGCAAGTGCACTGACATCTTCGCCCCCGGTCTGAACATCCTTTCCACCTGGATCGGCAGCAAGTACGCTACCAACACCATCTCCGGTACCTCCATGGCCTCCCCTCACATTGCTGGTCTCCTGGCCTACTATGTCTCCCTTGCTCCTGCCAAGGACTCGGCCTTCGCTGTTGCCGATGTCACCCCCAAGCAGCTCAAGGACGCTCTCATCAGCATCGCCACCAAGGGCACCTTGACTGACATTCCCTCTGACACCCCCAACGTAAGTTCTTACCTACTCTTCCCCTTTCTGTATCATTCAATTCTAACCTTGTTTAGCTTCTGGCCTGGAACGGTGGTGGTTCTTCCAACTACACCAAGATCCTTGCCGATGGTGGTTACAAGGCCGGCGTCAATGTCGAGGACCGCATCCACGATGTTGAGGACCGTGTCCACAACATCATTGAGCAGGCTGAGAAGACCATCCACAGGGAGATGGGTGCTATCTACAGCGAGATCAAGGATGCTGTTTCTGCATAGATTAGAAGCTTGTTCGGGCCTTGTCAGTGACGGGTCCAACAACTCGGGCATTTGGATGAATGGATTAACACAGGCGCACTTCTTGTTTTCTTTGGGTTTATCATTTCGTGTTGGATTCTCCACGAATCCACGGGTCTACCCCGCATCACTCCTATACAGATTGCTTCTTGCTATTTCGTTGTCTCGTTCTTCACTACGTAGCATATTAGTCTACTTCGCAAACGGATTGATCTAGAATGTTTTTGTCAATATAGCACCAGTCGCTTATATATGCTCATGTAGGTTTAAGCACGTTGGCAACTCATAAGCTGCAACTTCATAAAGGTACTTAACTTATCCTTCTTCCGTAGTACCACATACTCCCCTCAACTCCCTCGATGTGGCCAGTACCAACCCCAACCTCCGCAACTACCGTGGACGTGGAAGGCCATTCCATTCATAAGACCTGCACGTAGGGGATCTGTGCCTTAAGGCCTGAATGGAAGAGCCGAGGTGGGATGTTGGGGGCCCGGTGGAGGAGATCAGGGAACCTTGGGGGCTATTGTTGCGGTGTGATTGCTGCCGTTGATTGTGCAGCTGGTCTTGTTGTAGAACTGCGGATTCGTGGCACTGGTTTACTTCGGGTTGGGAAGATTTGGTGGATTAGGTTGTTGTCTATGTTGTGAGGGCCTGGGTTGGCATCTTACTGTGATTACTGTCGTTGTTGGTTGGTAGATTGAACTGACTTGTGTAGTGATGGGTAATCCGGTGGTCCAATATAGGAGTGGTTCTATACGGGGGTCGGGATCGTGTGGGGAAGAGTCCACTTTTGCTGGGCAATGGAGATTGGCCTTGGGTAGGGCTGACATTGTTCGAGGTGTAAGCTCGAATTTACATAGAAGTTGGAAACGAATAAGATGTTTGATTTGTATGAGAAATGTACTGTAGTGACGCAAATTGCTAGCTCCTTATGCTATAAACCGTAAACTCACGACGCTAGAGGAAAGATAAAATTGATAAAAATGACCGTTAGATGTGTACGCCGAGAATGCTAAATATGCGCCCAGAACCGTGAATGCGAGACATGAAACGCCCAGCAGCGAGCCCAGACACAAGGTGAACCAGTCACCTTACGCCTTCATCGCATCCTTGTTATCTTCCTCGATCGAGTCATCGTCCACCTCGTCGATCTCGCTGTCACTGAACTGTTGAAGAAGATCCTCGTCAGAGTCACTCCCGCCGAACACGTCGCTATCCGCATCACTATCCGCCCAGAAATCGTGGTCCTCCTTCTCGGTAGGCTCGCGGACGATAGATGTCTCGTGTGTCGGCATCACGAAATCAGCTGGGATATCCGCCTTGGACCTCTCCACGTCGGCCTTGACCATTTGGCGGTAGGCAGCGGGATCTTTGCGGAATAGGACGCCTGCATCGACATTGGCCGGAGAGGAGGGCTCGGCATCGTCCAGAAGGGAGATGATCGAGATCAGGACGGATTCGACGCGCTGGGCTGGGGACCAGCGCTCGGAGGCTAGCTCGCCGGACATTTCATCTTCGCCTGGTGCGTGGAGGATTGAGATACACAGCTTTCCATCTGGGTAGATGTTCGGGTGGTGCAGGGGCTTGCGGAAGCGGAACTCTGGAGGGGCGAATTTGTTAGTCACATGGCAAATGGTCACCTGGGGGGTGATTTGAGGTTCTGGGTTTTGGTTACCTGGTGGAGCATAAGGATAGTTCGCAGGGAAGCGCATCTTGGCTCTGAAATAGCCTCCGTAGTACATGGAGTCGGGGTTGATCACGATAAGAGCCACATCCCAGTTGAAGATGTCGTCATTGTGTAACTGCGAAGGTTAGTCAGGATATCCCATAGAGTGGAGGAAGAAGGCGGACCTGGACGTGGACCCATTTCTCTTTAAGCAGGGTCTTAAATTCGTTCATGAGTATGCGTTCCGCCATGGTGAGTTTGCGTGAATGGAAAGTTGGGCGGTTGGAGGTTATATAGGCGACGAAGGTGCCTGACAAAGTTGCAACGTTGGGAATCGGGTGGCGACTGAGTAATCATCAAACTTTGCCAAAGTTGCCTTCGAACGTGATAAGTTAGCTATCACTAAAACATACACAACTTGATCTACATACGTACCTGGAGAGTCACCTGCATGTCTCTCTTTCCCTCTCTGCAGTGGGGATCTTCGATAAGAGATCCCGGAGACACGAATGCCTCAGAACACCAAAGAAATAGTCGGACTCCGAATATAGTTTAGCCATATAATAGCTTTGTTTAGATCAGAACTAGTAGATACTGCGCGCAGAATTACCGAAGTACTGGTACCTCAATCCGCTGCCAAAACGTGGTGGCGGCGTATGTCACCCTACCCGGAGTCCGTCCACCGCCGGTTTTGGAAGACTCGCAATCCTTGCAGTTCTTCTTCTCCTCCCCCGCCTTAAAAGGTCTCTCTCAACAATCTCACTCTGTTTCCTCATCTGTTTAACAGCTTCCTTCCTTTATATCCGAGCCCGGCTCGCTCACTCGCCTCAACGGCCCTCCGTCCCGGGATCTTCTTCCATCCGACACATCAAAATCTGGTCGACTCTGCAATGCCAGCCTTGTCCTGGCAAGTTGAATATTTTTGCTGAAGTAACGACTTTATTTCGGTCGCATTGCCTGACTATACCTCGTCGCCAGCTCGAGAGCTGCGTGGTCGCTTCGCGCGAGGTCCGAGACTATAAGTCTCTGCGAGCTTTGCGCTCCGCCAGTTATGCTGCCGCAATGTCAAGGCCCTGTCTGGGCCATTGACGACTTGTCTCGTTGCTTCCAACGCAAGTGAGTAACTCGAAACTGCGTTTGCGACCGTTGATTCCATGCTGATCATGATGTACATAATATAGCGTTCTTCAAGTGATCCTTCCCCTCACAGCTTGCAGCGTCTCGGTGCTGCTAGTTCTCATTCGCCTCGCCCATCGATATGTGGTTTCCCGAAAAGGTGTTGTGTACAAGGTCCTCCCGAACAATGACTCCGAAGAGCTTTCCAATGGCCAGGAAAACGAATGCGATGCGATGCTCTTCCAGGCTGCACAGCAGGAACAAAATGATTCCGAGGTCGATCGCCCGCGTGGAGAAATAGCTGTCGTCTTGGTCGAAATCGCTGCGCTTATTGGCCAAGTTGCAGTCTTCATTGTGATTTTGTCATCTCAAGCCTGGGGTCGCAATGGAACTCTTCCCGCCGTTGCGGGTTTGATATCGTGGGGTTATGTCATGTTCTTGGTGCTGGTTCGATTCCTTCTATCGACATTGGATATTTCCTCCGCCCCGAGACTATGGAATCACACGGCTATCCTATACAGCTTCCAGTGGCTCTTCAACGTCATGGTCTTCCGATCCGCCATTATCCACCCCTTGTCTCAGCGCGCCCTGGTTCTGAGCAGCGTTCAGTTCTCGTTGAGCACATTGCTCCTTCTCATCGCACTCACCACTCGCCGAGGCAACAAGCCAGTTTTGGTTGAGCGTGAAGATGGATTGGAACCTCCGAGACACCCCATGGCGAGTCTATTGTCGCTCGCAACATTTTCCTGGCTCGATCCGCTTGTCTTGAAGGGCTACCGTCAACCCCTGGAACTTGAGGACGTCTGGAACTTGACCCCGTCCCAAAAGGCCGCCAACGTTCTCAGTGACTTCCGCAAGCGCCATATGAAGGGTTCTCTGGCGTGGAAGCTTATTCGCTTCTTTGCCGGGACAATTTTGAAGCAGGGTGCTTGGACCGTCTTCGCCAACCTATTCGTCTTCATGCCCAGCCTACTTCTCAAGGCTATTCTTGAGTATGTCGAGGACCCTCGTTCCACCACGCCTAATGCAGCTTGGTTGTACGCCATTCTACTTTTCTGCTGTGCTACGGTCCAGGGTGTGGCTGATGGACAAGCCCTGTTCATTGGTCGTAAGATGGGTGTAAAAATCCGTGCGATCATTATTGGTGAGATTTATGCCAAGGCCCTACGACGCAAAGCAGGTGCGTCGGTAGAAGCGGCCCGCAAGGCCGTGGAGGTACCTCTCGTCAAAGATGCAAAGAAGAAGAAGCGTCTGTTTCCTTTCGGTCGCAAGAAGAAGGCCGCGAATGGCAATGACACCGAAAATGGAACTAAGCCTGCTGCCGAGGAGGACACCACCCAAGCTAATGTCGGTACAATCATCAACTTGATGGCGATTGACTCCTTCAAGGTCAGCGAGGTTGGCGCTTATCTTCACTTCTTGTGGGCTAGTGTGCCCGTGCAGATCACCATGGCCGTCGCCCTGCTTTACTACATCATGGGCTTTAGCTCTTTTGCTGGCATTGCAATCATGGTTCTCATGCTGCCTGTCAACCTCTTCATCGCCCGCCAGTTCAACAAGGTGCAAAACCAGATCCTGAAGGGCACCGATGCCCGCATTCATTCTACGAATGAAGTACTGCAGAACATTCGCATCATCAAGTACTTTGCGTGGGAGCAGCGTTTCCAGGACATTGTCAACGAGAAGCGCAAGACTGAATTGAAGGCCCTCCGTAAACGATACATCCTTTGGTCTTCTGCCGCAACTGTCTGGTACGGCACACCGATTCTCATCACCTTCTTGTCTTTCTTATTGTACACTGTTGTCGAGAAGAAGCAATTGACTCCTTCCGTTGCCTTCCCTGCGTTGTCAATGTTCTCCTTGCTCCGTGTCCCCCTGGACCAACTGGCGGATATGGTAGCCCACGTTCAGGAGTCAAAGGTTTCCTTGGACCGTGTGGACAAGTACCTCAACGAGGAGGAGACTGGCAAATATGAGCAGCTCCGTGAGAGTACCGTTGCAGGTACCCCGATCCGGCTTGGCCTTGAAAATGCCACTCTCACCTGGAGCACTTCAAAGCCCACGCCCCAAGAAGCTGGATCCGCTGATGGCCTGGACTCTTTCCGCTTGATCAATATTGACGTCGAATTCCTTGTTGGAAAGTTGAACATCATTGCCGGTCCCACTGGCTCTGGAAAGACGTCTCTGCTCATGGCACTGCTTGGAGAAATGAGACTCCTGGATGGTCGTGTTCACCTCCCCGGTGGAATGGCCAACAGAGCAGACCTCCCCGTTGACCCCGAAACTGGCCTGATTGACAGTATCGCATACTGTGCCCAGGAAGCGTGGTTGGTCAACGATACTGTGAAAGAAAACATCATCTTCGCCTCACCCTATGATGAGCGTCGCTACCGTGCCGTGCTCAAGGCCTGTGCCCTCGAGCGCGACCTTCAGATCCTTGATGCTGGTGATCAGACCCTTGTCGGAGAAAAGGGTATCAGTTTGTCTGGTGGCCAGAAGCAGAGAATCTCTCTTGCCCGTGCCATATACAGCAGTGGCCGCCACTTGCTCCTGGACGACTGTCTCTCCGCTGTCGACTCTCATACCGCCAAGCACATCTTCCGCCAAGCTCTTACTGGTCCGCTGATGCTGAACCGTACTTGCGTGTTGGTAACCCACAACGTTGCCCTGACCGTGCCCCAGTCCGACTATGTCGTGGTGCTTGAGAACGGCAAGATCTCCGCCCAGGGTCGCCCCGATGATGTCGCTGCTACTGGTGCCTTGGGTGATGAATTCCTCAAGTCTCGGCCTGCCTCCAGGGCTAGCTCCCGTGGCTTGTCTCGTGCGCCTTCAGACCATGGAGGCGCGGATGATGAATCCCCAGCCAACGGAACAGCGAATGGAAACGCAAAGGATGGAAAGGCCAAGCTATCAGAGTCCAAGGCTACTGGTAGCATCAAGTGGTCTACCGTCAGCATGTACCTCCGCTCCATGGGTCCGTGGTACTACTGGATTGGAGCTGTCTTGGTGTTTTGCTTGCAGCAACTGGGCTCGGTTTCCACCAACATTTGGATTCGTCAATGGGCAAACTCTTACCACACCTCCAAGGTTGGCACTGAGAACAATGCCGGCCATTACGCTGCTGCCGCCCACCTCAAGCCGCCCACCTTCAACGTTGGAAGCGTTGGTCGCGTCAGCAGCTGGAGTCTGCCGCAATTTGGTACAAGCTCCACCAACGGGCCTGGTAACGAAGTCAATGTGGCCTACTACCTCGGTGTATATGCGGTGCTTGGCTTCCTTTACATCGCAATTTCTCTGTCTCGCGAGGCTGTTCTGTTCTGGGGCTCTCTCCATGCCTCCTGGAAGATCCACGATCGCCTTCTCAAGGCTGTCATGCATGCCAAATTCCGCTTCTTTGATTCCACTCCTCTTGGCCAACTCATGAATCGGTTCTCCAAGGATATTGAGTCTGTCGACCAGGAAGTTGCTCCCGTTGCCATCGGCATGCTTCACAGTCTGGCCTCGGTTATCATGATTGTCATCCTGATCTCCGTTATTACCCCTGGCTTCTTGATCGCTGGTGTGTTCATCACACTAGTGTACACCGCACTCGGTGCTGTCTATCTGAACTCTTCTCGTGATCTCAAGCGTCTGGAATCTGTGCAGCGCAGCCCCCTGTACCAGCAGTTCGGCGAGACGCTCAACGGCATTGTCACTATTCGTGCCTACGGTGATGGTCCCCGTTTCATGATCGACAACCACCGCCGCATCAACGCCTACAACCGGCCACACATCTACCTTTGGGCTAGCAACCGCTGGCTCGCTCTCCGCGTGGACTGGACCGGTGCTTTGGTTTCCTTCTTCTCGGCCACCTTTGTGTTGCTGAATGTTGGAAAGATTGATGCCGGTGCTGCTGGTCTTTCGCTCACCTACGCCGTTACATTCACAGAGAACGTTCTCTGGCTTGTGCGTCTCTACTCCGAGGTTCAGCAAAACATGAACTCCGTTGAGCGAGTGAGAGAGTATCTCGAAGTGGACCAGGAGGCAGCCGCTGTCATTCCTAAGTCCAGACCTGCCGCTGGTTGGCCCAGCCAGGGTGCGGTGGAGTTCAACGGCTATAGCACCCGGTACCGCCCTGATTTGGACCCGGTGCTCAAGGAAGTTTCTTTCTCCGTCAAGGCCGGCGAGAAGGTTGGTATTGTCGGTCGCACAGGTGCCGGAAAGAGTTCGCTCGCACTGGCTCTCTTCCGCGGTCTCGAAGCAGAGAAGGGACAGATTCTGATTGACGGTGTTGACATCGGTTCGATTGGACTGCGCGACCTGCGTGAGGCAATCACCATCGTGCCCCAAGATCCAACTCTATTCACCGGCACGCTCCGCAGCAATCTGGATCCCTTTGGCCTCTTCAGCGACGAGGAAATCTTCACAGCCCTCCGCCGTGTCCATCTAATTGGATCTAGCTCCTCGGGCACCGCAACCCCTGCAACATCTAGCACCATCGCAGCAACAGAAGCCAATGGCGAAAACGGCAGCGTCGTCGACAACAAGAACATCTTCCACACCCTGGACAGCCTAGTCTCGGAGTCGGGCTCAAACCTCTCCCAAGGCCAGCGCCAACTCCTCTGCCTTGCTCGTGCTCTACTCAAGAGCCCCCGCGTCTTGATGATGGACGAGGCGACCGCCTCCATCGACTACGCGACAGACGCCAAGATCCAAGAGACCCTGCGCGAACTCCGCGACAGCACAATCATCACCATCGCCCATCGTCTGCAAACAATCATCGACTACGACAAGGTCCTGGTCCTCGACCACGGCCGCGTCATCGAGTTCGACCACCCCTGGGAGCTGATCAACAAGGAAGATGGTCTGTTCCGCGGAATGTGCGATAACAGCGGCAACATGGACGTTCTTCTGGATGGTGCGAAGCGCGCGTGGTCTCAGAAGCGTCTTGTCGACGACTCTTAAAAGTTGCCCTTCGATCTGTTGGGTGATTTCCTTTTCCTCTTCCATTCTCATGTTTTCTTATAGAACTTGCGTACATATCCATTGTCTACCTGTTTGTCTATTATTGACTCCCCGCTCATTTCCTCGGAGCGGGAATGCAAAAAGAGAGAGGTCAATGTAATCGTTATTTTCCATCTGGGTGGCTTTCATCAGTTTGTTATTTATTGTTGTTTATCATCTGTGTTTTTGCTCATTTTCATTCTCATCGGCCGTCTCTTGCACCGCCGTGGCGTCTGGGCATTGGCTTTCCTCTCTTGATGCTCTCTTTTCGTCTTATCTTCTTGACTATCATTTACACATAAATCGGAATTTAGGCCTATGTGGCTATCCAATCATTTGAGTGCTCAAACTTTGTCCTCTTTTTGAGTAAGTTAGTTCCTATAATGCAAGAATGCAGATGATCTAAGGAGTAGTTGTATGTTTTTACTCAAATTGACAATTTTATGCTAACCTCAAGTTTTGCTAAGAACTTACCAATGATGTCAGGGCCATGGACCTGTCGATCTCGGTTCCTGATGAGACCCGATTGACTCCTGCAGAACTAGCGATTTGGAACGATCCCGATCTACGAATGCCCGAAGTTTTAATACGACATCTTTTTGTCTGCCAATTCCGGCCTCGTGTTAATAGTCCAAAGAAATACATTGCCTGCACCACTATCACTCTGTTTACTGTATCTTCCACATGCAGTGTATAGTTCGGCCCTTTGATCACCGAGGTTTGAATTAAGTGGACCTCGATGGAGCTCTAATTCTCCCAATCAAATGGGCGTAAATGTACGTACTCCATATTTACAAACCACGATTCTTTCTTAAAGATCTGCTATTGAAACACTTTAAGACGGCATTGCTATAAAAGTAGATATAAAAGTAGATCATAGCCCCATTTTAATGCAGCTTGTGGACATCTGAGTCCTATACGGAGTACAAGCCAGTACTCCCTGTTCCTGATCTGCAGGATTCCTTTCCCTTACCTCACACTAATAGAATTCAAATTCATTATGATGATACTTAGCCCTCGAAATCTGCGGAACTATTTTCCAAATATGCTAATTGCGCCGGCCCTAGCTTGGTCAAAACAAATTCTTCCCCTATCCAGTATTAAGGAAGACTCCCCGACCTAGAAGCTTCATCTCTCCATTATCTTCCATCTATCCTCACTATCCACCACTCCATCCACAATGATGCTCAAGACCTTGACGATCTTCACCTCCCTCTTGGCCCTTGAGTCCGTGTGAACAAGTCGGCAGCACGCATGATGTGGTCGAGTGCAAGCTGGACTACCAGTCTGTTAAGAAGAAGATTGACTGTGATAGTTCTTGATTCCATACTGTTTTGGATTGATTGAGATCATTTTCGCACCATGATAATTGTGTTTGAACGCTAGCGCGATGTGACAACGGAATGTGGTTGTTCTGTGGGATTGTATTTAACAAATAATCAACGTGGATGCCAATTTCATTCCTGTGCCTGTTCATCTTTTTTTAGGTGGGCTTGTACCGTGCATCATGTAGGAATGGGTCATGTAGTCAGATCTGCGATACATGGTATAAAATACCTTGCTACTTCGGTTGGCATGGACCCTAAGTGGCCCTTTTACTTGGAAAGAAACGGATACTTTCAGGCTTATCTCAAGTATGTCTAGACAGCCATGCGCACCTTTAGAGCATAGAGAACCTAGGGAGAAAGCGGTGAATGATGACTAGGTCAACAGACCGTGAAGATTGGATCTTTTGATATCAGAACAACAGTTCTAAGCAGTTCCTCCCTTCTGTGTAAATGTTTGACTGGACAAGCGTAACAGGAAATAGTATCCTCAATATTGACCCTTTTGGTTCTCTCGCCCATCCGATTTGTCTTGTCCATCGAGAGAATTTGGAACAACTTAAGGCGCTAATCAGCCAGCTAGAAGCGATACTCCATTCAGCAGGAACCCACAATTTCGAGCGCCTTGTGCATTAGAGATATCCATAGAGCGGATGCAATTCCAGTGATCTGGCACGAGATGAAGCCGACCCAGGTGGTGATACCAGTCGAGATGGTGGCAAGTATGTTGTGTGTATCCCAGTAGAGGGCTTCAACATATAACCACACGACATTGGCTCGTTGTCTCTTGCTTGCTGCTTATTGTCTCATTCCTTTTGGCCAGAGGCCAATGCGTGAATAGATATTGTGGGGAAGGTCTGATTCTCCGAAACATGTAGACTTCCGTTCGCGCAATGGATTTCAGCTGCCAAAATCCGATGATGGTCATTGCTGCGGCGTGTTCGAGTGATCGCCCAGGCCCATGCGGCAGAGCAGTCGAGTTATTCCATGCCTTCGTCGTCGAAATCCATATCCGATCAAACGAAGAAGCAAGATAAAGTCGAAAATTAATCAAAAAACGATATCACAACCTCACTTCTTGGCACCAATTCCTCTCAGGATAGTAACGAAACAAACCACAACAGCAGCAACAACAAAGAACCCAAACGGCGGACACAAAGTGCGCTCATCCTCAGAAGCTTCGTATGCAGCTGTGGTAAGTTCCTCCAGGAACCCGCCCTGCTCGCTCAGCTTCGAACCCGAGGCCATATACCCGGCAAATCTGGTCCTGTCACCGGCACCGGCACTGGCAGCGCCGAGCCCATCCTTGGAAGCAGGAACGGGATGACGACTTGACTTTTGCACTTCTTCCGACGATCGGGAGCTCGAGGGGATAAAGCCCGCCTCGCGCATAGCGACCTCCCGCAATAAAACTTCATTTTCAAGGTCTTCGTCGTCTTGGATGGTCTCGGGAAAATAATACGGCGATCTCTTATCCGCTCGTGGGTCCAGTTCGGACAAAGCCCATGACGCGGCCTGATTCGTTGGCGAGTCCGCGATGGACGGGATTGAAATTTCGCGAAAAGTATTTGGCGGGATTGGAGGAGACTTTGGAATTGCGGCTGCTAAGGCGTGGCCTGTGAGGAGAAAGAGTATGGCGAGTTTGCGCAAAGCCATGTCGGAGGCTTCGGATGATGATAACGGAGATAAGCTCTAGATCTCCCAGAGAAGAGGGTGCGACGGAGAGGTTTGAGGATACAGAGAAAGGAAATGAAGAGAGATGGAAATAGGAAGAATATAAAGAGAATTAAAAGAAGAGAAGCCAGAATTACATGGTGAGATAGAGGTGTCGACGAAAGAGGGAAGACAGCGCACGTGGGCGCATTCGCGTTCGGGTGCGGTAACGGCACGCGGCGGATGTACCAATAGGAAATCGATAGGTGGTGAACTTTCGTCTATTGGTCAATCGTAGTCTCGATGGTGTTTGATTATAAAGTTATAGAAAACAGTCTAGATCACAATAGGTGAAGGTGAGGAATCATGCTGACGACCTTAGCCCACTTAGGGCACGGCCACCCACCCGGCTTGAGTAGACAAGATTTAAGTTACTCCGCATACCTCAACACTCCTCAACTATTATCCGCGCAGGAAAAGGCAGATGCGATGGCACCATCCGCATAGGCCTGTTTAATCTGCACAACAACCCCATAAGTGCCACCAACCGCCATAAACAGACCTAACAGAACAAGGAAGACATGGAAAGCATACAACATAACCCTCAGCACATTCCCCCTCCAATAATCGCGATGGCTATACAGCCACAACCACCCCGGCAGACTAATCGCCAAAGGCGCAAAACACAAACTCCCCACCAGTGCCAAGACATAGTTGAAGATAGGGATGGCGCATGCCAAGACAAACGAAATGGCGGCCATACCCACCGTACACGCCAACCACGTTCCCCAATGTACAGCCGTGTTCGCCTGCAAATGGCGCGAGTCACGCAGAATCCGCACGAAGAGGTATTTGGCTGCGACGTGTACGTAGAGACAGCCGCTGATGATCAGGCCCGGAAGGGCGATCCCGTAGGCGACCCGCTTGACGGTTTCGCCGGCGCTGCCGAGAGATGGGGAGGCGATCCACTTGCCGCACCAGGCGTAGATTACTAGGCTGAAGGTTAGGTAGGAGGCTGTTACCAGGCTCATGCTCAGGTAGACTGCTTTGGGGTAGTCTTTTGGCTTGCGCATCTCGGAGATGACCGGGAGGAAGGCAGATGTTGCTGCGCTGGAGACGAAGATTGTTGCTGAGGCTGTAATTCCGGTTGTGAAGTCCGGGTCACCGATGACTCGGTAGCCAAAGTCGAAATCGCCTGTTTGGGGGGCTGCTGCCGGTCGGTCTCGTGTTGTTACGCCGATACTGGGGCCGTCAGTATTTGATCCAGGAGTGGAAGAATGGCGGAACTTACACAATGATAAAGACAGCAATATAGACACTGCCAAATCCAAGCCAGGTGAGCCAGCCGATATGCGAGAACTTGCGCACACTAGCACACATGGCAATGATAATCGTCCCGATGAATGAGAACCAGACGGTACAAATGGAATGCAGCGATAGGGCATTGAGTGCCGTCGACACACCAATGATACCCGATGCCGCGACAATCACATAACTAACCGTGAACAAGAAGCCAACAAGCTCCTTCACGACCGGTCCGCCAACCACCTGGGCCATATCGGCGATGGAGTGGCAGCCTGGATAGGCATTGCGGAAGTTGCCCTGCACAATAGCGCAGTAAGTATTGAGTAGACTCCAGCCTATTACAGTGATGGCGCCAGGGAATGCGCCTAGCTGGTACATCAGTGATGGGATGGAGAGGACGCCGGTTGCGAAGATGACTGTTGAACAGCGTCAATTTTGTCACAGGAAGAATGGGGTAAATGGAGCTGGATTAGACTGACTTTTTAGGAAGATAACTGAAGCCCGGATCCAACTGACAGTCCGGAAATCGACTTGGCCATCACCTCGTTTGAAGACCTCGAATTTGTCTTCAACTTCGGCTTCTTGTGTGTCGGTGACGTTGGGGTCGTCTGTGTAGGGAGGGGCTTCCTTGATCTCATCTGCATGAAGTGCCATGATGAATGAGGATGATAAGCTCTGGCTAGCTTTGGTCAATTGCAAGTATAGGCAGCGAACATGGGGCTCTGAATTGGAGATACCACGGTCGGTATATATAGACAAGCGCTGAGCACGGCACTTATCTCCCGTGATCTTGTTCACAAATACGTATGCTTGGCACCGTGGACGTTCTCTGGGGTTCACAGTACTTTGTCACAGCTATTTCACACTAAAGAGCGATAAGACGGGATAGAGCTGGTCCACTTTCCCCACGAAACGACAAGGGCTGAATATCATGGAGGTGAGGTTGGCATGTTGGAGTCGTGTTGGGGTAGATCCCCGGTTTTGGGGTAGGGTTGGCAGGGTTGGAGATAAGATATTCAATGATGGCGAAGTCATATCTTGTTCTTTGTTCTGATACTGATAGCAATAGCTAAGTTACAACGGCGGTTTGATATCATTTGGGGTAGGTGGAGGGAGGGTCTTTTGGGGTCGATGGAGTTGGACCCATTTATGAGATAAGATGAGATATAGTTGTTGAACAAGATATTATTGCATATTCACTAAGTGCTAAAACTCGAACTATTCACTTCTGCAGCATAGCACCTGCCTTTGCTGGCATCAATGCCCCTGGTGGAGGCGTGTTCTTCTTCTTAAAATCGTCACACACTTGTTCCATAGTCACAAATTCGACACCTTCATGTTTCTTAAAGTGCTCAATCAGTCTGATGGATGTCAGTACTATTATCCAGCCAAAGATATATCAGAAAACACACCTTTCATGCATAAGAAGTACATGAGGCCTTCCCGAAACATCCGGGTGAATAGTAATCGGGAAGATAAACTCGTCATACTCGCGATAGAAGTAGTCGAAATGGTCGCGCCAGATATCTTCCACGTCACGCGGGTTCACAAACCCATGGCTGTTCGGCGCACTCTTGATGAACATCATTGGTGGCAGGTCGTCAATGTACCAGTTGGATGGAATCTCAACAAGTCCAGTTTGCGGTCCATGCTCAAGAGGCTTCATCCATTCCTCCGCCTTCTTCTTGTAGTCAATCTTAGTCCAGCTGTCGCCCGTTCGCAGGTAGTAGGCCTGGCAATCTTCGTGGCTCATGCTGTGGTCGTACTCAATGCCGTAGTCGAGGAGGAGTTGGGCGCCTTCTCGGCTGGTTTCCCACCTATAAAAAAATCATTAGGTTCCTCCCTAAGCTAGTAAATCAAAAGACCTACCAAGGTGCCACGCTACCGCGAGGAGGTTTTCCGGTAAACTCGGTCAACATCTTGTATGTTTTATCGAGTACATCGCGCTGCTGCTCTATCGACATATCCGTCGGGTTCTCGTGGGAGTACCCGTGCAGGCCGATCTCGTGACCCGCATCGCGAACGGCAGCCATGTCCTCGGGGAAGGTCTCGAGCGAGTGACCGGGGATGAACCATGTCGTCTTGATGTCGTATTTAGCAAACATTTTCAATAGACGCTGAGTCCCAATTGTTCCTGCCCAGTACCCTATATCGCGGGCAATTAGAACACTATCACTTCATCAATAGACCAAATCATACCCCTGCTGATGTCGTTTGTAGAATCCTCTCCGCCATACGAGCCCAGCCAGCCGGCCACGGCATCAACATCCACGCCATAAGTAATCAGAACTCGCTTGGGTGCCATAGTGAATAATTGAACAACGGAGGTGGTCGAGAATAGCCGACTGGTTGGCTTTTGTACTCCTGCGGGGAAGATAAGCCCCTCGCTCGGGACGTATCCCCTGGCCACTGATAGGACTTTCCTTCCCCAATACTCTTCTTCATATGTAAATGCATGTATAATTCAAATTTCTTAACTATGTTTAATTGGTATCTGAAGACAATGCCGAGCTCCTTCTCCAACGTGGTTGGGGTCGTCGGGGTACTAGCGACCGTGAGCAATCAGACCCAGTTTAATGGACTCCATGAGCCGACTGCGTCGGAGAGCACCGATGGATTAAAAAAAATCTCATGAGAGCAAATGTTCATAAACTACAACCTCCCCTGACGAAGAAGAGATCGGCAGCATAGCGGTGTTTCATAGCGATCATGTCGGTCCTTTTCACGAGTATCTCAGAGTGCGTATCTTCACATTATCCATCTTTATTTACCCCCAAATCCGGAAAATCAGCTTACTGACGGATACACTGTAGGAGCAACCCCGTCAAACTAGACGATGCTCAAAAACTCCTTGATCCGCTCGGTCTGACCATCGATCCAGCCGAGGCGCAAGATTTCCATACTCTTCTCGCTGCAGTACACGATTGCGCCGAGGGTGTCGCTGCCTTACCAGATTACCAACCAGTCTCAGATCAGACAAAGTATCCGCGTGAAAATGTGCGCCGACCAAGCGAAGAAGAGCAAGTCTTCGGACATGCATGGGCACACCGGTTTCTGATCCGGGGTACTGCGCAAGGCGGACCGCTGGCAGGCAAGTCAGTCAGCTTGAAGGATGTCATTGCTGTAGCAGGTGTACCTCAACTTCTCGGAAGCGATATCATTCCATCTTGGACTCCGAATACTGATGCGACCGTTGTGACCCGGCTTTTGGAGGCTGGCGCTGATATTCATGGGACATCTACTTGCGAGAATATGTGTCACTCCACTTCTTCTTATACTAGTGCACAGGGTACTGTGGAGAACCCACATGCTGTTGGATATTCAGCTGGTGGGAGTACCTCTGGAGGAGCGGCTCTCGTTACAGCGGGCTTGGTGGATATTACTATTGGTGGTGATCAGGGTGGGAGTATACGAGTTCCTGCTTCGCTGTGCGGATGTGAGATATTTTCCAGTGGGATAAAGATTGTAGCGATGCGCTAACTTTTGTTTAGGCGTTGGATTGAAACCTACACATGGACGCGTCCCTTTCACTGGAATTGCTAGTGGCGATGCGATGAACGATCATGCAGGCCCGCTTACCCGAACGACCCTGGAAACGGCACAGTGTCTAGACGTGATCAGTGGCTATGATGGCATCGATGACAAGTCTCTTGGTAGTCAGAAGCCAGGGTCCACTAGTTTCGGAGCAACACTTCAACAGACCTCAGACCGACTTGATGGTTTCAAGGTTGGGATTCTAGTTGAAGGCTTCGAACACGACAAAGTGGACCCAAATGTCAAGAATCTAGTTTTGACTGCAACTCGGAAGTTCAAAGATTTGGGCGCAACTATTGAGGAGGTTTTCCTTCCAGACCACTATCATGGACCGGCGATCTGGACTATTCAGCAGCGCATTGCTGGAGCGCAGACCCTATTGGGCCAGAATACCGGTCGACGAGGTCTTTATATGACTGACATGGAGCGAGCACGCCTTCCATGGACAGATGATGGCTTCCAGCGCGCGTTTCCTTCCACGAAGAACGTGATGATTAATGGTTTATATTTGATGAAACAATTCCCTGATCTCTACGGCAAGACGGCCAATTTCGGGCGGTATCTGAGCGATAAGTACGAGGCCTTGTTTGAGAAGTACGATGTGCTGGTCATGCCTACCACACCGGTCGTTGCCCCGAAGCATGGCAAGCGTGAGCTCCCGCTGGAATCGTTGAAACCTAGCATGGGGCTTACGATTAACACGGCTGTCTTCAATGTGACGGGTCACCCGGCTCTCTCAATCCCGGTCGGATTTGCTCCGGCAAAGGAGGATAATCAGGTCATGTTGCCTGTTGGAATGCAGATTGTTGGTGGATTATGGCAGGAGGAGAAGATCCTGCGGGCTGGGCATATCTGGGAGACGCATTATGATTGGAAGAAGATGCAGTACACGACGGACAAGAACTAGATTAGACTGTATATATGCATTGCATTTGCGCATCGGGACATTGACATTGTTTCGTTCATTCTCGACTATTTCATCATTATGTGTTCATGGATAAGCTATACAGTAACATATCCACCATCAACCACCATAGCATGACCCTGTACAAAAGAGGCCTGTGTTGAGCACAAGAAAAGAATTGCATCGGCAACTTCTGCCGGCTGCCCCATTCTCTTCATGGGAGCTATCTCCACTGCCGGTGTTATGGCCGCCCGAACCTCGGGCTTCTCCATGATGAGTGGTGTCTCGATCACACCTGGACAGACACAGTTGACTCGAATTCCATCTTGGGAATAATCGATGGCATCTGCTCGAGTCATTCCAATAACAGCAGATTTTGATGCACAATAGGCAGCTAGAAAGAAGATTATTAATCGTGCGTTTTTAACAGACAGGAGCGCAACACTTACGAGCACCCGGACGGCTGACGATTCCCAACTGGCTAGCAACATTTACCACTGAGCCTCGCTGGCCAGGACGGTTGGGGTCATGACTTGGGAGTTCACTTTGAGATGCCATTTGTCTAAGTTCTGCCCGAGAAGACAGCCAGCAGCCTCGGTAGTTGACATTGTTGACACGGTCAAATTCTTCAAGAGTTGTCTCGGCCGACCGCATTGGCTTGCCAAGGACACCTGCACAGTTCACAGCATAGTCGACTCGGCCAAATTGTTGTACGACTGCGTTGATGAACGAATCTGCGAATCGGTCATCTGCCACATTTCCGGCTTTCACTAGGAGATGGGTCTTGGGGTGTGTTGAAGTGATGGTTTCTGCTGTTTTTTGCAAGGACTCTTCGTTTAAGTCTGTAATAGCGATTCTCTCACATCCTGCTGTCGCAAACGCTTTTGCTGTTGCAGCACCGATTCCTAGCTAGTGTTGGTTGTATATCCACAACGGTCGGCCAAGTCACATACCTGTTCCACCAGCCCCAGTGATGACTGCGACTCCAGGAAACATATTGCATGACATGTTTGATCTAACTTAGTTATCAAACTAGCAAGTCAACCAAGTTAACAAGTCAAGAAGTTGAAGTATAGTATCGCAACTACCCCAACTCCGAACCCCACCTTTATCGCTTATCACGGGCCGAATGGTTCCGGACAGTCCCGAGTTGGGGTAGTTGGAGTCAATTCTCCTATCTCGACACCCACATTCCACTTCCCAGGGTATCTTCGTCTCCAATCCAGTTCTCCATCCCCCAATGTTTCAATGGCGTCCCCATCACCCCCGTTACAAAGGGCCCGTGGAGCAAGGGCACGCATATGCGTGCACTGCGGTCGGAGCTTCCGGCGAACAGAGCATTTGGAGCGTCACATTCGCACCCGTAAGCTAGATTGGAGCACCTGGGCAGATCCTGAGGGGCAAGTACTGACCCATAATCAGACACCAAGGAGAAGCCATTTATTTGTTTCTGTGGGGCAGCGTTCACTAGAAGGGATCTACTGAAGCGTCACACGCGCATCTCCCACCAAGATGGCCTTACCTCGCCAAGTGCGCCGCCTGAGCCAACCGCAAAGTCGGATTTCCAGCCAGCACATCATCCTGCAGCTATCCCGCAATATGATACACCATCCCGCTCGGTAGGGCCCCTTGCAGGACCGTCTGCTGTGCACCAATGGCCTGCTGCACCGAGTACACCTTATCTAGACCAGAGCCATGCTGCTGGCATGCTTCCAGCAGCTGCGGCTGCCTCGAACCCGGCTATGGAGGCACATCCCGGTATGGTGCATGATCCAGACATGCTTCAAGCTGCGCAATTGCTTCTTCCTGGTGATTACCAGGCTACAGGTACGTCTCCAAAATATTGCGTAGTATATTCTTGCATGGGATAAGCTGTTTGGCTGCATTTCTGCTATTGGTTTTATGTTTTCTGACATTATGATAGCGCAACCTATGCCCTACCTACCTGAAGATTTAAACCATTTCCAAGAGTTTACTCACTTCTTGGATTCAATTGGCCTACCTGGAGAATGGCTTCCCAGCGAAGGAGAAACATCTCAAACACAAGATGTCCCTCTGGAAAATGTCCAAGAAGCCGCCCGACCGACTCAAGATCAACAGGAAAGGCAGCGACGAAATCCAGGTGGCACGTCTCGGGGAGACTCACCATTTCGATCATGGCTTCCGTCTGTACCAAGGGGTGACCAGAGCTTAGGGAACCTCTCCGATTCTGGTAAGCCGTTCATCTGTTTTGCACCTAAGACAATGCTAATATCATTCTAGAACCCCCACAAGTAGCAAAGAAAACATCGCGATTCAATGTCACTGAAGACCAACGCTTTCGACTAGCAGCCTCCCTTGAAGATTTCCGCAACGTCATTCCTGACTTCGTACTGCCATCTCGACATACATTGACGCGATATCTCACGTCCTACTTCGAGGGATTTCAACCTCATCTTCCGTTTATGCACATACCAACTTTTCATATTAATGAACGTGCCCCTGAGGTCATCCTCGCCATAATGACGATTGGCGCTCAATATCGATTTGAACATCGCAACGCGGAAAGGATCTTCCACGTCTCTAAAGCGGTCCTCTTTGAGCGGATGTCCCGAGAATCCCGTCTTCCTTCTAAACCTAGCTACAGTTCAGCCTCTCAAGTGCCGCTGGGGATCCCGCCATATTCCAACTTCGGAGACCAATCCCTCACAGCACCGCAGGTAGCAGCGGAACGAAATGCTTCATGGAAGCAGATTGAAGTCACTCGCTGTTTGCTCATTCTGATGGGCTACGCCACTTGGGAGAATGCGCGACTGGTACAAGAAGCCTTCCACCTCCAGGGATTGTTGGTTCGACACCTCCGTGAGGCTGGGTTGACAGAAGACCCCTTGCGCTCAGATCCACGAGCGCCTCTTGATTGGTATGAATGGGCTGATCAAGAATCTGGCCGACGCACAAAGTTGATTGCGTTCTGTTTCGTCCACATCCACAGTATCGCGTACAACGCCTATCCCTCTCTGCGCAGTAATGAGATTCACCTGCGGCTGCCTTGTTCCACCATGGAATGGATTGCAGCCACCCCTCAAGAATGGGAAGCGGCTCAGCGGGAGAGAGGTCCACAGCAGCTATTCTTCCAGGATGCATTGACCCTTCTTCTACAGAAGTCCCGATCAGCTGTGCCGTTGGATCCTATCCCGGCACCATTGGGTAACTATATTCTCCTCCACGGTCTCCTACAAAGAATCCATCTTGTGAGCGAGCTATCATTACCAAATGGAAACCACTCCACAACTCTCCCTACTGAAGAGCTTAACAAACTAGAGTAAGTCCGATTTCATCTCACCTGCCCCTCTATAAGGTATCCTAACCAGCGACAGACGAGCTCTTCGTTCCTGGACCTCAGTATGGCAACAAGCCCCCGAGTCCAGTCTCGATCCACACAACGCCAACGGTCCAATCCCATTCACCTCAAGCGCTTTCCTAGGCCTGGCCTACGTCCGCCTCTCCATGAATCTAGGTCCCTACCGACGACTCGAAACTCGTGATCCAGTGGTCATCGCCTCAGCACTCCGACGCTCCCCACGTCCAGAGCGAAGCTACCGCCTCATCCCGGCTCTGATCTACGCTGCCCATGCTCTCAGCATCCCCGTGCGTCTCGGTATTGACCATATTGCTCGCAGTCAGGCTTTCTTCTGGAGTGTGCGTCATTCGCTTGCTAGTCTTGAGTGTGCTGTGCTGCTCAGCAAGTGGCTCTTTAGTCTTGCTGAGGCCGGGCCGGATCAATCTTTGAGCGGTATCTTCATTCCCCAGTGCCTAACTTGCCGCAAATCTTCTCTCTCCTTTCAAACTTGGCTTACTATATTGAAACTCATTTCTAACCCTCTTTTTACAGAAAACGAAACCCGTATTCTACGATGGACACGCTGCATAATCGAGGAAGCATACTCATCTATAGATCTAGATGAAGGTGAGGCACCGCCGAACCTTGAACCGGCTTCTTTGGGCATGGCTGTTCTCAAGCTGTGGGCCCGATTATTCCGTACGAACACCCAATGGCCATTTATCAATGTCCTTGGGCAGAGTTTGGAACGATACATGACTATGATTTGATATTAAATACTTTATGCCTGGACTTTGTACATAACAAGGGATGTCGGATGATGGCGGTGATTAATACCTTTTATTTGCTTTAGAGCTGGATACCTTTAACAATGGCTTTTTGAATACACGCAGAGACCAAGGGCGGCTGTATAGTGTTTAGCTTAACGCAGGCAGCAATCTACCCGGCTCGACTCAGGTCTACCTAGGTAGTCTAAAAATTAAATTGCTAGTAGAGGGAGTGGTGGCAGAAGGAGTATTAGGAGGTACACGGGCTCCCATGTCTATATAGATGGAAACAAAGGTGAGTATACAGAAACGTGCCTATGAACAGTTGAAAGAAGCAAAGGACATGCCTGAACCCTGCGGGATCCAAAATAGATGCTCCTCACGTCCCAAACAAACTGATATGTAATAATAATTAGTATTGTTCAATCTCCCTTACCATATACGGTAAGTGCAAATACTAACTCAAGCCCACAAAGAAAGAAATTTCCATCCAGAAGAGCCCGAAAGCCAATACAACGGTTCCTCCACTTGCACTTAATGTCCTGGCAATGCTTCCTAGTGCTGGCTTCATCAGTCGTGAATGCAATGAGTTAGGGCATGGGATGTATGCCAGGATCGACGGTGATTGGCCAGACGCCAAGAAGTGGCCCTGCGGATCCACGGATTGTCGGGGTCGCGTTAAGCCGCAACTCCCCTCCGCACCTTCGGAGATACTTCAGCTCTTCTTCTGCATGTCTGCGAGAGCTTGACACACGAATATCCGTGATACATCATTCCTTTACCCTGCAACTGGGTGCCGTTTGCGAGCTCCTTCTTTGTTTGCAGGCTCCGATCCGATCCCTGCTTCAATTGCGCGTGGCAGCAACGACCTCCACTCTGCAGCTGGCGCTCAAACAAGCCTCCAGAGACAATTATGGCATCTCTTGAAGAGGAGGAGGACCGTGATATGGGAGGTATGGCTCTGACACCGCTCAATGGCTGGCCCATCGATTTGAATTTCATCTGCTAACCACCTTCCGAGTTCTTCTAGGCTCCCAAGACGGAAGTTCCGATAATGAGAACGAGATTGACGATACAATGCGTGATGTCGATGATGGCGAAGGAGACAACGATCAAGACCAAGACCAAGACCAAGACCAAGACCAAGACGCGGACAGTCCCTCCAACACGAGCCAGGCCTCTGAGGGCGCTGGAATTGCCTCGCAACAGAACACCGATGGTGATAGCTCAAGGCTAGAAGCATTCTCTATCTATCACCCCAGCGTGCGCGCCGAGTGCCTCGCTGCCACAACGTACGATGTCGTACCCACTACTGCTGCGCCGCATGCCACCTCGATCAATGCCATTACGGCTACCGCAGACATGCGCTGGGTCTTCACCGGAGGGTCGGATGGCTTTGTGCGGAAGTTCAACTGGGCAGATTCGATCAACAGCAAGCTCATGCTGACTGTGGCGCAACGGCATCCCTTCGTGGATAGTGTCGTGAAAGCTGGAGTGCTGATGACGTACTGGGAGAACATGGATGGGAGCCACTTGTCGCCGGTGTACTCCCTGGCTAGCCAGAGCGAAGGACTATGGTTGCTGACTGGGCTCGAGTCTGGTGCAATTCGATTGCAGACTTTGCGCCACGACGAGGGCAAGGAGATTGCTCTTCTGCAACAACACACCTCCGCGGTGTCCTCACTGAACTTGACATCAGATGAAGAATCACTGCTCTCCGGAAGCTGGGATAAGCGGGTCTTCGACTGGGATCTCAACACCGGACAGGCTAGACGGGCCTTTGGAGGCAGTGCTGGGCAAATTTCTGCCGTACAGATCCGTCCGGAGTCAACTCTTCCAGTACCCAGGGACACAATTGACCTCCACCAAACTAATGGCACGTATGCATCCAATTATGCAGCAGTTGGGACAGATAGTTTCAACTTCATGGATACCTCACAGGACGCCGGTGACGCAGGTCAAGCCGAAAACCCGCAGGCGGGTTCACCGGCGGACTCACTATTTGGTGGAGCCGATTCGTTATTCGGCGATGCGGATGGAGGTGCAGCCGATGGTGGCGCCCCATCTGGGGGTGTATTCGGGGTAGACGAGGACGATGAATTTGGCAGAGCCATGGCCCACGGAGCTATGGCAGATGCAGATGCGCCGGGTGAAATTGACGACGAAGTGCCAGCACCTCCTAGCATCGCAGATGCTCAAAGTGAACAAAGCAAAGTGGCAGGAAAATTACCTTTGAAGCCAGATCCCTCGAGTCAGCAGATAGATTCGGACGATTCCAACATCCCCACTGGAGCAGTACAGCCTGTTGTCAATGGAATTCCCAAGGCAGAGGATCTCGAGACGTCTCATGGTCACGACTTCTCACAAAACATGCAAACCGAGCAAGGCATCCAGACAGATAACACATTCCTGGCTGCGTCCATGGATGGAACAATCCGCATATGGGACCGCCGACAGCCCGATCCAGTTGCTCGCATAACCCCTCAAAACGTCCCTCCTTGGTGTATGAACGCCTGCTGGTCCCCCGATGGGAACTATATCTATGCAGGACGACGAAACGGCACTGTCCAGGAGTACAGTCTCCACAAGGGTCTCAGAAATGCTGAACGGACATTCAAATTCCCTCAGGGAAGTGGACCAGTGACAGCACTCAAGGCCATGCCGAACGGGCGGCATCTCGTCTGGTGAGCTAAAATTAATCGCTCGATTAACATCTCTTCTAACTTTTGCTTTAGTGCCTCTCATGATATTCTCCGACTCTACGACCTACAAAACGACCAGAATGAGCAGTCCCGCTCAGCTGTGCCCTTCCTCATTATTCCAGGTCACCGGACAGGAACTATTTCACAACTTTTTGTTGATAACGCGTGTCGCTACATGATCTCTACAAGTGGGAACCGTGGCTGGGAGGGTAACACCACTGAGGTCCTCCTCGGCTATGAGATTGGAGTACCTCAATAGGCTGGTTCATACTGGGTGTTGAAGAAATCGTAATCGATATTGACATAATTTACGAATATCATGACTTGCAGGCCCAAAACGTGGAATTTAAAGTAGCCAATAGTATATTGTTATAGCCAAAAGTAGAGCTGGTCGGCGAAGAAATGTTCGAGAATGAAGTATTCCACATATGAAGCTATGCCCAAGAAAGTAAACCAAATAATCTAAACGCCAGATGCCACCCAAGGGAAGTTTGTTGCCACCATGTACAAGAACATGTCACATAATTTAACAAAGTCATTGCTTGTCATGAATTATTTCGTCAAAATTTATACCCTCGCAGACTTCGGCTTGCTGAGATCGCCAAGCTCCAAAATAAGGATTGTCAGACCACTTGACGCGTCCGTCACGGTCACTGTCAAAATATACATAACCAGGCTCATCCCCAATCGCAGCTAGTCTTGCAGCGCGCTTCGGCTCAGCCACAAGATCACCAAATCCAGGCAGTGCGACATTGGGAATATGGGTTCTTGCCTCAACATTGCCCCCCTCAATATTATTGACTGTGATTAGATATGTAGAAGGCAGAGGCTCATCGCGGTTGGCACGGAGCGGCATAGGGATCCAAGCTTCGTTGTTGAACGATTCTTGCCGGTTCTTGTCATGGCGGAGAGGTAGTGGCCGAGCCAGGAACATGTCATCCAGCTTGCCTGTATCTAGCAGCAGACCTGGTGTTTGGACATACAGTACACTGTCATACTGCATGAACTGGATCTGGCCTAGCCGGAGCAGTTTGCTGTTTGTCGTTAAGTACCCCGCAGTTGTGGCAGCGGACATGTCGATGGGGAGTAGCCAGATATCGTACTTTGTACTGGCTGCACGCAGTATGGATAGAGCTGCAGAGGCGGATTTCCCAAGATTTTTGTGTGACATTCTGTCCCATTGTTGTGGGTACATGAACAGACGATCCTGGACGGCTGTTCCGTTTGTTGATAGTTGTTTAAAGAAGAGAATGGCCGAGCAAATGTCTGAGGGATCTGGCTCAGATAGGAGCTGGAGATAGGCATAGTTTCCAGTTGAGCTTGAGTACTGATCTGATACCCCTCGCTTCTGAGCGGGCTTTTGGAATGCGGAGCCCGGGGCCCCATGTTTCCCCATTGAGGTGTCATCTTGAGGTCGTAGGGCATATTGAATGTTCTTGACAGATTGTTGTTGCAGCACATATCCTGACAGGAATAGTAGCATGGTGAATATGCAGATCACTCCCATCGACACGATAGCCGAGACCGTGGAGGACGTTAGGAGGACCATGATCGGGTAGACTGCATGGACTAAGACAAATAGACAGGATTGAAATGTCAAATATGCATACCAAGGATATATGTTAGTGATCAAGATATAACATCAAGCCACTTTGGCAATGTCTCATCAAGTGTTTCATGACATCAAGTTGTTTACGGGGTTGGCCGTGCGACTATCGATAAGGCGGAAAGTCTTGGCATTGACACTTGGGTTTTCACTTCTCATCTTCGCTCTCCGCAAGCCCTCAACGCCAAAATGACCTCCCATCGCGCCGATGCCAGTACCTTCCTCGATAACCGCGGCTACACGGGCCCCTTGGTTCGCGGTGTCAATCCCGTCACGCTCTTCGAAAAAGCCGTGCGCGACCGCATCACCGACTCGTACTACTGGAAAGAACAGTGCTTCGGTTTGAACGCAGCGACCTTGTGTGATCGTGCCGTCGAGCTCACCTTCATTGGTGGTACATACGGTGTTTCCGAGAAGCCAAGCCCATTCCTCTGCCTCGCCTTCAAGCTCCTACAGCTTGGACCGGACAAAGACGTCATCCTCGAATTGCTCAATTTCACCGACCCAGGCAGCGACGAGGAGGAGGACCCAGAGAATGGAGTCGTCAAGGATCGCGGCGACTTTAAATACTTGCGCGCATTGGCCGCTTTCTACGTGCGACTGACTTTCGACGCGGTTGATGTCTACAAAACCCTCGAGCCTCTTCTCCTCGATTACCGGAAACTGAAGCGACGGGTACGCGACACATTCACGCTTACCTTTATGGATCAGTTTGTCGACGACCTTCTCACCAAGGACCGTGTGTGCGGTACTAGTCTGTGGAAGTTGCCGCCGCGAGCTCAGCTGGAGGATCTGGATATGTTGGATGAGCGGATTAGCCCGCTCGAAGATGAGCTTGAGGAGCTGGACCGCGACAGCAATGACGGTGATTCCGAGAAGAGCCGACAGGGCAGCGATGCGGGATCCCCGCGCAGGAGCCAGGAGGATGCCGAGGGCGACGATTGAGCAATTCTGCGACTCAACGAGCCCCTTTCCTTTCCCACTCGGAATCCTATTCTGGACAGATCATCCGGTCACATATAAACCCCACTGTCTGTAGACATATCTGTCTCGACCTCCAGGCTACTGAATCCTGCTCACGTCGTGCAAAGATCACGCCCACCACCAACAACACTGCTGGATGGCGTCGCCTCGAGGAACCACGACATCGAATGATACCACCCTCCTGTCACACTGGCGATAGTACAAATTTCTTGAACCCCGCTCAAATGATTGTGCCTATGGAAATCACTTGTTCGATATTGAATATCATCGATCTCAATCATGTACATTCGAGTCAACTTGCAGAGAGATGTATCCCGAACATCAAACTGCCACCTTAGGAATCATGACTTAAATGAGATCAACACATGATAATATCAGACACAGAACAAAGCATACCAAATCAACCCTAGAATCCCTGCTGCCGATGCCACTTCTCCTGCCAACCCTTAAACCACGGACTATCATCCAAAGTAGCGACCTCCCAATCCTTCGGAACCCAGCCTTTCTCTTCCTGCTCTTTCGCCCACTCCATCAAATTAGGTAGCAAGACATGTTGCACGTGCCATACACCCTTGTATTCCAGGAGATGCTTCTTACCATCCGTGAGGAGCTTCGCGACCAAAGCCGGCACACCAGGCTCATCGCGGAATTCCTTGACGGGAGTGAAAAGGCCTTTGAAGTTGAAGACAACAGCACCCGACAAGGGAAGCCGTCTCAAGGTCTGCCAGTCTACTCGCAGATGGCACTCATCAAGCGCCAGATCAGGCCGCTGAGATAGCCGGAGCTTTTCATGCGGGTCGCCCGGTGGCATATATAATGGCTGCCCGATTTCCAAACCCCAGGATCCTCTCTGGATTGGTTTCTCGGTGGGCATCTTGGTAAAGAACCTGAATACCACTTTCAATTAGTCGCCCCGTATTGAATTACTGCACCCGAAGAAAGAAAGAACGAGCAACTCACCGATCCATGGAGAACTGCATCTTCTCCTTGTAATCTGGAATAGGCTCATGGATTTCATGCAACTGCTTCCCAATTTTAGTCGCGACATTCCATCCCAACGCCGAACAGATAACTGCCGCACGCAGGAAGTAGTATCCCGTCGTGTCATCACGAAGCATGATACCGAAATCCTCTGGTACGTTGTCCAGCAGGATCTCAAGAGGAGGCTTAGCCGTCACGTCCTGCTCTGTACCGAGGATCTTGTTATGCAGTATCCGGTTGTCCACCAGGGTGAAGTACTGTGGATACCGAGCACAGATGAACTGCAGTACCATTTCCATGATCTCCTTGCAGGCCAACTCGGACCCTGGCATACAATCGAGTACTTCCTTGCCCCTCGTTGCATACAATTCCTTGCGCTGGGCAATGCGTTTTTTGTATGTGTTTTCAAGCTCGATCCACCAGTCAGATTCAAGTTTTGTTAAAGCTGTTTGAAGATTCGTGGGTAAATTAGCCATAGATCATGCAATATTGGAGCTATTGGAAACGTACACATGGTCTGGTGGTATGCCCATCTGAACGGACGATAAGGCCGAGGCAGTGCCTTCTCAATATCAAATTCGGGATATGGGCTGGGAAGGGGTACTCCACTCAAAGTCGCATAGTCTGGGAAGTCCCCCAGTGCCTTGATTTCATTCACAGAAAATCCCGTCGGGGTATATTTGTTACCTAGGCTTGACCTATAGTCGGCGCTCATGGGCAGGATGTTGCGATGGACTTCGTCTTCGCTCACGTCGCGGTAGGGCGCATTCGCACATTTTATATCGGCTAGTGCTTTTCTGCGTTGGGGTGGTAAAGCGGTGGTATAGGTGGACGGCGATTTTGGGCTTGTTGCTGTCTTTTCTGGGGAGAAGGATCGAGGTGGTGTTGTAGCTGTTGAGTTCTTTCGACCTCGCAGCGTGATTCCGGTCAAGTAAGACCTTCCGAGTGCTTTTTTGTTGATAAGGGCATAAAGTACAGTGGCGGCTAGCAGGATCAATCCGATTCGCCATAGTTGCTCCGGGCTTGATAGGGAGTTCATGTTGGCTTAAATGATGCGCATTAGGGCAAGTCAATGCTGGCTGGCAAGGGAATGTACAATGCTTGGATTGGGGTAGTCGCAGTTGGATCACTGCAGTCGCAAAGGGCTTTCCAGGAGTATGTATCAAGCCACGGACGAACGGGGGCCAAAGCGAATAAGTACTCTCCGGGATAATATAGTAGGATTAATGTTCGGATACTGTTGCACCTGGACAAGAGGTGTCCGAAGCGGGGGAAAGCTTGTATCCTTTCAGAATGATTGGACATACGCATCGAGTAGCTTCTTTGGTCACCTATCTCGATTGCTTTTTCCGTGTTAGGCGATGAATTGCTGCTTTTGTCTATTCATTTCTCTACGTCAGAGGTGGCATGTTGACAGATGCAAATGATAGGCTTATCTTGACATTATCTTACCATGAGAAACCTATATCTACTTTGCATAACCGGGTATATATACGTCCATAGGTTTAGTCTACGCTCTGGCCTCTGTACTGCGTTGCATCTCAAAGGAATTTACACTAAATTCGCCCATTCATATTTTCTTAGAGAATCTTACCCCATTTGAATGACTAGCTCAGTGATATCTGTAGTATTAAGCATGACAATATAATGACGTAGAGGTAGATAGTCAACTACATAGCTATAGTTGAGTCTAGAAACCGAGGTCTACGGATATGTTCTTTTCGATATCATATTGCCAAGGACGAGTATTGAACCAACTAGCAATGTCTTGGAATTTATGATTCTATTTGCAACCAAAATCGAAGATAAGGAGTGGAAGCAGTGCACTGAAGGGGAAACAAGCTCGCGTTACCAAAAAGGGTAAAACTATCCCGAGGCTTGGCAGATGACTGGGGTATGGGGTGAAACAATATCAATTTTATTCCCCTCAACTAAAATCACAAATAGCAAAGCAAGGTGCATTTAAGTCACGCGCGATGGCATATTATCAGCAAATTATCAGCAAGTTAGAAAGCGAGAAAATCAAATAGCGAATCCAGACCGGTTGCGTGGGACAGAGGGAAAACACACGAAGACGGAGGATGTTTCGGCCATCACACCATGCCAGCTTCAACGCCTTGTTCAAAGCATCGGTACACCTTTTGCATGGCGAACGGGCTCTTAAGATCCATCCCTAGCTCAGCGGCAATCAGGAGACTTCCCTCGTTGCCTGAGATGGCATCCATGAAGCGGGAGAATTCAATGGCGTTGTCGACAGGATGTCCGATGACCTCAGCCAATTTCCGGCTGGTTGTCTCGAACTGCTTGATGAAAGATCGTCGATCACCACCGTCATAGTGGATGCTTCGCCAAGATTGATACTTTTCAACCAGGGCTCGCAGACTTCCTTTTCCGTAGGTGTCCTGCAACCACGTGAACAGTTCGAAGGCCTTTCCAGGCTCACCTTCGCGGAAGGGACAAGCAAGGTTAGCATCCAGAGTCGTGAGAAGGACATTGTAGGCGGTAGTGCTTTTGATCAACCATGCGTGGTCAATACTGGCATTGCTGCCTTCTCCGCTGATATCGTTCAAGCCCGCCATGAGGTGATCCATCTGGATTTGGGTCACAAATGGCGGAAGGAAGGACCGTTCTTGGGCAAGGACGCTTCTGATGAGCTGCATGTCTTCGTCGAAAGTTTCATGGTAGTGGGAAGGCCGGAGCTTTTCTCCAGTGGCGATGGACCAGTGATCGGAAAACGCGAAGCGCATGGCAAGTTCCAGCTTACCGATCCACGTGGAATAGTTCGAGGTGCCTTTTAATTTTGGAACAGCAAACCCTCCAATGAGGACGTAGGTGCTAGGATCCATGCGGGCAATACCTTGCATATAGATCGGGGGAGGGCGGCAAATGTCGATGTTTGTAGAAGACCTTGCAAAGTGGAAGATGAAGGGATGACGATGGATTTCACTATAAATGTGAAAGTGGGAAATTTGCGGATTTGCACCGGTTCTTTGACGATGATAAGTGCGTTTCAGTGTAGAAGGTGAATACTGAGGGACCTGTAAAGATCAAAGCAACTGTTTCTTCTTCGTATAATGTCTCGGAGAGAACTCGGGTTCGTCAATTGTTAGCAAATGGAATGTGGCTTTCTATGATGAGGCTTAGCTGTATACAGAATAGGCCCCCGGTATCTGACTCTGGTAAAAGCTTGGATCGAATAGCAAGACTGATAGGACAGAACAGGGGGTATTGGGAACGCAAAGGAGCGAGTAACACTTGCGAGTGAGTGTCGGCAGAGCTGTTTTCGATGAATTGAAGATAAGCCTAGTATGCTCAGTAAAGATTAAAAGATGTAATATTGGAAAAGAGGAATAAAAGCTGATGTTCTTACTGTAAAGGTTTGTAAGGAAGAAAAGATATCAAGATATGTCGTAGGCCGAGCACTGAAAGATCGGAGAGGTGGATAATAGAAGGGTCTTTAAGGATTGCGGATGAAAGGTGGATCTGGAGAATGCAAAGGAAGAGAGGCTTAAGGAGAGAGATACTCATTTTTATATTGCTCCTGGTTGAGATACGTCAACGTGAAAATTCATCTTGTTCTTATCGTACATTGCTCGACTCTCTACTTATGTAGCTTTGTATCCGATACTACGTTAGGTCATATTATCTATAGTAAAAGGATGCCAAGGAGAGAAAGCCATATGTGATGCAAAAGTGAGACTTGAATGAGAGAAAACAGAAGCGTCTTTTAACGCTTGGAACGTCCCCTTGCACAACGAGAGCTAGAAATGAGTACATGTAAAATTATAACATAGAAATGTAAAACTTTCTACATGCAATGAAGTCTCCAGAAAAGTCTGCAATATGATAGATAGGAGATGGGAACGACAGAGGGAATTTACAACAGAGGTAAATTGCGAGGTTGAATAATTAATTGATTTATGGGAAGGATATTGATGTATTACATTTAGATTGGACAAGGAAAAAAGAGAAAAGGAAACAATAAAAATGTTTTTATATAGAAGAAGGCCTATATTCTCTATTCCTAAGGGCGCGATCAAAATCCACGAACAAATCAAACGGGCAGTCAAGCAAACAAATTCTGGAGGCCACGCTAGCCTCAACAACTCCAGGCTAAAAGCCCAAAAAGAGCTATTCGAAAGGGACGGACCTGCCTACCTTCCTTTATTACCTCTGTTCATTCAACCAGCGAAAAAGATAGATCCTATCGAGTCGAGTCTTCCCCATGCTGCATTGCTCCTGATACCTTTCTGCAAACTGCATAGCAGCAAAAGCAATACTTTCACCTGTGTCATAGGAAGACATAGGGACTCGCAACGAGAGACAGCATGACTTCTTATGGTGCAAGGCCTCAGAGCTGATAGAAGCCTTTCCGGATCGAATACGACCAATCACAATATCAAACAGTTGTACATCGCTCCACGAGTAGTCATCCCGGTCGAATTTGACGTTGACCCAGCAAGAAAGCTGATCCCATTGATCGGTTTCCCAGATATTCTGACCATCTTGAAGAGCATACCCATTGGCATTTTGGCTAGCTTTCGATGAGGCAAAAGGTGTCAAATAGAATTTGCGACGGAGGGATAATAATTATGGGGGAAGTAGCAGCGTCAGTAGACAGATGTCTTTCTGGGTATTTGGTTGAGGATGTGGCTGCAGCCACCAGTAATGCAAAGCAGCGAGGCCGTTTAAATATTTATTCCAGGCACGCTTATTCCCTCAAAAGCCCACATCGTTCTGAGTTCTGTGCTAAATCGAGTCCACATATTATTAGAATAATATCTTGAAACATTCAATAGTTTAAAGAGAACCAAGTTTCCACGCGGTCTTGAAACACCCGAAACTATATTTAGTTCATTTTGTATTTCATATAATCTCTTTATTGACGGCGTGGTGATCGCCAAGCTTCCATCACTTCTTTGAAAACTAACCGACAGACTATACCTTCTTTTCTCTGTCTGGTCTCTTTTGGAGACACCGATGTTGCGTATTACACGTTTTGGTTCCAGGCTTCGAGATAATTTAGCTTGTGCAGTCTATAGTAATGGGCTTTCAAGCATCCATGTACTATGCAGCCTTAACATCCTTTGGAAGCCTTACAAAGGGTTCCACAAACTAACCGAACAGGGAATGAAGTGGTTCATGATAGGGGTTGGAAAGAAGATATAAAGTAACAATAAACTGTAAAAGAAATTAACAATGGCACTCTTTGTCCCTGGAATTATATTATAGGGGTAGATTGGATTGTGCATTCTTTGCGTCACATCTACTAAGCTAGATTGATCAAAAGATAACATAGGTCATAAATGTGTATACCATGCCACGAATGAAGTATTGAACATAAATGACATCCATAAGCCTCGAAGCGAGCGTACCGATTTATGAATTGTTTTCACTCTACTTTTGTATCACTTTTTTTGCCTCTTTTTGTCCGTTTTCGAGTGCTAGAAGCATTACGAGGATTTTCACTAGCATTGCTCTGTCTAGGTGTCCAAGCATTTAAATGTTTTACTCTAGTATTAGTATTACCCAACCCTTCAAAGCTTTTGATCAAGGTCCCCTAGCGCGTGAAGCCTTCCAGACGAATTCTATGTATGGTAGAGTATATCAGATTCCGGTCTTTGTTTTGTAACAGCTCATAGATTTATAATACAGGCTCGGTAGGCACTAGGGCTTGCTTAGGCCACTCGAGCCATTCTCCCCACGAAGGCCCAAGATATTGGCTGATTGAGTCAACCAAATACCTCCCCCCATCACAAAATACCCACTCATGTCGTTGCGTATCAATAAGGGCGCCAAAATATGCCAAAATAACCAAAGCTTCTCCTTTTCTCTCTGCAACTAGATCAATGTATTCACGAGGAACAAGAACCGGCCATGCCACCAGAGCATCTATGTCATGGCCTCTCAAGTCTTCCTCCTCCACAACGGTCATAACTGATTGTAGGGCTTGGATAGCTTGCTCATATTTCCTGTCCGTAGCCTCGTCGAGCCCAAGGGCCCGGATACGGTTGAATAGCGTCCCACAAACTGGTCCTAGACTTGAATCAAGAGCGGGCATTTTTTCTGAAAACCCGAAAAGCGGCTTCAATGCTGTTTGCTGCAAAAGTCCCCATCTCCCTTGTCCTGTAACTATCCGCACCCCATGATGTACGATAACGTATTGTACAAAGCGGTCCAGAAATCTTTCGAAGTCATCTTCGCGACAGACTAGTGTTTCACAGAGCATGTGTAACCCTAAAACACCAGCGAACAGAAAGACAGGGACACAATTCTCATCAGTGATTTTTGTGGACAACCCATGGAATGCGCCCAATGCATGATTTTGTAGTTCGGTGGAATGGTCTCTGTAAAATTTTCGCTGTCCTGGCCTCATAATGCTGAGGTGTAAAGCGCTAAGAGATAGAAGCTCATTCATGAGATATGGCGCACCAAGGCAGTACTGTAGGATATCCTGGAATGAAACTGGCGACGTGGTATTTGGTTTATCAAATACCTTCAGCGCTTCAGCAGAGAGATTGTGGGCGAGTTCGACATGAAGCATATTAACAGGCGCACATTCGGGATCCTTGCCGGCTTGTTGATCTGGTGAGGCCACAGCAGAGGATCCAACTGCTGGTGATGCAGGTGCTGGTTTACGGCTAACACTCCGTGGTGAATGTAGGATCGGCTCCGGCCCCACGAACTGACAGCTCCGCGCCGAACTGATACAGTTGGAACATATTGGTCTTTGCTCATCACACTAGCGGGGTCAGTGAATGCGTATACGCGTTTCCCGAGCAACAAACCTTCATGTGACGGCGTTTGCATTCAATGCAGCCATTTCTTGATTTTTTATGGGTTCTTCGCGGCATTTTTGCCACAGGTGATGTGGAAAGGGAGGAGACGGTTAGGGCGTCGGAAGTCTCGGTTCCGATAGGCGAGTAGTTTATCTTAGATCCTGAGGGGTCAAAGCGGACAGAAATGGTGCAGCCTTAGCAGTCAGAAACTTGGACAAGAGTAGTCTCGATCATACCCACTTGTCATGATCTTAAGTTGAGTCGGATGTCTGAAATACGCGTGTGCACGGACCATGCCTAACTTAACCTTTTAAGGTTAACGTTACAGTATACGCTCATGTTTGTTGATGAAGGTGTCCTCTCCATTAATATATATCGATCATGAGTCGCGAGTAATACAGGATGCTACGAGAGAGCGCCCCGAAGCCGTACAGAATTAGGGATGTAGAGACATATTTAGATAGAAGATGGAATTCAACTACATATTAAATAAGAAAAGACCGAGGCCCCACCATACCCATACTATCATTATCTTTGCTTTCAAGCAGTGGTCGAGTCGACCTCAAGGTGATCAGCATGAATCTGCTTCTCACTCTTGAGGTCCTCCAAGTTCTCCACACCAGCAAGGCCGAGGCTCTCATTGATGCGAAGCATACGAAGCCGATCAGTCTCAGCAATGCTGTCCATAGCACCACCAAAGAAGATATCCAATTCCTCAAGAGTCTTATCCTTGGTCTCAGGGGCAAACTTCCAAACGAAGAAACCACCCATGGCACTGAAGAGGGCGAAGAAGATGTAGGTACCGTATTTCATCGAGTTAAGCATGTCCTTGGTAGTAAGACCAATGACGAAGTTGAACATCCAGTTAGTGGAGGCCACAATGGAGACACCACGAGACCGTTGACTGTTGGGGAAGATCTCCTGAGCCAAAACCCAAGCGACAGGACCTGTTGCATAATGTCAGTATAAAAGAACATTTCGGAATTTGATGAGTCGATCACATACCCCAGGAGTAGGCAAAGTTGACAGCAAAGAGCCAGATGAAGGCAATGGCAACCCAGCCCTGGGACTGGGCGAGTCCCTCGTTCAGGTCCCACTGGGGCTTGTAGATACCCTCAACGATAGCAACAATAATATGGCAAAGGAACATGCCAGCAGCTCCGATAATAAGGAAGGTCTTGCGGCCAAACTTATCGAGGAAGAGGACGGAGGGTAGAGTGAAGATAATCTGAAGAATACCAGTCACACCAGTGGCGAGAAGGGTTGTTTTCGTGGACGTGAAACCGAACTGAAAAAAGGAACAAATAGTCAGAGACGAATGAACAAAGAGAAGTTAAACTTTTCTAGCAAGGAAAAAGTGTCACATACTGAGGAGAAAATTTGCGGCGCATAGTAAAGCACGGCGTTGATACCGGTGAACTGCTGGAAGATCATCATACCACAGCCAAGAACCAAGCGCTTGAGCATGTTAGGGGCAAACAGAGACTTCCAGGGAGCCCAAACACCACCGGCACCAACGAGCTCACGCTCAGTCTCCTCGTCGAACATGACAGCAGCCTTGATCTCGAGGTACTCAGCCTGAACAAGGGGGTCGTTCTCAGGGAGACGACGCAGACGAGAGATAACAGACTTGGCCTCTTCGTCACGGTGCTTCATCATCAACCAACGTGGAGAGAATGGGAAGAAGAAGAGACCGAAGAACAGAATCCAGGCGGGGATAATCTGCAGCGCCAGAGGAAGTCTCCACGCGATAGTCTTCTGGCCCAAGCAGGTGTGGCCATGGTTTTGAGCGGCATTGTATGTGCCGCTAACCAGGTAAGGGTTGTCAACACCCTCAGGGTTGCAAGTGACGCCGCCAACAAACTGCATGCCATAGTCAAGCCAGAATGCAACGGCGGTACCGACGGTGATAGACAGCTGTTGCAGGGAAACCAGAGAACCACGCAGCTCAGGAGGAGCAATCTCAGCCTGGTACAGAGGGATAACCATACTGAACATACCGATGCCAATACCACCGATGATTCGACCGGCAAAAAAGTACGCAGGCGTCTGGGCACCAGCCTGCAGACCAGTGCCTAGGGTGAAGATGATAACGGCAACCATCATAGCGTACTTACGCGAGATGCGATCTGCCAGGACACCGTTGATCAAAGCACCAGCCCAGGCACCGAGCTCAAGAGCAGCCACCAGCCAACCCTGGATGGTAGACCCCATGAAGAGAGGGAAGTGGTTCTCAAAGTTCTCCATGACAAGAATAGGGCTCATCACACCCTGATCGTATCCATACATGATACAACCCAATGAGGCAAACAAACAAGTGAAAAAGACATAAGGGTTGGACACGAATCCCTTGAGACCGTGAGGCTTTTCCGCATTGGTACGGCCAACCACTGACTGGCTGACTGCCATCTTGATTGTGGAACTAGTGCACAAGGTATAAGAAGAAAGGGAACACAGTCGAGGAACTAAGAATTGCAAGGCAGGCAGACCACGCGCATTATATAGCCTGGTCCCATTTTGCGCCTCAACGTTTTGTCCTCCTCGCTACCTGGGGCTAGTGCCCTCGACCGGCCTTTCCCCGGAGCTGGAGACGCAACGCTGCGCTCCAGACAAAAAATTTCATGCGGGAGACCCTGGATCACCAGATACCATGTGTGCCGTACGAAGGGGCTAGCAGCACGCTAGATCCAGATTTGAAGACTAGACCGATACTCGGAGTAGCAATGACCCGGGTGTACAAGAATGCATATACTTGTTGGAAGCTAAGGTGCGCCACAAACCAAAAAGAAGCACCGCGCCTCAAACCTCGGCATTACTGGGCAGCCTTGGAACCGATAATCAGAGAACAAGCCTCCACGGCCAAGGGCGCCATGGCTTGGCTTCAGTTTATTGTGATTCGTAATTATCTTGTCAGCTTGAATCCTTCCCCAGTATCAAGGTCCCTGTGCTCAGCGGGAGAGATATTTAGTGCTTACTGCACTCACAAACCCCATGGAGTTAGATCATGGCCCCCGCATCCTCAACTTTTTAGCGGATCAGTCGATGGGATGTCTGAAGTAGAACTTCGGGTGTTCTTGAGATTACTTCTAGAATGTATCCACTTGTTGAGACTAGCTGATTAGCAAACCTTTTGTTTCTAGTAGACCTGGCATAAAACCGCGTGGGTAAACCGCAGTGGATACATGTACTCGCATTCGTTGTTCATCAGCTAATATCGACATGTTTCGAGAAGTTAGAGTGGATACATCCAGCAGCAAATTAGAAACATGAAAAAAGAGTCCAAGGCAAGTGTGGCGGCCGGGAAAATATCGGCTTGACTAATTCGGAATCTGATCTATCAACCCTAACTCCTAATCAAGTATAGTTTGTTACTGACTCACACGATGCTGCACCAGTACGGTTCTGGGGGTATATAGTGCGCAAGCCACGAGGCGCGTTCTCCCCAGATAATTCCACGGATTGGCTAATTCTCGGCTTACGGCCCAAGCCGTGTGCACGAGACCAATAGGTCCGTCCGTACAAGTTGTGTCAAGCCTAGGACGGCATTTAGTCTGGCTCGGCAGCCGTTAAAACTTCGGCGAACCGATCGCGGGACGCGTGGCCCAACATTTTCCCACGGGGTTCACCCCTTCTTTCACTTTGCCTGTTCCAGATGCTCGGTGAGATTTGAAATGCTGGGGATGCAAATCTGGGGATTACCTATGTGACAAGGGTTGTAATATTCTCTAGGTCCAAACGAAAGGAACTAGTGCCGTTTCAGCTTTTTTTTCTCGAGGAACTGAGCATTCTCAGCTTCCGACTCATCCGTGGTACATCGAAATTTCCGTAATATTGCGTGGACGCCAACACCGACACGGTGCCAATGGGGTCTTGCTTGTCTAGATGGACCAATGAATCTCGCCGCTAAAAGTCCGGCCCTGGCTCGGGTCTAACCGAACTTAAAGCGGAATATTTTACTAGAATATGAGGACCTGTCGCTTTCGACGCCAGAAACGGCCCCCTTTCCACCCGTAACTTTGTACGTCGAGCCGCCGCTTGACCGCCCACGGCCCTAGAGCGCCACTATTCACGATTCTGCACCCGCCTAGCACTGTTAGTTATCCTCCACTCCTGATGTTAGCGCTCGACTTTGACAGTTGTTCCCCCTGCTTCCACTAGTGACTAAAACGCCGCTGAAAATGGCTCCTCTCTATAGCTAAATCTCGTCCCCTCCCCTTCGCTCTGCCTGGTCGTGTGCCTATAAGATACTTCGTCTTCGCTCTCTTCCGGTGTTATTGTACACTCCGATTTTCGCTCCTTATCCCTATTGCCCTCGCCCTAAGCTAACCTTAACGTTTCCTACACCAAAATTCTGTTTCCTAGGTTGATCTCATTGGTGCATAGCTAACTAATTCACACAGACCGGCATTGTCAGTGACTGTATACGATTCTACAAAGTCCAGGCCGGCAACGACAGCTATGATATTGCTCAAGGGCTGGCGTAACGCTTGTTGACTTCCTACACTTAGAATCCTGCCATTAAGGGCGACTGCTCAGGTCTACAATCGGACGTCTTTGTTTGCATCGGAAAGTCGGGATACGCAACTACCATCAGTACCGGCACGCCTGTACCTGTGACCCCAACCCCTGCCCAAGTAAGTCAGATTGCAGCACCCCTCTCGCTCAGTGAATAAACTAAAGGCATGCTAGACCGGAATGGTGTCCGGTTGTCTTCGGTTCTATGATGTACAGAGCGGAGAAGGCTGCGCGGATATCGTATCTCAGGCAGGTGTTGCTCAAACGTAAGTCTTAAGTCTCCCATTGCTCTAGGCTTCATAGTATGATGTGTGCCCTACAGGTTAACTGACACTATGTAGGGACTTCTACAATTGGAAGCCCGGCTGTAAGCACGAACTGCGCCGGCTTGCAAGCCACCGTCCTGCATTGGAACTGCCAGCCCAATCACGGCGACCACTAGTGGAACTTCAGTACCTATTACATCTAAGAGCTAGAACCGAATTGGGGAGCACAATTTCGAGATAGAATAGGTCATAGAAATTTATGTTGACCATGCCAAATCCGCGGGAGCGAGTGAGTGGTCGGCCCATGAAGTAGATACAAGCTCCAATCTGGCTAGCTTAGGCATCGATCCTTTGATTTCTTGAAACCAGTCGTGCCAATTGTACGGAACGCAAAACTGCAGTCGAGTCCACTCTCGACCTTCCAAGAGCCTTTCCCATGGTTTGAGGAACACCTTCCCCTTTTTATGGGTATAGAAAAGCTCTTGAGCCTCACAGGGCGGCATTTGAAGTAGCACACGTAGCCGGAGCACGCCGCGGAAACTCTTCTTAAATAACCCAAAGAACGCGTAATAGGTTGCCATCCAGTCCTTCTCAGCTTGCCCCAGGTCCCAGAAGCCAACAACAAACGAGATGTCCATAGATGTCATAAGGGATGCACAACGCGGTGCCAAAATCCTTGATATCAGAAAAGGGGTGTCCATAGCCTCGTTCATCGCAAAGACATTCGTCCCATAAAGAACTTCTAATGCTTCTTCATATCTATACGATAATAAATCAATGCTCTGACAGTGGAAGGTTACCGACTTACCCAATTTGGCAACATCTTAGCCACTCCACGCCGCCAATTTTGGGCCTTGGGATGTGCATATACCCCTCGCGGCCCGAGATTGAACAGATATCCTCAACAGGATCATCGATGAATCCATCAGAATGTTCACAAATAGCATGCCACCAGCGCCAGCGAGGCTCGCTGTGCGGTTTCGGCGATGGCTTTCTCCAAAAATACCGAATATGCACTCGCCGATCGCCCATAAGCTCGAGGTATATCAGCCTCCTGATCTCAGCCGGGAGACGAAAGAGCGGACTTTGCTGTTGGGAGCTTTTCTGTCGAGCTCCCGGGCTGCGTGGGTGCTGTTCTGCTTGGATCGGCAGCTTCCATCGATTGAATATATCGCCGTTAAGCTCACAGGTGGAATCCCAGATTCCTATTGCGTTTGGGGAACATTCTTTCAGTGTAGACCTGGGCTCTTTCAGCGCTTTCTTTTTGCGCTTGAAAAGTTTGTTGAAAAAATGGGGTGCCATGGCGGTGGAGTCTGGAGGAGCGTGAAGGGGGAGCGTTGAGTTTATATGTACCTAGATGTGGGTGGATGTCCCCGGTGCGTGGCAGTAGCACTTCCTCAGAAGTGGAGGAGAAACTAAAGATTTTATATCTAATAAGAAAGATGTTATAGTGGGAGCTAGGCATACGAAGTTCCGCTAAGAAGCTAGCATAAGACGACTAGATTTATCAGAACTTATAAGGTTACGTTAAAGAATCGAAATAGACGCCTTATATAGCCCTTGAAACTAACTCGAAAAGGCAATTCACAGGTCCGCCCTTTACATTTTCTATAACTTCAATCTTTTGGATTCAGGTGCATGAAAATCCACATTTAAATATCTTATTTCCTCTTGTGCTATGATTATTAGTGGACATTTGTTGTAACATAGGTCTCCCAGGTCATTGCGTGAGAGCGCCTTCTTGATGCCTTGCTTGATATGTATATACCTTATACTTTAACTTGTGCGGTGGGTAGATTCACTTGAATCTCAGCCTATCGATATGGGACTTGGGCTATAATCTTGCTTTGCTAAACAGATGCTTTTGCCCTATCACCTACTTCTGGGAGATACAACATTTCCCTAAGGCATAGCAGTATCCTGGCCTGGGGGGTTATAGACACAAATTGTCTTGAAAAGAACAACTTTCCATGTTACACAACTATCCTTGAGAACCGAGTGTATTCAAGTTGGTAAGCTTATCAGCGAAACAATGCTGGAAGCTCGCAATTTCCGCTTCAAAGAAAACAATGAGCCCAAGAGCCTCGATTCCAACCTCGGGGAGAAACAGAAAACTCAAAATGGATACAAATATCCGCTCTTTCCGGAATTTTAATTAGAATATCTCAGATCTCACAGATGGCATCTCAACTCGACTGGGACAACGTGCCTATGGCATTTCCCGGGCGAACGTACACTAACACTCAAGTTCAGTGTCCGCCGAAATGGATACACTGTTGCTTGGACATCAGTATTGGTCCATCGGAGGATTAACAATAAATACTTTCTTTGGACCATGCTTGCTGCCATATCCGAAGGTGATGCGGGCCCCTCGTGGACAGAGATATTTGAGAGCCGGTTGCGGCCTCTCTGGGACGGCTTTCAGTCGGCGCTCGATCAGGTCGAGGGTCCAGATAGGTTTAATGTGTATATTCAGCCTCCTCCCGTTGGCTCGGCGATAACCTCCTGTCATTCCATGATGGCTCAGAGGAAAGGTTTGAGATCGAACCGGTACGTCTCCTAACCTACTCATATCTTGCAAATGAGCCATCCTCCGTCGATGATATCTGCGAGTTCTACGAGTTTGCGTATGAAAGCTTGAACATTAACACTTTTCTGGTAGATTTGTATGTGATCCATCTTCCCTCATCAGATTAAGCCCCGCATGTATAAGTGTTGCGCGGAAATATATGTAATGTGCATTCCACCGAGGTGCAGGTCATTGCCTCTTTCGGTATCCAAGCCCGACGCCGAGATTGCCAAGATAACTACATAGTATAGTGCCTGAATTGTCTTGCCTTGGATAGCCAAAAGGGGTCTTTATATGTCTAGTCCCTCAGAAAGTAGCTAGTTCACGACGCGGGGAGAACAGCCCTTATGCGGAGACCAACCAAGATCCTCTGATTGAGATACTTGCAGGGTCAAAGCTACTATGCCCTTCGCTTGCCCGGAGTATTTTATAACTAGTCACAATGAAAAACACGCGTCCTCGCCCGTGTTTCGACAGCCTGACCAGCATCTAGCACAAGCGCCACGAAAATTGGACCATGTGGATTTGATAGACGATCGACATTTCTGCTGCAGATACTGTCTGTATCCTCGGGCTTCAGCATTCCTTTTTCCTCCCTAAAACACTGATTGGCTTTGAGCTGATCCAGGTACAAGTTGCTCCCAGCTTACTTCCATGTTTTATCGAACAACGTATGCAAGGATTCTAGGACATGTATTCAGCACTCGCAGGGTCATGTAGTAAAGCATTATGTACACAATCACAGCTTGGGTCTAGACAAATGATGGGATTCCTTTATGATTGAGATAAAAGTGATTGATATTCAAGACCCCCGCAGTGACAAGGTCGGAGAAATCGTAACCCTGAGGAGCCACCATATATGGGAAATGCTTTGCACCCCTGCACTCCGCTGCATTAAGACTTTGTACTAACCACAAGCTTCTGGGAGCTCCGAGATGGGTCCAGTGGACCTCGGAGTTGTTGCTCAAGCTCATAACTTCCCATGCGTTGAGGACACGCGGGTGAAACACCCCGTAATCAAGATAGTCTATAAAATCGTCGTCTTCCTCCAGAGATACCTAAAACACTCTTATTTTAAAAACGTCCATAAGAATGTATCCTTCCTCCCTCAAGACCTTCCTTTTGGCACTAGCTATCTCCGCTTCTGCCCTTCCACACAGAAGCCGAAGCACCTGTGATGAATCATCTCTTAACGCCACCTCTTTCGTGTACACCACAACATCAGAAGATACCATTTTCAGTATCGCCAAGAAATTCGACCGCGGAGCATGCGATATCGCGCGTGCCAATCGCATGATCGACGCAGAACACCTGTACGCGGACTTCACACTTCGCATCCCCGCCCAAGTTTGCAACCCCGACAGCAGCACCTGTCTTTTGACAAAGCAGAATGCCACTGAAACCTGTGTGAAGGGTGGTCCGCACGACTACAGAACTATCGCGGGCGACACGATTGAAAGAATTGCCCTTTACAAGCTGAACGTCACCGTTGACACCATCTGGTCTCAGGCAAAGGGCATGATTTCTTCGACAACTGAGGTTTTGCCTGCGGGTACCTGGCTCAAGATTCCTCAGTGTGTTCCTAGCGTTTGTAGTGTCACCCCGTTCCATTTTACCTATGGTGTTTACAAGGATCTCGCTGAGAAGTTCGGGACCACGGTTGGGCAGATTATGTCGTTTAATGGCATGTACAATTATAGTGATCACACTGCTGCGGAGGCTGCCTGGATTACTGTTCCTATGGGATGTACTACGTTGGCATTGAACGTGACAGAGGAGATTTAGGTTATGTTGGCTTTAAGGCCTTTTGTATTCATTCTCATTAGGCTTTTCTGAAAACAGTGAATCTTTGAGAATTCAAACTTTTCTTGTGTTAAAACTTGCTTTGTCTTATGTGGTGGACAACATTGTGGAATAAACCACTATTGTAGCCAATGGTTACAGCACAGTTCAGTGAGAATCTTCAATATCACTTTTACCTTTTTTTTATCTGTATCTAGCTTTCCTTCTTTCTACTTCTTTTTGCTTTGTTGTGTCGTCGGAATATCAAGTAAGATTGCAGAAGTTTTTTCATTGTATTGCTTCCGTGACGGAGGTGCTAAGATTGGATCATAGGTCAAAGAAAAGAGCCACACGAAACAGTCTTTTGGTCGGGTCTTTCATCGAGTTTCGAGTAGACAGTAGATAAAAATAACCCCTTTCAATGAAACCCGAGATGAAACATTTATATATAACTCCGGCCTGTTTCTGGAGAGTAGTTGTTCATCGACGCAATCAATTCTCACTTCCAATATCATTTTGAGTACCAAGTGCAGGCCTCGAAATCTACCAGTTAATTTCGAAGAACGTCGGATTTAAAGCCATGGGATCTAACCAGTCAACCTGCAATGGGTCTCCTAAGAAGGCCAACTTCGACAACCTACCACGAGAACTCCTCCTCCAAATTACAGACTATCTTGACGTCCTGTCCACTATAAACCTCTCACTGAGCTGCAAAGATATGCACATCATTCTCGAAGAGACCGCCAAGAGAAAATCAAAAGATTTTCAGGGCGCCTTGCCATCAGACGAGGTATATAAAAAACATGACTTTAAGACCCCTGATGGTATCTGGGCGAGACGCGACGACATAGAGTATGACGAAAACCGCGACGACTTTTACGAAGATGAACACGTCACCCCGTCCGATGACGAGCCCTTTGCACAAGCAGTTCGAAGCGGCAAATATGAAAAGGCGCAATACTACCTGCGATTAGGGGTCGATCCCAACGCATACTGCCTGGGCGGAGCACACATGCTAAGTCTAGCCGTTCACTCTGGGTCACCCGAGATGGTACAGCTGCTTTTCGATTATGGAGCTGACCTCGAGAACATTGACTACTGTACCAGTATGAGTGCGCTAGCACATGCAGTGTACACGCAACAACAAGATGTAATCCGAAAGCTGATCGAGCTTGGTGTGGACGTCAACAAAGAAGGACTTGCTGGTTACATTGCCCACACGTGTAGTGTGGAGATAATGAAGATCTTCCTGGATGCAAGCCTGGATCTGAACCGGGTAGGCGAGCTTACCTGGACTGGTCACCGAGACTTTGAGGACGGCGACCATGGATGGAAGCTAGTGCATCATCTGGCCGTGCGCAATGATCAGGGCATGTTTAATCTTTTGCTACCGCAACTCACGCGCAAGATGATAAATGCACGCAATCTTCATGATGAGACGCCGTTGCATCTCGCGCTTGAAGGGGATGGTCCGGGACTTTCTATGGCGCTTATTCGAGCCGGTGCTGATATTAACGCTCGGGATTGCGACACTTATAGCTCTCTTGACCGTGCACTGCTAAATGGACATCTGGAAATTGCTCGCGAGATCATAGAAAGGCCGGATGTTGAGCTTGGGCTTGAGAATGAGAATGGATACACTGAGCTTCATCTCGCGATACGTCGCGGTGATGTGGAGATTATTAGAATGCTTCTGCTTCGCGGTGCGAAAGTCAGGAGAGGTAATTGCTTTGACTCTCCGCTCTCTTGTGCAATTCAGACGAAGCGTCTTGACATTGTTAAGTTGCTTTGTGAGGAGGCTCAGGACCATCCGTTTACGAACGACGAGGGTGATGATGATGAACAAGCTGCTGCTATAGAAGAGGCTCGAGAACATGAGCAACATGCGATAGCTGAATACCTGCAGTCTATCCCTGCATCGAGCTATAAGATTCCCGGTCGACCGACGAAGAAACCTCGGGTAGGAAGGAAATCGAAATGATATGGGCTACGAGACTTGTAATCTTTGAGCAACTTTGGACGTTATCTCGGGACTCGCATTACGGTCTCTTTCTTTCTTTTCTTTTACTCAAAAGGCGTGTTTGTAAATATCATCATCTGTTCTAATGTTACTTCTATCCTGTTCCATTTGACTCCCGCTGCCGAATGTTGAATTAGCACACAGTGCTATAATTTTGGGCTAAAAGAGTTGAAGCCGGGCTCTCACTCGCATAATCGCAATCTTCAAGGCTCGTCTTTGATGATTTCAAGGTCCATTTGTAACCAAGAGTTTATATACCAATGATACCTACGCAAGGGTCACTGGTCAAGCGACTGAAGATCATGATCTTACCGAGACAAACAAAGACGATTGGCTGGATTGGTCATGCCCTAATTCCACAACGTATTCCCCACGCAATCAACGGCAAGCTGTGAGGCCTAGAGAACCTGCACTCGATGCATCTCAGATCTACGGTTAGGAGAAGCTTGGCTTAGCGGTGTGCAAACTATAATGTCATGTTCAATAATATACGTTATTGACAAGAGAGAGTACAACGGCCCATCACTTGGCGTGTGTTGTTAGATCTAGATATATACAACATCTATGTCCGATAGTCGAACGATATTTGTCCAATATTCATATCGGGTAGGGCTTGTTTCTTTCCGAGTGTTGAATAGACTAACTTATCGCACTTCTTATACATGTATTTTTATCCATGGATGTAGTCAGGAATGTAGTCATGAATGTAGTCAATATAAACTAAATTGGTGTAAATATCCCGATTGGACAGGAAGATATTGTAGTTGTAAGCGAGCTTATACAAACTACTGGGCCACCCAGCCCCCACAGGAGCCAACAACCTCTGGCAATTACCGTTTTCCTACGTGAGTAAAACGATAAATAACTTGGCCGGAGGAGTAGTAAGTAGATAGCGCATCTAGATAGGGTATATGATACCCGCTTGAACCGCTCGAGTCAGTCGAGTCAGGCGAGTCAAACAACAAGGCTTGTGCCCAAAGGCACAAATTAACGAAATGGCAGCGACAGATAATTCTGTCTAAACAGAAACAAGAAATTCAAAGCGACAGAGAGAGTCATATTGATTGGTTGCTATGTGGTCAGCGCACCAGCCCAAAAACAGAAGATAAGCGGAATGTCTTACTATAGGTCACACGGACGCCAAAGTCTTAGACAGTGCAATCCCACCCTACGCTACAGAACACAAACTGGAAACCAATAGAACTTGGTGATTAGGGTTAGACTAGGTTCGTGCATTTTATCAAGCGTAGAATTGTTCCATTGAATCAATCAGTCTAAACACGCCGGGACGTATCCCGCAAAACAAAAGCAACAGCAAAAAAGCGCAGCAATTAGGATAGGCTGAATGGTACAGGACAAAAAGGTAGCAAAAGCTAAAGCTAAAAGGGGATCAGCGCAATAAGCAATCCAAACAGAAAGGTAAAGAGGAAAGACGATGAAACAGAGTGAGGGCGATAAACCAGTCCCGAAAGTCGGAGTCGTAAATGCTGTGAGTAACGGTATGTACTCTGTCTCAAGGTCAAATAAGTAGGTCAACAGATAACGTAACAGTGAAGTGTAGTGTCACCCGTATAAAAAGGTGGGAGGTACATATGCAAGATAAATGTATGTGTTCGTAAACGCATATGGGATTTGAAAAACAGGGGAGGGGACTGGGATTGGATCCTCAGATTTGAATTTCAGGGCTTGGGCTCTTCATTTTCTGTAACCTTCTAATATGACCCATTCCAGCAAGGTAGATGTCTTCGTGTTACCCATAGAACCGGAAGTGGTCCTGAGAGATTCGGGATGGAAAATGGAGCACGGTTTCGTGTGCTACCCGGTCCCGTTTCCTCCACGGCAACACCCATAGAAGAAGAAAAGATAATAAACAGTTTGAGCATCAAGTGGGTATCATAACAAGATTGTCTTTTGGAACTTGGCGCGTTATTAATGAAGTGGGAGGCGCGCGGAGAGAAATGGAGGTAGAGGTAGAGGTGATATAGAGATAGGAGATTCAGTTGTTCACAGCTTGCGGTTCTTAATCGGGGTTGGTGAGCTGCAAATAATGTTAGTGGGAATTTCAAATCAGTAGAGGGGATAAGGGTCTACATACACGAAGAACAGGCCGTGAGTAGTCTTCGTTATCTTGCAGCGAGACACTGCTATCGCGGGGACCGTTCGGGTAGAGAACCGCATTGGGCTTCATGCGTCGGTCAGTGAATGTTGCTGACCGTCCAGGGACAGCGCCACCAGCAGCAGCATCAGCGCCCTGTGGCCACCCGAAGCTGGATCCTCTGCTGTCGCGATTGTCGGCCATGTCCTGGCTCGGGATCGGGCTGACGGAACGAGCACGCTTGCGGTAGAAGAAGATCATGAAGACGAGAGCCCCGATCAGGGCGAGTCCACCAAGAACACCGATTACAACACCGGCAATAGATCCACCACTGAGCTTGGATTCGCCAGCAGCACTGGCGTCAGCCGATGCCGAGTCAGCACCAGCACTAGCGCCAGAAGTGGAAGTCGGATCTGAGACAGTGATAGTCTTGACCTGGCCGCCGGAGTTGGTTTCGAATGTGACACTGCCTGAGGTAGTGGTACTCGATTGCGAGGTAGTAGACTAAAGAGAAGAGTCAGCAAGGTGTGTCGCATAAATAGATGATTCATGCCACGATACAGTTTGCGAAGCCTTGGAAGGTTCCGAGGCAGTCACAGTGACAGTTTCAGGCGATGGCTTAGCGGTTGTACTCTCCTATCCCCGAGATTAAAACCATAAACAATAGAGTCAAGACCCGGTTATGATACTTGGCTCGGGGATGGGACCCATTCAACACGGGATATGCATAGGTGGGACAGGAAGAACTAAAAAATACTTACCGAGCTTGAGGAGGAAGTACTGCTTGTTGACGACGAGCCGCCCGCTGTACTGGTCACTGAATTTCCTAAGACCGAGACATAGGCGAACACCCCTTTGGAGGCACTTCCACAGCTATCAGCTGGGTAGCCCGGGCATGACGTATCACAGTCTGAAGTATCGGTCTGCGAGCTCTTGGATGGGGCGACATTGGAGCACCAGCATTTCTTGCCTTGGATAATTCCCAAGGCGTAGTTGGCACAGGTAGTCAGACATGCACCGTTGGACTGGAAGGTGCTCGTAACTGAACCCCCGTCAGCAATGGCCAGGTCGGTGAACCATATTCGTTACTTACCGGATGAGAAAGAAGAGCCTGTGTTATCGGAGGCGCAGTAGGCGAGATTCGAACTGGCCGACACAAAGGGTGCCAGGAGGGCGAAGGTCGACACCAACACCGGGACCTGCATCGTGGATGTCCTCAACAACGTTTTCACCCAACCACCCGTGCCGAATAATTGTAGATTTCCCAGTCCAAAGTTGTTGCAAAGTGCAGGTCGTAATGGTGGAGAGGATCCCAGGCGATCAGGGAGAAACGAAACCGTCTGTGTGTGCCGACCGTTGTGAGCGACGATCACCGCACCCAAGGAAGTGATCAAAGAGAGTGAGGGTCGAAAGCCCAATTGTTCCCCCGCTATCGTCTCGTCAAAGCGTAGATGATCAAAGAAACACCGTCGCCTGGTGAAAAAGAAGGTGAGACAAAGAGAGGTGGGAGAGAGAGAGAGAGGAGAAGGGGAGATGACGATCCCCGTCACGGGTAGTTACTATCCTCGTCGGAATATGTCGAGCTTCCCGGCATACCCGCTCAGTGGATACTGATTTTCCTTCTGACGGCTATGAGATTATAGTTATAATTACTTGGAGATGTTTGATTAATTGTCTACAGAACTTTTCAGGGGAAATAAGCCAAGTACATGTATGAAACCGCATAACTAAAAGAGAGGGAAAAGTGGGCAAAGCAGGGAAAACAGACAACACGGCCGCTATCTCTGTTATCTTTGCAAAGCGCAAGCCATAAAATCATAAATCCTCTCTTATTATTCACGTGGAAGAATCATAAGTTGTGCGTCTATTGACTTTTTGCCTGTTATAAACGAGCTGAACTCCACAGGTATTTCCCGACTGGCGAGCCAAACTGCGCAGCCCAAGGGAATGGGACATTCCTGTCCTTCATACCTCTGCTGAGCTGTCTGTAGCTGTCTTCAGCTGTCTTCAGCTATCTTTCTTGATCTTTTCTCTTTATTTGCTTCTTGATCTCTCTTTGCTTCTTCACTGTTATCCCGAAACATTCGCTCCTATGCATACGAGATGCAGACTAACAGCCGACATACGTAATTAAGTGGGTAATCAACGTAAACTCAGAGTCTCTGAAACAAGCCACACCGAGAGCTCACCAAGCCACAAGAATGTGCCAATTCTGAGCTCAGATTCGTATTTCCCGTCTCCAGCCACTGAATAGCCAAATAATAGGCTTACCAGCAGTACAATCAAGAGGTTTAAGTCATACAATAAGTTACAGGCACTGCACTCCGTTAGTGTCCAACTTAACTTAGCACCCCCGAACCTACATGTACATTACACTCGCATCATAATCCACCGGTGGACAACCGTTGCACATCCGTACCTCTGTACACGCCAATGCCAGTCCAAACCGGCCAGCTGTTCAAGTTACCCAAGTTCTAGACTCAACAGTGCAATCCCAACCATTCTATACCGGAGTTGCACACCCGACGAATAGCCATCCACGCCCTCATTTCGCTTTAACTCCCAGAACTTGGCAGTGACTGTAAACGCCAGAAACGAGGATCGGCGAAAATGACCGCTCTGATTTGCTGGGAGCACAGTTAATTTAATGCAAGCTCCATGTATGTCGATCTTTTCTTCCCCTCTCCTAGCCATCTTGTTCCGGGCTGGTGCTACTGTACTCTCCTATACTCCGGATGTATACACTCCGTATACTGCTCTCTCTGTATGTTTGTGTGTCTTCCTATCTTTCTCTTTTTCAATTTTCTGACATGTCCATGTGGGCGAATCGTTGTGGAGAGGTCTCCACACTGCACTCACACCGATCGATTGATCTCGGAATTGAATATCCTAATTTCTAGTGATTGGCCCAGACCTTCTTCCAGTTTTTGCTTGGACTTGGATTTGGATTTGGTCCTGGAACTGTCTGGGGGTATACATGGACATGGACACGCACGAAAGCATGGTAGGTCTATACAGTAACGTTAGTCAGGGGGTTGAAAGTTGTATGTTACACAGCCACCGGCAACAACGAACTTCCATCTCTAATAATAAGTGAGCAAAGAACCCAGAACGCTTTCTATGCCGTGCCAATTCTGTATTTTTTTCAGCCTTAATATGGCTGAGACAAACCCACATTGACACGCTATGGTACCTGATCCCCACTTAATCTCCCACCCGGTCGCACCAGGAGATCCTTGGATTTTGGTAATGGTACATATGCACACGGCACAGGAACTTAGGGTTACGCTATCGCCTGTTCACAGTTCAAGAGTGGATGTGCGGTGAGGCTTAGAGGAGTCCAGTTGATGCATGCCAATTGTACCTGGTGGCTTGCAGATGGCGTCGAGTCTGAAACAAGCGTACAGTGGTGATCATTGGAACATTCGCCACACAGGTCTAGAAGCCGGACTGGCCGTTTAGGGTTACCCTGACGGGAGAATGCGGTTTCGACAATAGTCTTACATTTCCAATCAATCAAAAGCACATCTCTGCGCAGCGACGCTATCAACGAGAGATCACTTTCCGCTCAAATCATACATAGAAATTATCTCAAGATTTCGGCCCCCCTGCCTCACTCACTCTCCATCTCCCTTTCCACCTCCCTCTTCGTCTCCGAGGGCCACTGAGAGCTGAGCCGTAGAGAACTCGGAGCCCACCGAGGTCATGCTCACACTGCGTTGCTTGGGCTCAAACTTGGGGAAGTCGCTCATTCTGGCAATCTCCTCGGGGACGTCCTCGACGTAGTCCACTACCCCACGGCTCACGCTGCGCTTCGGGGGCTCGAGGCCGGGCAGATCAGGCAGCGGGCCGACCATCGACATCGAATCGCTGATGTCTTCGTAGAACTCCGAGCCGGGAGGAGACTCGTCCCGGTCAAAGGGTGAGAGGTTGGAGGCAGAGTACTGGAGCCATTCACCAATGCTTCTTTCCCCGGACTCGGTGGGGGGCTTCTGGTAGTCGTAGTCGTACTGTACTGTGGTTCTGCCATCATCGTCATCTTCATCATCCCCATCATCAAAGGTATCGGCGGCCGCAGACATGGAGAGCATGCGAGTGAAGTTCCATTGCATATCGAGCAGGTCAAAACTGGGCAACGGATGATCCAAGGGGTTGTCTGTGGTTATTTTGAACCGATGACCGGACTGGATAGGAAGGAAAGAGTTGCCTCTCTCAGACACGACCACAACAAGGTTCTCCACGCTACTGACATTCTTCGAGGGGACAGGCTCTTTCGTCACATCGACCAAGTCAGAGGTTGCATGGCCAGCGCGTGGCTGCCAGTGGAATTCAATTTCAATTTCAGTTTTGTCATCAGAAACGGAGACTGGGCGTAATGCAAACAAGCCGTTGGCCCACGCGGACCGTAAATCACTCCGGAGGCAGATAAGATTGGTGCAATCGTTGACGGGGCGCTCAGGATCAAAGGAGCTATTGAACACGGCCTTTTTCCAACGTTCAGCGGTGCTGCGATCCCAAAAAAGGTCCACATACTTCCAAATGCCCGGGAAAGCCGGTTCGACTAGTGTAGGAGGTTTGGTAACCAAAACGGGGAAAATTCGAGCTGTCTGGTATACCTTGCGAGCACCAGTGATCACACACTTGTAGCCATCACGTTCTCTGGCAGCGTCCTTTGCACTTGGAGCAGTTGCATATCGGGGGTCATCAGTCGAGGTTGTTGATTCTGTTTCGAACTCATGGTACGGCGACAATCTTTGTGTCCACTTGTAAGGCAAGCTAGCTAGAAGATCAGTCATAATTTCCATGATCGGGCCTGAGAGATTTGCCAGCTGGACAATGAATTCGAGCTTCGCCAGGTCACAGATTTGGACACATGCCCAGAATGGGACTGTCACATTCTTGTCTTTCAATGCTTCTTTGAGCTGGCGGAGAAGGATCTTTCGTTGGGTGGAGGGGATATTGAAGCGTTCATCATTCACACGTATGACAGTAGCTGAGCGACGCAGGCCTAATCCATGGATGCTGCTCGGCGAGAGACTTTCAAGCGAACCATCGAGCTCCGCGGTCGACATCTTGCCGTAAGCTTGGTCGAAACGCCAGTGAGGATGTAGAACAAGCACTGGAGGCTCCAGAAGGCGGCCCCAGAAGGAAGATAAATGCAAATGGAGAGTGGTAAAAGCAGATGAAGAATGATCAAGCCTCAAGATACCAAGAAGGATGGAAATACGCAGGATGAAGGTAAACAAGCGACTCGTGGAGAAGAACCGCGACTTGTGAGAGCTGAAGATGAAAAAGGAAAGCAAGAGCTCGAAGAGTCTCATGTCTCATATCCCAAAAGCGAAGGCACGATGGAGGGCTGGAAAGTAGCACGTGCTAGACGAAGCACGTGCCAAGGGTTTTATAGATATCTTCACTCTCACTACATCCATATGATCAGTAAACAGTCTGTGTTCCACTTCACTGTCTGCCTGTCTGGTTGTCCTGCCTCCTGCCTGTCCGACTTCCTGTGTGTTGCACTTCGGAACCAATCACCACTGGGGTTCAAGCACCCAATCCCGATCTCTCATCTCGCGCATACGCTTCTCCATCATACGTGCACGCGGGGGCATGCCCATACGAGGAGGACCCATGTGTGGCCGCACGCGCGGCATGGGTGGCGGCACAGATGAACGTTCACGATGGATCTCAGTGATCCGCCTGCGGCGTGCGCTGCGAATAGAATCGGTCAAATCAACAAGCTCATCTATGTCCTCCTGTGCAGATGAATTGTCAGAACAAAGTTAAGTTGCAAGGCACTGGAGGGCCAGTCGATACTTACCGGCTTGAGGTAAGAAAATATATAGTAATAGGCCCGTGTCTCTTCATACTCATACCCCATCTCTTCGATCGCTTCCCTGACCACTAGCTTCTTAGTGATTTCAGTCCATCGGTCATCTCGCACAACCTTGGGCTCGGTTATCTGCTGTGCAACTCGCCCTGACTCTGCTTGTTCCACGGATTTGCGCCGGGGTTTGACTTCAATGACGTCTAGAGCTCCTGTCATCTCGATGGCTTCTTTCCGCGTGGGTGCCTGGACCACAGACCAACCATCAGTGTCCTGAGCGGCGCGTATTTCTGTCGGGGTGCTCTCGATTTCAATATCATCTTCCAGATCATGCATGATGGGTGCAGCCTTTCTGTTACGGCTAAACGATCTCGCGGTACCTAACGATTCGTTGTCATCATCCAATAGTCCGACCCGACGAGAGGCGGATGTGCCATGCTCCCATGGATCCTGGAAGTCCACAGATGGATGGCTTGTCGGAGAGATTGACTCATCGCTATCGCGGTGTTTGATGGCTATATCCTCTCCGGACATTCGGCCACCTCGCATTTTCCTACTACGTGTGTTAGGGCTGTCAAAGCTATGGGGATATCCTAGGTGCTCACCGATGGCGGATATCGATTTCGTCAAAGCTGCCTTTCTCCCGGAGACCTGGACTAGGCACATGAGGTGGATGCCCATCCTCGAAACCTATGGTCATTTAGCAGAGATCATATCTGGCTATCTACAAAGCTGCTTACCATGATCGATGTGCCTGTGGTGTGTAAAAACATCCTGGTGAATCGGAGGAACATGGATTGACTCCATGGAAGGTGAAGGTGGGCGTGAAGGGAGCTTGTTCTGGGTCTTTCGGATTCGAATTTCTTCATCTAGCTCCTCATCCTCTTCAAGATCTCGGGGGCGCGATTTGGAATCAAATGTGGAGCGTGTAGTCATCTCATCATCCACTAGATCTTCCTTTCTGCCAGCTCGACGGAGTTCTCTCAGCTCACGTTCGAGTTCTTCCACTGGAGGGCTCTGCCGTCGCTCTCGTCGTTCGCGCAAAATAAGCTCCTCCTCATCGCCTTGGTGGGGTGGCCGGCGGCCTTTGCCTTTCCACCGGATGAGTACATCATCATCTTCGAATTCTCGTTCTTGGCGTTCCATGGCGCCCCGGGGTCGCTCCGCGGGTCTTTCGTCCAAGACTTCCTCCACTTCCACCCCACGAGAAGGTGGAGGTCTAGGCCGTGAGCGGAGATAGACTTCATCTCGCTCCTCCTCAAACCTTCTGTCGCGCCGTCGAAAGTCTTGTTCACTGTCCCATCCGCGGCGCATGGGTGGTTCCTTTCCTCTTCGTCGAATGACCATTTCATCTTCGTCGAACTCGCGGCGCCTCCTTTCTTCATCGTGCCTTCCTTGCTCTTCAATGATCAGATCTTCTTCAAGGTCGCGCTCGGGGTGTCTCTTGTTTGACCGATGTATTTTTTTCTCCTCAATGAGATCGTCCTCAGACCTGCGCTCTGAACGGCGCCTGCTTCTGCGCTTCTCGGTCTCATAAAGAAGGTCATCTTCAGAACGTCGTTCTGGATGGCGCCTGCTCGGCCTGCGCCGTTCCCTTTCCTCAAAGCGGATATCCTCCTCGAATTCGCGGTCTGGGAGAGGCCTCCGCTCTCTGCGTCTTTCTCTCTCTTCGACTATGAGACCTTCTTCATCAATCTCCCGTGGGTGACGCCTGCCCCCTCGACGCCTCTCCCGCTCGACAAGAAGATCATCTTCTTCGAATTCTGTCTTTGGGCGACGCCTCCTATCCCCACGCCGGTCCCTTTCCTCGACAATGAAGTTCCCTGCGGGTACGCGGTCAGGACGATGTCTCCCCTCACGGCGTACGTCTTTTTCTTCAACAATCAGATCGTCTTCGACTTCTCGTCCTGGTCGATGGCTCCGATCACCATGTCGCTCTCTCTCCTCAACGATAAGATCGTCCTCTACCTCTCGTTGATGCCTCCTGCTTCCCCGACGCCTCTCGCGTTCTTCGACAATAAGATCTTCATCAGCGATTTCCCGAGGACGATGTCGGCGCCGAGATCCCGAGGGCGGCATGTAGGGTTCATCGTGATCTCGACGCTCGGGCGATGAGACGACGGCTTCCTCCCTGGACCGCCTGAGCATCATATCATCCCGCTCTCTCGGATGCGCAAAGCTTTCTTCCATGAAATCCCGTCGAGGACGCTCTGGCTCTCGGAGATGTAAACGCTCCAAATCCTCGACCGGTGGGTCGGACCTTCGGCGCCGATATTCGATATCATCGTCATATTCGCGATTTCGTCGGCGCGGTCGATGGTCTCTTTCACGCTCTCGTTCCATTTCGTACATTTCCTCGTCGCCGTAATAATCGCGGGGTGGTGCGCGGCGGGACATAGTGAGATGCGAGTGCGGGGAATCACGAATCACCACATTAGATACTGGCCCAAGTCGGCAGACTCGCGCTGGCGACTCGAAGGTGCGTTTTCGTCGCCGGAAACCCTTCAGATCTCAAGGTAAACGTGAGTGTCTTTTGAAGCTTTTCAGAGTAAAAGTCAGAAACTGAACGCGACGGCTGGTGGTGCTGGCGGCTAAGTCGCTACATGTAGTGGGGCACGGGGGCCCTACAGGTTTTGATTGCAGAGTTTATCGTGGACGAGCCACTTGGTTATATGTGGAGTAACTCGAAAGCGAATGAAGGAAGAAAATGAAGTACAGACTGTAAACGATACGCAATGACGTGGGTCGAGAAATGTAAACGTTGGCCGTGTGACGCTAACGAACAAAAGTGATCGGCCCGCTGATGTCATTCTCGTACGCTGAAGGATCAATGGATTATACAGTACGTGTAGCGACATAAGTAGAATCTCTTGTTTACTGGATCTATAAACCTCGGAAATCTTTGGGTACCGGGATTATCCGTGGACCTTAAGCGATCCATGGTTCTTTGGCACGGATTGCGTTCGGGAGCCTTCTGTTTTTAGGGCTCGAAATCCATGCTTTCTTTGTCCAAGCATCATAAGTCTGGTGGATTTACTTAACATTGCTGTGCTCGCTTTAAGGGCTCAAGTATTTATGCTCCTCTCGCTCAGTGTCCCAAGGGCCCGTCCAAACCTGCACATGATATCTAGTTACTATGCCGTCAATTGCGACTTTTTAGATTCAAAGTATTGACCAAGCTGCAATGCTTAATGCCCCCAACGCGGCTATTGACTGTGCTGAGCATTCCTACTCTTAGGATGGAATGTCTTAAAAGGTAAATTGTAGAAGCAAAGGGTGTTCAAGTAACTGTTTGATATTAATCACAAAGATGTGAAAATACATGTGCTAGAATCAGTGTGCTTATCCCAGCATTCTCTAGAACCATAGTGCATGGCCACGTTGCTTGAATCCATCACCTGCTGTCCCTTGGTCTTGTCTTGACGAGTAGAAAGTCTCCATATTGGTGGATATTAACCTAAAACAGGACCTTGTTCAAGTCCTTATCGTTTTGCACCTTGATATTCCTCATAATTGCCACCCAAGCAAGCGAAAGCCCCATAATAGCAGTGCCAGCAATCATCATGTTCCTCTGGCTGAATGCATAAGCATCTTGAATGGCGATACGAGCAGGCGACCCAACCGGGTAGCTCAGCTGTGTTTCCAAATCCTCATATATAACAGACCACTGGTCCTTCAACTCAGCTGGTAGGTACTCGCGTAACTTGCCAGGGAGTGTATTCGTCCAGATAGCACCCGACACACTACTACCAACGGCACCACCAATGTTTCCAAAAGTGCTCAGCAGCGCCAGCATGGCGGCGTATTCTTCATGAGTGGACGCAGCCATCACAGCAATCTGCTCGATCAGGATAAGCGTACCACCTCCGACGGCGAGGAATATCTGACACATGCACTGATACCCGACGCTGTGGCCCGGACTGCGGAAGTAGATCATGAGTCCGCTAGCCAGAAGGTATAGCGGGACAGCAAACCACAGGAGCCACTTGAACCTACCAGTCTGGCGGATGCAGAAACCACAGGCAATCAACCAAATCGGGTCCATGAAATCGAAGATTGCGCTGATATACCCGGCCTGCGTGAGGCTGGTGTTGTACACAACTTGCAGGTACGAGGTGAAGTAGCTGGCCCAGCAGTAGTAGGAGACCTGGTAGGTTATGTCCAATAGACAAGCTCCAATAACAGTGCGGTCGGTCAGGAGGTGGTATGGGATGAAGGGCTTCGGGGCCAACCATCGCTCGTAGACGGCGAAGCCCACTAAGACACAGAATCCAACTACCATCATGGCAATGATCTTAGGAGACTTCCACTGGCCTTGTGTGTTGCCGGCAATGTTGAAAGATGTCAGGAAGAGAATCGTGCCTCCGATCATGAGGAATATGCCAATAACTAGGAGACAGTCAGTCTTATCGTCGGATTTTGCATAGCATAAACCGGATAAGTGGTCAACCTACTGTCGAATTCGATAACATAGAACCGAATACTGTCAAGCCAAGTTCGCGTGCTCCGGGGCTTATAGTGTAGTCGGCCCTCCTTGGCTGCCTTTCTTTTGGCCAATTGCCATACCACGATCAAGGGTGACGCGACAACAGGGAGAACGATGCAGATTGTTCCGTAGGCCCAACGCCAGTTTGTTTCGTGAAACTGGTTTGACAGAGGCGAGCCTGAGAACGCAGTGATCATGCCAGGAGAAGAGGTGAACGCAAAAGCGATACCTCGGTCGCGAAGCGATGAAGTATCGGAGGTCATCACATCAATACAGAAAATTGCTCCAGTAAAACCGACGGTATAGAATGCCTGTGGATACATTAGTTCTTGTTGGCGAGGCAGACTCAAAGGGAGGTCAGTATCTCACTTGGGCAGCACAATACGTCGCAATATTATGGCAACCAGCCATCATAATCAAGCCCATTATAGCAATCAGGATCATGATGATGAACCCAGTTGTCCGATCCCACAGGTTCAAGACCTTAGCTATTGGCATCAAACACGCCGCACCCATGACGCTGGTGACGACAGAGATGACGGACAGCAGCGAGTGCTCCGAGAAACCACTTGTAATATAGGCCGACAGATTCGAAGTCAAACTGCTGTTGAGGTAATTGGTAAAGTATACCAGCCACATACTATTTTCTCTTTAGTCCAGCTCCGGTCAAACGAGGTCAGCCGCCTTTTCTCACCTAGCATATGCGCAAATCAGGTACTTCTTCGACCACGTCTTAGTGACGGCTTCAGCGACTCGAACACCATCTTGCTGATCTTCATCTTCTGACACTTTGTCTTGCTGTGGACTCGGAGGCGTTGGGTCCTGAGTGAGTTCTTCCGTAAATGCGGGTTTGACGATAGCCATGATGCGAGGAATGTCGTATGCCCTGTGGGTTGACAAGGGATGTCTGCAAATTGACCAAGCGTTTTACATTTGTTGAAGTGCGAAGACAAGCCCTTTTAGAAGGCTTGGCCGGATTATGGCCTTGTCCACGCCTGGTGGTTCCACCGGGCTTCGTTGTAACCGAAATTGACTCTAGCTTGACTAATTCTTTCCCATGGCGCGCATTGTTCCGAGAAATACCTTGCCCAGTCCCGAAGAGACAAGCCACATACCTTTTAGCCTTATATTTTGTTTCAGTTGAAAATTCTCGACATACCTGCCTCTGACATTGGCAGGACTGTCAAGTAGGGCTCAAGGTTTAGCCGATGCCCTGTGCCACGGTTGGTAAACCCGTAATCTTATCAGATGCGACTCGGCTTCAGGGTCCATTCGAGGCCCGTGGTGAGACAGTGTGGATCTCCGGTTTCATGGCTGCCTAGGACCTTCCCACATTGTCTCATTGACCGCTAACTTATATTGTACTTTGACTGCTTGTACGTTTAATAACTTTTTGACAGAATTCAATCCATCTCAAGTTCACATAAATTCACATAGCGGAAAGCAAGTGGCTTGAGTCAATAGCTTGGTGTTTGAAGCACTGTATAAAAGCAATGTTACTAGGTGATTCGAGACAAGAAGTCCCTGGTCCTCAATAAAGGAATTGGCATGCCAGTAATCACACTAATGTCTGGTGAAGCGAGGTATGTCTTGATTTGGACCATCTCTATCTCTTTTTTTTGGTGATCTGGACTCCACTGGCCGTGGTGCATTGGACTCTTAAAGCTAGGAACCCATCACCTGTTCGATGGCAAGGTACTATGGGGCTGCGCCGAACAGCCGAACAGGAAGAACCACTAATGGGCAGAAACTTTTGCGAATTGAGGAGAGGCCACAGAATCCCTGTAGTACTCTGGCAGCAATCCACTAACTCGCAGACTGCCCTCGTGTTTCGTAGTTCATTGGCTAGTTCACTCGCTCCATGGCTTTTGATTCACAGTGCATATCCGTTGCTGAGAAATGGAGGCCAGCTGTATCCTATCTTCTCGGGGTCCAACACATAGGTGCGTCGAGTGCTGATCCCGTGAGACTCCGCAACAGGCCTGTGGGTATGATGATGGGTGGTATTGCAGAAAAAGAATCAACGCTGGTCCTGACGAGCGTTTGACGGTTATACTAAAATATGATCCTAGGTTATCGGTATAACATCCGTAGCAAAGGTCTTGGCGACGGCCTAGTAGTATATAAGATTATCGGCTAACACGTAGCTACAGAATTCAAAGCCAGTTGTTCAGGCGATATTGGACCAAGACCTCTTTCTTCGTCCAATATCATGCTTGGTGTACGCTATAACCCAAGAATTTGTCGCTGGCCAATATTTGTAAACTTGCATCCAAGCCAGAGACTGCTGGAGAATCATAAGTACCCATTTAGCACAATGCGCGATTATTGGCTCGACGACCAACAGAGCCAAAATACAAGATATTTAGTCCCCAATGCTAGTTCTACAGTCTTCAATCTGATACAAACCACTACAATAAGTCCACCAATCTAAAAGTCAAATGAAAAACCGAGCCTAATTTTCTCAATGCTGTAGGCGACGGCACCTACACTGGGTAACAGAATTATCCTTCCTTGCTCTGCGCTTTTTTTTCATATGGCTATGCTTCATCTTTCCCTTTTAAAGGATATGTACAGGGTTTAATGAATGAATGATGTTTGGATACTACCTTATGCTTCGATCAGGTTGGTAGTTTCTTATAAGTAGTGCTGTAAGCTTCTTGGGCCTACCCTAAGCAGGAGTGGTATAATATAGAAGGAACGACGCAAGAAATAAGAAATAAAGAACAAATAACTTTGCAGTTTCGGAGCTCAGTTGAACTAGTAATATAGAGAATCTCCATCTAGTAACCTTTGCGAGGTACATTCATACCCCCACCTTTATATAATTTATATGATTAACCCGAGGCACTTGAAAATAGGCAAAAAAGAGGTGAAAAAAGAGAGGCTAAAGTAGGACGAAAGAATAAGCGAAACGGTATATCCTTATGGAGACTTCCTAGTATTCTATTAATAGCACTATAGGCAACTCCATTTCACTTTCGGAAAGCTCGAAGAGCGTAATAAATCTACTCGCAGGGTAGGTCAAGTTTAGAAAATACATCTGAACGAGTGGCTCTTATTCTTTAGTCAGAAGCATTGTTTAGGCAGTGTTTTACAAAATCCCATCCACATCAAGTGCGCGATTCCTTACTCATTGTAAGGCTGGATACCAGCAAGGCGAAGGATCTGGTCTGTCACAGCATTATATACATGGCTCCAGCTACCAAAATAAGATGCATTGTCCTACGTGCAGGAAATTGAGCCTTTTTATCCAGCCTGCAGTCAGACAAAAGCAAGAATGGTTCAAATGAGGACCTGAAACTGACCCCTGCGTGGCGTGCTATATTTGGGGATTGAGAGCGCCGATCGCAGGGTTTTTATCTTTGCAGGGCCTAACAATCCCAAAATACCTACATTTTCCAAGGGCAGCTACAGAAATATATAGACATGCATATGTGCCGTGATTGTGCTAATTAATTGGTAGGGCTATTTGTCGAATGCAAGCTACTGGTATGATGAGGACGGGTGGACGCCGTACAGTAGCTCCACAGTCGATGCGGAGCGCCCCCATATGAGCGATCGACAGAGGCAATCTATCCCTGTTAAGGCCCTTTGGTTGTGTGAACCTGAGATCATATTTCTCCACTTGTTTGGAACCCGGGGCACCTGAGGGGCGGTGCCTGTGTTTATAAGGATGCTCGACATTCCCGGGGCCAGTTGGGGTCTTCATAAAACTCCAATACCATAGTCCATATCCATCGAAGAAACACGTCTCTCAAATCTTTTCTCACAATGCGTCTTCTTGGCTTACTGGCAATTGCTTTCTTTGGCACTGCGCGCGCCCTACCTGCTGAGGACCCTGATACTTCCGATGCTTCGGTTCCAACTTCGACTTCAATCTCATGGAGCAGTACATTCCCTACGCCTAGGGAGCCGGTCCCTGTTGACGTGGAGCCTCGCCCTACTGTCTCCTCTGAGGCTTCTACTTAAACCTAGATGAAGTCGTTCGCAATTCGCAACACAATACCTACTATGACGTTCGAATCAAAAACAGTCGATGGCTACATTCTTGATGTTTCCTACATTGCCTGTATCGGACAGCAAGTGGGGGTTATTCACATTTGACTCCTTGGGGTACCGAAACTAGATAGCGTGAAGAACTCACTGTGGTGCACATTCCTATACTCGCTCATTCGCCATAGACATAAAGAAACACGAAAATCGGGATAATGGAAACGAAATTGGATCTCAAATTGTGGATTGAAACTGAGGGTCTTTTAATCAATGCAATCAGCCTGTATATTAATAGTTGATACATAAATTCACATAACAACGCAAATTTGGTCTCTCGGTTCAGGATTGAGTGGTAAGAAAGGGTAGTCAGGCTGCGTAGTCTCGTTAATAGATTGGGTATATCGTAGCTAAAACATGCAATATGGAAACAAGTCATAAAAGTACATGAGCAAACAAAGATTCTGAAATGTGATCTCCGAGATTGCTTCTACTGGAACGCCAGTCGCATCTGCCCCTTCTCGGGTTTTCCACGACCACCTCCACCCCGGCCGCCCTTTCCACGGCTGAAGGAGCCTCGTATGCTGCTCGTTGTGGGCGGCGGGGGCGGCTGTAAAGCTCTGGCGTCCTCGCGATCCTGGCTTGCGAGGTCTTTGGCGAAATGCCAATCTTCATGTTCTTCTCTTTCATACTCGAGAATCGACCTGGAGCACCGTGGACATGTGTAACGGGGAATCTCTGCTACTTCTGTTTCCGCTTCGAGAGGTGGTTGCGGGATTTCTGGTCCACTTGCACCGGTGTTTTCCGGAGAGGATGGTTTTCCGAAGAATTGCTTTATCATCTCGTCGTCAAGCTTCCGCCGTTTCTCAGTCGGTTGCTCAGTAGGAGGGGTGTCGGCATCTCGGGGTCTTGAAGCATGACTCAAAGCCTTCGCTTGATCACCGCGAAGTAGGAAGCTTTCAATAGCCCGGTTATTAGTCACGCCCTCTTGGAAGCTCCCGACACTCAATGACAGGTTGGAGCATGGCCATGCCTGTCCCTCAGCCACAACTTGACGGAGCAGATTATTCGCCAGGTCGAAAAGCAGGTTCTCATCAATAGTACTCGATGGTGGGATTGGAGTCTGTTTGGAATGGGGTTGGGGCTGAGAGGTTCGGTGATGCAGAGTAATAACCCTGGGGCGGCGTCTGTTTTCAAGCACGCCGTCCTCAACCAGCCGGCCGTAGATATCAGCGGCGAAAATGCGAAGCCACTTCTCGGCTTGGTCAACTGACCTGATACTCGGCCGGAAAGACTTCGCTGATAGCATAGACTTGATCTGGGTTCGAGGGTTGACCTCGCTGCGGTCATCTCCGCGGATAATGCCGTAGAGCCAAGATGCCGTATGGTCATCTAGCTTGGCACGGAGTTGCTCAAGTGACACATTGAGCAGATCGCTCACTTTCTCCGTCCCGAACACCTCCGTAATTTGTTCACCTAGTTTACCACCGAGCATCCTGATCTGAGTGAACTTGTAACTGCCCAGGAAGTTCTGCACAGCCCTGTTTCGTACGATAGTCTGCAGGTTAGGCTTGTTGCAAGCACTTCCCAGCTTTGCAATCATTTTGTTCCGGCCAAGTCCCGCGGAACAGGTGTAGCTGAGCTTCTCCCAGACCGCGTTCCGAACCGACCTCACAATTTCAGACCCTATCAACATAACGATATCGTCCCAATCTGGGTCATCCTCTTCCGTTTCACTGTCATTCAGGTCAATCAAGCAATCGGTATCCCATTGCAAGGCTGTAGTTGGAGGCATGGGAAGCTGCGTATCCCGGTTCTCATCTTGGACACCCGTCCGAAGCTCTGAGTATCTCTCAACGAGCACCTTGAAGACCACGGGAGATAAATCAATGAAGACCTCATCTATGCTAGCTTTCTCCAAGCCAGCCGAAACCCCTTGTGTCTGACGCGAAGTTTCACCTTCCGCATCATTTGTACTCCAGGTAGCCAGGGTGTCTTTCATCGTCTGGAGGATTTTCCGGGATTGTGCGCGGTACGGGTCCAGCGACACTTTGTCCGTTTGAATATTCTTGAAAGAGTCATCCCGATACGCCCATCGTCCTCCCTCTCCTTCACGAAATGTTGCGACATGTTGTAGGACGAGGTCTGGACAGAGTTTCCGGGCTTCAGCGACATTGATCAACCGAGTGATTCCGAAGGGCCGTGCCGCATAGTTGATGGCGATCAAAGAGTCCCACTGTCGTACTGCCAGGGGTGTCTCGCGCGGTGTCCCCAGGCGCACCATCTCACATTGCGCATAGAAGGCATCGAGGTCGATATGCGCAATCACGCGCAGGGGCGTCGCCGTGGATCCGTGTCGCAGTCCTTGTAAGTGTCGGTAGGTGAAACGAGAGGTCTTCAAAGATTCGGATGTGGGTTCGGACATCACGAGTGCGTCATGGCTCGCTATCGGCCATTGTAGTTGAAGAGAGAGCTCCGAGGTGGAATTCTAAAAGAGGCTTAGCGTGTGCACGTGCTACGGTTCCTCAGGTTCGCGTTTCTTGTGTTGACATCGCAGGACATTGTGATGCTCTATGAGGGTAGATGGCTTGTTTATTTTGTTTAATTTGATCTCTTATTTTCTATAATCAGATGTCCAAGTCGACAAGTACACTAAGGCATAAAAGTCTGCAACTTGAGCCCTGCGAGCGTCTCCAGCGCTAAATCACTGCTTATTTCCCCCCTGAGGACCCCGAGAACCCAGCGAAAGCCAGTCTGCAGGGTTTTCGGTCTCGAACATGAAAAAAGAAAGCCAGGATGATCTCCGATCTGTGCGATCCTGCTGACACAGCCGATCTCTGAGTGGACAGGCAACCCTCAGGTGCCCAAAGCCACGCATTCGTGCCCAACGCCCATCTGGTGGACATCAGCTTTCCAGGTGGCAATCTGCAAACTTGCCACTGGTTGTTCCTCCCGTTTTGCACTTGCTGTCATCGTCTTTACAGTGAGCAATCACAAGGCTTACTATGTGCCCCCCCCCTTTGGCCACACTTGACCATCTGACTCTTCTTATGATCTCATTATCAGCTCTCTTTTCTCACCAAAGGTCCACTACATGGTGGAGATGTAGACTTTTTATATTAACCAGGGGCACAGACTAAAGGGCAATCCAAGCTGATCAATATATGGGGGATCGGCCTTGTTTTCCAAACCCTAGGTAAGCCCTGTACTAGTACTTATGTAGCTTGTACATTGAAAAGGGAAGTAACATGTACTTCGTAAGCCCTGGGTTTTCTTTGGCATAAGGCGGCTACAGACAGGGTCGTACATGCTCTAATCCACATTCGACCGTGCATGCTTTTGATCTCAGTGGGGAGTCGTGGCACCAGCCCAAGACGGCCCAACCGCCCTTCGCCTGTAGCCCACTTTAGTTCCCCCCTCTTCTTCCTTTCATCTTCTTTCTCTTCCTCTTTCCTCTTCTCTTCTCTTCAATCTCCTGGACTCTCTTGCTAGACTACTCTACCCTTTCACTTGGCACCTGGTTCATCCGAACAGAGACAGCCTAGAGGAACGTCAACCACCCCCCGTGTTTCTCTTTCTCCTAATTGCGCCTCTGTCACCTCTTCGTTCTTCACACTTCACTCGCCAACCCTTTAGGACTTCGATCTTCCCAGGATAATTGCCCCAGTGGACAATCAGCGTGGACTTTACCCCTCAGGATTTACCGGACTTCTCCAAGGACTTGCTATTGCCGACCAGGATCAAATTTTCTTTTCTGGCCACTTCCCAAGGATCATATCTCGTTGTCTATTTGCCCTGGAATCGAGAAAAAAAACCATTCAGGTCGTGATTATCGACTTTGGAACCTACTCGTCGCCCTCATAGAAACTGTACATCCTACAATAAAACGGACTCACCACCATCAACTTCTCCTGGATCTTCAGACCTACCACTTCGGATTTCCTCTTTCTTCCTGGCCGCTTTGGATCCGAGGACTTTAAATTTAAACCGGACATTTCCATCGGACATTATGACAGGCCGCTATGAATCGCGCCCGGAGCGTCAGAATGAATATTTCATCCCCGGCGACGGAATCAGCCGAGAAGTCATTCAAGCAGATATCTGTCGCTACCTTGGAAATGATGCACTCGTGAGACCCGGCAACCATGGTGTACGTTTCCTATTCTTTATGACTTGGGGGCTATATACTGACCATCTATAGGGCCGCCCGGGATTCTTCATCCGTGCTTATCGGAACCTCACATCTGTAAGTCGACATGGACAAACGACAACTAGCCGGACATCTGATGATGGGATTCTAACCACACCTTGGATACAGGAGATGATAACTGACCTGAAGGCTGACTCCGCCCGCTGGGAGGCGGATGTCTCACGCCGGGCTGACCTAGGCTATCCCAGAGGTAGTTACATTCAAGACCCCCCTAGCACCTCACCAGCGAACTATGCTGCTTCGGCTGTCCATGAGGTTCGCCAACAACAGGGCCCATCCCCCACACCATTTACTGCCGCTCCTGCGCAGCAGCCATACATGGATCCTTATTCCCAGAGTCCCTACAGTGGATCCCAGAATGCCCCCTACACCAACCCTCCTCCTGCATACACATCCACTCACTCGCCATACGCATCCGGTACAGCCCCGTACCCCCCACCCCAGGTTTCCTACTCTGGCTCCAGTCAGCCCGTCGTGACGGCGGCGGACATGCACCCCCAGTCGTACACCTACGCTCCCACGGGCTATGGATACGACAATGGCCGAAGCAATGCTCCCCGATACCCGGGGCCAGGATATGATGCCGAGCAGGACTATTCTCCCGTAACTTCCGGGATGGCTTATCCTACCACTACTGCCCCGGACCCCCGGATAGGAATGGAGCCCAGATACACTCCAGAATATGAGCGCAGGCCACAAGCAACCAGAGACAACACACATCGTCGGCGGTAGACAGAAATGTTCGCCCCCAAATTGGTTTTCCTGCATTCATGATTTCTTCTCTCTCCTTCCATTCACAACGTGGCCCCACTTGATACTTCCTCCCTGGAATATCCTCAAAATAATCCTGAGGATAATGTTAATGTCCACGACAACAAAAAAAATCCTGGACGATCTCCATGCTTCTTCTTCTCGGCCACCCTCTCAAACCCCAATATTTCTCCATTTCAGGATCTCCAAACCAGGCCGAGATATCTCATATCCCACAAACGGCCCACTTCGGGATTTCCACTTTCCATTGGATGTGAATCCCACTTCTTTTACCGCGGACTTCCACTGGAACTGAACCCAATTGCTCTCTGGTAGCAGCTTGGACTTCCCGTGGAACTTTGTCTCCTTTTTTCCCTTTCTCTCCGTGCTTTTGTGCAACTGCCAGCCAGGAGTAGTAGTGATGTGTCTTGATTGAGTTCGCGAAAAGGTGGCTTGGGCTTGAGCGTTTTGTTTTCTTTCTCTCTCTCTGGTCTCGTGGATTCCGGGAATACTCACCCCCACAATAAAGCGGCTTTGTTGTTGGTGTAACGGTGTACAGGATTTGTCTTCTTAGCAACATGTTTTGTCTGTCCCTTTGGAGGATGGGGCTTTTCCATATTCTCCTTTTGTTTCTCATGCCTTTGATTTGGTTTGCGAAGAGAGCGCTGTTCTTCGATAAACTAAGGCTGGTGAGCTACATGTAGATATGAGCATTTACGGCGTTGATCCGTCTTCTTGTGGTTGATGTTTTGCTTTTGCAAGATCGTGGATCTGCTCCATGGCCTTAATGAATCTGCTTGTGTCATGATTCTTCTTGATTTATATCCAAATATCGTTACTTAACCACTGATCGTTCTTTTCCAAATTGAGTTCACATTCCTGACATTCACTTTGTGCGTGTATCATTCAATCGTGCGTAAGCGAATGCACTACTGCAGGTGGCGAGCATCATTTCCCTCGATCAAAGGGCGAGCTTTCCACAACTTCAAAGCCTGTACCCCATACTCAATTAAAAATACTACCTTTCCGACCACCGATTCTTCAGCCAGAGGACTTTAGATCATATACTCGAAAATGAAAAACGACATGATGTCGGTTTTATAATTGCACAAAAAATAGTACATACACTGCGCCGCAGGCTCGACATCCAAAATACGCGCAACAAATATTGGTATCAAAGCATTTCCGATGACAAGAGAGGCGGCTCAAAACAAGTCTTTCCGATTGCCCATGCTCATGTTGGGCCTTGTTCATCATTCCACCTTGACCAACGAAACAGTCAAATCCATCTCCTGCCATCCGTTGGGTTTATTTCTCCCAAGCACAAGACACGATGATTCTTAAAATTTTCCGATAGCTTAATATTTCCATGGCTCGGATATTATTTATTCGTCATCGTAGCCCTGGGGGATCACCCGCTTACCCTGGGGAACTGCATATCGAAGATGCTGGTTAGTTTCAAAGTCCCATATATGTTTCCAATGCCGATACACCAAGCTGAAGGGGGGGGATGGTTCATACTGGGATATGTCAGGGGAACAGGCTCGGGGTCGACGTCACCGAGGGCGCGGCGAATCGGGGGGATACCGAAGAGCGCGACGGGGCCCATGGAACCGATGATCAGGGAGTAGAGAATGGCGGGCTTCTCGTAGGAGGCCCAGCGGATGTAGCGGATGGGAGTCGACCAGAACTGAGGGGTAGACATGGCTGCAGGAAGAGGCCGGACGTCGACGACCGATCGGGGATTTTCAGTCGATTGAAGTCGGAGGTCAATGCCTGATGGATCGAATCCTACAGATCAGAAGGATTCGAATAGATAAATGCGCGGTTCCACCGGGTTGTTGTGATGTGGCAGTGGTGAAAGCGAGGAGCAAAATTGAAGCCGTGGGGAAGAAGTGAGGTCGAAGTTCGGAGATGCGGACCCAGCGCTCTTGGGTCTTGGCATTCGCCCAGTAACACGTCGCCCTTTCTGGCTATACTCATACTTCATCACCTTCCTTTTCGCTTTCTTTTTGATCCTTCCGCTCCGCTGTGCGGAAATTATTCAAGATGCGGTGGTGCCTTGCGTTGCTTATTTGCTGCTTCTTGGCTGCGGTAAATGCGCTGAGTAGCTCCGGCAGTCGTCTGTTGGCGGTTCTGGAAGACACAGAGCAGAAGAGCCTGTACTCCACGCTGTGGGCAGACCTAGAAGGTATTTTGGATGGCTCTACCTGTAGTACCCTGCTGACTTTCAAATCTCAGCTCGTGGCTACGATGTTTCGATCGAATCCCCCAAAAGTGAACAGCTTTCCCTCTTCAAGCATGGCGAAAGAGCTTATGACCACCTCCTCATTCTTCCTCCTAAGTCTAAAGGTGGGCAATATCAATCTCGTTGGTTTGAATCCTTGTCAATTGACTCAACTCTACAGGCCTCGGCCCCTCTTTGACCCCCAAGCACATCCTCGACTTCATGAACAAGGATGGCAACATCCTCCTCGCTCTCTCCGGCAAGTCCTCCACCTCCAGCGCTGTCAGCTCCCTCCTCCTCGAGCTCGACATTCACCTCGCGGACGATCGCTCGGCGGTTGTTGTCGACCACTTCAACTATGATACCCTCTCGTCCGCCGAGAAGCATGACGTTCTTGTGCTCCCGCGCCCTGGACCTCTCCGTCCCGACGTGAAGGCATTCTTCGATGGCGAAGGTGTTCTGGCCCTTCCTCGGGTTGCTCCTCAGACTTTGGGGTCCCACAGCACCCTTGTTGTTCCCGTTCTAAAGGCCCCGGCTACCGCTTACAGCTACAACCCCAAGGAGGAGATGCCCGCGGCCGAGGATATTCTGGCCACCGGCTCGCAGCTGAACATTGTCTCGGCTATGCAGGCTCGCAACTCGGCCCGTTTCACCGTTCTCGGCTCGGTGGAATCACTTGAGGACAAGTGGTTCTCGGCTTCCGTCAAGACCCCCCGCGGCGAGAAGACCTCCACGGTGAACCGTGAGTTCGCTAAGCAGCTGACCGGCTGGGCTTTCAAGGAGACTGGTGTCCTCAAGGTTGACAAGGTCGAGCACCACCTCGCCACTGAGGGTGCGGAGTTGAATCCCTCTATCTACCGTATTAAGAACGAGACTGTACGTGAAATCAGTATCCAATCCTATATTTAAAGCTAACCAGAAATCCCCCTATAGGTCTACAACATTGAAGTCTCCGAGTACGTCTTCGACAAGTGGGTTCCCTTCGAGGTTCCCGGCGAAGATGAGCTCCAGCTCGAGTTCACCATGCTCTCGCCTTTCCACCGCCTGACCCTCCAGCCGACCAGCCGAACCGAAACCGGCACCGTGTTCAGCACCAAGTTTGTGACCCCCGATCAGCACGGTATCTTCTCTTTCCGCGTCAACTACAAGCGTCCTTTCTTCACCAACATCGAGGAGAAGCACGAGGTCACTGTCCGCCACTTTGCTCACGATGAGTACCCGCGCAGCTGGGCCATTAGTGGCGGTTGGGTTTGGATTGCCGGTCTTTGGTCGGTTATTGGTGGATTTTTGGCTTTCGTTGTTGTTTGGCTTTATTCTGCCCCTGTGGCCGACAAGCTTAAGAAGACGCAGTAGATCTGTATGCATTATACTATACTGTTTGTTCATGATGTTGAATTTACTTGTATGAATTTGATTTCCCCAGTGTTCGATTTGGTTTCATAGATCATTTCAATCATATGAATACACTCGAGCGTAACCATCTGGCAACTAGATAAACGGCGGTAGGAAATGTGTAGACGGAGAACACAAGTCCCGGGTCAAACGTAATAGGGACTTTCTAGTCGTGACTCAAGTAATCTCTAGTTCTAGAAAGATTGAATTGCCACTACTTATGAACCCTGGCTGCTCTAGCTGTGTATAACCTCCATCAACAAAGAGCGAAGGACCCGTAACAAAAGAACTACGACCGCCAGACAGAAAAACAACGCCACCAGCAACCCCTGTGCAAGAGCCAGCCGTCTCATAGGAACATTAACGGCAATAGTCTTCTCCGCACTCTCCCGAATTATAGGTACTGTACATCCATCGTCAACAGTGTAGCAGTGTACCGCGGACAAATAGCATTAATACGCAAGCCATCTTTCGCATAATCCTCAGACGTAGTCTTCGTACGCCCGACAATAGACCTTCGATGATAATGCTAGCATATGGCTTGGACCAAAAGCTTTGACCTCAACAAGATCCTTACCATCCCAGCAGCCACTCTAAACGAGGCCTCGCTTCTTAGCATGAGGAACTAGTCTTCGGCCCTAGGAAGAATGCAGCTAGGGCACCCAGAGCTACGGTTCTGAAGCGCTACTTGTACCACAGTACGGATACTTTTGAGGGGTTATCCCGCTTGCTTGGGGGAACAGTGATCTGATAGGACATGAAAAACAGCTAAAATAATCCAATGCCCTAGATAGAGAGGATGAGTCCAACTTTGATTGATCGATACTTCTGTTGAGGACTACTGTTGGTCTGGAGATCCACAGGGGGCCGTCTAGTGTCTCCTCCACGGGATGAAATAATATTGGCATGCCGGGGTTCTACCGAACAAGGCATGATTTGCAGTATACGACTTCGGTGGTGGTCTAGCGGCCAGGACCAAAGCACATTTTAGTGTTAAGTCTCGCCAGTCTGCCGGTGCGGACTGCATAGTTTCTCTTGTGTATACGGAGCAAACCCCCCTCCCCGGAAGCTGTTGAGTCATATCCCAAATCAAAAATGAGTAAACCAACTTTCGTCTTCTCGCTCGGTGCTTGGATGCATCCCATCGTCTTCAATGCCGTGCGTACGCGGCTGGAGGCCCTCGGCTTTCCATCCGAGTGTCCCGCACACCCCTCAATCGGCGCAGAGCCTCCTTCGAAGACACTGGAAGACGATGTCTCCTCTCTGCACAGCGTATTGACAGCCCTGGCAGATGAAGGGAGAGACATCGTTGTTGTAGGACACTCCTACGGCGGTGTCGTGGCATCCACTGCCGTGGAAGGGCTGGTCAAGCCCGTCCGCGCAGCCAACGGAAAGCGTGGCGGAGTCATGAGTGTCGTCTATCTGGCTGCATTTGCACTTGGCAAGGGACAGAGCCTGTTAGAATTGCTAGGGGGCAACCCTTTGCCCTGGATGAAGATTGAGGTTGGTCCATCCACATCATATGATTGAATACCCGCTTGCTCGAGATCATGTTAACCGGCTTGCAGGGTGACTATGTTCACGCGGAAGGCGCTGGCGACGTTGCCTGGCAAGATCTGACCCTTGAGCAACGGGAGAAATGGGACGGCACCGTAATGCACACCTCACGCGCTGTCTTCTCGGGTGCCGTCACCTATGAGCCGTGGCAGGATATACCGTGTTCCTACATCATCTGCGAGCAGGATCTGGCACTGTTGCCTCACATCCAGGAATTCTTCGCGCTGAAGGTATGCGGGCCTGGCCATACCCACCGCCTGCCCGCTTCGCATTCGCCGTTCTTGAGCATGCCTGAGCGCTTGGCGGGTGTTTTGGAAGACTGCGCAAGTGTAATGTAACTAAGTGGGGTTGAAAATGGGCTCAGTAAATATGAGAGGGGTATAAGTGAAGAAGAGATGTATGTTTGAAGCGTAACAGAACTCCGGGCCATGCCAGCATGTAATCAACGAATCCAAATATCCTTTATAGGCCACGAGTCTTCTCTGGGTCCATCTGTACTTCGTCGCCATTGACTGGCTTGACCGACTGATAAGCTGGTTGTCCAGCATATAATTGTCCCCCGGAACTGGACTTTTCGCCTTCCATTTCCTTGGATACCGAGATGGGCTGATTACCGCGGAACCGTTTGCGCATGTCGATCATACCGCGTCTATGTTGAGTAAGATTTCAATTATCAGCTACAATTCTCTTTTATTCCGCGACGGCCTAGACCCTTCGGGGGTAGGGGTTCTCGACTCACTTGCACTCGCTGAATCCTTTCCGCAGCTGCTGGCATCGCATGGGTAACTCCTCGGCGAGGGGAGAACTGAGACATTCACGGGGTGTGTGTCTTTGGACCATGATACAGTCCGATTCCTGGAGGCATTGGGCCAGTGCCTCCCCTAGATATGTAAATTGAGGTCAGCTCGCGTTGCATGACACTGAAGGGTTACGGCGGCAGGTCCAGCTGAGCCAGGAGCGTGATGCTCCCTAGAACTGTTGTGCGACTCGATTGTGTGCGACGTACGGATATCAGTGCACGAGCTCGGCATTTTGAGACGGTGGGTGAAAGCGCAACCACAAGCAAAGTGAAGCCGTGAACCACGGCAAATTCGGGTCTGTCAGTTGCCTCGACGCTGATTGGCCGCCCAACCCCCGGATGAGATAAGCATTATCACATGTTCCTGGCAGCAAATGACGTCGTGCGACTTTCTTTCGCTTTGGTTTCTTTGGTTTTTTTGGTTTCTTTTGCTTCTGCTTCTGAATATAAATCAGACCTGCATGTATGCATAGTTCTTCAACATGGCGCGTGTTCCATTCATCGGGAGACTCTTTTGGTAAGAACTCTCCCATCCGAGAACGAGCTTGGCGACTGATCTTCGCGACTCCAGGTTTGAGTACCTAGCGCTCTTCGGCTCTTTGATACTTGTTTTACTAGAGACGATCATTCACCTGATCACTTGGTGTCTCCGTGAGTAATGTGTACTCGGTGACGATATAGGCTCTAACACTTACCCCTTACCAGCGAGCCCAATCATCAAGTTCTGCTATCATCAATCCAAGGCACTGTTCAATGTCTTGATTCCAACTGAAACCCGACATAAGCGCACAAAAGAGGAGACTTTTGCTCTTTCAGTTGCGGATGCATCGGATTTCACGGAGATATGCGCACTCTTCGGATATCAAGCAGAGGATCACATTGTGCAAACGAACGACGGCTATCTCCTTGGGTTGCATCGCCTAGCATATCGTAAGGGAGAAGAGCATACTCGCGTCAACCAAGGCCCTGGTGGAGTCAAGAAGAAGGTCGTGTACCTCCACCATGGACTGCTCATGTCCAGCGAGGTGTGGGTGGCCTTGACAGACGAGCAGCGATGTCTCCCCTTCCAGTTGGTGGAACGAGGATACGATGTATGGCTAGGGAATAATCGTGGAAACAAGTACTCGAAGAAATCGACTCGGGTTTCACCAGGATCGAACGAGTTTTGGGACTTTTCTATTGATCAGTTCGCATTCTCGGATATTCCCAACAGCATCGAGTACATTCTCGAAGTGACCCACCAGCCATCGTTATCGTACATTGGGTTCTCACAGGGGACAGCTCAGGCATTCGCTACCCTCGCTATCCACCCATTGCTTAATGAGAAGATCGACGTGTTCGTCGCGCTGGCACCCGCCATGGCGCCTTCTGGCCTGCGTAATCGCATCGTGGATTCACTGATGAAAGCCTCTCCCAACTTTCTCTTCCTGTTGTTCGGTCGACGCAGCATCCTATCATCGACGACCATGTGGCAAACAATACTCTATCCACCAATCTACGTACGCATCATCGACACCGCTCTTTCGGCTCTCTTCAACTGGAAGTGTCGAAACATCAAGCGCACGCAGAAGCTAGCAGCCTACATGCACCTGTATTCCTTCACCAGCACCAAGTCCGTCGTCCATTGGTTCCAAATCATCCGCAACAAGAACTTCCAGTTCTACGATGATGAAGTGTATGCCCCCTTTAGTGTCGTTGCCAGCGAACGCTTCTACAAGCCGGTCAAGTACCCAACCCGCAACATTAAGACGCCCATTGTGTTGTTGTACGGTGACAGTGACAGTCTGGTCGATATCAACGTCATGTTACAGGGTCTGCCACATGCCACGACCGCCAAAGCGATCCCGAACTACGAGCATCTAGACTTTTTGTGGGCCTCCGACGTCGACCGCCAAGTGTTCGGTTATGTTTTTAAGGCGCTGGAGACACACAGCAAGGACATTGTAAGCGAAAGAAATGGCGCATGCTCGAATGGAAGTCTCGATGGGCGAGCTCCGAACACATCCTCTCGAAGGAGCAATTTACCTAACGGCGTTGCATACGGCGCCACAGTCTAGGCCATGAAGCCTTTTATTCATATATACTTGTACTTTCATTATCCATACCACGTTCACTTTGAACTCGGAGTGGGGCATGGCTTGGCGGGAAGTACCGCCACATCGATGTCTCGCGAGGGCTATCAATAATACAATCTGCATGTGAGATTAACATCGCCACCCAAGAATGTAACTTCTGGCAGAGTTTTCTTCTGGAAGGTGCCTAAAGAACATGGGAGGCCTGGCCGACGTGGCGGGTCTCAAAAAATTAGGAAAGTTCCGGTGTTCCTGCATCGGTACCTGACTAGAGAACATAGTTCGAACGACTATTGGGGGGATTGATGACTTTGCCAATTTCCCTATCCACAGGGATGATCTTCCCTCCTTCCTAACCGGTTCACCCTAATGAATAAGCTCTCTTAGAGCCGGGCTTGGCCTGGCTAGTAGAGAGATCATTTGTAGTAGGCATTAGACAGTAGACAGTAGACAGTAGAGAGTACTGTAGATATAGTGAGATATTGGAACATTGAGATAGGAACAAGAAAGTGATATTCAGGGGCCGTTCGACAAAGGGGGGGTGTTTGCGTAGGACATGCGTAATCCCGCACTATTCCGAATAAGTCGGAGAGTTCGTGAAAACTCTTGTGGGTGCTGAAATGTGATTCGATCTAGGCCTCTCTCCACAACGCTCCAACCGCTGAACAAGTCGAAAAGAAATGAACAAACACACGATGTGGGACAAACAAACGTAGGGACGGTTCAGGTACCAACGCCAACCATGGACGTGTCCAGTGTAAGTCCAACCGGGTTGGCCAGACCATGTTTCATCTCCTGAGCCCTAACTATATCAGCCAATAGGATCATCAGAACACTAGTCAGGAACCCACATGGCCATCTAGATCCGATTTTGCCAATTTGCATTTTCGCTTTATGTGACAGCCTGGGCCCATTAAAACGGCGCCATCTCCCACACTCTCTCTTTTCCTCTCTTTGACATCATTCACTCTTTTGGATACCTTCACTGAGGCTGCGCCTCGTACACTCTCTTTAACGTCTGTAGATCAGACAAGACTATCCTTAAGGTTCCAATCCAGTACTTTCATTGATATCAGCCAATATGCGCTTCATCAACATCCTGGCCATCCTGGCCGCCACTGCCACCGCGCTCCCCGTCGCACTTCCCGGTAACCCCGAGGTTGTCATCTGGGAAACCGTCTACGAGACCGTCTATGAGACCCTCTCCAGCAAGCCCACTGCCGCCGTCGTTCCCAACGTGAACATCGCCATTCCTTCGACCGCCGAGGCTGTCCCCACCACCTCCAGCGCCGTCACTCCCATTCCCACCACCACTTCCGTCCCAACTCCCGTTGTGCCCACCACCACCGCTGTGCCCACCACCAGCGTCGCCCCCGTCTCAAGCAGCAGCGACATCTGGACCAGCACCACCCTCGCCATCCCCAGCACCACCTCCAGCGGCGCTACCGCCACCGGCTCCGGCATCGCCATCAAGAACAACCTCCCCACTGACATCTACCTCTGGGTTGTCACCGAGACCGAGGGTGCGATGCAGACTCTCGCCTCTGGCGAGACCTTCACCGACACCTGGTTGACCAACTCCAACGGCGGCGGTATCTCCATCAAGATGTCCACCACCGAGATCTGCGATTCCGTCCTGCAATTCGAGTACACTCAGTCCGGCGAAGTCCTCTTCTGGGATCTGTCTTCGATCAACCTCCTGAAGGACTCTGCTATCGTTGCCGCTGGATTCGGTGTTACCATTAGCGACGAGTCTTGCACTACTGCCACCTGTGCCGCTGGTGATGCCAACTGTATCGAGTCGTACCAGCACCCCGATGATGTCAACACCCTGGCTTGCAAAGTTGATGCTGCCTACACTCTCACTTTGGGTTAAACCTTGAGTAGAGTCACGACTTTGGGGGATTAGATTGGTGTTATGAGATTGTTTGGAGTTCTTTCTTTGTTCATTCTTTATTCTTCTTGACTTACTTTTTGATTCACTCTGGTTTTTACTTCTTTGGAAAAATATCTCGAAAAAATATCTTGACATATCAAATTGCAAATATCATTCACATTTACTTCTTGACTTTTGAAGAGTTTAGTAATGTTGTTTGGAAGAAGAGTAAATAAGTAAACACAGAAATCAATCCCAATAAATAACAAAGTAGGGTTGTGAGTATACTATCTCTCACCCGTGGGAGTAGGAAACCCTAATCACAAGGTCTGATTGTTATTCCAACCACGCCTGGACCATGTCCTGCGTAACTTGGACATTCCACAAGAGTAACACATACCTATCTAATAGACAGGAATTTTGAAAGCAGGGAAAGAGTAGGTCCAGCTGTCAATAGAAGCCTTGTCATTGACACACTCGAACGAGCTGTTGCTGCTCCAGTGAGGACGAGTGGGCCACTGGCATAGCATCTGAGTCTCGCCCTTATAAGTACCAGAAGAAACAGTAGCATTCAACCGGCTAGGCTTAACACCATTCTCAACCCAGTTGATCATAGTCTGCATGTTATCTTCGGGGTAAGGGCCAGGCTGCAAGCTGTTGGTTCCACAGTGGGCAGCACCAGGAACAAGGTAGAACTGGTACCAGTCGGCGAGTTTCTCCAGACTAGCCTGGGACGACAGGTGAGGGTACATGACCGAGCGGACAGCCTGCCAATAGTGCACGGACGAAGCGGCCGGGATACTGGGGTCTGATTCGCCGTGGTAGTGTAGCAGCTTCCCGCCGGAGGATTGGAAGGGTGTCAGGTCCGGCAGGGTGGTCTGCAGGCTGTCCATGTAGCGCACCATACCGGTGTTCATCCAGTCGACGAGGGTGTCGTAGGTGACGTTGTTCAGGTCGGAGAGGTTGTGGATGTTCAGGAGCTGGACGAACTTGGTCACGTACTCGCCGCCGGTTGAGGGGATGCTGAGCTCCCACTTGCGGGTGTTGTTGTTCCAGGTTGTTTCGGCATCGCTGAGCTCGGAGCCGATCTGCCAGGAGAGATAAGCACGCTCGCCTTTGGAGTTGTGGAGGCCGTCGTAGATGGTTTGGGCGACCTTGACTCCCATCGCGGTGACCTTGCCGCTCTGCGCGGGCTGGTAGCTGGTGGTGCTGCCCTCGGCGCGCTTGCTGAAGCCGAAGCCCAGAGAAGTGCTGGTCTCGGCGGCGCAGTAGTACTTCTCGCCG